GCCAGAAGCCCAAAATAAACCCCGCCCACAACGTGCGGGGGCGGACCAATCAGAGCCCTGCTTCACTCCAACCGAATAAAAGCACTTTGAATGATTTATGATGGTCAGTCTGAGACAGGGGCGGGAATAAGGAGCGAAAGAGGGGAAGAGGCATACTTCCAGTAATGTTCAAAAATGGAAGAAAAGTCAGCCCAGTTTTGAATGAGAAGAGAGGAGGGTTTAAATGTTTGAATGAAAACTTCAGTTTATTACAAACACACGTGAGAGTTTCTAACTTTTAACAAACAAAGCAGTTTTAAGGTCCTTACACACCGGGGCCGACGCAAATGTAAAACGCAAAATCTGAAATATTCAGAGGCGAATTTTGACGCACCTGACTATTCACATCAAGCCTGATGCGATATTGCGACTTTCCGGGGAGAAAAGACGCATCCCGGGGAAGACTTTTCTCGGGGAAAGTCCCGCCTCCTTCGCCTTTGATTGGCTAGAAAAGTTGGAAATGTCATCACACGCTCAAGCCAAATGGTCAGCACTTACAGCCAATCAGAGTGTCCCGGGTGGAAGCGAGAGGAAAAAACTGGAGTCTACTTCAACTTCAAGTGATGGCGAATTGGTACTTCTTTTGCTTTCTCAAAAGAAAAAGAAACGTAGCACATGGGTGCATCCAATATTATTTCTGTTATGATAGCATGTACTGAGTCTGGGCCAGTACCAGATAAGCACATGAAACTATGGTGACAACCGTTAGCTTACGTTAGCTCAGATGAAAGTTAAAACAAAGATGTTTAGCAAACTGTTAAAGCACACAAACTATCGTCATATGAGAAATCCGACACTATGACTCTCCACAAGTTGTCCCTCAGGTCGCTATCTTTGTAATATTTGTGTCTTTTATCAAAAAGCACTCTGTTCTTAGACATGTAAACAATCAGCCAGTCGGCCATGTTGGATATACCGGATAATCAGACGTCGCAACAACACGCAATCTGATTGGTCAGAAGTGGACACACAGTATGCGAAACTTGAGAAAAATCGACCATGATCCGAAAAAAAAAAGCAGCAATATCGCGGGATGGAAAAACGTCCTGATGTGAACACTTGTATTGACAGGATACGGGTTTAAATAAAAATATTGACGTCCGAAATAATCGCACAACAAAAACGGTCCCAGTGTGAAAGGACCTTTAGACAGTTAGAGCATCATTCAAAACTAAACCTTCTTATATATGCAAAAAAATATTATTCTGCTCAACTTAAATAGTCATTTTTGCATTTTTTAACACATTTTAACACTCTTATAATTTTGAATCTAATAACTGTATCTGAACTAGGATCATTTTAGATTGAATTACCTCTTTAAGATTAAATCATACAAAGCCTGTGGAGTCCTTAAAGGTTAACTTTTTTTATTATATACACAAGATGATTTTCTCAATGCAACAAGTTGTTAACATGTGTGCACTAGCTGCCATCTTTTGCACACAAAATAACGATACAGTGTTCATAATATATTAACTTTTGAGCACAAAAGGATCTGTTCCCTCAAGGTAATAAAATAAGAATCTTGTGGGAAATAATTATTGTGTGCACACAAGAGAATAACTAAATAAATTATGTCCTAACAGCTTATTAAAAAATATACTAAAAGCTGACTTTTAAGGACTCAAGGGCTTTATCATTATTATTATTATTATTATTATTGTTGTTGTTGTTGTTGTTTAAGGCATTAAAAAATTACAGTTTAAAAGTAATCATATGTGAGGCTGATGGTCTTGTTTACCATTGCAGTGTTTCCCCTACATTCATTCAGCAGGGGCAGTGCGCTGAATTACTGGCGCCGCTACTGAAATTTCACATGATCATTAATATCAAGGCACCACTAATGATTTCTACTTGTACTGTGTGAGCACAACAACACAAGACATTATTTCCGACTTGAGTCTTAAACGAGCGCATCAAATCCTGTTGGACCCTCTTCCATTAATGTGAAGGGTAACATTCAAGCTTCATGCAACGAAACGTGAATGTAACAGCGTAGCTCCTTGAATGGCAGAGAGAGTGAGGGTAACAGCGAACCCCCCACACACTCACAGGCACACACACACACATACAGACACACACACTAACATAGCAGTCCCGCCACTGAAAAAAATTCTAGGGGAAACTCTGCTATTGGATGTCATAAACATAAATTTCAGTTTATTTCATAGTCGTCAAAAATTACTCACAGGAGCTTTAAAATTGAATCTAATATTCTGAAATTTCAGTCTATCTTATCCTCAGGAAACTGAAGTCTAACATTGAGTTCATGAATCCAAACTTGCACACATACCTGGCAGTTTTGTGGACTTTGATTAAATATAAAATAGTATATCACCCTATTTAACTTTTTAAAAATGTTCAAATGAATGTCTGGTTTTTATAGCCCCTCCTAAGAACAAGACTTGCATCTGTTTTCTGTCACGGATGATAAAACTTTAATTGTGCTGCATTTCGGGGTCAAGTCAGGAGCCTCTTTGATAGCAGAAGTGTCTGTGTCCTGAATTATTGTGACGGAAATGTGAGATGTGGCTCTTGTGTTATTCGAGGACATCTATTCATGTGAGTACACCACACCCTGAGGCAGCCTGATAGTACAGCTATCTATAGCTTTGTTTTCTGGTGACAGTTCAAACCTTTACTAGATTAGCATTGGTCAACATAAACAGCATCATTAGGTTATATACTTTTATCCTTTAAGAAAAGAAAGTATTTGTTTGGACCTTATCTCTGTGCATAAATCCACCTGGTTGAGGCTCACCATGCAGGTGCTCCACTAGAGGGCGCACTTACACAAACGTTTGCATTCACTGTAGCGCAGAAACAGGATCTTAGTGATGAGAGCTGCTTGTCATTTGTTATTTCAGTCCAGGTCATTGTTCAAACAGCTGCCCTGATGTTAAACAAACAAAGACGAAGAATTAACGAGAAGATAAAATACAGCTCAGTCATCCTGGAAACACATCTCAGATAGTTGAATGTGTTTTTACTGACTCTTGTTGTTAAAGCAGCAACTCACCCGTGAATGATGTCAGTGTTTACTCTCAAGGAACATCTTCTGGTCGCCAATATTTTGACAAGATTTGCAGCCACATGATAAGGATCACATCATCTTCGACACGCCAGTTTTCAAAAGCACGTGCGCAGTCCCCATCAGGATTTCAGGGCATGGCTCTTGTAATGACAAAGCCGTGTTTTTTAACCGTCATTCCTGCTCTTGAACCCAGAGGAGAGGCACTTAGAGATTTATGAGCAGCAGCAGATGTTTTTGGTTAAAGCTAGGGTGTTATTTTAGTTTATATTTCACAAATTTTAAATAAAGCCTCCTTGCAGCTCAAATGCAAAGCTTTTTGGATTGCTAAAAACAGAGAAGACTATCTCATTTATCATGTTACAGTCAGCGCAAAAGACACAATGAGAAGAAAAGAGCTTCTGAACCACTAAAAAGTCTGATCAAAGCTGAAAAACACGACAGAAACCCACTAAAACCTGAACCCACGGGGTAGTCACGGCGCTAGGCTGATCTCAGGGATGATAAGAGTCAAGGTGGGGAAATTTACATGAAAGAAAAACATGAGTGGGCAGATGTGCTGGTTTCACGGAAATTTATTTCCTGTAAGGAGGATCTTCAGAATATCACCTCATCATCTTAATTACCACCGTTGATTTCAGTCATTTCAGACCCTCAGCCTTCTTTGACGTCAGTCCGCCCAAAGTCTCATGCAAAGAGATGGGGCAACAATAACGAGAGTTCACAGCTGCTGCTGCCACCGCCACTGTGTTTGTGTTTGGGTGAAGCGTCAAGATTAAGTTAGAGATAAACTTTTTGAGGGCCTCAAACTGAAGTCAGCGAGGTGAGAAGGGAGCTTCCTGTGAGATCTGTGCTAAAGGAGGAACACGCTGCAAGAAGTACACAAGACGAACCTTCGCTTCTCTGTTTCTGCTGCATAAAGGTTACAGATTACAGTGAAGTTCATGTAGAAATGAAAACAGAATACAATGATTTGCAAATCCTTTTCCACCAAAAAGACTAGATACTTTTTGTTCAAACTGAGAAGGACCTGTCCTGGATGTCAACATACGTGGAATCGCCAGACCCACTTTGCGTTAGTCCGTCTCAGATGAGCTCGGAGGCGTTTGTGGTTGTTGTTGATATCTGATGTAGAGACGAAGTGTGTCGACTGATTTTCTGGTTTCCTTTTATGGTAAACTCCTTTACAGAATGATGTGGGTTTGACCGCCTGAGGAGGTCAAAGGTCACAGGTATCCAGTGTTGGTTTTGGGTCTGATGATGAAATACTTAAATTCCTGTAGTTATCAAATGTTTGTTAACTCTTGGACTATTTGTTCACGCAGTTGCTCACAAATTGGTGAACCTGGCCCCAACAGGTGTTTCTGGAGAGAGTCCTCATTTTCCGCAGACTTTTGTTGACACTGTCTGAACTATTTTTTAAACATATTGCAGCAACAAACTCAAAATGAGTGAATATTAACAATTAAGTTTATTGGTTCGATCGTTAAATAACTTCTAGTGGATTCAGTTGAATTTAGGCGCAAGTGTATTTATTCTTACTGTCCAGGAAAACTGGAAAGTCTATTTTCTAACCACAATAGAAGTGTTTCGGTCTACTCTGCCCCACGAAAACCACTCAGTCGTAGAAACTGAGAACAGTAAGTCATCCTCTGATGCAAAATAAGAGTTCTTTTAATGCCTAGATGAAAAGTTCCAGCTCCTCATCTTCAGAGAGCGTTTTATCTGTTTGAAGTCCTCTCAGAGCTTCTGCTGCTGCTGCTCTATTTGTGGAAAGAAGAAGTAAAGAAGAGGTGACAGTTTTTCTGCAAAGTTCAGGGGACTCCACCGACGGTTTGTTGTCAGTCTATGAATCCTCTGAACTGTGACAAAACGTGTCCCCGCCCCTCACCCACCGAGTATAACTCCTCAAAACATTTCCTCCTCCCTCACTGTGAGCGAGCGTGAGCGCAGCGAGACTGATGTGAACAGTAGTAGAAGAAGAAGCTGGAGGTGTGAGATCCCCCTCAAACCCACCTCCCTGGTTTGGTGGTTTCACTCGCTGAAGGAGACGACATGGTTGGATGCGGTTTTCAGTTAGATCTTTTACACCCTCTATACTCTTCTCATACAAGCTACTCTCAAGTCTCCATCCTTGGTAAGTATGGGATTACATTTTTTTTTTGTTATTTAAAGACAGAAATACAATTTTGAGCTACTTCAAACTTGAAAGACAAAAAATCTACTATTTCATTTTTTTCTGTCTGATTAATTCCCTTTCTGCCACCTTAGTCCCAATATTAGTTCCTTCTTATCACCTGGCTTGCTTACTATTCACAGGGCTTAAAATACTCGATCGGGATTGGTCAAAACCTCTTAATAATAGCTGTTGATTCTGTGTTGATAATGAAAATTTTAATAATATCAGTGGACAACAACAAGGATATTTTAATGCTACTTTCAACTTACTTGGAGTTTAGGGTTTGAATAATTTGCAAAAAACAACTATTTCTATTTCATTTACATTTTATGTATTTTACTTCTTATAAATTAGAGATGTTTGTGATGGCTAAAATACAAACAGGACTTCCTTACAGACCCACTGGGGTGAAAATCATGTTTTTCTTGTTGTCTATATGTTCATATGACATTTTTCTGATGCTACAGGACATAGCATGAGAAAACTAAGTGCGAAATTGCATTTCTGTGTATTTCTACATTCATATCGCTGTTAATGTCTGACAGACCCAAACGGCAGGTTCAGAAACAGTGAGATTTCCTATGTACCAAGACTCTGAGAGATAGAGAGGACAATCACGAAACAAGCGTGCGTGTTAGCGGATTGCAATGTACGTAAGAAAGCTAACTATGAGATTAGTTTTCATCATGCCCCTAAAGACATCAGAATCTGAAAGCTGAATATCTCCTATGTTACTTGTTACCTCTACTACACCAGCAATGTAAGTCTACGAGCTAGTGTATATAGACGAGTGTGCAGAGCAGCGCTGTCTCTGCCCATGACTAAGAGGCAAATTGCTAATGAGCTACTGGAGCTCTGCAGGAGAAAAGCCCTTGAAAACGACACAGCTAACGCAATTTTGGCCCAAAACTTCATAATCACATTTTAAAGACCACTGAGAACACTTGAAGCAGTAATAAAATGATCGGAGTGGAGCTTTAAAGAGCCTGTGGGGAACTTTTGATTTGTATCTACTTTGGCGCCCCCTCTGGACAAAGCAGATTTTGCTTGTCATTTCCTTCACGCGCTAAGGTAGTGTATTACGACAAAATATCTCATCCTGCTGACTTTGACATTAAAATTTGTCATTAATTGTTATTATTTTATGCAGAAAATATAAATTGTCTGACACCTACCCTCGTGCACTGGTCTCAGGCATTAAAAATCACATTACATAAATCATGTCAATAATGATCTGTTTTGCTTTTGGATAGCATAAAACGGCATAAATATGAAATTCAGTCTATTTCAAAGATGTCAAAACACTTACAGAAAGTGAGTTTCTGCCCTTGAATCTTCACAGGTCTGATCTTTGCTTATTTCACTACATTCTCTTCTCCAGTCCGCACCTCTGCAGGTGAGATCCAAACACTTCTTTTCTCTCAGATTACTTTTATATCAGTGATTTCAGGTGATTAAACTTGACAAGAAACTTTAATTTCCTGCCTAAATAAAAGGGGTTTTTGGTCTTTTTACTGTGACATAAAGCAGAATTCTTGGTTATTGTAATCTAGTTTCACACCTTTTTCTTCCAGTGAAATGTAAGTCAAAAGACATTTCTTCCAAGTATGCGTACTGTGAGATACAGTCAGGTAAGACAGCAATGTCTGAATCATCAGCAAAGTGAGATATGAAAGCAGAAAGTGTGTGTTTCCTCACCGCTGTATCTGCTGTGTGTGCTGCCTCTGTCCTTCAGGTGGAGTTCATGGTTTAGACTGTTTTGGTAAACATGGTTTGACTTATAAAACCTGCGAGTGGAAACCTGGAAACAGGTCATCCAAAAGCACATACACACTCGTCATACAGCAGTAAGTCCCACAGGAAATAACTCACACATTCTAACACACATTTTACGTCTCTACAAGGTGAAAATCGTGTTTTTTTTCAACTGTTTCTTCTTCTAGACAGAAAAGATTGTGCAACGCCTTCGTCAATATCACAGAGTTTTCTATGACAATCACATTATTTATGAAATACAACATGACCGCTGAAGTTTTTGAAAACATCCATTCAAAGACAAACTGCACAAAATCAGTTTTCAGCGCTTCACCCTCAAGTATATGTAAGTAAAAAACAAGTTTATTAGTCTCATTTTGATGCTTTAGCAGCTCTGGAAGATCTGAAAACAGGATTTATTTAATATATTTCAGGGAGATGTGGTCCTCCAAGTGACGTGTCCTTCAGACGTCTCTCTGGGAAACTTGTTGTGGACGTGAGATGGGAGCAGGTGGACGGATCGGTTGTGGAGAATTACTTAGTGAAATATAAAGCACTGAGCGGCATGTTGGGGAGTGAGGTCAGTAGAAAAGGGGGGTTAGGATAAAATGTTAATAATGTGTGTTTAATTTCAAATGATTTTAAATATCTGTAAGAGCATGATAAAAGGTGTTTTTAAGGTAGTATACCCAAATGAAGAGAAATTAAATGACTTCTATGGGGGAAAAAATGCACAAAATGAATGAGAGAACTATAAGAAGAAAATCATGAAGCTAAACTATGACTCTATGACAGCATAAGGTAAAACTATACTGTAAAAACACTTGATATGTTCACATGGATGACATGTTTGAGAAAATATTGTGTAATTTTTTTTCTTTTACATCATTATGACAAGATTTTTATTGTTATAAGTTGAGAACCACCTTTTAAGAGTAATAACTATGAGATGTATCGATGTACTTTCTAATATTATTAAAATATCATGAGATAATATAAAAGACATTTTCATTACAATAAAGTTATGAATTATAAAAGAAGAGTTTATGGGTAAAATTTAAATACTATATTTTTACGATATTTCAAAAAAAATTCTCATTATAGACTTTTCTTTATGATGGGAATGTTTTGTGATGACATGATTCAATTCAAATCAAACTTCTAATATTAAAAAACAAAATAATATAAAAATACCATGCTATGACATGAAAAACATGTAAATATTGATAAAGGTTTAAGTTGAAAAAGGTTAGTTAAATATTGTCAAGACGAAAAGGATTAACTGGTGAAAAAAAAGTTATAACGTTACACCAAAAAGTTCTTCTTATGCTACAAACCAGATATACTAATAGTTTTAAACTTTACATCTTAAGAGATATTTTGTCTTCTTGCATATCTTGCATTTTTTAATTTATGATATGATCTGATTTTGTAGTAAAACACAAAAATTCCGGATTCAGTACTCTATCTCGCCATGCATGAGCACATCAGGTCACAAAATCTATATCTGCAAAAGACAAACCACTTCAGCACAAAAGTTTAAATTTGCTGTTTAAGTGATTTTCATTTTATAACATTTAATTTCTCATTTGACAGCTGCGGGCTTCCATAGAATCAACATCTGAAACTAACCTTTCCCATGTTTTACTTCACAGTCACTGGTGCAGTGTCAAAAAGGAGCAAAATGCACCGTGGCTAATGTGACCTCCTCATTAAACTACAGTGTTCAGGTGCAGTGTGTCACCAGCAGTCAATGTTCACAGTGTGTACGGAGTGACGTCTACACTGTCCCTCCAGGTCAGTTTCTGCTGTATTTTATTAGTTTTAACTCAATTATTTATAACATCCTTAAAAATCCAACAAACAAACTAATGTTTCCATCAGAGCTGACGACACAACCTGTCATCGTAAAACTTGAAAACACTGATGCTGTTGGCAGAAAAGGACAGCGGCAGCTTACTTTAGCGTGGACCGTAAGATCTCTTTTTAAATGTACATTTTATCCTGATTGTTTTGAGTTTTAAACTAAAATCACCCTGTCGGTTAGTTTCCCGCCACAGAGCTGTACGATGGCTTCCATGTGACCATTTGGAAAGCATCAGGAGAGGAACCACGTGAGCGGATCACCACGACTCGACCTGAGATCAGACTGACTTTCTCCTATTCTGCTTACGATGTTAGTATAAGTGCTTTTAACAACGCCAGCAGCTCTCCAGCTGTGAGCAGGACAATACCAACGCAAGAAGACAAGACCAGTGAGTATTCACAGAGGAAATCTCATCTTATGTTGAGAGCTGAGAAGTACAAACAAACTTTAAGAAATGAGTGAGTTTGACAAGAGCATAAGAGGACACCTTTACTAAGCAGAGCTTACAGACGAAGACTGAAATTTAACAGGACAGAAGAAGGAACTGGATCTAAAAGAGATCCCGAGTTATGATGTTGCAAGTGTGCAAACTGTGATCCTATAACTATGAACCCAGAGGACTACTGCTGTCTCAAGTGGTTCTGGGTTGCAAGAGTACTTCAAGACCTTCCAAAGTCAGATACAAGATACAAGAGGATCACACACAGCTGCAGTCTACATCACTCACCAACAGGAACTCCAACACTGAAGAGCAACTTTCTTCCATTTTTAGAAGTCAGATTAGAGGTTCAGTTAAAAAAACAGGCTAAATAGTCATGTCACTTCATAAAAAAGAAGAACTATCACTTTAAAATAAACGCTCTCTTGCAGGTTTAGGCGATAAGAATGTGAATGTGACGGTCCAAAACGCAACCTCTTTTACGGTCTACTGGAAGGACAATCTCATCGAGAAGTTCGTCTGCTTTTCTGTGGAGTGGAAGCAGGAAGGACATGAAGTAGCGCACATGTCCTTCTATGAGGATGAAAATACCTACAGGACCTTATCACCTTTACCAGGTGAGACAAATATTCACATTATTAACTGATATCCTGTTTGGAAGCAACTTTGCAAAAGATCGTGATTTGAATCCTGAGTCTAAGCCTGCAAAAGCACTTCATGTTCCCTGAACTCCAGAGTGTGGTTAATCACCTCCCATGCAATAATTATACTCAATTTGGAGCAATTAAAACATTTATTCTTGTGCATAATGACAGTCATACATGTTTCTTAATTATAGTTATTGTAGAGCACCTGTTCAGCGGCTAATTACACACTACCTTAGAGCCTGTGTGTGTTGTATCAGCCGGAGCACTTCTAATTTAGAAAGTACTTCTGCGCTGTTAAGGTTAGAGAAAACCATAACCAAGTGCTTCCAGTCTCTGAAATCGATCATAAATGTCATAAACCGGGTGTTAGCGTTAAAGAAAGTTCATCAAATGTGAGATTCGTTTTGGTTGTGATGAAATACTTTCTTTTTGCAGTGCCTTTGGAGCCTTTTAAGAGATACAGACTCACTCTGCACACAAGACCAAACAAAGACGTCTGCAACCTGAAGCACGTCAACAACAGTGAGAGCACCTACGGGAGCACACAGTTCTTCTCCAGGGAGGGATGTAAGTCCAGCCTGCGCCTCTACAGCATATCTGTGATTCATTGCAATCACAAGGTTGCAGCTTGACTAAAATGAAACTACTTGACAGATAACAAAGGTCATAAGGTCAAAGCTGCTCTGGTGACGGTGGTAATCAGTGAGTCACAATTTCTACATCAAACAGCCATCCAAACTTTCCAACAGAGACATTTATCTCCAATTCTGGTGCATCTACTAAGTTTCGTTGCAATCCATTAAAATGGAGATGTTTGACTGGATAGCTGGATAAAACAATCTGCAGGTGGCACCAAAATCTGTAGGATTCATCAACCGGGGATCATGAATGTCAGCGCAAAGTTTCATTATAATCTGTGCAGTGGTTGTAGACACGTTAGGAATATCAGCGTGCTGGTGGTACAGCAGAAAAAGAGTTATCATCAGTATATGGATGAATCCTCTGGGGAAGAGGACATCAAAACTGAAAACTTATAGTAATATATAGCTCTCAATTCAGTTGGTAGTTATGGATGTAATTTTATTTTATTTTAATATATACACAAAATGTTGGGCAAATTTCCACATTCAGTTCTCTAATTTGGATGTACCCTCTTGGAAACCTTGGTGTCTACCCACAGATACATAGAAGACTAGATCAGCAGTGCTCTGAAGCAGTCTGCTAAGCCATCTTAGTGGGGGCAATGTTCCCATTAAAGGCATTAAATGTACATTGAAAATAAAATCATATCTTGCTCATAACGCCTTGTTCACATACAACGGGTGTCTGTAAATCCACAGATCTGTAGATAAATGAATGAAACCAAACATAGATGGAGAGCAACCTTTGTAGCAATGGGAAGAGATTAATTCTGTTAAATAACGAGTGAATCTGTCAGGTTAAGAGAAGCAAAAATGAGGCCTCCTATGAAAACATTTTTTGGGTCCAGAATCTGGAATTTAGCAATCCATCCAACCCTTCGATCTTAGAGTCTAACTTTGTTTTTCATTGAACCCTTAAGCTCCTGTCAGCGCCCCGACAAACATCAGCACCATCAACGTGACCCTTGATTCAGTGGTGCTTCAGTGGTCGCCCATTCCGGAGGAGGACACCAGAGGATTCCTGTTGGGTTACATAATCCGCTACGCCAAATACCGCCATACAGGGACAAGAACAGAAGAGAGTAAGACACTAGACACTCTGTCATCAAGAGTCTGGCAAAAAAGTCAGGAGCCATTGGTAGCATCTACATTAGTGTCTAAGTAAACCATCTGGACAAATTTGGGAAATATAAAGGCTAATTTTCAGAGCACGTGTGTCAAAGCCGCATAACTGAATACTATAAAACCCTCTTTGGTTGCAGGTATCACAGTAGATCCGATGCTGGACACGTGTGAGTTGAAGAATCTTGAAAGCGGTACTGCTTACAAGGTCCAGATAGCAGGTGTCACCAAGGCAGGTGTCGGAGTCCTTAGCCCGGAAATCCTCTTTAAAACAAACAGTCAAGGTAACAACTTTTTAAAAGTACTGAATCGGTCTGTCATGAACTTAAATGTCTGACACTTCTATCAAATTTCACCATTTTTGTCTGTCTCTCACAGAAAATCCAAATCTCAGCAGCTTCATCATCGTGTTTGCAGCTTTGATCACTGTGCTCATATTTGGATCCCACATAATAAAAAAGTATGTCCTACAAATATCGCAATAAAGGTGGAGAAAGGTGGTTTAATGATCCCTCCACTTTACATTAATTTATCTCTGAACTGCCTACTTTCTCTAGAGCCAAACTCCTTTTGTGGCCAAGCATACCTAACCCTGGGAAAAGCAACACGATGCAGAAGATTGAAGGACCTCATGAACTGGTGAGTCTTTGCTTCTGCTCTACATAACAGAAAGAAATCAAGGTTGGCTGAAGCTTTTACTGACTTGCTTGGAACCTACTACACCTGGTGTTGTTTTTACTTTCCAAAGGAACTACTGGAGTCCATTTACACTCTGAAAGTAGAAGATGGGGAAACAAACAGTTTCCAGCTGGTTGAGAATGAAGAGCAGAGCCCCGTTCCCTCAATGCTACCACTTCTACATGGCATGGAAGATGATGAAGACCAACCAGAAATGACTAGTGGTTGGATCGACAGTGCTGCAGAGGACACAGCTGGAGACACTCTCCCAAGAACAGCCTCAGACATCCCAAGGACAGTCCTGCAGGGTCCAGCCTTCGTCTTTCCAACTGGATATACGACCATTGAGATGTTTCAGCAGGGGATGCCTGGAGGAGTGCAGGCAAATATATCACTTACCCAAGACGCCTTGGACAGTGATCCAGAGGTCACAGACTTGACCACAATGGCATCAAGATTGGACTATGTGAGGCAGTTTAGCCCAGACTGGCAGTTCAGTCCAGTCTTGGAAGACGACGGTGTCACTGTTTTATAAAACTGTTCCGAACAGGACTTGGGAGCAAATCAAGCCGGTTAGCCGAGCAGCCGTCACCTAACTTGTGTGAATCCAGTATATATTAATAACTGTTTAAAAATATTGAGTGAGCACAAAAGTTACTTCCCTCCTGTTTTTGGCGAGGGTGCACATGAACAGAGTGGAATGAAGATTCAGGTGGTTCCAATCTAAAGAGCTTGTTTCACATGTCCAAAACCTCAGATGCAAGCAGGAAGATATCTGCAGATGAGGTCTGATTTCTTCCTTCCTGGTGAAGAGTCTCGTGGAGGAGTTAGAGGATGTTAAACTTCACATCTGTCTGCAACAGACAAAAGGAGCTGAAGAGAGACAGTGATGCATGCCTCATGTTTTTCTATTAATCTTGACCTGAAGACTATGAAGCGACAGCGCCATGTTCCTGTGAGCTCAATGGTGCCCATAGAAGAACACAAAAGTAAAAATGAACCATTTTGGGCAATATGGAGTTCGTTTTTTGTTGCTATGGAAACAAGACCAGTTTCCAATGCCATCCATGGACTCTGCAGTAGCTGGAGAGTATGTTCTGGAGATTGTGGATGGAGTGAATGAATGCAATAAAGTCGATCTCTGCAAGACCTGAGACCAGAAAAGTCTGGTCACTTTGTAAACCAATCATAAATGCTTCTCTTTGACTACAAACTACAAATGTCACACTCTCCTTATTGTAGTGGTCTTCAAATCTGGTCCCGCTGAAAATGTAGCTATGTCGAGAATCAACAGAACTATTAACCAAATGAGTTCTCCATCGCCTCTTCTTCTGCGTGGCATGGATTACCTGAACTCGACTCAGCTTTCTTGAAACCACAACGCCAGCACCCCCAACCTATAAATATTTGCAAGATGTAACATCCTGCATGAACCCCCAGTTCTTTTTTTGGGGCCTTGGCTCCTTCATCACCTCCTTGACTGTCCTGTTGTGGTTTTTCTGCACGCACCTGGTATCCGGCACTAGTTTGGTATAATCTTGCTGTCGAATCCTGGCAAGCCACGCTGATACTCATTGTCACTTACAGGAAAGGTCACATCACATGAAGACCCATTTTTAAATTTTTTTTTTTTTAATTTGCCAATCCTCAAGGGTGGAGTTGTACACCACAGATTAGAGATGTGATGGCTATCAAAATCTCATGAATCAGCATCAGTTTCACGCTACGGTAACTATGACGGTAAACTTGTAATTAAGACAAATATGCACTCTTAAAAGTGTTATTCTAGTATGTTTGAATCCTTCAATTACACAGAATGCCCAAAGGTCTTCGACAGGATATTACACAGTATAACTATCAAGCTCTTGCACCGTTACGAGGAGGAAAGACTGTAAATGCGTCCTTTAGAGTTTTTTTTTTTGCCTGGCTGCCTCTTTTCCACAAAACTTTTTCAGGTGACATTTTGCCATATTCTCTGTTGAATAGTTTACCACAGTGTGATGATATCTGGTTATTGTCTTTTAACTTCTTTCAGATTACTTGTCACAGGAAAACAGCAGGTTTAAAAGCCACTAGAGCAACTACAATCTTGGTAAAACTCATAAACCTGTGACGGTACAAGACTGTATCGACACTTCTGTCCCCGTAATATTGTAAAAATGACACCACTGTTACGCCCCTAATATAGTCCCCACTACCATAAATTCCAATGTGTCTCATGGGTAGCAGACACTACCATAGAGTGTATTGTATCATATTATAAATGTGCCTTAAATACACAAGTTGGTAGATCACCCTCTAAATAAACAAGAGGAAGCTTTTCCCCTTAGTTCGCTTTTACAATAGTCCTTTTTACATCACCTGTTCAAAGCAGGACATTTACGCCTTGGTTAACCTCCAACCTTCAGTCAAATATCGTAAAGCGGTGAAATATTGTGGCTTTGCACATTATTTTCATCCCTTATTTGGCTCCGATGCAACTTGATGACACCAGACCACTTCACTTTTGTTTACGGATTTGTACCTTTTCCATCACCTTGAATGAAACACTATGGTTTAGTTGCTGCATCTGAAACATTTGGAATCGCAGAAGTTGCAGACCAACATACCAGTGAAAATACAGCTAGCATGTGGGTCTAGCAGCCCTGATTCTGTCATCACAAACCAATGGATTGAAGTCTACGTACTGTATACGACAAGAAAGGCTCAGGCTCAGTGCAACATCGGTAAATGTAAAGTCTCTTTATTATTTCTGGAACCAGATCAGCCGAACTGACAGATTCAAGGAGGATCACATACATACATCCAAACTCTTCAGAAACATCATGACCAAACCTTCACGACCAATCAAAAGGCAGAGATCGAGTGTCCAATCCCCGAAGAGCACAACCGTAAACATTTCCACCGTCTACATCTTTACAAAGCAGATACATGGATATAAAAAATAAATTCTTCACATACTGTTTGGTTGTGTTGGTAATTTTCTTTAAACTTTTATCACGAGTTCACCACTTCAAACTGAAGCTTTATTAACATAAAAAAGCAAGGAAAAAAGCAACAAAATTAGTTTCGTAAAAGCCGTAGAGATGGAATTTGGCGAAGACAGTAGTAAAGTTTTAGTCTTTTTTTTTGTTTTTTTTTTAAGTAAAGCTTTAAAATACAACAAGCTGAAGAATGATGTGGGGCGAGTTTGCACACATATTTGAACACAATCACAATACTGCAAACTGCAACACCAAAAGAATGACAGAAATTAACCATTAAAAAGTCCCATCAATGTTTAAGTCTACTCTGCTATCACTGCTAAAGACAGCTGACAACACTTTGATATAACATCTCATTAACTATTGAACAAAAAAGACAATAAATCCAAGCTGCATCTATCAATAAGTCTCCATAATTTCACTCTTTATATTCTGTACAATCTTAGTCTAGGCACTTTTTGCAGTTGCTTGACCTTTGACACCTTGTTGAGCCTCGTCTAGACTGCAACTACGAGATTTTAAATTGCATCTTAACCATTTTCTCTCTGGATTTAACAGACATTTTGCACACATTTCTCTCTTTTTTATTTTTACAGTTATAGGCCATAAAATAGTTTCACTTTATTCAACATCAATGACATGAAAAAAACGATCCGATTGTAACGAATCAGAAATAAAATGTAGATCCATGAAATAAAAACGTGAAGCTGAGCCGTGTTTTCTTCTTGACCTAATAAAAGATGCATTTTTGTAATAAAATAAACAAGCAGCAGGTTCAGAGAAACACTTAAATATCTGCTGGACACCTCTTTGAATCAGAGGTGTAAGTTTCATGGTGAAAGATTGAAGAGTAGAGGATAAAACCGTCGCCACACAAAGAGCAAACTAGCCTTTAGCATCAGCAGAAAACCTTTACGTGTTCACATTTTTCACATTAACTAATAAACCTCTTTGAATTAGCGTGACTTTGCCGCACCAGTTCAAGAGCAGCAGCAGAAGAAGAAGGAGAGGAAAGGCGTTTTTCTTTAACACCCCATCGGACCTCAGTCACCGGAAAACAGATCTGTATTTTCACTTCATTAAGTGTGAAAAACAACAAGGAACATTTCAGCACCTTAGGTCAGCATCTGCTGCACACTGAGTACTTTAATCCAATATTTAGTTTATTTATGAACAAAATAAAGACGATTCAAGGGTGAATAAACCAGTTGTTTGATGCTCGTCAGGCTGATACTTCTGTATAACTTCAGAGAGTGTAACAGGAAACTGACGACGAGGTTGGGGGCTTTTAAGGAATTACATAACTAGCTTTAAATAGGGACAGGGTCGGGGTGCAAAGCTTTACACGCACAATGCAGATAAGCTTCCTTTCTTTGTCTCTGTTCACACAATGATCATTTTAAAAGCCAGTTCTATAACCATTTTAGACATGTTGTATCCGTGTGCCAATCTTAGACAACTTTATGTCCAGATCTCTGAATTACAAAAGTGATGCACTCACTTTTATGAACGTTTGCATTTTTGGTATTTTGACATAATCAGCATCATATAGATGGTGATATTGGCCCCTATAAACACCAATATTACCATCACTTTTTTCAATTTTAAGATGTTTATTCTCATCACTCATAAACAGTTTAAATTCAAATTATATGTATAGATTAATAGATAAACCATTTTCTGAAATCCTTCTCTCTCCAGTGACTCTCTAAAAAGTTACAAATCTGTAACTTTCTTTTTTATTTGCTCACATGATGCAGTAACTCTCACATACTGCCAATAATTTCTGCAAAAATAGTTTGGAGGTTGATGTCTCTGGTGGGTCTTTGTTGCACATTTAAATCTGGTGAAATCAGAGTAAGCAGAAATAAATATGTATTTCAAATCCTGTCTTGAAATGCAGCAGGAAGAAATGCAAACCGTTCATCCTCTTGGAATATTTACTCTATCCTGCAGGACTGAAATGAGTATTTTCTCCTTTAAATCTGTTCAAACTGGTACAGTTCAGAGTCCAGTGACCACAATCTTCAACCACAATTGATCGGGACTGTAACGACCTGTTCAGCATACATTTAACCCTTCTCATTGCACAGCGACTTCAGTCTAAATAACTATTTTGGACATGATTCAGTTCACAGTTGTTGATGGCAGAAAAACAGTTCAAGCTGCATCTGTGTTTACAGTAAACTCTGAAGCCTCCTTACCGTGAGCTAACTCTGCTGTGATCACTTACATTTGTCTGAGAATTTCCACTGAAGCTGAGGTTAAATAAGTTGAAGAGGATCGTGTGAATCAGCACAGCGTCTGAATATACTTTTCACACCTCCTCACTCAGACATGTTTGTTTTACGTGTCCTTTACCGCCTCTTTCTTTCTTGTCTTTGGTATGACTTCAGGTGTTTGTGGTTAGAGCCGTCTCCATAGCAACAGTCCGTTCTTTGTAGTGCTATCAAGAAATAAAAGACTGTTGCTTTGGAGACTCAGCAGTGCCAAAAAGATCAAATAAAAGCAATCCAATATGGCCGCCTTGTGTTAAACCTGGTGTTTGGGGAGCTTTAACGATCAAACTGTTGTTGAGGCGTAAACTTGGTTTCTTCTGAACCGTTAAAAGGATCCGTGTGCGGTTGTAAAAATCAACAGGTGATGATGATGATGACGATGATGGAAAACTCGCTGATTATCCAGTGTTCATGTTTAGTTCAGATCGTTTGTTAAATTAGTTGCCTTGGTGCTGCCGTCATATCACAGTCACTCTGTCTCTATGCATGTTCCTCCTGATGAGTCTTGTAGCTGCCGTTGTGCTGGGCGCAGGGTGATGACATCATGTCCTCGCCGAGTCCCACCGAGTCTTCTCTGTCGCTCTCAAAGTCGTCCTTTTCCTCTCGCTCGTAGTCCCTTTGCACCTGAAATTCAAGGGCAAGAATAAAACCCAGCCGGCAGATGTTTGGTGGGAATATGAGAGCTCAGATGATGACGTTTGAGGGAGTTTGTATTTAAGTCTTTCCTTATCACGCAACGCATGACAGGATGCCCACCCCCGCTGAGTGACCATCGGATGGGCACGACATTTTGCAATGCTTTATGGGAATCTTTGAGTCCCCTATATAGGGCACTGGAATTGATCACTGAGGTTTCAGACACCCCTCAAAATGGCGTTAACCCCCATATAGTCGCCTATATAAGGGTTAGGGATCCATTTTCGACACAACAGGACCCCTGAGCAGTCTACAAGACTGCCTGACTGCAATGTCTAAACTAGCAGTGCATTCATGTCAGGCAGCTCGAGCCCAGAGTACGCGCTAGCAACAATAAACCAATCAATACACAAATGCTTAATGCGCCTTACAATCTGTTGCACCTTATGTGTGAACATAAATATGTTAATTCACAGTGGGCTGTATAATCCGGTGCGCCTGATCGCCAAAAAATACGGTAAATACATCACCCTACATTAAATCTAAATGAAACGACAAAATCAAGTTTGCCACTCATACATAAAAAATAATCAAGACCTGCCTTGAGAGTGTTTTCCAAACACAGTACCTAAGTAGACCATATATTCATCCAGGTATAATCCAGGATTACCTACAACAAGGTCAGTTTTTGATATCCATAATTGGTAAATAAAGAAAGTCCCAGATAACAGCCCTCACCAATAAGACTGCCAAAATCTGAGTGTATCCAAACATTTGCATGTCGTGTTCAATAATCACAAACTTTACTCAAATCTCCAAACTCTAGATGATGCTGACGAGCGCGCTGTGGTTTCTAATCAAACTTTGCATGTCTGGTTCTACGCTCTGCAGAATTTCTGCTAATTTCACCTTCCTAATTTTGGCTTCTTCCTCTTCGTCTGACTTGTGATCTAAAATAAAGTCAAGTGCATGAAAGTTCAGGTGATTTACTCAAAAAAAAATTATTCTGTAGTTTTTTTTCATGCAGATTGAATCAGGAGCGAAAGATCTGCAGAAATTCTGTGTGCTGAAGTTTAATTAGAACTGCAGCGAGCAGGTAGAGGTGAGAGATAATAAACCACCTCAGAGTTTAACTGGAAACTTATCGTCAGGACACTCTGGTTAAAGTGACGATAGCACTAAAAAAAAACAACACGTACGGACTTTTCAGTACTTCCCCCCTGACTGTAGAGATGAGACACAGGCTATAAAAGCGAGCTCTTATCGCTTCAGATCGGCGTGATCTGATTTTCAGGACAGCGCCCTGCAGCGTCTCCGTCAGCGTTTCACACCTGTGAGGTGGTTTCTACCGCGTTTGCTGAACAAACGTTCTGATTGTTATCAACAAAGGAAAGATCGATCGCGGTAAAACTTGAAAACGTGTCGCTTTTGGTCTCACGGCCATCGCCAGACTTTCAGCTCTTCTGTTATCTACGGGAAGTAAACAAAGATGGCTTAGTTTGGTTTATGAGATGAAAAGACTTTTATGAAAGAGACAGAGTCAGCATGTCTGAGTGCAGGTCCTCCTCAGCCCTCAAACCTTGCAATCCTAAACTAAAAGAAGAATCGCAGACAGATACAGTAGAAGAAGGATATCTATGAGTTTTTGTCAACTGATACGTCAGCCCTCCAGAACCTCTGAATGTGGAGTGGGAGTGGGCGGTTAAATCCTACAGCACAGAGTTTGAACTGAAGCTGACTTTGAGATAACAGGGCCAATTTCAGGCTCGATTCCCCAAAGGCACGATTTTCTGACGGTTCAAAGATTTTCTTGTCAGATTCCTCGATCTGTGTGAGGTGTGAGGAGGGATTTTACTTCCCCTGGTCTGCTCAGAGACATTCAGAGCCTTAAAGAAGATCGAAATGTGTGATCAGAAAACCCAGAAGACCCAGAAGTTTCTCTGATTTTTACAGCTTTCTAAACCTTTTCCACTTTCAAGTGCACTTCTACCGAACACAGAGAGAAAGCAAGGCCAGTAATAATGTCTCCTTGTCTCCTTTAATAACTGAAAAAAGGAAGGAAGGAAGGAAGGGAGGGAGGGAGGAGAGCTCCCTCTGCTCTTCGTCTTCTCGGCGCTGACAGACCTCATTTCTTTGCCTCAGCAGTTTTCAAGTGCGACAAACCTCGCCTCTCTAAATTCCCGGGGGTGTGACAGCTTTATCTGACGGTGAGATTCAGCAGCGAGCGTCAGCGCGGCGGGGTGTAATTCCACTGAGCGAGTGGCAGCTTTATTACCTTCATCGGCCTGGCCTTGCTCTTCGTCCTGTCTTCGTCCTTGCGGCTCTTCTTTCTGGACGTGGAGCGCTCTTTTCTGTCTCTGCTGCGCTCCCTCTTCTTGTCCTTCTTACCTCTGAAAGATGCGACACAAACAAAAAAACCACTAAGTTTCAGCTCAGCCAGTCCTCATTAGCCTGGGTTGTTCTGCAGACTCTGTGATCCCCGACAAACTTGAAAATTTCAGATCTCAGAGAACGTCGTAGAGAAGTGACAGATCTACCTTTTCGGTGAGGGGGATCTAGCTTTCCTCCGGGGGCTCCGTGAGCGATCCTTACTCCTCCTCTTGTGACCTCTGGTGAAAACACAAGCACAATTTTTTTGGACTAGTTTTACAAAATTAACAGAAGAAGTTTTAAAAATGTGTTTTCAGTGCTGCACATCCAGTCAGTGCATTGAAACGTGTTAAAAACTTAGAGATCAACAGCGAAATGCAGTCAGCAAACACTGGAACAAACTAGGGCTGGGCGATATGGCCTGAAATCAGCATCACGATATATTGATCAGTTCACCTCGATAACAATAAATGATCAATAACTACTCCACAAGCTGTTCATCCCCTCTCACATTAACTTCGTCTACTTTAGCTGCCGCTACAACTTTTGAACCGTCCTCCATCTCCTCAACTGTCTTTCCCTCTTTTTTACAGACTGGATGGAGTGGAGTCACGTCTCTGACATAGGACAGCATCTTAAACGGACATGAGACCATAGCCTACCTACACACATCCAAAACCAACTTTAATTTGTACATTTTTGAAAAACCGAATATATTGATATGGGCAAAATGACGTCGGTTATTGTCGTAAATTTCGTATCGGTAATTTCTTGGTTTATCGCCCAGCCTTAGAACAACCTTAATCACTTCCCTGATTTGTAAAACAGAAATTTGAAGAATTTTATCAAGGTGGTTCAGGAAATATGAGGTTTTCTGATCTTTTGAGGGTGTTTTGGTTCAAGAGGAAGAAGTAGGAAATGTAGATTTTCAGTTTTCAGGACTTTTTAAATATTTTACAGCAAGAAAAGTTGGGACTAAAATGTGAGAATAATCAGCAGATTTGACTTCAAGTGAGTTTATCGTTTCCTGTTTTACCTTGAGCGGCTTCGACTGTGTCTTCTGTCTCTGGAGCGAGAGCGCCTCTTGTGGCTGCTTCGAGAACTGTGGGAGTCTGTCTTCGTCCAGGACTTCTGTGGTGCTCTGATCAAAGAGAGTAAAAACCTTCACTGACCAGATCTCAAACCAGATCTCACAGAGTAGAGGGTGAACGAATAAACTTCAGGGTACCTGTGTTTTGATCGGGACCTTTTCCTGTGGGACCTTGAATGTGATCGTGAGCGTGACCTCGAGCGGGAGCGGCGTGACCGCCTCGACCGGCTGGAGGAGCGCTTCTTTATGTCAGCTGGAGGAAGAGCAGCAGGGTCAGCGTGAGAAACCAAAACCAGCTCATCGTTATCTGGACTGTAGGAGCGGTTTTTGTTTTACCTGGTTCGATAGCAGCAGCGATGGTGGACTGAGCTTCCCTCACCTTCTTCATCACAGTTTCCAGCTCTTTAGCAGCAGCCTGTGGCGTCAGCTCAGGGGGTTTAACGATGGCGTTATTGGAATGATTCACCCTGAAAGAAGAGAAACAAACAAAATGATCCTTGATTAATAATACCCACCATGACATCTGAAAATACTGCTCTTCATGAGGAGTTAAAAAAACACATACTTGAGAGGTCTGTCTCCAAACATGACCCCGTTGAAGGTCAGAGCTCGTGCGACAGACTCCTGCTCCACAAACTCGACAAAGGCGAACCGCGTCGGCTGAGTCTCGTCTCCGGCCATCCGCACAAACTTGACGTCTCCCACCTGCTTAAAAAACTCCAGTAGCTGCTCAGCGGTGGTGGTCTGTGGAGGGAGAGATCCAACACGGGTTTACATCCTTTCACTGGTGGACGACAGCGACCCTGTGAGGCTGGAGCTGCTGTCATGGGGACAAAAAACTGAACCATCAACTTCATTTCTGAGGTGAAGATTTCATGAAGGTTACCTGAGAGTTCAAGTTGCCGACATAGACGGTCCTCCTGATCTCATCGATCTTGGAGGGATCCACGTTTCCCATGAGGGGGGGCTGGGAGTGCACAGACGCTGAGGTGTCCAGACTCGCTGACAAACGATTCACTATGGGAAGGTTTAGCTGCAGGAGACGAAAAGACACATCTGTGATATTACAGGACTGCAAAACACATCAGTAAGGCTCCAATGCATACACTGGTTTTAAGAGTTCTGGGTTTGTTTTGACTTTCTTTCAGGGTCTCTGCAGGTTTCAGCAAGTCAAATTTAAGACTTTTTAAAGACCATAATGAAAATAATTTGAGATCCAAAAAAGTACATAAGACATGAAGGGCAATCGGAACATTTTAAACTTACTTCAAATAAATCTTTATCTGTAAGTAACATCAATACATTTTTAAGACCTTTCACATTTGTAATTTAAGACATTTTATGAGGTTTTAAGAGACTTTTACACATTTTAAGGCCTTAAATTTTTGGATTCGAGACGTTTTAAGACGTTTTAAAGACCCAGCAGACCCTGTTCTTTGGTGCATTTTTGCAGCTAAAGGGAAAGATATATTTCTCCAAATGAAAGCCAAACCTTGAGGAAAGGTGCGCGTAAACAAACATTAGTTATTATAACATAACTGTTAAACTATCATTCTCTACGAGGGCAAAATGTTGCTGCGCTAACGGCCTCAAGGAAACAGAGAGTTCTTCAAATTTGCTCGACTTGCTTTGTGTTGATTCTGTGTCAACTATCAAATGTCCTCAGGTGCAGCTGCAGGTAAGATACACTGAACTGTTTTTTGTGGGTTTGTATCACCTACTGTTTGAAAGTAGAGAAGCTGAGGGAGTTTCAACCTGTGATAGTTTTGATTCTTGCAACTTAAAGCCTGTGTCAGAAATTTTTTAAAATTTAGAATCAGGATCTTAAAGCAGGGTCAATTGTTTAATTTAGTTTTTTTTTCCTCTGGTGATTAATCAAGTATTTTAACAAAAATGAAGATTTTTTAACTTTATCTTTCATACTACTTCACCTATAAAACAGTACTTTAAGCTCATTAGACTGATTGAAGCCTTTTTATCACTAATACATAATAATTCAAAGAATATACTATCTGTGCAACACTTTTATGAAGGTTATTTAAGTAGAAAGTGAAGAAAAGGAGTGTAAACGCAAATAATCTGAGTGCAGATACCCGGGCCACCCCATCGATCTAGAGTCGGGACACCTCAGTTAAAAAGTCTGGACACGCCCCTGCACAGCGGCACAAAAGAAACAAAGGACCTGCTATAAGGATGTGAAGTTTGTGGAAAAAAAGGTACAACGTGAAATATTACTCCTAATTTTTCTCCTAAAGAAAGGGAGGAAAAAAGGTGACTCCCATACTGGGGAAAGGAGGATTAACAGTCAGCTGGATCAGGGAGGTGGACAAGCTTTATACAGGGTTCCTACGCAAGTATGGCAAGTATGGAAAATTATGGAAGTAATTTGATCAATTTCCAGGTCTTAGAAAGTAAATGAAAAATAAGTGTGGACAAATATTTATGTTTACAGACTACTACCACAGTTCTAAAATACTGTTTTCTAAAATAGAAAAGTAGGTATTTCCAAAAACAATTCTAAAAAGTAGTTGTGTAGGAACCCTGTTTTAAATGGAAATACATTTCTCTAAGACTCATGGGGTATTTACAGTCTGACATAAGGATTATAACAACAAATAGACATATAGTGAGCTGTTCGGACAGCTCTACAGCTCTACATGTCTGGAAAAGCTGGTGCATGACTGTATTTACCGCAGTCTCATCCTTCTTTATCTCTTGCAGCAGGTTGGTAATCTTGTGCCATTTCTAGGCACAGGATTATATGTGTAATTCGAGGTTATTAAGCATGTAAACTGTGAGACTCAGACTCACATTCTGGATCGGGGCGGGTGTAGGAATCGGCAGCAGTCCCCCACCAGGAATCAGACTGGGTACAGGGGTGGCGGGTGCCAAAAGAGACAAGGCCTTGGCCTCCTCCGGTATCTTCCCTGCAGGACAGAAGCAGATATTAGTGAAGGCAATAGAGGGCCTCTTCTCTCTGTCTCCTCTATGTCTGCACAATTAGCCCACTGTAATCTAGAGAGAAAGAGAGCATACACTTCCCCATACAGCCTACAAGAGATCTACTGTCTACTCATGGTAATCTGGAGACCGAGCATCCTTACTTTGATTTTATTTAACTATTCCTCTCAGTCAGTCTGAATTAACTCAATCTTTACTGTTCAAAAATAGAAGAATTTTGTCCTTGGTCTCTTTTCATAGATCAAGAAAAGAAAGAAAATAAAAACACAATGCAGAGAATGAGTCAACACTTTGATGCATGGGTCACCTGTACTGGAAACATATTGGTCATGAACCATGCGATATCAAGCATGGGCGCTTTTCCGTGGGGGAAGGGGGCGATCGTTTCGCAGTGTTGGAAAGGTGTGCAACACAAGACAACCCCAATGGCTGCATCACTAATAGCACACAGGACATCAAATACAGAGAAGAACAACAATTTTAAGAACTGTAGGAAATGTTAGCCAAGACTTTAGCTACAAAAAACAACCAATTAGGAGATTTGCTCATTCCACTTTGGATTACAATCTGCTTCGTCTACTGCAAGAAGAGGCGGCTAAATTTACAAAATGACTACAACCCCCGTTCCAAAAAGGCTGGGATGCTGTTAAAAAAAGATGTTGATGGTTTCCAAATCATTTCAACTGTATTTTTGTTTGAAATCATGCAAAGACACCATTTGAGGACTAATTTTCAGTCACAGCTCTGTAGTGGAAGTCACCACATCGCCTCAAAAACACTGTCCATAAGCACAAATGCAAAAAGGAAACCAAATATAAACATGATCTAGAAAAATCTGCAACTTCTCCGAGTCCGAGCAAATTTAAGAAAATCTGTCCTGTAGTCTAATGAAGCAGAATTTGACATTCTTCTTGGAAATCAAGGATGGACCAGCATAAAGTTTAGTGTAGTACACACGGTTGTTGTGATCACGTTAGCTCAGCTTGATGGATCCGGGCGCTGCTAGCTAAAGGTGCAGAAGCAGAGTCTGGAATGGACTGCTTGTATCGAACTTCTGATATCGAAGATTTTAGATGCATGCCAATATAATCCGATAGTTTTCAGACTGATATCAGACTGATATCCGACTTCAATGTCGTATCAGGACAGCCCTAGCTCAAACAACTGTGAAGGCTCCATTGATGCTGAACAGTGTATACAGACTGTGGAGCAACATATGCTGCCTTTCACATGATGCTTTTTCATATTTCAGCTAAACAAAGCCAAACTACAAACTGCACGTATTACAGCTTCATGGCTCAGAAGTAGAACAGTCCTGGTGCTAAACTAAACCTGCCCACAGAGCTGACTTCTTAGTAACTGAAACACCTGAAAAAGACCTCAATCTGTAAAGCAACTAAAATCCAGAGCATGGTCTTCCTGGTTCTCAAACATTCACAGGGTGGTGAAGAGTTTCAACAGTAGACATGTCGTCTTTGCACTGTTTTGAAGTGATTTGCAAACCATCAAACTCTGTTTTTAACGTCCCGACTTGTTCAGAAGTGGGGTTGTACAAATTCAGTGAATTACAGCTGGAGGCACAGAGTATGACTTAAACAATTCATCTGCTTAAATATACTCAAAAGGAACGGCGCAAAGCATTAACTCATGTGTAACGAAGTTAAAAGTGAACAAAATGCTCAAAAGTGAGTGTTTGTGACAACATTGAACATCCATATCAGAGCTGAAAAGTGAGGGGAGAAAAAAAATCCTACTCTAAATAGATCTTTAAAAAGTGCAAACAGATTGTAAAGAGGTAAAGTTGTCATTACTGGGTCTCACTTTCACAACGTCTAGCCCCCTCACTATGTCAACAGGAGTAGGTGACAAGAGAGTAAAGTGTTAGTGATCCTCCTAGCTTCCCATGTGTGATACACATCCCACCAGCAGTATGCCGTAGCAACCTGGACAGAATTCAATCACACACAAGCTGCAGCTGTAGCGGAAAGAGAGAGGGGGGTGGGGGTTGGACAATAATCAAAACAACAAACCAAAATAACAAATATAAACACAACGCTAGAGATAAGCAATACTGTTGTTTCTAGATAGAGACAGGAGAAAGTGGACAACATGGGAAAGTATGAAAGGAAACAAACCAAAAAGAAAAGAAAAATAAATAAAAAGAGACAAGGTGTCCATCTTGGAAGGTTCAGCGGGCTATTCTCCTGGTCACATTCCCCCCTTGAAGGCTGCGTTGGCCCGATCGGGGATAGTGGCTTGGAAAACAATGCCTGACTCAGGCTAGTGTAGTGTAACAGCTGGGCCAGTCTAGTCATCTGATATGCACACATAATCACACAGAAAAAACATACAAAACCAAATTAATAAACTCAGTAGCCATCCAGCACCAAGTCACGTGGACAAAAAGCATCAGGTTAGAGGTGATATCATTTGTTTGACTGTACACATGGGAACAACAGTGGCACCAAAGAGGGGAGGGAGGGGGGGAATTTAAAGAGAAGGAGCAACAAAATGAAAGAGAGAGAAATGGGGTTGAGTTAGCTGAGGTGCAATGGGTTTATTTTGTATTTTCCCAAAAAAAAAAGCAGTAATATATGTGGCTTTAATGGCAAAAGTAACACCAGCAAACATGATCCAGAGAATCCGCTGTTTACCAACCCACCAGACCCCCTAAACACCCTGGGGAAACTAGTCCAGACTGAAATGTAACTACTTCAAGTTGTTGACAATAACCAAAACTGCAAGGAGTAAGTACATCATAACATTTAAATATTCATCTAGCTTAAAATAATTCGCTTGAAACAGAGCAGCTGAAGACATGCTTATGACTTTACTTTTGACAGGTCAAATCTATTCAGAATTGCAAATATTTTATGCACAAATTGTAAAAATCAGACTGTTTCTTCAGCTGCTCAGCTGACACCTACCCCCTCACACCTGTTTCAGGCATTAAAATGACCCAGACCTTCCTGGTTGGTTGCTTTTCAATATCATATCAAAGGCATTAATAAAATTTTATATCCTTTTCGTAAATGTAAAAAACCATCAGAGGAGCTTTAAATTTCTTCTTATTAATAATACTATACTTCTTTAGCTCACTTTTACTGCCACTATATATTTTTTCACAGGTCCTATAGCTCTCACTACAATGGTCTTATTCATTCACCCTTGTCTTTGCTTTCAAGCATTAAATATTTCTTATTACTTCCAGTTTTCTCCCTTTTTTCAGTATTTGTGTCAATATGGGTCAATATAAAATCAGCAACACCCCCAAATTTTACCAGGAAATAGAGAATTAATTCACGCATGTGAAATGTCCACCAGTGCTTTAATTTATTTAGCAGAAACCACCCTGTGACACCAAGAGACACCTCGGCTTGGTGCTGTGATGAAAAGCTATGTAATGTTTTATTTAGGTGATACAGCCCGTCACTTACTAAAATCACTCAATGACGCATCTAGCCATTAAAAAATACCCCAAAACCCAATCTCAAGTCCAAACAGCAAAGGCAGGAGGCCAATATAGGTTCACTGACATTATTGAGGCATTAAATTATAAGGGGAATGTGCTCCACTCACCTTCTGCACATGGCACCACTATGAGAGCTCTGTCAACAAACACAGTGTTGGTGAGATGCTGCGCCACACCAACACTGGAGGGGTCTCGATACTTTATATAACACACTTTGGATGAGAAAGACAAGGGGGCATTGCTGTAGGGAGAAATAAAACAGATACAAACTGGTTAGTTGTTTATTCCACCCGCTTACGTCCTAATCCTACAGTTAAAGTGGACAGCGTAAAGGCCGCGCATCCTCGGGTTTTCCTAGTCACCCACGCCGACGCTAGCGTTACTTACTCGGGCGGATAGAGCCGCAGCTCCTCGATGTCTCCAAGGAAGCCGAACAGAGTCCGCATCTGCTCGCTGCTCACGGCCGAGGACAGGTTGGTGACCTGGACGACTGCGGTGCCTGGTATTCCACTCATTGTGCAAACTAATAAATGTGGTTTAATTTTTAATTTTATTCCTCTCTTTCTCAGGCTGGAGCACTTTAACCAAGCTAGCGGGGCGAGAGGCTTCTTCTCATTTTACATGAAGATTGGACAATGAAGTGTGGCGCACACTAGCGCCCCCTGGTGTACGGACGTTAGATTACTGCGCAGGTTGACTTTTTATATAGATTTTTATGTGTCACATAACATACAGATAACTCATTAATCGTCTTGACGTTGCAAAAGGACTTGGCTGGGACAAAATTAATCCCCAAACCACTGTAAAGCTGAAGAATAAATGATATAAACATTCACCAGTGAGTATTTTGCTTTTAAGAAGAGGCTCAAGACTCACCTTTTTAACCAGGCTTTTCACTAACTGCCTTTTTGTATTTCTCTAATTGCAAATGTTGATTTTAATCGAAGTTCTTACTGTTTATTTCAAGTCATTTTATTAATTTTCTCTGTTTTTAGTCTTTTCCTTAATTCCCGTCTCAGAGGTTTTCCTGCTTTTACCCCTTTAACATGGTTAAGAGCTCTTATTTATCTGTTCATTTAATATCATTTTCCTGTTTTAGTCCATCAGGTTTGGTCTTTCTATTTACCATTTTATTTTTTATCTTTTATTTCCGGTGTTTCCTAAAGATAGCTCTTTCCCCACATAATGTCACGGTGTCAGGCCATTTCTCTTTAATAATATATCTTAAATTCTCACACTGTGTGCGCTTATGTGTGTGTATGTGTGGGTGAGTGAGGGTGAGTGTTTGTCTGTGTGTGTGTGTGCGTGTGGGTGGGAGGTTCAGGTTTTATTGTTGTTAATTGTTGTTATTAGCCTCTGTTAGGCACTTTGAACTGTATTTTTTTTATCTGAAAAGTGCCATAAAAATAAAGTTAAATTTGAATAAGTGATATTAACAATCACAAGTGAGTACATTGCTTTTAAGGGCTGTAGTATGTTTTTTTTATAGGATAGGAGATTAACATGAAGGATGGACACAGACAGCACCTGTAGAACACGATGCAGTTGCATATGTGACATGCAGAGTTGTCTGGATCCACCTGCAGGTAGGGTGAGAGGGACTCACACAGGCTCCTTCCACCAGAGATGGAGTTTATAATGAAAATGATCTACAGCCATGTCAGGGTCTCATAACCAATACATAAAAAATTTAAGAAGTTCTGTTGGTCTTAGTTTCCAGTATAGAGTTTAGCCTGAGGGTGGTGCCAGAGGCAAGGCAAAGTGAGTGAGAGTACTGCTCATCTCTTGTATTGACACAGCCTTATAAACACACACACTTGTTCTACACTTTGGACTGTCCATATGTAGAGACTCTCCCTCTGCAAAACCATGCAGAATTTAGAGCTGTCTGCCAATAACAAACCCTCTCTTGAGAGCGGCGTCCATGATTTCCAACAATGTCAAACTTGGATCAATCAGACCTTTGCACAGTTTTCCACTTAATCGCAGATGGCTCACAGGAGTTGTCAGCATTTCTGGATCATGTTTCAACCTGCACACATGCAGAAAAAAAAACTGTGTTAACAGGCACCTATTTTTGGAGGTGATTTTGAACCCATGCAGCAACTTCCACTACAGAGTCATGTCTTTTTTTTTCAACATAATCCCATCCAGCGATCCAAAGATAATAGCCATCCAGGACAGATGATAAAATTCTTTATTTCTGAAAGCCTCAGCCTCTCTGGTCTGCCCTTTTTATACACTCATGTTACTGACCAGTTGCAAATTACAAAACGTCTGTGTTTCTACCATTTTCTTGAGATGCATTTATGCTGATTACAACTTTGACATGAGCATATATTTTACATATATGTTGCCAAATTGTCAGTTGCAACATATATTTCATCATTATTTTACACAGCCTCCAAATTATCCTGGATCAAGTTTGTTGGTAAGCCAAAAGAAGACAAAGAAATTCTCCTTAAAGAGCATTAGTTTTATTTTCCACAGGTTACTTCAGAAACAGGTAATTATGTACAAAATCTGGAATGTTGGATAAATGCATATCAATCATCATCATCATCATCATCTGACTGTGGCTGTTTCCAGAGAAACCTTAGAAATACTAGCTATACATTAAAACGGGTGCCTCTGCATTGCAATTTATTGCTGGTTTTACAATCGCAAGTCACTAATGCCATTGTTAATTTCTTTTTCTCAAATTTCTTTTTTAGAGTATTTACAATTTGATTAGTAAGGTCTAAAAACCACAGAAGACTGCTAAATAAATAAGAACAGTACAGGAGCGGAAGAAAGAGACCAACGTGAATGAAGAAAATGTTACAACATTGTTTTTTGTATCTCCCAAGATTGTCTACAATGTCAGACTGCATGTATTTTTTTGTCATGTGTATAAATAAAGTGACCGTAACCCCAGAAAGATATACCCCCCTATGCTTAAAAGTCGACAGAAGTCAGCAACAAAATTAAAACAAACAATATTAACAACAATTCATACGTGTAAAACACGACAAAGTTCAGTGACAAATTTGGGAAACACACTTTTTACTCATTTTTAGTCTTTCAACATTTCACCAGTTTTAGATTCACTTTTAAGTCTATGGGTTCAGCTTTGCTTAGAAAATCTACCCATTATTTCTAATTTAAAGGGGATTTCCTGCATTTTTAATCTTAAATTTTTCAAACATATTTGAGGCTCAGTATCAACAAATGTGTTTTAAAAGTTGTCAAAGGGTCCGAAGTTTGTTGTATCCCACCATTAATTCAGACTGACTCACTGATCGAGGAAGTGGTAGACAAATAACTCCAGGGTTTGCTGGTTTGTGCAGAATTTAGTTAAGGTGACATTACCTTTCCAACGAGAGTTATTCCAAAGTAGGCAGACTTGATTGAAAAAAACAGTAAATGAATTTCCTAAGACATGGGAGTTGCTGGTCTACTGCTGCCTTGACTGGATTCTGCTTTATCACTTCAGTCAGATAACACTTTAAATCTATTAATTGATCATGGTGGAGGTAGAAAAGAAACAGTGACTGAATCTTGCAGAAACATGGGAGTTGTTGGTCTCCCACCGCCGAGACCAGCTATGTCTCTGATTTATTATTGTGGCTCTGCTCACATTTTCAATCACCTAAGGCAGATAACATTTCTGATCATAACAGAGGTAGAGCAGCAATTCCAAGGCCTGCTTAGTACAAGAAATGGACATTTCTCATTTCGCTATCAGAAGAAACAGTGGCTGAATCTTACAGAGACATGGGAGTTGTTGGTCTACTATTGCTGAGACCAGCTGTCTTTTCACATGTCATTGTGGTGGTGGAGGTAGACAAGCAATTCCAAGATGCTGCTAGGTACTACAGATAAAAATATCACTGACAGGTCCATGTTACATCGTCTCCTTAGAAACCAGTTTACATTGAGCTGGCAACTTAACTGTGAAAAACACAGGAGTTGCTGTTCTACCTCTGCTTCTGCTGACTACTTCCCTATTTTATTTATGTGTTTTGTTAAATCAGAGCTCACACGGTAGACCACAAAGTTCAAACGACTAAGGCAGTGGTAGATCAGCAACTCCAGAGCTCTGTCAGGAAAATTAACCTTTTTGTTAGTGGAGTTTGGCTGCTTTAAAAAAACACTTCAACTTTTAAACTTGACATGAAACCTCACATTATTTTCCAGAGCGATGTAGTTCACTTGGTAATCTGTCAGCAGCAGAAATAGAGACATTTGACGCATAACATGTTACACCGATCATCCTGAAGCCTTTTTTTAATTGGCCTTTCATTTGTAAAATTCAAGTTAAAAGTGCTGGAATACCCCTTTATTTTTATTCTTTATCACTATGAATATCTCACTTTGTTTGACTATGCCACAATTTAAGTATTGGTCAAACTTTGCTACATATGGGAATAGTGCAGTAGACGTTAACACAGTCGACTGCAAATAATTTGAGGGAATGCCATTTTAAAATGGAAGTCTATTAAATATCTAACAAACAATTCAGTGGTCACAAATGTGCGGTTAGAGTTTATAGGGCCATCGATTAGTATGAAAATTTGATCATTTCCATTCCTTTTGGAAATACGTCTTCACTGAAAAGTTATTTACAAGTGAATGAAAAGTACAGACTTAAAAACACCTTCTGACAAACACTGGGAATGTTCGGAGATGTGGCTGTGACTCGTTTCTCTTCGATTATTTTTCACAAATGAAGATGAGCATTCATGGTAATCGAGCAACTAACAGTAAAAAGCCTCGGGCAAAGTGACACAGACATTCACGCTTACACAATGCAGAGATCTTTTCTTCTTTTTTTAGCACTATCGTATATATATCCTGTGCTATTTCATTACAAAAAAAGAGTCTTTCACATTATAAAAATCATGTAAAATCACCAGGGATTACTAAAAGGTTGTGTTTTTTTAAAAATGTGATCTGATGTCGTGGTTTCTTCTGAATGAAAATAAAGGCTTTTATATTGCTTTCAAGCCGTTGCGCTGCTAATGTTCTCAGATGATGGTGACTATGTGAATATTGCTTGGGCTCTGGGGTCAAAGTCACCCCCTTTTCAAACAGTTCAAGGTCTATGGCACTTGACAACTCGCGTCTCCCAACTTAACTCTCTGTACAGCAAAGAGAGAGAAAAAAAAACGGACTGAAAGTGATGAGTAAAAGCATGTTAAAACACTTCAAAAGACAAAAAAATAAAAGGCAAACTGTGGTCTTCTCCCATGTTAACGAAACAAAACGGACAGATGTTGAAACCCCCTCGTGAAACAATGGCTGCCTGAAAGATGAAGCCCTTTCAAAGTAAAACGCAAGTGAATGTCTATATGATCTTATTCAGATATCTTCCTTAGGTCGTCTCCCGCCTTTGCCCTCCGTCCACGATATCTAAACTTGCTTTGGTTGACTAGCATAACTGCTAACATCTCTCTGTACTAAAAAGGTAAAGTCTTGACATTTTGGGGAATTTTCACATAGATATAGGACGATAACAAGCTTGAGCTGTAAGACGGTTACAAACTTTGAAAGATTTTTAATTAAAGCTCCTGTGGGGACTTTTTATCTGGTTTTGAAACAGACTGAATTTAAGCGATGTCTCTTTAGGATCTACAAAAGTAAACAAGCAGGAAGCTGAAAAAGTCTAATTTATAATTTTTAGTGCCTTTAACTACTGCAAGAGGGGGGTAGGTGTCATATTTTACAGTGACTGTTTAAAGACTCCAAGGAAAGACTTTTATCATAATATTAAGCAACATAATGAGCAACAAGGCACAAAGAAGGCAAAATCTAAACACACAGAAAGTCCCTCACAGGAGCTTTAAGTTCATTAGTTTGGTGCTTACAAAAACTGAGATTTAACCAGCAAGTTTAAAAGGTTTTTAGGGTTCAGGTTTAAAAAGTCAAACTGACAGGCTACCAGCTGGGATTGAAGGAAGTTATGGTGCCTGAGAGAGAGATATGAAATCAACAACAAGTCGCATTTGTGTTAAGATTGGAGCCCCCCTGTGGACAAAGCTGCACCTTGCCTATTTTGTCCTTTAAACCCTTCTTAAATTCAAGAGTCAAAAATGCAACCAGCTGACTAGAAATGTTTAAAAAGTCCCTTAATAGAGCTTTAATAACTGAGATTTTGAGGAGCTACAAAGACTCCAATGTTCCAGTTCATCATTTTTGCTCAATCTCACTTTTGTTCTGTTGTTATTTTTTAATCGATGTAAACACTTGAACGCTGCTGTGTTGGCCAGGATCCCAGAATTCCTTGTTTCGTAGCTCTCTTTAAAATCTAAAATAATCTCATGCAAACAGGAATATTTCCCAAAATGTCAAACTCTTGGTTTAAATAGAATCTTCTGACTGGCAAAAACAGGTTTTAAGGCTGAGCAAACAAACTACACCTCCCCTCTTTGATTTCCCAGACATTTCTATCAAATGAACTCTCTCTGACTGCATTTCTTCATCATCTGAGAGGCTGTGATTTGCTGATATATTTCATCCAAACACAGCGCAGGTAGTCTGGTCAGGTGATATGCTGAGCAGTTGCTGTGATGAGGATAGAAGAGGGCGTTGGAGGGTGATCGCAGGCTTGTGGAAGCAGGGGGTGGATGATTTCCTCTTCTCAGCTCTCCCATTTTGCAGGTGGTGAAAGAAATAATCTCTCTCTCGCTCGTACAAACAAAATCAAACCGCTCCTTGATCTACATTCGTCTCCACAGGAAAATCACGTAACATCGTCCTCCATATAAGATCGCATGACCAGAAAAAAAAATGGTTTCAACATCTTAAATAAAAAGTTTCTTAAAAAAAAAAAAAAAAGGCAAAATGGATGACAGAAAGAGGGAGCCCTGCCCCCTTGTGGTCGATTTGTGTCAGTCCGCAGAAGTAAAACCTAATTTATGATAAAGGATTTATGTGATTTGGACTAAAAAAAAAAAAAAAAGGATGATCTGTACAGAGACCACAGTAATTATTTGCTTCAGAGCAGGTCATATCTTCAGCTTCTTTTGTATAAAAATATATATACCACAGTGATGGCCTTTTGAGGACTCGTACTTGCAGAGGTTTTGCCGCCGTCTCACTTTGATCCACTACATTCAGTGGTTTTCCCCGTTGAATCAAGGCTAGAAGATCTCTACTATAAATAGTCCTTACAGGTATCGACAGATCAGTCTCCTCTGGGTATAAAAATATGAGAGTCAACATCATTTCATCTGTTCGTCTCTCCTCTCTCGTGTCCCCGCCCCCCATCCTTTTCTTCAGAGGTCAGTGAAGTCTATGCTTGAATTTCTCTCATGATAGTCAAATCCACAGTGTTTGGAAATGTCTTCAGGAGGGACACTGCATTCCCATGATCGATATTCACAAAGCTGTATCCATTCGCCTGCAAAAAAAGAGAGAATTTACTCGTGAAAATTAAGGAAATTGAAATTAATGAATGACAAAATGATGAGAAAGTCTTTGCCTGACTGCAGCGTACCTGGAGGATTTTATCTCCAGGTTGGAGAATCTTGGACGCTGGCCCCTCAGGTTGAACCCTCGTCACAAAAATACCCTAAAACAACAGAGAAAAATGTTGATCTCTACATTGTTATAAAATGTTTTCTAAATAATCTACAGATATAAACATGAAGAATAAAATAGAAAAGTACAAGAAATCTGAGTTTACATTATCATCTGGTCGAAAGGGGTTTCCCCGGCCTCCCACTCCTCCTGATATACTGAACCCCAGCTCTGGATTCTTCTCCACTTTCACACGGATCTGAAACACACCCACACACTTTCATTAGCTGTTGATTCACACTTTAATACTCTGTTTTCACACTGTCACAACAAGAAACCACAGCAGATGGTGGGGACTTTTTTTTAACCCATTGACTAAGATTCTTGTGAATGAAGAAGGAAGAGTGACGGTCTGGAATTCAGAAATAGGAGCAGTACTCTGATGTCCGTCTAAGCTTTTGCTTTGGGATTACGCTTTGAATTTGTTGTGCTTACTTTTTTCAAGTAAGAGCACTTTAAGGCTGCTGCTGTCTCTGGAAGTTTAAATGTGGACTTAAATAATTCAAATATTCATTTTTAGAGGTTTTGAACGTGGGTAGTAAAAGCCAAAAAGCCTGAGTTGATGCTGCTGTAGCTTCATGCTTTATATTTATTCATACATGTATTTTATCTTAGACTGGGGAAGTACAATCATTCTCCTATACCTCACATTACTAGTCCGCTGTCACCAGATGCACCTGTCAGCAATAAGTGAATTTGAGCTGGCAGCTGGGTCTGGATCTGGTGTTTTTAAAGGATTTCCTCTTGGTGTCAGAGATCTACAGATCCCCTTTATCAAAGCATGTGGCAGGTTCTTTAAGCTGGTGAACAAGACCCATTAGCCGAGGTAGGAATCATATGAAAGGAAATCTAGCAAGATCTTTAAAACCATCAGAAATATTAGGACCCAAAATCCATCTGACTGTGACCCCACTTCAGCTGTCTGTCTGGTGACTCTATGTTGAAACTCTCTGTATCTGATTTTTTTTTAAACTTGATTTTTATTAGATTTTTAACCACAACAATACAGAGTACACATCTCAATCAGTGTTGTTTTCGTTGACGATGACATTCACAAAAATATTTCGTCAACATCATTGTCATTGTCAACGAAAACAATACTGGTTGTTTTTGTTGACGAAAATCTTTCGTCAACGCCCCTTTTTTTCCACGACGAAGACGTGACGTTGACGAGCTAAACATATCTTAGATGACTAAAATGTGACGATGTGGCGTTTACGTTGACGAGACGAGACTAGACGAAAACGTTAGCGGTGGACGACGATCAGAGTTGCAAAATTCATGAGCATTTCGTCAGTCAAACGCTCAACATATTTTCTGTAGTGTTGTTTTTGTTGACGATGACGTTGATGAAATATTTTCGTCAATGTCATCGTTAACGAAAACAACACTGATCTCAATACAATACATTTCTTTGCAGATGTTTTTACAAACATCCACAGATAATGTGGGATTAAATCAAAGAGAATAATCATAGTAATCATTGCAGATAAACGATGTCCACTCCAAAGTACATTACAGGCACAGATTCTAGTCAGAGGCAGGATGACAGTATTTTGACATGGACAGGAAGTATTTACACCATTAACATAAACTGTCATTGCATCAATAAAGGTACCACAAGTTCCCAACTTTCAATAAAGGAGGCCCTCCGAAGCTTTAATGAAAATGTGATCTGCTCCATTTTAAAAATATCCCATACTTCTTGAATCCCGATATTGTGTGAGGGAGGTTCTGGTTTCAAACATCTGATGGTTATAGACTTCAAGGCTGCGGTCAATAATATGTTGAAGTTGTATTTTTCTGACCTCCTGTCCAAACCGGTTTCTAATTTTAACGAGTAAAAGTAGAAATCAATATTTTCAGTCGCATAAATAAATAAATAAATAAATTCAGTCACCTCTTGTTGCATGGCGTCGTGTTGGACTCGCGGCGGCCCCTGCGGCTGATGGGACACTTTGAGCATCAGGTAATCTATGAGCTGCTCTCTGGAAGGGTGGCGGGCCATGGGAGCCTGGCTCATCTGGGGACGACCAGGAGGGCCCATCTGACCGTTCATCAAAGGCACCTGAGGAGGATGAAGAGAGGTTCGATGTTGAACTATGTCGGGTGAATTTGGGGATAAAAGTCTGTTTGTGTGAAACTCACTTTTCTGTGGGGGTCCAGGGTGTAACTCTGCTGCCCTTGGGAAACAAATACATCATCCTGAAAGGAGAGAAAGTCATGATAATGAATGCAGCGCCCTCATCTCACCTCATCTACACACGGGATATTAGAGGGGACAGACTATTAGACACTGACATGAACATTTCTCATGTCTGGTAATGACATTAGGGAGTGATGTGTGGATCTGGACGGGAAGGAGGAGGAGGAGGAAAGAGTGACATTTGATTAAAATGATGAAAAACTCAGGTTGAACTCCGCTCACTCTCTATTCAGACACAGATCTGTTGTTGTTATTCTCATACCAGCTGGAGTTAAAGGTTAGGGAGTTTAAGGGGTCGCAGGAAACTCTTCACGTAGACCTCTAACAAAAACCACTTTTCTAAATCACTTAGACACACACTCTCCTCTCACTTACCGTGAGCAAACACAGTTTCCTCCCCACACACAGAGTGAGAGGTTATGAGGGGATCAAAAAAAGCTGAAGTGGAGATGATTAAGAAGGATTAAAAGTGCAGAGGGGCGGGGGGAGAAAATCATGGTTGTTGAGATGCATCACAATCACAGGATTAATTTCTGCACACTGAGATAGTGATCGTGTTAAAGGACCTGGAGGTTTAAAAGGGGGCTGTTTTGTACCAAGTGTAGAAATCCTTGAATATAAATCCAAGGAAAAGCTTAAAAGGGCAATTCCACTATTTTACTCAAACCCTAGATTTGTATATTTTGAAGATGAAGCGTCTAACACAAAAAGCCTCAAACTGGCTGAAAAAACTGTTTGCTGAGGCATAATCCATATTGTCAAATGAGCCTGATCCAAGTGCTCAAAATTAGGATTTTGAACATAGACTTGAATTTCTATTCTCACAGTCTAACATCACAGAGAAGATTTCAGAGCAAATACACCTAAAAAACTTAAGAATAAGGTACTTTTACTGGACCTGTTGTCTGTCAGCTGCTGAACCTCACTGACAAAAACACTGATTTTAACTTTCTGTGTTGACCCGTATTGCTAAACACGAGGCAGACAAGCAACTCCCACGTTGAGTGAAATAAAATGTCCATTTTGTCAGTGAAGTTTGGTGGCTTTAAAGCTCCTGTGAGGAACTTTTAATGCGAGAGAATCATGGTGCACCCCGGTAGAGAAAGTAATTCATTTAGTTAAATTATTCAATGCAGCAAATTTAAAAAACAAACCTGTTTCTTCAGCTGCTACCCCCCTCACATTGCTTTTAAGGCGTAAAAATCTTAGATTACTTCTGGACGTCATAAAAAGTCATTGATAGGAGTTTCAGGCTTTCATAGATGTCACAAATCTCCTCACAGGGGCTTTAAAAAGATATTTTCTAGTGAACATGAAATAAAATGATAAAAAAAGGATCTTGAATTTAAAATCTGAGCCTGTTTGTGGCAAAAACAAACACTTTTGGAGGACAAACTTTGATTATTACTGCCTGATTGCTACAATCATTGAACCCCAAATATATTGACATAAGTAGAGCTGTAGTTTGTAGTTTTGAAAATAGGAACATAATATAACTTCCTCTTACAGCTTAATGTTGCAACAGCTTTGCGTGACACTTAAATGTCACCTAGATTTAGTAAGAAATGTGTCTCAACAAACACAAGACACAATAACAAGGCACAATCGTGGTCTTGTTCACATGTAATTACATATTGCAGCTACACTTCAGATAATTCTTTTAATATTTGTTTGTTTTAGTCAATCAGAGCTCACATTTTGCCGATTCCCTCTTTATTTTCTTGCTAAATCAATCGGACGCTGGTACAAAAAACTCAAAGAGCCCCTTTCAAACAAAACAGTCTGCATCACAGTGAGAGAAATGTTCAAATATCAGTTAAAGCCACAGGTTTAACTTTCTAATACGTCAGCACACACGTCACAGAAAAGGTTTGTGGTTATGATAGATCAGACATGAGGGGGACATCTTTTCATTTGCCCATAAAAGGTCAAGTGAAAGATGGGACACTTCTCAGCACCAAGGAGAGGAGGAAACAGACATTTTTGATCGTCTACAGGATGTGAAACTAGCAAGAACTGGAAGCCCCGGCTTAGTATGAGCGGCAGGTTCACACAGTACTCACACAGAAGCCCAGAGCTCCGTAGGGCTGTCCGTCTCTGGTACTAAACACAAGAGAGCCTTGGCTGGCATGCATATCCCTACAGCTGCCGTAGTGAGACCAGCTCAGCGGGGAGTTATTGGAATTATAGGAGCGAGACAGCGCGTTCTGAACAGAGGGATGACATGAAACAACCAGCGCCAAACCATAGTGTCAGCGGTGACCATGCAAGTCCACCAGACGGGCGTCAACATGAGAGACACAACAAAAACAGAGAGGTTGACAGCATTTACAGACAAGCATGCACCGGCATTCAGCTGGGTTAGTAAGCTTCATATTTACGAGTGAATTCATCTAAATAATGACGATATTTAGGCAAGTGGTTCTCAACTGGTCTCACTCTGGGACCCATATTTCCTCATGGTCCTTAAGTCGTGACCCACTTTTATAGAATTCAAACCAAGCAAATTTATTTTTTATATAAAAAAACCTTTAAAGACTCTAATCTTTAACATAAATCCACTTGTTTTATTGAGTAAAGCGCATTTCAGAGCGCATGAAGGAGACAACATGAGGACGACAACTACTGAAGTTGCTTATACAGAAAATATCAAATATCTAAGAAATATCACATTAAATATTTACTTTTTTGACCAGCTGTTTGTGACCCATCCAGAACATGTGCGTGACCCACTTGTGGATCGGGACCCACCAGTTGAGAACCACTGATTGAGGCTTTACACAGAATGGCTTTGATTCACATTAAATGTAAAGACAGGATCTGATCAGCAGCTCTGTTTTAAAAATACTCCAAGAGGAAGTGATGCAGTGCAGACATAGTTTCTTATTGCATGTGCATCTGTGAATTACTGAGTGAAAGTTTCATCAATAATTAAAAGAATAGAATTTATTTGAGTCATTATCAAGCATCTTTTTCTTCTGCGGGGGTGGAAAAATCTAATTTAAGAACCAGGCGAATCTGTAAGCTCATGTTTCCAAACAGTACCTGAATGAAAAGAAGGATTAAACATTCAAAAACATTACGGCGTCTTTTTTACCTTCTCCATTTTCTTGGCCTCGATGTGCCGCATCACCTGGTCCCTCCAGTCCGCCGGCACCCTTCCTCCTCCAGCTCCTCCTCCCTGCCCGTCCAGCAGCGAGTGCTCGGACCTCACCCTGGCGTTGGGCCTCTTGCTGGGGCTGCCGTGCTGGTAGTTGAAGTCGCTCACAGACATGGTCCTCTCTGGAAGCTCGTGGGGCTGCGGCCTGGCGCTCACGGGCCTGGAAGCTCCGGGTACGTCGATGCTGTAGGTGCGAGCCGAGAGGGGCCTCTGCATGGCCGTGCTCATTGCTAGCGGCCCCCTGGCGAGGGTGTGAATGTCTCTGTACGTCATGTATTCACCTTCGGGCATCTGCATGCGCCTGGGGTCTCCCATGGAGGCTGTGGAGGTGGTGCTGCTTTGCCTCTGCAGGGTGCTGCTTCTAGGCTGCCCTCCAGCAGGATGGAGTCTCTCTTTAGCCCACATGTCCCCTGATTGTTTGGCACCCATGGGGGGCCCCCTCTGCTGGGGGTACGGAGGCGCCTGGTTCCGGTTTGAATAGTTGGTGTTGGCTAGAGAGTGAGGAGGAGGAGGAGGGGGAAGGTAGCCTTGGTGCTCAGGGGGCATGGGCGTCCTCTGAGTCCAGAGGCCGTCTTTCGGCATGGCGCTGCTTGTGTACTGGATATTATACTGGGGGGGTGGGATTCCCATAGCCATACTGGAGGAGACCGGGTATCTACTGGTGCTCGCAGGAGGCTTAGAGGAGGCGAGCAGGTCTGAGGAGGACGCAGAGGAGCTGGGGTGGATCTGCAAAGACTGGTCGCTAAGTAACTGGCTCGCTGACTTGCTCCTGACGATGCTCTGGCCCTGCGCTCCTGGTCCGGCCCCCGCTCCTGACATCCTCCCTGCTACATCGTAAGAGTCCCCTTCCCCATCGAAGGCGTAGATCTTCATCCCTCCTGATTCGATGTTGCTAACGCTGTGAGACTTGGTCACCTGTGGGGGATGGGGTCTTTTCTCCGGGGACAGCTCCTCCGTGCTGCGAGACAGAGACATGTCACTGCTGGCTGTCACGCCTGTCGACGCCACATGCCCCACAGATGTCTCCACTCGCGTCGCTTGGCTATTGATGCAGTCACTGACCTGCTGGTTTCCATTCAGAAAGTGCTCGTTGCTAAAACCCTGCTTGCCGTCCGAGTCCTCTTGCGTTATGGCGCCGTTCTTGGTTTTCTCTACCCCGTCCAGCTGCACCATGTTGTCCGTCGGCAGCTTGGACACGTTCATGTTGATCTGATCCCACTTGGTGTAGGTTTCTCCCATGCCGTTGTTAATCCCCTTCTCAATGAAGGCCAGCCTGGCCTCCATAGAGAGGTCGTAGTCTCCCATTTTCTCCGGTGGTGTCTGCTGGGTTTTCAAAAGGGCCTGGAGGGACGTCTCTGAGCCGTTGCCGTTGTGAAGCAGAGGGGTGGTGTCTTTGGGGGGCTGGTTCATATTCTCGTCTTCTTGCCTGAAACACAAAACAACGAGGTTCCTCAGACTCTGAAAGAAAACAAGACTTCACATGTAAGTGGTTCTGAGCTGACACTGACCGTGTTTTTGGTAGGAAGGGCATCTTGGCCTCTCTCTCGGGGGTGCACAGAGAATTGTCCTGACTGCTGTCTGTGGTCAGTGACACTGAGTCAGACATGCGCGACGGTGAAGAACAGTTACTGTTGTTCTGGTTGCTGTTGGCCACCGTCTCATCGAGCAGAGAGTCCGTGTCATCTGTGAATCACACGGATCACTGTTAGTCTGCCTGAGCTGGAGCCTCACTTAATGAACGTGTGAAGTGGTTCTGATTTCTAGGAGTCTTGGCCACACTGTTCCCAGTGACATGAAAAATAACTTTATTTTGTGTCCCAGTTAAAAGAGTTGAGCTGTTGCTCTGCTGATACTCTCGGTTTCATTGCAGATTTTCTTTTTAAAGCTGTTGCAAGTTAAAGGGATATTCCGTCGTAAATTAAAGTTATGGTCAAACACACCGTAACACCAAGTTAGACACCCCCTCCAGAGATGAATGTTGCCGACCGCTTGCTTCTCCAGTTATACCAACTTTAGTAACGACCACACAATAGCAATACACAGTGGTCTATGGATCCACGTGCAAACCTCAACCAAAATGCCACTATATAGCCACAAATAATGCTCAGAACAGCACCTAACTTCATCTACAGTACATATGGGGTCCCAGCCATAGTACTCGCCACCAAACATCTTTTTAACGTTGCCCTATTTTTTTAAGCAAAGAGACTAAACACAACTCACCCACTCTCTTCCAGCAGCCACTTGTGTGTGGGAAGCCCTGACGAGTTGATCACTGAGTGCAGGGGAGTTTCGCAGCTTAAGGAAGAACATTTATGATCATTACTTCATGGAAATGCAATCAGAGCTCTTGTGGATCTTGTCTGTGCACTGCAGACGCATTAGTTCTTCGGCCTAAGCGTCTCGATCTGATTGCATTTCCATGCAGTAGTAATCATAAATTTTCTGCTGCAATCGGTAATTGACTCGTCAGGGCTCTGTTACTTAAGTTGGTATAACTAGAGAAGCAAGCGGTCGGCAACATTCATCTCTCGAGGGGGTGTCTAACTCAGTGTAAGGGTGTGTTTGACCATAACTTAAATTTACGCCGGAATATCCCTTTATGTCTAGAAGTCTAGAAAGTGGAATCTCGCCTGGTTGTGTAAAACTCTCATCTAAATTCATTTTTACGTGACTGTATGTTATCAAACACAACACAAATGAAGTTTGAAAAAGAAAATAAACAAAAACACGAGCTAGAAGGAGGTTTCAATCTCCCAAACGGTGTTTTGTCTTTTACCTTTCTTGTCCTTACTTAAAGTCACCACTTTTGGCTGGTTGATGGAGATCTCGATGAGCGGAGGCCTCATCTCGGCGATTTTCATCTCCTCCTCTTCATCTGACAGCTCCTCCGAATCCTGGAGGCGAAGACATTTTTAGTTAAAGCGAACAATGACTCTGTTCAGTTAAATCTCAAAACAACGTGACAGCGTCAGAGTACCTCCAGGGTATCCTCATGGTTCATCATTGAGCCCTCTGAAGACTTGAGTGGGACCCTCTGAGAGCTGTAAGACTCAGAGAGCTCTTTAGATTCCAGTGGAGCCTGGTTTGGGGTGTTGGCGTTGGTGGATACTTGGGGCTCCACGTCTGTTGCCGTGCCGTTAGGACATGGAGCCTCTATGACCTGAGCAGAAACAGGACGGATGATGGTGTTAAGTGGAGATGCAGAGAATGGAAGGGGTAAAGTAAAGACAACGACTGAAACTGATCAGTCTGACCTTCACTCCGACGTCCTGGATTCCGATGTGGTTCCTCTCCACAGGTCTGGAGTCTTTCCCCGACTCGTCGCCCGACTCATCCTCCTTCAGCCTGTGGGCCACAGACTGGGCCGTCTTCACCATGTTCTTCAGCTCGTCTGGGTATGGAGTTGGGTAGCGTTTCAGGTTTCCCTCCTGGAAGAGTTCAAATACCCACAATCCAGCTGTTAAAATCATTTGGTTAAAGTTTGGATGTATGTGGGATGAGAGGAGGGGGGATTAAGGTGTTGCAAATGGGAATTACATGGAGAATGTGGTGCATTTAGTTTCATACAGAAGAATTGTCCATAAATAACAGGCTGTTTGCTTGATTTAGGTGAATGAATCTCTCCCAACAACCTGGACAACATTTTTTCAAATCATGGCAGACATTCTAGCCGGTCTGCTACATCAGAATAAAACTGTTGGCGTCACTTTTCTTTCTTAATTTATATGTTGGACTCAAACCTTTGGGGGCGTTTCTCTCTCATCCTTGTCCTCGTCACACTCGAAGGCCACCTGAGCTCGGTGTTTGCGCTGCTCCTCCCACAGAGCCGGGTTGAAGCTCTCAGAGTCGGAGTTGGGGATATCTAGAAGGAAAGATTCGAAACAGGGAGGTTTCCTTCAGTTATTCAGGACTCAAGGACTCTCTGCAACGATCTACCTCCAACACTTTAAAGACGCAGACTACATTTGGTGGTAGTTTTGGTGCTGTGAGCAGGTGCACAGTTCTATATCAGCATCTCTATGAACCCTCTTAGCAGCTGCTCTAGAATCTCCCGGCAGACTTACGGCTGCGTTAACTATGGACTTAATAAAACACAGTAGACCAACAGCAGCAGGTGACCTGGCACCCCAAACAATCACAGAAGGTGGAAACGTCACACTGGACCTCAGACATTTTATCAACTTTTTACCAACACTGAAATTTCTTTATCTGCTATAAAATAATAAAACCCACCTTAAATGATTTGTAACCCATAAAATTCTGTATGAACACACTGTCTCATCTTTTTTGGAAAGATAATTGCGTTTATAAACTTTTGCTTTAGACACGCAAGTCACTCTTTGACCACCAGGTGGCACAACAACAACAACAACAACATGAGGCATTTAGACAGATAGAGAGAACCACAGAGGAGGTCGAAATTCAGGAGTTTACCTCCTTTAACTGAAAATGAAACACAATGAAAGGATTTGATGTCAAAAAAGAACAAAATTATGAAACACCGGAACTTGTGCTTGAATCTGGTACAAAGGTCTATGTCAAAAATGAATATAGGAGGCATTAAGGTAGAAAGAATTATGTATATCTATTGATTACTCCTAAAATGATGTGTGAGAAATGTTAGCTGTGGTTGTGATACATCACTCTCTGTTGTGTCTAACCTGTGTCATAAAACCAAAAAACCAGGTGGCGAAACTTCCCCAAAAGCAGCTCAAGATATCAGCTGATTTGAACTTTGAATTTGTTCACCGGGTCGTGTGGTTTCCTGTGCTCAAAGCTCTTTACCCTAATTTTAGTCGCCTTGTATTTGCTGCTAAATTAGCCGTTCAAAAGCACCTCTGTGGTTCCTTTTGAGACGGCGGAGGACCGACCATATCCTGCACTCTGGTTTTGACAGAGAGTGAACGCTCTCTGGGTAATGTAAGTCACCTGGTGTGTGGCCTTGGTATCAACAAGTTGTAAAACAGAATCATTGCTGTCGGGTCGTAACTTATTCCAGCTTCTCAGGAAAACACGAGGAAACAGATAAGACTGTTTTGGAAAGATTCCCAGCAGGTTTCTATGGAAAACTGAATAAAATCTGACTGTTAGATGCCGAACATACTTCCAACTAGAGGATATTAGATGCTGGTGCCACCCCTCTGACCACAAAATACAATTGACTTTACATGAGAGGTAAAGGTACACGTGGACTATTAGTTCTTGCGTGCAAAGATGGTTTTCGGGGGTAACAGGAATCCAAACTAGACTAACAGATGCTTGACATGAAGAAGAGAGCTAGTGTTCCTTCTGCAGCTTTGCTCTCGGGTGACAAGTTCCTTCATAAAAAATGGAAACAGTGATCCATTAAAGTTAGCTGCAAGGTCAAGCCTGGAGACTTGTAGGTTAAAACTGCGACAACAGAGATGCTAGTCTTCGTTTTCACATGATCAAAACACTTTTAATCCGCCTAAAAAATTGGGGTTGTAGTACCCAACGGTGCACGCTCCCAAACCAAAACCTCTTTGTGTTGACCACATAGGGACTACTGGATGTTTAACAAGCTCAAACCTCTCTTATCCAGCTTCTGTTTTTTGGGATCTAATTGGAGAAACCAGGTCAGAAACATTAGCAGTTTGATGGTCTGCCAGATTAACCATGAAAGAGAAATTTAGTCAGGGTACTCACAGTCCTCAGTCCTGGTCTGCTGGGGGAACATGTAGTTAGTCAGCACGGTTTTGTGCGTCTCTGGATCCTCCTCTTTCTGGAGCGGGATCAGGGGCTTCGACTGTGGGAGACAGAAAGTAGGTTTGAGAGTTCTGTCGGCAATCAGCCTGGCTTACTCAAAACCGATGTGGCCGGCCCGATTTCCCACAGTTCTTTTCCAGAGCTCCAGCAGCTCATTATCTGTCTTCAAACCACCCAAGCAGCCTTCCTTTGACAAGACGGGGTTAAATTTCTAGCCTGAAAAAGCTCCTGATAAAAAGTGAGTGAAGCTTAATCATAGACAAGTTACCCAGAGTTACGCAGAGTTTTCAGAAACATCAGAGCCACGCTGCAAGTCATCTACGTCATCTATCTAATTTTATACCAGATAAAAATGTGGCTTGCATAAAGATTTTTGAGTTTGCATGTTTTCCCTCTGCATCCATTGGTTCTCTCTGGGTACTCTAGCTTCCTCCCACAGTCTAAAAACATGCCTGTCAGGTTAAGTGGTCTCTCTAAATCTCTCATATGTTTGTTTTTATATGTTAGCCCTTTGAGAGACTGGTGACTTACCTAGGGTTTCACCTGCCTCTCACCCTATAACAGCTGGGATACGCTCCAGCCCCACTCATGGGAAATTGTTAAAGATAATGGATGAACGGATAATTCAATATGAGCCGTTATATAATAACATAATTCAATAATCAGACTAGCTGATGATCAAAACAGAGGTTCGTTTCAGCCCGATCTGAAAGGAGACAAGGTTAAAATCACATTTAAGGGACACATAAAAGACATCCATGGTTTGTAGCGCTGTAATCAACCAAAGAAACTCTTGGTCGACCAAAATGGACTGAAATTTTCGACAAAAAATCGGCGGGGTGAAAATATGGTGCTATCAACACAAGAAGGCAATTGAACACAAAAGGCTACAATACTAATATTCCTCAACAACCAAACGCTGATTAACATGGACGCGCTTCAATCTTCCTGTCTCTAGCCGGTCTCTAACCGGTCTCCAGTGGGTTGGGCGAATCCTAAATGGTGATAAAAAGGGGGGTGTTCTGAGACATGCTGTTACCTGTGACAGGGGGGTGCTTCGAAAACACCCCCATTAGCACTCAGTACGTTCCTCCTGATGAGATTAACCAGACTGTAAATTGACGCGGGAAAAAACCTGATCAAAGTTGACTGATCAAAATTTTAGTTGACTCAGCATGTATCAACCAATAAGTCAACTCGGACTTTACAGCCCTAATGGTTCGACTAAATGAAAAATATCTTCATCTTCACATCTTTGTCAAACTATAAAGCTTTCACACATAATTACCAATTCTGCATCAGCTACTTTGGGGTTTTAAACTCTTGAGTTGGCTCTAATGTTCACAATCCGTGCATTACTTCAGATCTGTGTAATATGATGATATGATGATATAATCATTATTCTTCAGCTAAAAGTCTATTTAATAACTTTAACCTCCAAACAGCCGAGCAAAAATGCTAATTTTGTGCATAAATATTGTGCAAGATTAACATAGAGAAGAAAAGAAAAACAGCTTGTAACTGCCAATGAAACAGAATTTCTTAACTTTCATGTTTGTGTTCAAAAAGCAGCTGGTTCAAGGCCGGCACAGCGGACACGTGGGCTCCTCAAACATTTCCACAAAACAGTTTTTTCTGCTGCATTCTGCATCTTCCCAGTGACAATTTGTTAAGGCATTTGAGAAGAGGCTCACAATAGTCTGACTAAGATGAGAAAAAAAAACCATGAATAATTGATTTCTGAATGCGGTGAGAGTCAACAGACTGTAATTTGGAAATATTTATAAGCTGTAAAAAGCCAATTCGCTGTAGACTCCAGCGGCGTCTGCTCCAACTTCACTTTCTAACACATTAAAACTTTTTCTGCAGGGTTTGATATGAATACTTCAAGAACTTCTTCCTCTGACAAAATGGGACTCCAAACCACTTCCTGAGCTGAGCTGAGCAGACTCCAACGTTTCCACTCCTGATAGGCTTATCTCTCTGCGGCCGCATACACAGAGGCCGAGGCAGAAGTCTGCATTTGAGCACAACAACAACAACTGTCCTAGTGGCCTTTATCTAACTGCTGCTAAAGAGGTCAAAAAAACACACTTTGATACCCTTTATTTATTCATAACTGTTAATCAACAATCAATAAATAATGACTGAGTCCTCTAGGACAAAAACTGGCACAGACCGAACCACACATTTGTAATAACTGTCAGTAATGCCAAATTGAGTGTTTGGACATAAATAATCCCCCTGAATCCTCACTGGTGTCCAAGCAGAAATCTGTGGAGGTGTCTGTGTCTGGAAGGAACCTGCCTCTGCTTGTATTTTCTTGTTATTTTGCTGTGTCAAGGATTTTCTTCGGCTTCACTCAGTCCACCGATCACGAATGTCTACCTCTGTTCAGACACCGAAGGGTACACCTTGTGCATCTGATTGGCTTCGTTTCCACCGCAGGAATTCTCCCCCAGGACTAGGGACTTTCTGCAGACTTCCTGGTCTCCCCTCTTTTCTATCACAGAGACTGGAGTCTAAACTAAGATTCAGAAGACATTGTTTTGCAAGGAAAAAAAAAGTCCCTGCTCCAGGAAGGCAGTGCTTTATGAAATTTTACGAGCTCTGAGGATGGGACTCGCAGCGCTGAACATTTATGAGCAGTCAAGACAAGCTGGGAAATCCTTTGAATCTCTAAAATTACCAGCAATGAAATTTAAACAAATTTGATCATGCAGTTAAAAACAGCATTCAATAGCGACCTGCTGCACAAGGAGGAAGTGAGAGCTGTTTACGACTGTTCTGGAGCTGTTTTATTGTTTTTTTTATAATGCATATAATCCATGAGTGATGTCATGTTTTCACTGTTGTGTCAATGTTTGTTTCCACTTGTAAAAAAAACAAAAAAAAACAGCCTTCGGTCTCTCAGCGTTGTGGATATTTCACTGGTCTTCCTCCATTTCAACACAGATCGATGCCGACCTCTCCTGCAGCAGTATTTATCATTTGAGTGTTAAAAATGTTAATCCTGGGGTAATCTTTTTACCCTCTTTCTTTTGTTTCCTCTGCTTCTTTTCATTCCTGTCAAATCTTGGTGACATATCGCCCCGCCTCAAACTCTACAGCTTTACTGTTTTCTCTGCTCTGCTGCGTCGATCAGTAAATGTGACGTGACGTTTGAGTGAAAGCAGGAAAATCAGGTGCTAATTTGAATATGTTAAGAGTGTAAGACAATCCTAGTTTTTCACATGTATTTATCTCTGTTGACGGCTCCTTTACCTGCAGGAAAACTACACATAAAACGAGCTAAAAGCCTGTAGAGACCAGCTGACATAAACTCCAGTTTTGGCTCAGAGATTTAAGTTTTATTTTGTTATTTCCTACTTTACCCTCTGTGACACTGCTCCCTCCCTTTGTTGTCTAGGATGCTGAAACAACTACTGCTCTTGCTTATCATTATGGAAGCGTATTGCATTCTTACAAAAAAAAAAAAAGTATTTTTTTTGTTTTTAGAATTTTTTTCTTTGCTGTTTTTCACACTATTTTTTTTCTTCAGTTTTTTTTTAAACAAGTATTTTTTTCCCCTCTTTCTTTTTTTCGGACAAATTATCATTCAGTTTTTCTTCCTTTTTATTTTTTATTTTGTCTCTGTTCTTCTGACTATTCTTTTTTTCCTGACTAAACAAGACACTTTAAAATCCTGCGAGAATTTCATACATTCAGATAACGTTAACCACCGTGGCTGCTCCAAATCAGTGAATTCTCTAGTTCCTAGATAACTTCGACTATGGGGTCAATGAGAGTCAAGCATCTTATTAGTTAAACAAATTGAGCAAAGGGGGATGAAAGCATCTGTTTTTAAATGATCATGATCCCAGAGAACAGGTAAAATAATTAGCCTGAAAAACAATACAAAAAAAAATTAGTCCAAAAAACAGAGAAGACAAAAAATATTGTCTAAATATTGTCTTAGTCTGAAGAACAGAGAAGAAAAAAAATGTCTGTAAACAGGAAGAAAAAAAATTACTCTGAAAAACAGAGCTTTTATTTTTTTATGACTGCAATATGCCTCCGTATATAATAGCCACAAGTTTGCACTGAATATTTGAATATATGTAAAACTTTAGGCTGTTGCAGCACACCAGCATTGATGACAGCTGTTTTTTTTTATTAAATAAAATCAAGGTAAAAATATTACACAAGTACATGGTCCTATGAGCTGATTGCCACGTCAAAAAAAGAGGGATAGACGAAGAAGAAGCAGCAGCTGTTAGCAAACTAGCTGTAGCAGTTCTCTGAGAAATTAGTTAGTGTTAAGATTTGAACTTCCTGTTTTTTTATTGTTTTTATTCAGTTCAAATACTTACAATCCACCAGAGGTAGCATACTTTAAAAATAAGAGCAAACTTTGACAATGCAGGAAGTACAGCAATGCCAAAGTTTCAAAATAAAAGCATGACAAACTATAATTTGAATAGCGCACATTCAATACTGTTGAGATTTGAACGCTTTTTTCATACTGATTACAGAATATATGAAAGCTTGGATACTGTGACAGCTGGAACTCCCAAACTGATCCTCTTCAATGTAATTACTGTTAAAGGACTTTGCAGGATTTGGGCTGGCCTGTCTCGATTACCTCACTATTGTCTTTTACACGAACTAAGGTTAGGATAACACGTTGTAACCTTCCTGAGGAGCCTTCCACACGTTAAAAATGTAGACTTTAGCGGATCACTATCCTCACTTTGAGATCGAGTGTCCTGCTGGAAGTGGTTTGATGCATGTTGAATTGGTTTTCCTGGAAGCTGCTCGGCTTAGCAGGATTAATTTACCGCTGAATGTTGTGGCATCCCCGGCTGTCAAAACAGTTTCTGTAGTCAAATGAGTGTCTGACAGCTCTGAACTCGGTGACACCTTTTGTCAAACACTTTTACTTGTGACTCATGCATACCACATGTGATCTTACCTGATTTTCTGACAGCCACATCGCAGTCATTTGGTTGAGTTTAGTGAAGCTGTACGGGAGATTCTTTAACCTGCAGCCAAGAAAAACAACACAGGTGCTCAGTCCTCTTATAACAACAATCTCTGACACTCAAAGGGGGTCAAAATGTACTGTTTTCCAATCTGTGAGGCAAATTCAAAGCATGAAGGCCCTGTATTAGGGTTGGCTGAAGCTGTATTTAGATTTTCTTTAAAAATATTTGAGTGCCGTGGGGTTGAAGCCAAAGTTATTCAGCGTATTTGGCACAGGAGAGACACCAGGAATGGAAAAGCCCTGATTTAAACCTCACTCAGGCCTCAGCGTCCAAACCAAACCCCGAATTCATTCTCGCTGGAATTAGGACTCCTCAAAACTAATGTAATTCACTAGCTCAGTTTCAGAATGGGTGTGGGCTCTCGTATGGGTGAGACCAAGAAATTCTTTTGCCTGACAAGCAAAAAGTTAAAACCAGAAAGAAAAAAGTAGGACAGCTCCTGCAGTCAGTGAATGACTGAATCTACTGCCATAATCCAAAATAAACAGAAAAACTTTATGCGCCTTTGCCCTTTAACTTGACCCTCATTATGCAGGAACACAGCCGGTCCAGACTCACTTGTTGTTGCTCAGATTTATGACTTTGAGCTTCTGCATGTCCCCCATCTCCTCGGGCAGAGTCTCCAGCTTGTTGGAATGGAGGAACAGCACAGTTGCATTCTTCCAGTTTCCCATCTGCAAACGGAAGAAAAGCGAAGACTCAGAGTCATGAGCTGACAGGGATCAGGGTTACTGCTGAGCAAGCTGATGTGCCCCGCTGTTTGACACATCCACACTACGCACACATCCATAGAGTTGAGTGTGAATCACTCACCTCGGGAGGGAGCTGAGCCAGGAAGTTGTGATCTGCAGCGAAGGTGCGGATGTTGACACACTGACCGATGGACGAGGGAAGGGCTTCGATCTCGTTGAAACTGCAGTCCAGCTCATCCAGGGAGGTCAGCCTGAAGGAGCAGAGAGACTTTCATTATGGGCGCAAAGCACTTCATGCACAGATTAAACTATATTTTATAACCATACGAGGAACCATGATAACATACTAGATTAAAAAAAAAGAGAAGTAACCATCCCCTGACTTTCACTCAGTCCTACACTTCTCATAATGGCCAATCTGACCTTCCCTGTATAGTGAGTAAAACACCTGCATGATCCATGTGATGTGAATTAATATGTTTAATATTGTGATAAAAGTCATAAATAAACTAATAATAAAAGGCACATACCAGCTACAACTCACAGTTTCCATATCTATCTGCTGATAGCTGGCTTTAGCTTTATCTAGCTGCACCAAAACAGTGTCAAGACATGACTATGATACACAAACCTCCAGACAAAGTAGACAAACTATACTATTGTGAGGCTATCAAGTCTGAATTAGCTATTTTCCTTATTCTCTATATAAATTTGGACTTTATGTATCCAGTGGTAAGATTGAATCATCAAGTTTGTGACACAAGCTATCAGTTGTGCCAGGGCTAATAGAGGAACAAAAATATACTGTAATTTATCAAGCTTTATCAACACAGAGGCTTTTCATCTCCCTTCAATGAGTTTGAGGAGCAAAAATTGGTGGATTTCACCTTTAACTCAACCATATTTCCAGTTCCCTCTCTCACCTTTTAAATAAAGGTATAAATATTGTCTAAAATCTGCCCTGTATATGAAGGTTACACTGGATTCAATCCCATGCTCCTTTCACTCTTTTCTCTCTTTCCATACTTCCAGCTCTCTCTAATGTCCTAACCTCCAAAAATACGGGCAGAAAAAGCCCCTAAAGACATAAAATCTTACAGATACAGTGTGCAGAATGGAAAAACCAAGCAATATTCAGCCCAGACACTAAATATAAAAATGTGTATGCTGCAAGTTTGTCCGTTCTGTGCCACTGTAGAAACATAGTGGTACAAGCCGTGGCTAAACCTGCTTCTATGTAAATCTACAAAGCTTATTCCAACAAAAATACAGTGATTTTCATACCTCATACTACAAACTGTACCGTTAAAAAGTTAGTTTCAAATATGAGTCACATTGAGATTATTCAACTGTTTAAATGCAGTTTTGTGGACCTTGTTCAAAAAGAAAAGTCTGCAAACAAAGTAAAACCATTTTTTTTTAAATGAGACCGCTCTCTTAAGAAAAACCCTCAGAGACATCCACAACAACAGCAAAGCTGCGTTTTAACAGCTTCGTGGGACGCTGTTTAAAGCTGTGACATTTTAAAGTAAAGCCCATGTTGACACAGAAGCGTCTTGAAGCCGGGAGCTTTCAGCTGAATGAAAAATGCAAATGCATTGTGGGATTTCAGATGAATGCGAACAGAGTGAGACGAGCGGCGGGGAGCCGCTGTGTTACAATATCGTTAAATTCCAAAACACAGGATTTGACCCCTCTCTGCAGAATACATAACGGAGACACAACACAGTGCAAGCAGCAAATCAGCTCGCAATGAATGAAAAAAAAATCATCTTGCTTAAGCTCAAATCCTTGCATGGGATTAAACTAAACCGTGGGCTTTATCACATAATCTGTATCAAATTACACAAGGAGACAGATTCGGACATACGGGACAAATGAGGGTGTTTTTTGTTTGGAAACAATGGAGGGAAATTAAACCTCTGAGCCTTGGAGCTGCACAAGTGTCACCACATGGAGCTTTGTCTCTCCTCATGCATGTAGAAGAGGACAAACAAGGAGTTTCTGGATTAAACTGGAGTCTAATTTTATGCTGAGACACTGTGATTTAGGGCCAGCGGTCGGGATGTAGACCTCACTCGCAGCTGCTGACTGCTGGATTCACCTGTCTGCTACAGAAAATATCAGTCTGAGGACGGCTACGGCGGCTTTAATCCGTCAGTAGTGCATTGGAGGGTCATCTGGCCAGAGATTACCGCCAAACCCTGTCACAATAAAGCTCAAACTGTTGTTATAAACGGACATGACTCTGCAGCATGACATTCAATCATAGCTGCTCATGCTTCATAATCATGACCGTTATTAAGTTACTCGGAAGCTAAACAAATAAGGCATCAGAACACATTACGCTTAATGGGAATATCTGATTTATCCAGACAGACGTTTTATGTGATCAGCGGGACATCAGATGAGAGCGCCGTAATAATCCACTGATCTGAGGGTTAATTCTGCCGATATATAAAGCGAATGCTGTTACGCTCACCCGCCGATGGAGTCTGGCAAGTACATGAGCTGGTTCTCGTCCACCTTCAGCGCCGTCAGTTTCTTCAGCGAGCCTGCAAAGAAAAGAGAAAGAGAAAGAGGGAGAGAGAGAGACAGGGTTAAAGAGATGCAGCTCAGGGCGGTTAGTGATTATCACTCACTGTTGCATAACAAAGAGTGATATCTATTACAGCAGTTAATTGGATTGATTTGTCCTGTCATCAATACAGTAATCAACCTCGCTTTAAAGCGCTGTGCATCAGGACTCATCAGATTTCATTAGCCTGCTCTTTAGTCATGGACTGTACTTTTCCCCCCTCAGGGAAAGTAAACACAGGATATACATATGTGGAAAAAATCTGGATTAATTCCAGATTAGACGTTGAGTAGACATGTAAATCTAAATTAAACTTGAGTCTAATCAGTCTGAGCTGTTATTAAACCGACATAAAAAGTTTCATTTTACAAACTTTACATTATTATCTGTGGATTGTGGATCAAAGTGATTCCATTTTATGGTATTATATGTGTGCATATAATCATGGTTGTGCATAGTTATAGTGTGTGAATGTAACTTCTTAAATACTTTTCATTTATATTTCCATTCTTGGGAAACTTTGCTGTGAAATTTCAGTTTGCATCCTGTATTATTATTGTCAACTTCATATGACAATACTTTATCTCATTGCTGTACATTATGTGTATTAGAATCAAGTATAAATGTTTTTTCATTTTAGTTATTTAATGTTGTTTATTTAATCTTTATCGGGTGACTCTTTTCCTTTATTTCTGACTCGATCACATTTTAAGACATTTATATTTCATGAAGGCAGAGCCCCTTTAATGTGAGTCTGACACAGAGCTCTGCTATAACCCCATTAACTCTCATATTGATCCTGCACCAGTGTTATATTGGTGTCCCATTGTGTTAAGGCCCTGAGTGTGAACACAGTGTGAGCTTTAAATACACACACACACGCACGCACGCACACACACGCACACACACACACACACAGCTTTCTGCCCCACCTTCTCAGCCAGCTTACAATGATGTCGGTGTAGGATGTTGTAACATTAAACACAATATAATTAGCTGTATTTTTGTGTGATAACTGGCATTAGTACATATAAGAGACCAGACATGACATTAGATAAAGCGCATGAATAGCTTTCTGATTGTTTTAGTTCTATTACAGTGTTTAACCTCCGTTTCTAATTTGATAAATCGAGGTTTGGCGTGTCTGAATCGAGCTCTGTGATTATAATATTCCTCAAAATTGGCTTTTGTTTGTTTTTGGATGAACCGGCCCCATTGAATATGATGAACAATGCACACAGATCAGCTCGAGGTCAGGTGAATTTAACAGCTGTGCTCCTGAAACATTATCATACAAATGCAAATACATCATATTGTTGTAATTGTAATGTCACAGCAAGTGCAAGACTTCAAGCCGACCTCACCATGAAAGCGAGACGTTACATCTTGTAGCAAAAGCTGCACAAATTAAAAGGAGCTGCTTTGCAATTTCTATCAGTATTATGAATTTTGCAAATTGGTGCAGAACAGAAGGATGGACAGAGAAATGAACGCTTGATTGGCAAAACTTGAAAGAGACTAAGAAGGTGTTTCATCAAATGCGTGTTGTTCTATTTACCGATGGAGCCTGGCAGCTGTGTTAGGCCGTTGTTGGACAGCAGGAGGTCCTGCAGACTCTCACAGCCGCAGATTTGCTCATCGACCATCTCCAGGTTGTTCTTGGACACATCCAGATACACCAGCTGTTTGAGCGTCCCCAGCATCTGAGAATAGACACACAAAATCAATACCAGAACTGCTGCTTATACCTAACCATCCTCATTGTTGTGTAGCAATGATAAGGCAAGTGTGTTTGTTGAATACAGAAGCATTTGACCCCTAAATGTTCTCTTGAGCCAGTTTTAAAATGAAATTATTGGTCAAATTATAATCTTTAATACTGGAAACAGAAACTGTATTCATACAAACACTGTTGCTTGTTAAGGCCAGACTGTGATTACAGCTGATGCTGTTCAAACGCTGGCAGCAGAACAAATGCTCCAATTATGACCCAGTTACAAATAAGCTGCTGAAAAATGAATCCCTAATAACACATTCAGACTATCAAAACATCATTGTTAATTAATTAAGTTAAAGCAAAATAATTACTGTAACTGGGACATCAATAACCTGTAAAACAGTCATGTGATCATCTCAGGAGAAAAACATTTTTTTAAGCTGCGACTTCTCTGCTGGTTTTCAGAGGCCTGAAAGTCTGATGCGAACTGACGGCGGTCCGGTTTGAAGAAGATTTAAGCAGACAACACGAGTTAAAATCAAAGGAGATAATCTGAAGATGATGTTTTGGGCGGCAGCCGTGGAGAGTGAGTGTGTCAGGGAACGAATTAGAGACATACCCCAGGTAAAAATGTCAGTCTGTTTCCATCCATCCACAGCTCCTTGATTCCAGTCAGCTGCTCCAACACCTCAGGCTGTGGACAGAAAGAGGAGAAAGGAGGTTAAGTGATAGAGATATAACGTGTTTTTATGGATGCACGTGAGTGTGTGCGCCTGCTGGGCTGGGACAGGATGACATGCTTCACTTTTAAATGTGCAAAACAATTAACCACGAGGCCATTTCCTCCACTCGGCGTGATTAGCACGTTTTGGTGAAAGCAGGCTCTTCCAGTGATTATAAATGCCAACAGGGGAACTCGGGTATTTTAAACCTGAGCCCTGGTTTTACATTATTCCTCATTTGGGATGCTCCAGTGGATTGTACTCTCAGGCAAATCTCCAAATCACAGTCCTTTCTTTTGGCAAATGTCAGGATCATAAATGTCTACCTACGTAGATAAAAGGAACCCTAAGGTGGACTTGTAGTCAAAGACATTATTTTAAAAGCCTCAAAGAGCAGCTCTATTTCTCTCTTTGCAACAAACAAATGACACAGGAGTTGCTGCTTTACCACTGTCTTCATATGTTGTTGGTTTGTGTAATTACTCTTATACTATTTTTGTGTTCTAAATTCTAGAGGCAATAGTAGCTCAGCAGCTCCTGTCAATTTAATTTGCAGGGCACAGGAGTTGCTTGTCTACCCTGATTTTAATTTGTTGTTTTGCAGCAGTTTTAGCGTGATTTTGTTATTTTGAATGCTCTGCAGTAAACCGGTAGTTAATTGGTAGTCTACCACTTTTTTTCTTGGGTTGGTTTGCCTGCGTTACTGTGTTACTGAAGTACTTTGAATCAATCACAATGTTTCTAAGACACAGATTTACCAAAAACATAATTATCGCCGTGGTAAAACAGAAACTCCAATGAATCTTTTCTTCCGCAACACAAAAAGTGCTGATCTACCACTTCCTTAAACTGTTGTGCAGTTCTGGTGAAATGAAAGCTCAGTTTGAATCCAACACAGTTTGTTCGGAATGAATTTTCCAAAAATGCAGCAATGGACAGGAAACTCAGCAGAAACCCAACATGCAGAGGACTTGTTGATCTACCAAAAATTTTATTAGCTGGTTTAGGTTGTGGGATTATGTGATTATGGTCCTTTAAATAATCAGTTTAAATCAAATAAATGTTTATGTGACATAAATACACCAAAATCCTCACAACAGAAGCATGTATAGATCAGCACCTCCCATAAATCTAACTTGCAAAGTGAAGGAGTTACCGGTCTACCACTATTTTTGCACGTAAATTTGCCATATCAGTAGAGACTGTGGTAGATCATTAACTCCTGTGTATTTGTAACTGTGCTTGTTTACCTGTTTAGGTGAGTATGGTGATTTATCTGCTCGGTTTGAATCCAACACATTTGTTGTGTGACGTAAATTATCAAAAACTTAACGGTAGGAGTAAAGGAAGAACATCAACTCCAATATCTCACTGAACACACGGATTCCTATTTTAATGCCATATTAACCTATTTGTTTGTTTCTGTTTTTGTGTCATTCATTATGGAGCTTTAACTGCTTGGTTTGAACCCAACACTTAATAGGGCCAGAGGCAGTGACAGACCAGCAACCCCCATGTTTACAAACTGAAATGTCTGTAAAAAATGTCTGTGTGTTCAATATTGCACTTGAACAAAGATCTGTAAGAAAAGGGTCAAGAATTTAAAATAGAGAGGAATAGAAGTCCCCCTTTCAGAAAAAAAGCCCCCCTCCATGTCAACAACTGAACAAGTAGGAAAGAGGACAGATCAAGGACAGAGGAGGTGAGGTCACCATCAGAAAGGTAGGTAGCCCTGGGCATCAGCAGACTGCCTGTCAGATACTCACCACTTCAACGAACTCATTGCTCCCCAGGTCCAACCTCTCCAGCTGCGTGAGCTTATGCATGCTCCTGCAGACACAGGACAGACAGGGTGTGAGATATTTCAAACCAGCAGGGAGATCACATCACTCCCTAACCATTATGTCACTCCTCACACTGGACTCATAAAAAATATGTTTTCACAAGTGGAGTGTCACTAAACTGACCCCTTTTTGTTCAGGCATAAGGGACAATGAGGATTATCGGCTAAGTGGGCCGTGCGCTCTGAAACGCGAGCCAGGAGAAAAAGATTTACTGTCTGTTTTCATGTTATATATTCGATTCCCAAGCTTCACTCGCTTAGCTCAATCATTTTACAAGCAAATAAATACCTTTGAGCTCTCAGGCGTGACAGAAATATGCTTCAAATAATGGAAAATGGATGACGTATGCGAGCTCTAAGCCTTTGCTGAAGAGTTTTCTCCCCCACATCCAGGTCAGAGTCTCACGGTCCCCACTGAATGGTTCAAACTAAAGGCTGATTTCGTAAACTTGGCAGAAAAGTGTATGTATCCTTATCATAAAAAATATTGGCGTATCAGATATCAACACGATACTACTTTTTTACTTCCAAAACAATACAGATATTGTGGCCTTAAGTATTGGCCGATATTGATTTTGACTCAATATTGGCAAAAACTGCGTGCTGGATCTGGGTGCTGCTAAATAGAGGTGCTGGAGCGGAGTCTGGAATGGACTGCTTTTATCGGAGCGCTGACATCGGAGATTTTAGACCCAGGTGGATATAATCCGATATTTGAATTTTTGCTGATATCAGACCGATATCTGATATCAATACTGTATCGGGACATCCCTTATTGCAGCCTTTAGTATTGGCCGATACTGATATTGATCCAATATTGACACAAAATTGAATATGACAAGTTATGCACTCAACTGCAACGGCTTTTTCGAAAATTTAACGAAAAATACCACCACATGGCCGACATCACTCCTACTCTTTGCTACTTTGTTAATACCTTAGTACACACTGTTGTTTCTATTACGTGGGCTCTACGTGCTGGATCATGTAGAGTCATGCTAAATGGAGGTGCTGGAGCAGAGTCCGGAATGGACTGCTTGTATTGGAGATTTTAGATGCAGTCTGATATAATCCAGTATAGTGGGTTTTTTTGCTGATATCGGACTGATACAAAATATTAATTTTGTATCGGGAAATCTCTACTAAATAAATGCAATATCTACAATCCCCTTATTCTTTTTCTATTGTTTGAATTTGTTTAAAGGTATTCCTCTAAACCGTTTCTGTAACACGTAGATTGATTGTTTGAATTTTGCAATTTTAGCGGAATAAAAGCAAGAAAAAAAAACATAAACTGATAATCACATCTTTTTCAGCCAAAGTGGTACGGCCAAAATAGCCTTTCGTATTCACCCCAGCACAAACACCATCACTTAACACTCATTACAGGTTATAACTGTGTGAAAAGAGCATCAAATCTTTCCTTATATGGGGTATTTTCACACAGCGACTCCACTTCTCCAGAAATCCCTCAAACTTTCACAGCAGGCTGCATGAACTGTAAATATGTTTTGTTTTAATAGTTGTATAGTATGTTTGGTTTTAAAGTTTCTTCAGGGGGGGAAACACAAGTTCAACAAAATGTTACTTGAAGCGAACCTCAAACTGAGCGGGACTGTGAACGTAGATGAAATGGAGATGTACAGAAGAGTGTTTGGGAACAGAAACGCTGATCCTCTCACAGCGGGCATGAACTCTCAAAAACAAGAGTGAGATACAGCAGAGGAGTGGAAAGAAGAGGCCCACTGACACTTCGGCATCGCAGTCTGTTTTACTTTTCAATGGTGCTCATAAAAGGAGAATGCAAGACACGCGGCACAAATTACAGATATGATTTAAGCCCTTTAGAGTTGTAAGTGCTTGCTGCACTGTGAAAATCATTACAGGGATGTTCTTGAGCCGCAGCCAACTTTGTCACATTCTTACCTCAAAGTTGGCAAGAACACCAGCGACCCCCCATGTGAGCTGAAGGGGGTAGGTACGAATGAGCGGCGCTGGCTCGACTACAGAGCCGCTTCACACTTAGACTTTTGACCCGGAGTTGTGAGGAATGCAGCATCCTTCTTTAAAACTCAGAGAAACATACGGTTCATGCATGTGCTCCGTGTGTGAGAGAAAAGAGGCAGCACTTTGTATGTGGGACGCCCTGAAAGGACTTCTGCTGCGCCCCTTTGTGCACGCACACATTTGTTTACATCTTTGAAATGCTTGTGTGTCGCTCTGGCAACGCTCTCGATCATTAGTCGCTTTCTTTGTCAGCACTCCAGCCTTTAACGGATCTGGCCTCTGTCACATAAACACAGCAGGGGAGAGAGAGGGGATCTGTTCAGAGCTGCAGCACAGGCAGATCCTGTCTGTCTGTCTGTCTGTCAGTCGGTCAAAAATGAGAGAAAGAAAAGTGAGCGATAACAGAACTCTGAGGGAGGACAAAAAAGGCAAAGTGGGGAAGCAGTTTTTACCGGGGAAATGGGAAGGACAAAAGAGAAATGGTACAGCGAGTGACGCATGAGAGAGAGGAGAGAAAGAGAAAGCAACTTCTCCCACAATCACCTGGAGCTTTCTCAAATATTTGGGGGACGGTTTTTGTCTCCCAGTGGCACTTCTCGGATGGTGAAATAACCCTCAGCGCTGTCTCGGCGGAGGATTATAAAACCTGCCACAGCAAGCAGCCAAAGAAAGGGGGCTCTTATGTAACACAGTGGAATTTAATACTACAGTTAGAGGGGTGGGGAGGGAATGTGCTGAAAAAATGAAAAAAAAGAGGAAGATTGGAGGACAAGGCAGAGGGGGAGGGGAAAGATAACGAGGAAGTGAGAATGAAAAATCTAAATCTGTATGCTGGAGTTAAAATTGGAGTCGTTAGCTGAGAATAGAGGATGATCAATAACGTGCTTTCGGAGGATGATAACGATCACAACACAAAAACGAGGAGAGGAGAAATCCAAATATTTCCACAGAAACACGCCGACTATAACTGATGGTATTGCAAAGCTGCAGAACACACAGACGCCTCAAAATCGTTCAACCTGCCAAATATCAACAAGCGGAGCAGGCTCGTAAAATAATCCCCACGCATATATTGAGCAAAGCTTAAATGATTAAATCCAGAAGTGCCGCAACAGAAAAATAGTCCTGTTTTAGTCTTACAGCGTCCAGATTTCTACATCCTTGTTCTTCTTGATAAAATCCACATGGTCAGGTGTCACTCTCAAGCTCCAGCTTTGCCAGGATTGGAAATCTCTCTGCATGACTTTTCACTAATCTGTCAGCTCTGTATACATGGATGGAATCAAAAACTCGGGCTGTCCCAGTACGATATTGATATCAGATATCAGTCAAAAAACAAATACAGGATTATATCGGCCTGCATCTAAAATCTCTGGTATCAGCACTCTGATACAAGCAGTCCATTTCAGACTCCACTCTGGCATCTCTATCCAGCATGTAGAGCCCACGTGATCACAACAACAGTGAGTACTAAGGTACTAACAAAGTAGCAAGGAGTAGGAATGATGTCGGCTGTCTGGCAGTATTCTTCGTTCAAGTCCGAAAAAGACATTGCAGCTGAGTGCAAAATTTGTCATGAAAATATCGGATCAATATCGGTATCGGCCAATACTGAAGGGAACAATATTGGTATCTTATCAGAATTAAAAAAGTTGTATCAGGACACCCCTATCCAAAACTATGTTAAAAGTACTAACTAGGTAAACATGAGACTTAAACAAAACCCACCAGGCTGATTGAGTTCAATAAAACCATATCAACACTGCTCAAGTCCAAACATTAGGGCTATGATCCAGTTTAACTGAACCTAAGTTTAATTTCTTAAGTGATATAAAGTAAAATCAACTTACTTTGGCAACATCTTTAACTGGTTCTCTCTCAGCTCCAAGATCTGCAGTTTAGTCAACCTGCAACAAAGTGAAAATATAAGTGAGGACAAACAGCAACACTTTACAATTGTACTACTCAACATATGATCTTCATAATGCACTAACCTTTCTTTATTGTACTCTAAGTGTTAGTTTGCACCCTGTATTTGTCATACTTGACTCCTGAAGAGAGGAAACCTTCATTCAGCCCTACGGTGGTTTTATGTTGACGGCTTTTCGAGCTATAATTTCCACCGCTCTGCCTGTCAGCCACTAACCAGATACGTGACGCGGTGTTCTGAGTTAGTTTGTTTCTAAGAACAAAGTAGGACCTCTGTAGTACTAAAGCAGGGTGACCATAATAAAGACAGTAGTGTGAGGGTGAGTGCCTTCGGTGCAGTGTCTGTCACATGTTCAGCGTCATAAGAAGTCTTTAAAGAATAAGAGAGTCAGTGATACTGCTGGTTTTAAGAGACCGGTTGTTTGTTGCCTTTGAGGACATAACTATGTCTTACAGCAAATCATTAATGTACAGCTAATTGATCAAGCATAACTAATAAGAGGAGACAGACAATAATAAAGCGTTAAAATACCAGAATTCTTGGTTTTAGTGCTTCATAAATATATCACTGTTTTAGGTTTAGTAAAAGCTAACTTTCCATTACATGTCACATTCACCCATTCACACACTGATGGCAGGGTGAGGTTAAATGCCCTGCCAAGGACTCCTACCCAAACCTCTAAACACCTCTGACAATGTGAAGACCTGTTTATTTTACCCTGAATCCATATAAGAAGACTTCTTCATCGAATGAAGAGCCACATAAAACTAAAGGAAGATGTTTACATCCACTGCATGGTGGTGTGTAGATTTTATACAGCTGCAGCCTCTTATGTCTGTGTCGCTGTTTTACCCTCTGTACTCCTGCTCAAAGTCTCCTCTACAACATGGAAAAAAAGGTGATTGAAAAACAGTTATTGATATAATTCCTGGGGTGATAAACCCAACAGGAGGAGCGAGAGAAATTCAGGGATTTGCCAGAAACATCAAGTATGAACACCTACTATTTGACTGGATAATTTATCTTAAATCAAACTGCTTGTGCCAGTAATATGCTTTGTTTCAGACTGGCAGCATACTCACTCTAGCAAGTATTTCACTCTATTTACATAGAAGTCCAACAGAGATCACGAACACCTATGGCATTACATTTGAGGGATTGTGACACCAAAAAAACGTTTAAGAATCACTGGTTTTGATATTTGCAGCTCAGTATTTTGGTTTTAGCTCTAGTTCTGGTGATAAAGACAGGTCCATATGTTCATAAGTCAAAATTCATGTATAGACATAGTCTGACAGATCAGACAACATTAGGCAATGAGGGATATAATCAAGAATTTCTCTTCCCTCCTTTCTTTGTGTGTCTATGCGACTAGTACCTTGTATGTAAATTAACAGCCTGTGTTTTTTTTATGTAAATGAAATTTGGGCCTCCCTCCCAAAGTCTCTGGACCACTGGAAAGCACTGCCCCCTAATCAGGAGCTTTAAAGAGTTCTTTAAAGAGGAATAAATCTGGTTCCTGTGGTCAAAACGCATCTCTACTGTGTTTGTAACTGAGTTGACGGTGTTAAGCACTTAAATATAAAAGCATTTTCCTTTGACAGTGAAGACAATAGGGCTATGTAAGTGAGCGAATAAGAGCTGCACTGCTCCATCACAAATATTGATTTAAGCAGCTCTCAAACTGATGCTGTAAAATGAATGTAAATATAAGTTACAATCTGGTTCTCTTGTTTAATGCATCATTAGCTCCTGCTGTAAACACCGCTGTAGTCTCCTTTATGATGTGATGAGTGATAATAAACAGAAACCGACTTCGTTTAAGTCCGAAACTTCAAAATGACATAGGGGAATTTATATCATGATCAATATCTTTCCTGTATGTCACCTGGTCCCACTGTGGATGATAGCGTGAGAGCAAATCTCTCTGACTAGTTTTTTCTTTTCAAGCTGTGCAACTGTTTCAAATGTACAAGTTTGTTTTGTGCAATTCTTTCAAGTTTCAGTCCACTCTCAGAGTCACAGTCTACAGCTTCAGTGCACACTTTGTACAGCTTGAGTGAAACTCTAATCCAACCCGAGGGGGAAGGGGGGGGCAAACTGACCTGCCAAAGCTGGCCGGTAAGAACTCGAGGAAGGCATCGTTCAGGTAGAGCTGCGTCAGGCTCAGGAGCTGAGTGAAGCCTTCAGGGAGCCTGTGAACACATCGATCGATCAATTAGACATTTAAATAAAATAAAAAGTTTATGCAACACTTTATTACAGCAGAATTCTTTTAAAATCAACTGTAAACAGGAGATAGGGATTCAATTTTCTGCATGCACAATAAGAAATAAAACAGATTAGAAACAAAGAGAAAAAAAATCGAATTACTGAGAGTCAGTGTAACGCCAGAATATTCAATAACAGAAAAAAACAGTGTGCAAAACTGAATAAAAACTGAGCTAATTTCTGGTGGAAATTAAAGTCTGCAGTACTCACTTGGAAATGGGATTCACACTTGCTTCTACAACAGCGAGGACTTTGCAGTTCTTGATATTTTCTGGAAACTCCTGGATACCTAGAGAGAAAATGTAAGGTTTCAGTGCACATCTATGTGTTGAGTATCTGGACTATTTTTTTTAGACATTTGGTACAAAATATAAAAGCAAAAAGACAAGACTGTTTTGTGACTGTGAGACCAAGCAGGAAGCTCTGTTGCCCTTTTCCCTTTCTTTAAAACCACATAAGAGTAATCGTGATGAAGCGAAAAATTAACAATCGAGAGGAAACTAAAAAAAAGAGTAATAATCTACAAATTCTCACAAAACATCCGTGATGCTGTAACTGCAGGGGGAAAAGGATGTGGCAGACTCTTGAGGTTTATTTCCACCCTCTTTGTTTTGTGTCCACAACACTTAACACAGAGTGCTTTGTGAGGGAGATAAGCTCCTTTTAATGTCAACGGGGCACATGCAGCTCTAGGTCATGAAAACACCACATCATCCTCCAAGCACAGGTTTAATCTGGGCGGCCTCCGCGCTCATGCATTTATATTAGAACTACCTTTTAACCTTTCTTTTTCCATAAAAGGGATCTGCTGAGCGTGCACGCTTCTTTTCGGTCCTGCTTAGCTTCAAGGTTGAACAGTAATCACAGGCTGCAGAGTTACCGCTTTCTTTTGGCTTACTGCACAATGATGCATAAGTTTAAATAATTGCACCTTCTTTTAAAAAATAGAATCTGCAACAGGAGCGAGTTTTTCCAAATCGCAGCGTCACCTGATTGATTCTTGATGTGTCTGGGCGTCATTACAGAGACCTGTCAGACACCTCGCAGCTGGTTTTTGTTCTAAATGTCAGCCTAGGACAACACTGACAGTGGAAAGTTCTCATCAAACAGGCAAAAACTGAAAGGACTTCCAGTACAAAGCGCTCCGTCACATCGAGCAGCGCAAATGTTTATCTTCAAAGAAGGTAAATGTCACACTTTGACAACTGCTGTCACTTTCCCACTCAGTGAAACTCCTGACGAGACAGTTGAGCTGAACACCGTGTACAGATACGTTCACAGTTTGTGTTGGGAGCTATAGGTGGTTGTTTAAGAGGAGCACGTAGCCTCGGAGGTCTGAAAAGGGAAACCAAAGCGGAAGAGTCTCAAAGCTGTTTTCTTTTTTAAAGCCAGCAGGGGATGACTCCATCTGCTGCAACAAAAATGAAACAAAATGTGCCGATTGAAGAGTTTAAACATGAGAAAACAGTAAAGTCAGAAGTCAGTCAACACTCCCTCCTCTTAAAATGTCACTGAAACATGTTTGACTAACTGTGATAGCTATGATGTGATGAATACTTGTGTTGCTCTTTACTCCTTGTGTCTGACAACCTGCAGTACCTCACACATGCTTTACAGAGAGAGAAAATGATCCTCTGTACATCCCTTCCCTTTGATGCATTGGCGATTATCTCATAATGCTACATTATTAACAAGCCTTGTCTGTACATGAATCCTACTGTTAAGGTAATGCAATATTAAGTGACAGATTACTAAACATAAGTTGTGTTATTGTGAAAAAGCACAGACACACAGAGGGAAAACAGCAGGGTGGAATGATGGGAAACGTCTATGAATAAGTTACAGATCAGACAAACTACGGTGGCTGGGAAGTATCAGGCGATTTGCATATTCAAAATGCTTTTCAAAAGAAAAAAAACAGGAATGCAAACAGCTGCAACACGAAAAATAAGTCAACTAAAGTTTGCTTGCAAATTTCCTCTTTGATATATATCGGTTTGCAAACTTGAAGTGAGTGATAACAGTCCGTCAGAAACGCTGGCGGTGAGTTGCCCATTTCCGATTCTACTGTAAGTTTACTTTCATTGTCTTTATTTGCGTTCGTGTTGTCGCTCTTTGTATTCATGTTTTTTTCTTTTGAAACTGTTTTGAATATGCAAATCACCTGACACTTCCCAGCCACCGTAGCGAAAAGTCAATGTAACAACTATGCGACTACTCAATACTCTCTATAGTCTCCACTTCTAACCCCACTGCCACAGGTACAGTGTCATTCTGTGGGGAAAAAAGGGCTATGTATGCCCACAAATACACCTTGTTCATAGAAATGTGTTATTTTTGCCTGAGGTGGTCGAACAAACAAGAAAGAGGGGAAGACATCTCTGACTAGACTTTTACATGCGCTCTTATTGTATGAAGGAATCTGGTATAATACAGACATCAACAAAAGCTGTCAATCACGGTTTGTTTACATTCCTGACTCCTCCTCTTTTTTTTACTGCACACTGATGGCTTCCTACATAAAAAGCCAAAGCAAACACAAAGAAACTGAACTCTGATGAAAAACAGATGTCAGAAACAAAACATCATGCTCTCTCCTCCCGAGATCCACCCTCTCATCCACACATGTTCAAATCTGGCTCCAAACACCAGAAGACAAAAATTTAACTATTTCAAAATTATGGATCACAAACCAGAGGTGATACCAAAGCAGATACACACACTTTATCAACACTCTAAAGTGTGAAGCAACTCTAACAGACTTCATCTGTTGCTGAGTTTGTCTGTCTTTGCAGGTCTGGGCTCGTCTTCTTCCTTTATCCATCATATCAGGGACTTTCAGTGGAGCAGTCCTGTGACGTAACGCGAGGTAAACTAGGCAGGCTGTGACACCTTTATAGTTATCTTAACGCAGAATCAGTTACACAAGTCTTGGACTATAATTTCATCTGAATCCCCCTGACTGATGCCATCGGCGGCACCAACAACACAATTACCACTAAAATGGTTACACATTTGAACTTCACAGGTCACTGAACCTGAGTGTGCGGGGTTAGTTTTCAGGTTTCAGCAACATGAGCTGATGCAAGAGGTTAACATGACTCATTAACCTGTCAGTCAAACATAAAACCCCGACTCCATAAGAGTTGGGATGCTGTGTGGAAAAAATAACAGATTTTGATGGTTTGATGGATTTAAATCCCTCAAAACATTCAAAAATAGTGAGAACAGGAAAAACAAAAAACTGAACAAGTTGCAGAACGCTGAAGTTTGTTACATTTTAGCTGTGAAAAAGCAGGGAAGAGGGTCACCATCATGTGAAGGACTGGGTGAGACAACAGTGGATCTGAATACCTCTGCATAAAAGTTAAAGATTTTTAGGATTTCATAAACTGCAGTATAAAATATAATCTACGGGTTCAAGGAATCTAGAGAAATCTCTGTACAAAAGATATGACTCTGAAGTTGAATGCTCGCATTGGATAAAAATCATGTGATCGCTCAATTCTCATGCAGCACTACTCTCAAGATGGACTTGACTCTGAATTGGATATCATCGCATGGGCTAGAAATTCCATAATCTCAGAGCTCTCAGGCAGCACTTCCTTAAAAACACATATGACTCTGTAGTGGAAGCACCGCACTGACTAAAAATCACATTATCTATGAGCCCTCATGCAGCATTTTCCACAAAAACAGACGTGACTCCGCAGAGGAATCCCCGCGTTGAATAAAAATGGCACGATCTCTGAGCTATCATGCAGCACTGCCTTAAAACAGACATGACTCTGTAGTGGAAGTCACCACATTGCAAAGAAAACTCATGATCTCTGAACTCTCATGTAGCACTTCCTCGGAAACAGGTCTGACTCTGAAGTGGACATCATTGCATGGACTGTAAACGCCATGATCTCTAAGCTCTCAGGCAGCACTGCTTTGAAGACAACAGACATGACTCTGTACTAGAAACACCACATGGGCTAAAAATCACTCTCTCTAACCCCATATGCAACACTTCCTCCAAATTCGAAACATTGCTTGGACTGAAAAAAAAAAAATCACAGAATCTCTGGGCTCTCATGCAGCACCACCTTAGAAACAGAAAGGACTCTGTAGTGGAAGTCACCGTATAGGCTAAAAATCCCTTCCAAAAACCACTGTTGAAAAAACACAGCAGACAGAGGAACTCTTAAATAACTATGAAACAAACAGTTTCAACTTCTCTGGGCTGGAGTTGATTTAGAGTGGGCTGAGAAGAAGTGAAAAACACCGCTGTGGTCTGGGGAATAAAAATCCGTCTTGTACATTCGACCCAGATCAGAAGAGAATGTAAAGGTAGACGATGAATTAAAGCAGGCGTTGTGCTTACTGTTTTTGCTGACATCAAGCTCCCTGAGGTTGATGAGGTTTGCGATCGCTGCTGGCAACACTGTTAGGTCATTATCTGGCATGCTCAGTCGGTGGAGAAGCTGGCAGTTGAACAGTTGCTGTTGCAGGGAGAGAAGAGATAACACAGTTTTATCAAAAAGTGAATTGTTTACCGAGAAAATGCTGCATAATATTAAAGTTTAAATAGCCCCATTGTTCAAGTGGGTCATTCAAAGGCTCCTGTTTGAAATTAATATGAATGAATCCCACAATGCAAGCTTTTAATGACTGATAAACTGCAGAGAGTCGCCATTCGGGGCTTCAAGTAGTGCTTTAATGGAGTTTAAAGGTTTATAGAGAGCATATAGTCAAAGTGTCTATACATCTGTGTGTTGGTCTTACTTTAGGCAGCTCCTCGATCTGGTTGGCATCGAGGTAGAGTTCCTGCAGGGTCTTCTCAAAGCTAAAGATCTCCTTAGGAACTGTCTCCAGGCTGCAGTGGGAGTAGTCCAGCGATGTTACCGCCTCCTCCTCACCCCGCAAGCAGCGGCACGGCACCAGACGAACAAACAAACTCCGCTTGGACATCCTCAGGCACTGGAGAGAGAAAATGCAGAGATAAGAACGAGGAGTAGGATGAGGGAAAAGACGAGGAGGTGGGCATCTTTTCTGCTGCTTCTTCCCTTTTACCTCCACACCTCCTACGTAACACACATGTAATCATTTTAGTGCAGTTTAAAAATAATCCCTCTTCAAACACACACACGCACACACACACACACTGATCTCGATATCTGAGCTGTGTAACTGTATAACCATTAGCATGTGACTGCAGCAGCCTCAATTGTCATATGTTTTGAGCAAACACATGGATGCCACTGACTCACTTAACCAAACAAGCAACCAAAACAAAGTGGATGGCATATATCGTCTACTATGCTTGATATAAGGTTATTTTTCGGTTATTTTTATTTGCCAATAATCATATGGGATCCGTGTGCAAGACTTCACCAAACCATCCGTGTGGGTTCCTGTGGTGATGAAGTAGGCATCTGCTTTGACATATTCTTGAGGCATGGCTCTCCCACACAGAAGCATGAGAAACTGAGATCCATCATCCTGTCCTCAAAACAATCATCCTGTCAGATTGTGGTGCAGAAGCCGAACTTACGAGCGGACTCTAGTCCTCTACAAACTCCCCTGTCTCCTCTCAAATGTGGCTCGAACCCTGTTTGAGTCTTCACCTCCCACTTTCAGAAATCAATCTTGATATGCTAAAAAAAGGAACAGGAAGATTTGGACTTCCAGTATGACGAGACCAAAGTGATGCATGGCACGTCAACCAGCAGGCGCAAATACTCAGCTCTGACTAAGACTCAAAGTTTCCGCTCATACGTCACATCCTTCTTTAAAAGGACTTCTGGATTTTTGACCAAAGAGTTCAAACATTTTGTCTATTTTTGTCTACTGCCTACCAAACTGTAACTACTGACGACTGAAATACTGGTTATATAGTTGGGGTGGGAATCACTAGTGGCCCTACGAGATGATATTATCACGATACTTGGGCCACGATACAATAGTATCATGATACTTGGGCCCCACAATACCATATTATCACAATACTTGGGCCACGATATGATATTATCGCAATATAATTTTATCACGATACTTGGGCCACGATACGATATTATCGTGACATATGGGCCATACGATATTATTGCGATTTTTTACATTTTGCAATACAGTGAGTGTTGTGATACAATAAATTGCGATTTATACTTTTTTTTTAACAGTTAAGCTGATTTAGCATTTGGCTTTACTTTTCCATTATCATAGATTTGCCTTCATAGTAGCAATATCTGAAAAATCGATACTTGGTCAATGAGACGATATGTTATATTACCAGACAAAATATTGCGATACTATGCTGTATCGATTTTTTTCTCCCACCCCATTATGCAGACGTGAACATATTAAAGAATTTTAAAACACTTCGTAGAAAATAAACATTAAAAAAGACCCCCTTTTTTTTTTTTTGATGAAGATATTTATAGATTTCATTCACTGGCAGCTCTAAATCAGTTTCGAACTTTACCAAGAAACCGCAGGAAAGAGGAGGAGCCACAAACTACAGATTGACCGATTAATCAGTTGGGCTGATTTACGGCATTTTCAAATAATCGGCATCAGCTGATATCTGGACGCATGAGAAATCGAACAAACCAAGTTTCCAAATGCTGCAGGCAGCCTCATCAATATGTACAACATCTGCATGACAGCAGATCAGACCTAACAGTTTCTGACATGTGTTTGATATGTATTCTCTCATGAATTATAGAATAATGCAGCTTAATATTGCCTCTGGTATGTACATGTCCTGGCAACTACAGCGTAGCCCAGTGTTTTTTTCCATAGTGTCGTGAGTTGATTTAAAATCCATCTGAAACATGTTTCTCGTCAAAATAACCATGTATATGCGATTGATGTGTCAAAAAAACAACCACAACAAAAACATGATATCAGTGGCATCTATCAGCCATTCGCTGAGCTGCTCTGTCAATATCTGCACTGGCATCAGCCACTAAAAAACCTGCAACAATCAGCCAATACCAGCTGTTTTGGTTAAATATTTAGAGAATCATGCTGCAGGTTCGTAGACTGACCTTTGCGTCACTTTATTTAGGTCACCTGCCACAAGAAATAACAGGAGACGCTAGCTTCTCTTGAAAATGCAGGCTGATCCACCCACGGCAGAAAACGGTCTCAAAATCATTAAAGATTCATGAGATCAAAAGACTGACATTCCTGCTAAGATTGAGGGGAGATTTGGACCTTACAGGTGGACAGAAGAGAAACTAGATTTATTGAAATAAGAGATTTAGCTTGGTGGCTCTTAAAAATGACAGTGACTGCCCTCTTACTGTACAGTATACTCAAGTAAACTCAGTCTTGGTGATAAAAAATAATCCCTACAAACAAACTCTAATGCAGATGTTATTGGAGATTTGTGCAACAAAGACTCAGACTCTGGTGTACATGCTGGATTAGTCATAGAAGTGGCGGCTACAACACAATCCAGTGTTTATTTTTAAGATACGGAGGCTTTTTAGGACAATTTTGTGTGTTTGCTTTTGTTGTTGTTCAAGCGGTCAACTTCATACAAATTGAAGATTCCTGGAAAGCTGTAGGCGGCTGGCAGTCTTTGTCGAGCCTCTTTGTTCGAGTCTATATTTGCCAGACTGGGGGTGGTGGTAAACGATCAAAATAGACAACAGGATATATGCTGACATATAAAGGAGTTTCCCTCTGATATAGAATGACTGTTTGATTCAGTGTTTTTTTATTTTAGGGAAACTGCCCTTTAAAAATAAATATCTAATTCAGAATGTGGTGTGAAGACGACCTCGGCGTGAGCCATGAATAGAGGAAAAGCTTTCAGCGTCAGTGGATGAGACACAGCTCTCCACTTCTGCAGAAGGACCTTGTGAAACAGCCATGGGTTTGCATCATTATTTCCACTCTAGTATTGTGCCGTCTGTATATTCTCATATCTGCAGGTAGATTACAGCTGATCACTGACAATGCAGTGAACAAGCACTCTGAAAAAAAAACAGCATGAGAAATGTATTTCCTTTTTGAAGTTTCACTAAAAAAGAGCATCCCAGAGAAGCTCGGCATGAAATGTTAATTTTCAAGTTTCCCTTTACTGTTTTTCCTTGTGGGAAAGAAAAGAAGCTGTTTTCCACTTCTGAGATTTCCATAGGTGGGGAAAAGAACGAGCAGCTGCTTAATATCGTGGGTTTGCTGAATCCTCAGCTGGGTTAAAACTGGGAATCAAAATGCACAAAGAAGTAGGCCATGAATCATTTTGGAAATCCTTTTCCTTTTACTATTAAAACTCTCCTCCTGCTAAATGAGGAGACATAGAAGAAGACGGACAATCTTTGCAGCTTGAAAGATTCACAGGAGCTGTAAACCTGTCTCTGAACTGTCTACAGTGCTGCATATGTAAACTTTAGAGGGAGTTTTAAGTATAGGCAGCCATTTTCACCACATACTGTATATAACATGGTATGTGTGCCGGTCAAAAGAGGCTTTGTTCCTCCGAGCATGCAGAGAATGTGACTTTTCCTCCCCCTCGTCCTAATCTGAACGCCGCCACAGTTCATAATCTCGGAGTCCTGCGCTCGCTGTGTATCCTGACTGAATAACTGAGCAGCACAATTGTGATAGCCTTGACCTGCACTCTCGCTGCAGACTATGTGTGGGTGTGAGCGCATGTTTCTGCAAGTTCTGCTACGAGGAGGGATTTACTGCGAAAAATGGTTTATTGTTCACAACCCACTGCTCTTTTTTTTTTTTTTACAAGTACAACCCTAAAACCGAGAAAAGTGGGACAGTGTGTCAAAATAAAACATTCAAACCTCAAATTCAAAAGCTAGTAGTGTAAAAAAAAAACGAACATTAAACTTAATATTTTTACATTTTTAAAGAGTTGGAACAGGGTCATGGATCCCAAACGTGGGACTTCAGCTGCTCATTAGTTCAGGGTCTACTTTTTTGTTGTACTTTTTTCTTTTTTACATGACTGCAGGCAGGCCAGTTTAAGACTCTTCTACTATGGAGCTGTTGTGATGCTGTGATGTGCAGAATGTGGTTGGACGTGTTGTTGCTTAAATACGAAGGTCTTCTCTGAAAAAGTCATTGTCAAGTTTGCAGCGCATGTTGCTCCAAAAACTGTTTATACTGTTCAGCATTAATGGCTCCTTCCCAGGTTTATGATGAGATAGGATGGTACTTTATTGAGCATCACAGGGGGAATTTAGGAGCCAGAGCAGCACAGACTGAGTCAGTGAGAAATATTAGAAATAGAGTAAGAGAGGAAAAGATGGAATAAAAAATAGAGTTAAAATAAGTGGAATATATAAATGAAACTGATTGAAAGTATTTGTGGATAAAGTGACATGATATGATGATCAATAAAAACACACAGGAGTGATGTAAGAACTGTGAAACTGTGACATGTTGTATGAAATAAAAGAATAATATGAAGCGCTGATATAATTTAATGTAATACAACAGAATAGAATAGAACAGAATAGAATGGAATAGGATAGAAAAGTACAGAGAAGAATGGAATAGGATAGAATAGAACAGAACAGAATAGAATAGAATGTAAAAGCATAGAAAAGTACAGAAAAGAGTAGAATAGAATAGAACAGAATTAGATTAGATTAGAACAGAAAAGAACAGAACAGAACAGAATAGAATAGAACCAAATAGAATAGAATAGAAAATAACAGGATAGAATAAAATAGAACAGAGCAGAATATAGTAGAACAGAGCAGAATAGAATAGCATAGCATAGCATAGAGTAGAATAGAAAAGAATCGAACAGAATAGAAAAGTTTAGAAAAGAATAGAACAGAACAGAACAGAACAGAATAGAGTATCCTACTGGTAGCCTGAAACTGCACAGAGGGGAAACAGCATCCTTGATTTCCAAAAAGAAGGAAAATTTTTGATTTGTTGGACCACAGGACAGTTTCCCTACTTTGTATTCAGAAGTTTGTCCAGATTCTCCAAATGTTTTGATGATAGTATCGACTTTAGATGATAAAACCCTCAAATTGTTAGCAATTTTACACAGGGGGAATTATTCTGAAATGTTGACTTAGTTGCTCACACAGTCTCTCACAGTGGAGAACCTCCTCTTATCTGTACGTCTGAGACACTGAACCTCTCAAAACCCTTCGCATTCCCAAATCCTGTTCCTAACCTGCTGCAAATGACTTAATTAGTTGATGTTGCAGGCATCAAACCATCGATATCTGTCCTCACCAAGATTTAACACAATATCTAACTTTTTGGATTATGACTTTGGGAATGTTTGCTCATATTTCAACAAAGATGCTTTTTCTGGAGAGTGCAAAGTAGGTGGGAATATTTTTGCAGCAGCTTAAAAATATGACTTAATAGCCTCCCATGGCATTAGTCATGATTCTACGATTTCTTACAGCCAGGAAGAGTGCGGTACACAAGGAGCTGCTGCAGACAGTTTCAGCAAGTCTATCAACATAAAAAAAGAAAATACACCACACATATCTTTCCAACATGCTGAGATTTAATCTGCAATCGCTGTTGGCTATCCTGCCTTCATCAGGTTTTGATAAAATCATGAAAGCTTAAAAAAATAACTGAGCTCAATGAATCTCGCCTCCACCAAGTTGTGCAATTGGTTTTAGTTTTGATTAGTTATGATACTAAAAAAAGAGGTCGTGCTAAAATCAAAAAGAAACACTCTCAGCGCTTCAATTTTTCATGAATAAAGCCAGTTTTCCAGAGAGAACCGAAAAAACCAGTGCAAAGTTGAAAGGTCAGCAACCTCTCTATCTCCAACTCATTAAAACGAGCTTCATGTATGCACACACCCACACTCACACATGAGGTAAGCACAACCCACGGCCTGTCAGCCGCCCACTCTCTCTCCCTGCTGGAGCAGCAGCAGCAGGCAGCTCATGTATAAATACTCTGAGTAATCTGGTCTATCACCAGAGGGGATGACAGAGGGCTTGGCTCCGTTCACCCAGAGTAACGAGAGCTGAGCGCGTATGAATGACGCATGCTATCCGGAGTGGGAGGAGAGGCAGTGGGATGTGGGTTAACAAACAGAGAAAAAGTGGGTGGTGGTGGGTTATTGTGAGTTATGCAAGAAAAAGCAATCAGGCACGGCGAGAGCGGATACAACATCCAGAGAAAAACCTTTACTGTGGGAGGAGGAGGAGACGTAAAGAGTTTGAAAGATTAACAAGGGCGCAGCAAGAAGAGTAAAACGAGGAGAGTAAAGTGGACGTGGTGAAGACATTAAAGCTGGTGGAAGAATTTAATCTCCCAGTTTAAGGAGTGATAATGTTTAATGGACAGAAGATGAGAGTGTCCAGACAGGCTGTACTTGGGTATAGGGTTGTTTTGAGCCGAATGCATGGGCACATTCACTGAAGGTGTAAAATCTGTCATGTTTACAATCTAAGGTTATCACTTCAGCATATATTATGTACTGAAAACTGGCTGAGATGATAGGAAATGTGACTCATTGTGGTTTCTGGTCATTTGTGAGTAATGGAAGGACGAGTCTGGTGATTTTCTAGGATTGTTTCTTGGCTCTATCACAATCAAAACAACGCCACAATGAAGCAGAGGATGACGTGTCAGTAAACTTTTCCCTGTTTATAACCCAAAATTAATGACAGGGGGCATTGTGTGAAAATACTGGTGAAAGTATTCGTCTGTTTCTGCTTGCCTGGGTAATTTCGGGCAATTTTCAGGAACTTTGAGCATGTCTACAAGGAGCATAGATTCACGTTAGAAAAAAAGAGTCTGACCTATGAATCTGTGGCTGGAATACATGCAGTGTGTCCTATGACATGTCCCAAAACTGAACCAAGAAGAAGAGGATTTGGACAGGTGTGATTGAGTTGACAAGTTGAGTAAGAAACTAAGAGCATCTAACATAGGGCTGGGCGATATGGCCTCAAATCAATATCATGATATCTTGAGCAGTTCACCTCGATAACGATAAATGGACGATAACTACTCCACAAGCTGCTCACCCCCTCCCACATTAACTTCATCTTCTTCGTCCCAGCTGCAGAAAGAAATGGGGAAAAGGGGACTTTTGTGGTAACATTACCATTGTGTAAAAATACACAGATGTCGGGTCTTGATGGTCACTCATTCGGCTTGGGAAAGTAGCACCCAGATAATGCAGGGATCGGTTTTCCCTTCTGTTGGACTGAAAAAGTGGCGTGATTCAACTGTGCAAACCTGCTGTTAATAGGGCTGGGCGATATGGCCACAAATCAATATCACGATATATTGAGCAGTTCACCTTGATAACGATAAATGGATGATAACTACTCCACAAGCTGCTCATCCCCTCCCAGATTAACTTTGTCTACTTCAGCCGCCGCTCCAGCTGCTACAACTTTTGAACCGTCCTCCATCTCCTCACCTGTCTTTCCCTCTTTGTTACAGACTGGATGGGGTGGAGTCACGTCTCTGACGTAGGACAGCGTCTTAAAGGGACATGAGACCATAGCCTACCTACACACATCCAAAACCAACTTTTATGTATCTATTTGTTTATTTGACACCAAATATACCAATATGAGCAAAATGATGTCGGTTATTGTCGTAAATTTCGGTATCTGTAAATTTTCGGTTAATTGCCCAGCCCTAGTGTGTCCTATGACATGTACCAAAATTGAGCTGAAAAGGAGATGATTTGGACAGGTGTGATGCATACAGGTAAGTAAGAAACTAAGAGCATCTAACCTGAAAAACAACATCTCTTCTCACAATCATCCACCATTGCTGAGTCACATTGGCTGCAGAGATTTTGCAGGATTTCAGATTTGCGAGTGTGGACTCTCTTAGTGTATGGTACACTTTCTAACACCTTTGCTCTCCATAAACTATAAACACAAAACTATTTATAGCCAGACAAAGAGGGACATTTTGGTACGATAAACTTCTGCCTTCGTGCTAAAAAACAAAAACAACTGCAGGCCCTGCATGATGTCCTCCTATAGCCCGTGTAGGTGCTACCACGCTCCTTCAAAATAAACAATCTTTACAGGAGGTAAGATTCAGTTTACCCAATCCCACCGGGTTTGCAGCTTGTGATTCTCAGCAAACAAACCAGCAAATGTACATGTTTAAAGCATGCATAATTCCTTTCCGATTTGCATAATGCATAAAACTCTGTTAATGCAGGAGTTTATGCACCGCTATGCTGCACACAGATGAAGCTTTTTGTGCACTTAACTGCTTAGGCTGTAAAAGTCCTTCCCTGTTTTATGAGAGGAGTGGATACAATTTTTCGACCCCTTGTTTTTTTGTGCAATGACAGCGTAGTTTCTACTTTGTTTTCCTCCAAGAACAGAAAGTTCTCCTTCAAGGGAGAAAAAAGTGAAAGCGGCAGGATAACGACGGCGGTGCTGGGCTGGCTGTCTGAAGCCCATGAGAGTAATCTGGAGGGCAGCACACTAATGAGAACCGGACTGCCTTCAACACAGATAAGCTTATCCACTGACCTACATGTTATTGGAATAATCATCCGTCCATCAAGAGCCCCTCACTTCTAAACTACCAAAGTTCAGAGCTCTTCGGTGGAGATTTCCAGACATGTTAAGCTCTTGGCGGAGGCTTCTATCTTAGCCTACTTATTCAAGGAGAGCGTGGAGTGACAGCAGCGAAATTGTTGAAAAGCTTGGAAAACGCCGGCTGGACTTATTCAGAAATCTCAAAATGCGTGGGCCTGTGTGTGAATGGCGGACATGTGACTCTGCAGCCTGGCAATGATCCCCGCGGCTTCCTCTGTGCAAAAGAGAATTAGAAAGTCCAGAGGGCAGAACCAGTCACAGATTCCCACTTCACTCTCCCAGTGAGAGCCAGGAAACCACTTCCCTGTTACGACCCCTTTCCCTGTAACCTAAGTGCCACCTGGGTCAGCGCTGTTGCCATAGAGACGGCAGTCAATGGTAATACCGGCTCTCTGACCTCTGTATTCATACACAAAACAAACCGCTGAGCATGCTGGACCACTAATGAAATCTAGTTTTGATGGATAAATTACAGAGGAGCTGCGCAGAAAGCTCTGCAAAAGGTGAGAAAAGGGTCAAAACCAGCAAATTATAATGGAGTGAAAATTCTGAGAGAAGCGGACAGAGATTGAGATGTCTGGGTGTGTTTCCAAAAGGTCTCCGAGTTCTTTCATAGTGGCCAACTAACACCCAGTGGCCTACTTCTGGTTTAGAAAGTGTTGGGAACAAATTAGCAGATTGTAATGTCTCTAAGCTTCAAAAAGACCCAAATTCCTACAATTTAACCAACCTAATTGGGTTGTTACAACCCCATAACTAAACAGTGGAGCCTTGTGAAACTTTAAAATAATAGACAAATGGTCAAAAAGGAGCCTAAGGGGGAAATTCCTGTCCTATAAAACCTTTAGTTTGTGGTCTAAAGTTTGAATATTGCTGCAGCTGACTGCTTCACTTCCCCTCAATCCTTTTGAGAAATACTGTACTGTTGTGTGATTGTTGTTTTAAACTCTGATAAACGCAGGACAATAACACATGCTAATAACTTTCATTATAGAGCTTAAATTACTGTTTTTGTCAATGGAGTCTGGTGGCTTGAAAGCAGAGGGGTGGCCATCAGTGTTTCTGGTTAAAATGATCCTTCCTTAAAAAAATTAATTATCTTGAGTGTCATCATTATATAAGAGGATTAGGGCCACTAGGGGAAAAATTAAAAGGTCCTATGTATGTATGTATATATATATATATAAATCAGAATTCTGACTTTAAAGTCAGTGTTTTTAGAAAAAAACTAAGAATTCCGATATTAATGTCGGAATTCTAAATTTTAAGTTAGATTTCTAAGAAAAAAAAGTCAGAACTCTGAGATTTAATTCTGAGAATTCTGAGTTTAAAGTCAGAGTTCTAAGAAAAAAAAAGTCAGTATTCTGAGATTAAATTCTGGGAATGCTGAGTTTGAAGTCAGAATTCTGAGATTAAAGTCAGAATTCTGAGTCATATGTTAGAATTCAGAGATTAAAGTCAGAATTTGGAGAATAAAGTTAGAATTCTAAGAGAAAAAAAATCTGAATTAAGAGATTAAAGACAGAATTCTGACTTCAATCTCAGAACTCTGACTTTAAACTCAGAATTCTCAGAATTTTATCTCAGAATTTTTTTATTATTCTGAGGAAAAAAAGTCAGAATTCTGTCTTTAATCTCAGAACACTGACTTTTTTTAATCTTAGAATTCTGACTTATCTCAGAATTCTGACTTTTTTCTCCAGAATATTAAAAAAGTATCAGACCTTTTTTTTATAATAATCCAAGCCTGTATGTGATAAAATCAGCAGAGACATTTGCCCTGATATTGCAGTCACTCTTGCCAGCTGAGAAAACACATGAGACCAAACTCGTTTTTAGAAATACTCAGTAGTTATTTTGACTGAGAAGTATTCAAAGATATGGCTTCCACTATGCAAACTTCTGTTGTCTGAGCGTGCATAGTTATCTCTTTGTAAGGGGTTAAGTGGAAATGAAAGTGCAGCATCTGACAGCAGCAAAGCAGCTTGCGTTATTTATAGAAAATAGTACTCGTCTGGTTGATACGGTAGAATGTGATTAGCACGGGCTAACTCGGGCCTTATGAAAGGAGCCCTTGATCCAGATTGCACTAGACTGGTACAGGGTATCTGGGCCATGGCTGAAAATTGACATTAGGGGTGAAGGCTACAAAAACAATACAGGAAGGTAAAAAATAGAAAAGTTGAGAGTCTGCAGCGCCTGTGGGATACACTTGAACTGCTTCTGTCTGTGAAGGAAGCGGAAAGAAAAAAAACCCACTTCCTCAATGCAGGGCGGAGAGCCAGCAGGCTATAGGGTTGTTCTCTGAGCCCTCTATACTGTAGCTCCTCTCACATGGGATCACGGCCTTTCCCAGGGAGCACCGCTGATTTTTCACAGACATGAAAGTAAAGCTGCAGTGGCTGTTTGGGATTTGCAAAGTAATCATCCGAAGACCTGAAACAACTGTTAATCAATGACCCTTAAAGATGGATATTTTCTCATTTCTCTGTTTATCTTGTCGGTGCATCTGGTTGACGTTTGCAGAGTTAGTGGTCAAGCCTCTCTCTCTACGTAAGGTTGATTCTTGGGTATTGGATGAATGTGGTATTTCTTGTTGCAAGCTTTCTTCTTGCTTGTTTTTCTCATGCAAAGTATATTTTGATATTGACACTGTGCACCCTGTCGATTCACATACCTGGGCTCCATAGCATGACAGTAAAGCCAGTCCTTTCCACTGTACCGTATATGCTGCATCAGAAAAAGCTCCTCCATCGAACGTGATGCAACAGGAAAATAATCATGCTAATGCCGGCTGCTTTTTGGCGAGCGTTTGTGGGCTGCAGTGGTCTTGTACATCTCACATTCAGACGCATTTCCCACTCGGTTGCATGCCTCTGTTTAAGATGATGAAATAAAGTGGATTTGCTGCAGCCTTTACCAGCAACCGCCTTTAAACAAATGTCACAATAGACTTTGGTTTGTTGAAGGTCTGACTTTGCAAAACCCAAACCAGTTCCAAATGACTGACCGGGCTGTGGCACTGAGCCTCATTTTGGGAACAAAGTCCTCATCAATGCTGGCAGCCATATTGCTTTTTTTCTGTGCATCTCTGTGGGACGTAGAGCAGCAGAGGAAGTTAAGGGGACAACATAGACTTTGAATGAAGCCAGACAAACATGTGCCGTTGACACTGAAGCTGACATTTTCTCTCAACTCAGGAACTCGAACCTTTCTTACATTAAAATTACATACTATATATTTAAAACTCAAACTCAAAAGTAGGGGTGGGCGATAAGGAAAAAATTTCATATCACTTTTTTTTTTTTGAAATATTAAATGAATAAAAATAGAAATAATAAATGAAATAAAATATCCAAGTTTTAACAACAAACAGCATAACATTTATTTTAACTGGATGATCTCATTCTAAAATAAATTTGAACCTAAAATTTTCATTTGAGAGGGTAAGAATTTTATTTAGATATATATTAGGGTTACAATGCACTCTACAGACCATAATACGATCTCTGTGCTTTGGCAGATCATGGTCACTTGTTAAATCCTTTATGATCTAAAATCGTCAGATTGCACGCCCCTACTAAAAAACATGCAAAACCCAGCAAACTAATGGTTTGTATGGAGGGCTTATCTTATTTCTGCACATTTCACTCAGTATACATCACCACGATTGCAGCTTCAGGTTTTCAGAATAAACTCCTCATCTTTATCTTGAACAGCTCAGGGATGTTTTTAAATTCTGGTGCTTGCAACACATGCGGATGCAACGAATAAGCTTATGTCCACACAGGAGGGATACAAATCATGTCCCTGTTTCTATCTATCTAGAGAGGACAAGTCTTGCAGCTCTTAAGCAAAACTTTGACTTTCAGTTAAAAAATCTCCAAACTTCAATCACATGTTTTATTAATGGCTGGCTCAAAAACCTGTTTGTATAATCAGGTGTAAGAGTGGGAACATTTCTACATTGATGAACAGCGTACAAGAAAGTCCCCAGTGATGCGTTTCCTCTGGGCACCTCATTAACAGCCTTGTATTCAACTCCAGCTGGCACAACAGGAGATCTGCTGCTTCTCAATAATGCAGAGAGATATTGAGTTAAGAGGACAGCAGTTCAACAAACAGAGCAATGTCTCCAAGCTGCCTACCTCCCCCCCTGACCAAAAACATCTGATTGTACAACAACCCACAGCTGAGCTTGATAACAAAACATAGGAAGCAAGGAACAAAAGTAAGAGGAAAGATGGCTGGAATTACAGCTGAAATCAGTAGAAAGACAACCCTGTCTCCAGTATCTGTGTTGGCAGGGGGTAAGCAGCTTAGAGGAACCTGAAGTTCCAGTTTTGTTCTCCCTCTGGTTTTGGTTCTCACCAGCGCTCTTAGGTCTCAGTGGTCTTGCGTGTCTCGAGAAAACAAAACCATGATTGTTTGCTTTGAATTCACGCTGAAATGAGGGTAAGTAATCCGATCTGCGACAAAGACAAAAGTGGCTTTTACAGCATCTTCCCCAATTTTCTACTCGGAGCAGACTGGTTCTGAAAGACTGAACAACAAGACTCGCAACTATTCAGACATTTACATGTTACCTACACACATTCCTGCAGCTCTGAATATGCTTCTCTGCAGATTTGCATTTCATTTCTTTGTTAGAGGACTGTATTAAAGCCGCAGCAAAAGGCCACAGCGCCTCGTATAAATGTGCATAAACTAAACCTGCTCTTGCCCTCCTTTATCTTTCAGACAATGTGCAGTTGTCTTATAAAGTATCAGAGGACTCATTAAAACAACAAGCGGATCTTAAAGTACTGAGGGAACACTGCTGCTGAAAGACTTGGAAGGACTCCAAAAGTGCAAGTATTTTAAGTATTCAGGGAGACAAATACATCTGCTCACTGTCAAGCCTCTGTCTGTTTCACAACTTACTACAATACCCAGTATTCTCCATGAAGCAGGCTGTGCTCAGTGACGCACAGCTAACAAGCCTCCAGCTCAGTCCACAAGAAATCTGTTGCTAACGTTTGTGTTTGAGTGAGTGCTGCTTTGTGCTCGTTTCCCACATTTGTTGACAACGACAACACCAGAAGTAAGAAATAAAGTTGAGACCGCAGAAACGTTGAAGATCTCCTCAGTGTGAACATGACAGAAAACAGATGGTAGGACATAAACTCGACAAAATAGAGTCTCAAAATGAAACTTGAGTGAACATGACACACTCAGAATATTCGCAGAGATCTCCTACTCTCAGAAAACAGATTAGAATCTAGAATAAACACCCAAAGCACTCCTGTGTTGAGAGTGAGCGTTTATCTGACTCTGTGGTGGAGATGGGCTGTCAGGGGAGGCTGCGAGCTGAGCTGTCCTAAGCTCATTTATAGGGTTCATCCTTTATCTGCAGGTTTTTCCTCCAAATTAAACAGACGTGGAATCGAGTCGACCAAACGTCTACATGCCGTAATCTTTGATGGTTGGCTGTTCAGTTACACAAGTTTGAAATTTTCTTCTATAATTGTAGGAAGGAATGTAACAGTATGAAAATTCTACCTCACGGATATTGTGACCAAAATAACCATGGTTTTCAGTATTAATGTGGTATTTTGAAAAATATATTCAAAGGTGCTGATTGTGGCACTTTTTATGCTTTTAACTAGTGCTAAACAATGCCTCGTTTTCATTGTCTCCTCGTTTCGCCCTGATTCCATTTCAAACTTAATAGAAAGTTTAAACCCCTGCGCGGCTAGCTGGCGACTTCAGAAGACTTGGATGATTAAACACGCAGGGGTTCCCCTACATGCAATTGATTGTGACCCACCACCATGGCTATAAAAGCCTCCACACCTTGAAAATGAGTTTTTCTTACGTGGCTCTACCTCCGACTCAATATGTATCAGTATACATACGTGTAGTATACTGAGCGCGCTAATACTAATACTCAGAGTGTGCGCAGAGTATTAGTATTAGCAAGTTATCGTCGGCTATCACACAGCTGATTAATTAGCGAGTTATTGTCCTTGGTCACACAGCTGATTAATAAAGGAGTTATCGTTGAGATCTCACAGCTGATTCATTATCTCCCTCTCCCCGATTTACCATTACACCGGTTACCGTTACATCCCTAATTGTAGGTGCAGCAACCTGCCACTAGGCGAGGGTGTACTCATGATTGGTAGTTGCTGCCATACTGCAATAATGCTCTACTATCTGGATGTAGTTTTGTTAAATTGTTAAAAACAATATTCTTTTCTGATGCTAAAAAGAAATCCAAATTAAATCCAATTACACTGACAAAGTTCTGAGATGCACAAACAGCCTAAGAAGTATTAAATGACGAAGCCCCAGGATGCAGACTGATTCAGAATCATAAAAAAGGCTGCTCTTTTGAAGGTTATGAAAAATCAGACCACTATTACACCCATTAGACGAAATGGAGCTCGTACGACTCCTTACAAACCTTTAATTGATCTATTACATCCAGCCGAAATCAAGTTGCTGTAATGGGGTGTGTTACAGTCTCTTTTACTCTGCACACTCGTCACACTGCAGAGGATCTCAAATATTCAGAATCCGGAGCGCCTTCACTTCCATTCCCTGGAGATGACCATCATAATTACTCTAATGAATAATTCCCACGTTGTTTCTTTAGACACGGATGGGCCCAGGGCAAATGAACGCTGTCTTATTTTCATTTCATTTGTTCAGGCCTTTCATAGCTCTGGAGGTCACAGAGATGTCACGAATCCTCCAGAGAGCTACAAAGACTGGGAATTAAACCGTCCACTTCCAAAGGTTAGGTCCTCTGTACCATGCAAAGAGGTGATTAATAAGCATGTTTATCTCCTGACCTTTCATGCAAGCTGTTAACAGTCTGCCCTAAAATCCTCTTAGTACGAAAATGTCACCATGGAGTGAATATGTAGAGCAAACCTGGCACGGCTCTGTTGACCCTATACATTAATTCATACATCTGGCTTCTCCAAACAAGTCGCTTCACAATGTACAATCATCAATAACAAGATATAACTTATTTTCTTATCTTTGTTCCATATCTGAGTAGTTTTGTTTGGATGTTTAAGTTCACTCATTCATTCTAGACTGTCACATCATACAGATCTTCAATAGGGCTGGGCGATATGGCCTCAAATTAATATCACGATATGTTGAGTAGTTTACCCCGACAACGTACGAAAACGTCAATGTAGGGACATGAGACCATAGCCTACCTACACACATCCAAAACTAACATTCATTTATTTATTTTTGGGCACTGAATATATTGACATGGGCAGAATGACAAATGTGCTCATTGAGAGAGACATTTATTCTGTGTTCATGATGTAAAAAACATGAGCTTATATTATAAATCTAGACCAAGGATGAGGTTCATTGAGTGGTTTTGGCTCATGGAAGTCAATTAGTGATGAAATTAAAGGAATAAGACAACATTTTTTAAGTTTCTGACCAATGAAAAGGCATCTGAATTTAGTCCTTTATGACCTGTGTAATGGTTTAGATCTGTTCAGTTTACTTACAAGTATCTCACACTACAAAAATGAAACTATAACTAAAAGTAAAAAGCTAGTCTAAAAAACTAATCAGAACTAAACTGAAATTGAAAACGCAGCTCCAAAGCTGATAAAGTAAAAGTACGACAATATTAAAGTGTCATACCTCACAACCCTGTATTATATATTTCCAGACATTTCAAGAGTTCATCTGTTGTCAAATTAGCATCTTAGCACTGATCAATCAAACACTGTTTATACTATGTCATTGTTTTCAATGTATAGGTCCTCTTCCTCCGGAAAAACATCTGTTGTTCTGCACGTCAACTTCAACACAGACAAAGAGTCATGAACAGATCAACAACCACAGCCTTCTAAGGACTACCTGGTCGAGTCTCTGAAAACCCACTTCCTGGAGACAAATCTGCTGAGATGTGCAGCAGGGTATCCTGTGAGACGAGGTCAACTGACGTCAACTGTCTACTTTTCTTTGTTTACGTAAAAAATGTCAAAAAGAGGAGTTGTCATTTTCAACTAAAGCAGCTATTTATGGACTCTATTTCAGGTGTGGAGATCTCTAGGTGACTTCAGAGAGGTAGAATTCATGCCAAGTAAGGCTAATTGAATAACTCCACCTGCTTGGTAGTCGGTGCGAATCAGGGGAACACAGGAATTAAGAAAAGCCAGGTTTATTGACAAGTGTGAGAAGAATCAAGGCCCTGAGCGCGAGCGTGCTGAGCTGCCTCATCCACTGAACAAGCTGACTATCCTCTGTGGAAAGCACTCTGCTCATCACTTTACCTCTTTTCCACTCTCTACATGCTGCCTCCTTTCTTTTATCACGAACTGTCCTATTTCCACAGTGGTCTAGATTTTTTTAGAGGTCTTCAGGGACCAGAGGAGTGCTACACACTCAGATTTAGCCATCTTTTTTTACCCAAATATAAGCAAAAAAAAGCAAAAAGATGAGTAAGACTTCTGCTGACCTGCTCGCATGGTTTGAATCAATGGTTTTGCATAAATCTTGCGTCATCTTAACCGGCTGATTTTCTTTATAAATGATTTGGCTGGTGATTCCTGAACTCTCTTTCCCACTGAAAGCATTAAAAATGAACAAATTGTGTCATTAAAATAAGTACTTTCACGAATCCTAAAAATAGATACTGGCATCACACATTTGAAAAATACAACCCTGGAAATCTGGAGAGCGTTTTCCTCCCTCATTAAGGTCCAACGGGGGCAATGACAGAGTCAGCCCTGCTGGTTATAAATAGTAGTCTGCTCCAAAATCCCTTCTGCCAGTAAGTTCTTAATTAAATATGAGATCCAGTTAAATATAAGCCACTGAGACGTGTTTCTGCAGAGAGAAGCCCCGAGCTGAGACATTAGCTCCTATTAACACTGCTGCAGCCACTGTGAGGATTATCATTATAGGCTTTATTGTGCTGCAGTTTTCAGGTTCTTGCACACATAATTATCTTAAAAAGCAGAGATTTCCCCTTTTAGTTCACAAAAAGTTTGAAATATACGACACTTATAGAAGACCCTATACATCAATCATTGTAGCCTTGGGTTTAAGCGGCGAAACAATTGCTTTAATGCAGTCAGAAACCCAGCAGTAACAATAACTCAGTGCTGTTATGTTACAGCTGCTGCAAATAATGCCTCATTGCAGCCTGCAAAAACAATGGAGAGCCTTCCTGTCATGATGAATTGCTTCATGTATGAGTAAACTATGATACAGCACAAATAAACAACAGGCAGCTGTTTCGATTTATAATGCGCCCAACTGCAGAAAGAGACAAGGAAAAGGGGACTCTTGCAGTGACATTATGCACGTCTACCATTGTGCAAAAATACACAGATGTTGTTGGATCTTGATGGTCACTCATTTGGATTGGGACAGTAGCACCTAAATTACGCAGGGATAGGTTTTCTTAGGGCTGGGCAATATGGCCTCAAATCAATATCACGATATATTGAGCAGTTCACCTCGATAACGATAAATGGACGATAACTACTCTACGAGTTGCTCACCCACTCCCACATTAACTTTGATTTAACTAAGCGTGCAAACCTGCTGTGTAGACTGTCATTTAAGAGCATAACATGGATGTTTACAGGTGGATTGTGTAAATTAAAACTGATGCATTGGCACAGAAAATCAACTTTCACATCCCTACAGATCATATTTGTATTGTAAAGAGCACTTCCAAGTTTTTAAATATTTTAAAATGTGTAATTAGATTAATTTTAATACCATTTACTGGTGTAGACGTTGAGGTACTGGTGCTATATGAAGCAGAGTTGAGAGGGTAATCTATTCTTCACGCTCTGAATACACAAAGTAGGCCTGTTTATTATAAGGGTTTATTTTTAAACCGTGGCACTAAAGAGACACAGCGGATTAGTGTTTACAGTGAATTAAGTTTGTGTATACGAATTTACAGTGAGTTCAAGTGCAACAGACCGAAGAAGCCGGTCTCGTTTCCAACTCACAGAGCTGGAGAGGACCTGGAGGGCGAACAGCTCATGATCTAGGCTGCTCGCACAGATGGCCAGGAATGGAAAAAGCAGGGGTATGGATGGTAAAACAGCAACTCAGGCATAAGAGGCAGCAGCCACATAAATGTATACACCATGCAGTTAATGTAAACATCTTTCCTTCATGAGAATAAGACGCCATCTTTAGCAGATTTAGGGTCAAATAAATAGCTCTTAAAAGCATTGAGGACTGAGGCGCTCAGAGGATGAAGCTCCACAGTTACAGGAGCGCATATCAGCAACAATCACTCGTCTGTTTGTCCATGTAAGAGAGGAAGACAGAGGGAGTGAGATGCAGTTTGCCAAGTCTCAATAACCAGGTCAGACACATTTAGGTCAGAGCCATGTATCCATGCAGACAACTGCCGCATTCTCCCTGTTTGCCTGCTGGAGAGCAAGGAAATGGACAAAAATCCTCCTGATGCCTTTTTCAAGTCACACAGGAGACCCGCAGAAGTTATCTGAGAGCAGTCAGCAACAAAAGAGACAGTTCAATGAGGGGTTTTGGTTCATAAAGTGGAAGAACTACAGCCTTATAATAGCTGCAGAGCACTCTGATCAGTGTGGGAAAATGAGCTTTTAAAAAATGAGTGCCATGAAGAGTTCAGAGAGGTTTTTTTCTTCAACATAAACTAAAATATAATGTTTGTATTTTGCCTTTTTGGATGCAAAAACGTACAAGTAGGGCAGAGTTTGACACATCTTATCTAGAAGTTAAACAGTGCCGTATTCAGGAAGAGAGAAAATGGATGATTTAATCAATTTTAGCTTGACTAATTTCCAGATAGAGAAAAGGGGCACACTACCAGACTCGCTGTTTATGATGGTAGGGCTGAGGTGATAGTGTTAATCTCTGACTGCAGGTTGGGCAAATGAGCCACCGAGTGATTATCAGGGGGGCCTATTGGGGGTTTAACGTCATACCAGAGAGCAGTTTTTGCAGCTTTTTCAGAAACTGTGCATCATCATCCTCATCATCATCCAGCAAACTCAGATATACCCAATCATGCTAAAAGCCCTGCCTGCTGAAACTGAGTCTATGGGGTAATCAATTCAATGATTTTGTAGATATTAGCTCACATACATGAGGTCAGCTGACTCCATTCTGCCAACACATACAGCTTTTATAATGATTTGTTCCCTTTAAAACTACAGCTCTCAGAAAACCTGCAGTATGAGTGCCAGATACAAGAGCATTACAGAATTTTGCCTCACTTTTTCAGGCCTCTGCAGCTGCAAATTTTAATATTTATCTTAATATATGAAAAACTAACATTGAAAATATCCTTGCAACACTAAGCAGTTGAAGGAAAATTTGACTGTCAACTTCCAAGGATGAAAAATGTGCAGTTCTTAATGCAACGTTATCTTTTATTTAAAAATAAGTCCAGCTCTTTTCCAGGTTAGAGGCAGAACTCGAAAATGTCCCTCCAAAGTAACCATGGCAATGAGAATTAGAATCAATGGAACTGTTTACAGTCTCTCAAACTCACATCATGTATTGATCATGTGGTTCAAAGTATGCTCAGTGTGACCCTAATGGAGCTCTCTAATCACCACTTAGATTTTCTTCCTGCAACTGGTGTGTAATGGTTAAAAAAGGGAAAATAAAGACCCCATTGCAGCCAAAAGCGATTGCAAGAAGTATCAGGAATGTTGACCTTGGTGATGATCCAAGTATCAAATGTGGATTGATGCAAAACCTGCAGCGGTGTGAGCGTTATGCAAACAGAGAGGCCAGGGTGGAAGCCAAGCTGTCAAACGAGTCAATGATGAAATGTTGCTCTGAAAGATGATCCCGTTCCCCTACAGCAAGGCCCACTCAAATAGAGAGAGACATGTCATACCTTTATCACCTGGTCTTAGAGTCCTCACTGTTCAGGTCACAAGACATGCATGTCCATATTGTTTCCCAGACAAAGTGACTTTATGGTTAACCCAGACCGTCTAGACGTCTACAAATGTGTCATGGAGTCAATGTTGGGAGCACACAGGCCAAATTGGTGAAATCAAATCATCTAGTTTCTGAAACAAAGTGTGATATTGTGCTCATGCAGACAGCATATTTGACTAAATGTGGATAATGTAGTACAAAACAAATAAACACAGCTCAAAAGTTACCTGGATAAAGTTCGATTTATGCACACCAATCTTTGCATGAGTCTCCAGAGACCCATATGATAGTGTTTTTAAGCTGATTATCTCAAAGTCTGGTTATGATCGCAGAGGCGGAAAAACACCACAGTAGGGCCTGGCGATAAAACGATAACGATATATATCAAAATTAATTTCTCTTGATATCGACATGAAACATGGTCAATGTGCTTTTCAATAGTCTGCATTCTGCCATGTTTTGGTAGACTGTACGAATAGCTAGTGAAAAGGGGAGTTGCTTCGAGTCTGCGCTGTGCTGAACCAATCATGTGCTGAATTAGAACCAAGTAGCAAACAACTGCACAGTAGCAGGCAGCGGCATAGCACACAACAGGTGAAGCTGACAGCACTAGCAGTGAGAAAAAAAGAAAACAAGTGTTACACCCGGCAGAAATCATCATTCACATCACATCATTGACAAGACCGGCACAAAAATGTTGGTGGTGTGGAGATATTTTGGTTTTTTGAGGTCGGACATGAAGCAGGGGTGGTGTGCACTGCAAATCATGTTCCGGCAAAGTCGAGGAAGAGTAACAAGGAACATTTAAGATTGATGATCTTGATGATAAACTTTTTTCTATATCGCCCAGCCCTACACCAAAGTAAATACGGCGAGTGCTCCAGAAGAACCAACACTGGTACCAAGCAAATGTTTCTACATCTCAACTCTGTTACACCAAATCAAAGTCATAATAGAGAAAATAGAGGCAGTTTCACATGAGGAGTGGGAGTGGTTTTGCGTGCATGCTTATGCAAATTGCTCCTGTTGTTACATCATCATAGGAGCTGATTCAAATTGCCTCGTACAAGCAACGTGCTTTTGCTTCAGCATTGTCAGGGTTGCTACACCGGAGGATGACTCGCTTCCAAATGTGTCCTTACAATCAAAATGCAGACCTTCAGGCAACCCCTATTTATGATATGTTTATGGGGTATTAAAACGGCTATTTTTAGACTTCCATCACAAATGCATGGAGAGATTACTTTGCTCTAATTGACTTCTTTGTTTTCTAAGTTATACAAAGTCATGTTTTTGGGGTTTTATTAGCACTGCTCTGATTTTCTTTAATTAATCTCAAAGCTAATTTGATTTTCAGAGGTGCAGCTTCTCATTTCCCCTCAGTAAAAGCCTCATCTGTCTTTCTTTTAACATCTGTTGATGTTTTTCACTTCTGTACACATATCAAACCTTTGTAATGAATCTGCCCTCAAAGTAGGAATGTGTTTTTACTGCTTTCTAAAATAACAGCAACTATAATGGGAATATTGTGACCTTTTTTAAAGATGAAACAGGATGCTCACTTCGCTCAGAGCTAGTTTGGCAGGTGTATCGCGTGTTTTGGCCTTCAGGTGAACAGGGCGGGGCACTCTTGTTGTTTCTTGTCAGAGTTGGACAAATGTTTGACGTAAAAACACCACTTCTGTGATGGCAAAACAGTTCAGAACGGGAGGCTGTCCTCAGAAGCCACATCACAATAATGACAAATTGGAGCTATTTCTAATTGCTGAGGTAGGTGTTACCCAACTGCTGGAAACAACGCAGGCAAGACCACAAAGTAATGGCGGTATAACCTGCGGGTAGAGTTACCGGGAAGGTGGATAAATAACTTCTAGCATTTGGCAGCTGTGTGAGATAAATGGACTGCCTCTCATACCTTGTCATTTAGGACTCAAGCGCCTGGATCCCAGTGGATGGAAGATGATAGATCCGACAGCAACAATTTGCTTATCTAATGAAAAAGAACAAAGACAGAAGACAACATGAGTGGAAAAGCACAAAGTAAACAGTTCAAACAACAGTTTACTACAGTCTGGCAAGACATCTAATTTGGCTTTTGTTGCAGCAGGAATTGAAAGAAATACAGTGTGAGCAGTGCAAAAATAATCTATCGACCACCAAACATCAGGATGAACCAAAATAATAAGGTAAATGGATAAATAAAATACAGACATCTTAAGTCGAAGAACTGAGAGAGGAGCACTGATCTCAGATGCAGCAGCGAGCGAGGGAGCAATCTAGGGCTAGGTGATATGGCCACTAATCAATATCACGATATGTTGAGCAGTTCACAACGTTAAATGGACAACAACTCCTCCACAAGCTGCTCACCCACTCCCTTATTAACTTTGTCTACTTCAGCTGCCGATCCAGGCGCTACAACTTTGGAACCGTCCTCCATCTCCTCACCTGTCTTTCCCTCTTTGTTACAGACTGGATGGGGTGGAGTCACGTCTTTGATGGAGGACAGCGTCTTAAAGGGACATGAGACCATAGCCTACCTACACACATCCAAAATCAACTTTTATTTATTTATTCTTTAGTTTATCATCCAGCCCTTGAATCTATATCGAGGCTTGCGATTGCAGAGTTTTGTGAACAGATTGTGCAGCCCTGGTGCAGATCAACTCTGTGCATTTTAAAAATGGTTAAACACATCTTAATAAAATCACTTTATTTTGCATCCATTTAAGCCATAAGACGGACAGAAATTAATCCTTTCCTTTTCATGGGTTCATCAAAAGCTACTGCCAGATGCCCTGTGGCCTAGCACTACTCTGTGATCATCAAATATTACATGTAAATAGCCTCCTGTGCCTCCAGTATTTCCATACTAAAACCTTTCAAAACATAGTCCAGTGTGCTTATCCACAAAACTGAGGGTCTCTTGGGTCCAGTGCTTTAAAACTATTTGAGTGATTTTGTGTATATTCTCATTTGTTCTGTACATTACAGCTGTTATGCAGCAAAACATAAATAGCCAGGCAGGAATCTGATAGGTTCTGATAGTAAAGATAAACAGTGTCTTGCAATGCCTATCGCTGTATTGATCAGTTATCTAATCCCTGCAAGTGTTGCTTAAAAGAAACTGTCAAATCAAAACAGATTAATTGGATCAGATTAAGCTGCTGCAAAACCTTTTTTCCCCCTTAAATGTTGCATGGTGCATGGCAATTAGCAGTCCGATTTAGGTCAGAAGAGCCTCTTTCTCTCTCTCATCATGTTAAGTTATTCCTGCTGAGGTTGGCTCTGCAACTGTGGAAGCTAATGTTCGATATGTCGGACAAAAAAAAAAAGCTGATTTGTCAACAATCGAATGGAGGAATAATTTAACGAGTTTGGGATGTACTGAAATAGCCAGGCTCCTCTTATAAAGCAGAGTGAGTCCAGCCTGAGGACACGAGAAGCACAGAAACACAAGCTGCTGAGCACTGCAGAAGCACTTGTGTGAAATCATTGTCGTGAACAAACAAAATGTTCTTTCGTTGGTGAAATCTGCCGACTCCACGGAGGTAATCCGGCTCGTTTTGAATAAACAAGGATATGAACAAGTCTCAACCTTGGAGAGGGCCAAAATCTTGCCTCCTCATATCAGAGCACAACACAGGAGTATTGTCCCTGCATGCCTGGAAAAGCATTAGCCTTGCTAGCTGATCTGAGACTAACTGCGGCAGCTAGAAGATAGTGCAGGATGATGTTATCTCCACCCAGCACAATAGAGCTATAGAGCAGGAGAGAGGGAGGGGACAATAAGAGGCAAGAAGAGAGAGATTTTGACTTATTCATAGGAACTCCCAATCAGCTGGGAACACACTGGGTTGAACTGACTCATTAGTTTCTGCTCCACTTCCTCCTGGGTGCCTTTATCCTCATCTCATCTATTTAGGATACTGAATCTTTGCCAAACAAAAGTTCTCTCTGTCACATGCCAGAATAAAGCGAGAGAAGTGTCAATTTTTAAAACTGGGGTGTTGACGGTGGGGGGAAGGGGGCTGTGCAGCTACAGCAAAACAGCAAAAGCCTCCTCTCTTTTGTAGCGAGAGCCTCATCGCTGCTGCAACCAGACTGTGAAACCATGACTAGACGGTACAGGAAATGTCACCTTGCACCTTGTTTGAGTCCGATTAGAATAAAAGTAGTTTGTCAGGGGGACACAAAAAATATATATGTGCTTCTACATCAGGCGTTAGATAAGAAGCTGATTTTAAGAATGAAGCTGTTGAATATAGGTCACCACGTCTCTGTTTTCATTCCTGATACCCAGCATTTCTCTGCAAGCTTTAAGGGACTGTGGGAGACAAATAAAATGCTTTATCAGGAAGATACTGGATTAAAACTCAGTACAGGAAGTGGTGATGACCCTCGGATGACCTTTTCATTTAACTGACAAACGATGGCCGGGATTATTTTTCATCTAGAATATAGAATAGAATATTCCTTTATTGATCCCCCATGGGGGAAATTTTTTTGTCACAGCAGCATCACAGACAAAGAGTGCAAAAATGCAGTTATAAAAAAATAAAGATTGTAATATCAAGAACTTAAATAAATGTAATAATTAAAAAAAAATTTAGAAAAAGGAAAAAGGGAGAAGAAAAATAATAATTTGCCACAAATGTAAGCCACAAAACTCAAAGTAAAAGGTGCATTTCCACCGTGCAGTGTAGTTTTAGTTTAGTGAACTCTGAGCATGTTAGCTGTGAGACAGCTCCAGAGTTTCATGTTGGTTTGCATGGCGACAGATTAGATCTGTCAGACTGATAGTGTGAGCTGAGCATCTTGCACACATCTCACATCTGTTTCAGCCATTTCCCTTTGACTAACAAACTATATTTATGTCAAAAGCATGAAAGAGAGTCAAAGGGTATATCTATCGGACCCTTGAGGATGCACTTGGTACCCAAACAGAGGGGTGCCACAAAAGTAGGACAGTGCTGATGAGGTATTCTGTTACCTTCCCAACCTTGAGTTTGTGTGTTCACCTCTCTTGCTTCTGCAACCCCATTAAACATTAGGAAACCAATTTCATGTAGCCATAGCATCAACCAATTTTACACTGAACTCTTCTTTTCAATTCATACACACTTGGTTTAAAACAGGATAAAGTAGCAGAGCTTCAACTCTAAATGGCCCCTTGAGACTTCCTTAAAACACGATAAAGTAACGTGTTTTCTGTAGATCTTTATGAAGAGATAGTAAACCCAAACTTAAAGATCAAAAACTGGTCTCTAGTATCTGATTCAGGGAAAAAGAGTCAGGCTTGTCTCTGCTCTTTATGCAGTTCATCACACAGAAAGAGCCATCTAATAGAGTTGTTTGTCTTGTTTGCTATGGTAATAACATCATTATTTCTGATTACTGGCCTAATTGATTATTAGTTTAACCAGCTTCTTGTCCTGGACACTCTGTTCCTTTGCTCTGCTAATAACATCCCTGCACCAAACAGGAAGCCAAGATCCAGTGTGGCTTTTTCCAGATTGAAGTCAGACTTCTCTGTTCAAACACCAAGACTGCAGGTAGAGGTGAGTTTCATGACGACATCGACACTGAAAGGTGATACCTGTGGACCAAGGACGTGACTCTCTAGCTCTTAAGCAGCAAACAGCATAAGTAAACACCACAGTGGGTCACATCGCATGGCATTACTAACATGGTAAATTAAGGTCAGTGCACAAGGTGCTGCTTGACCAGCCTGCGTCCATTCAGCTGCATTAAAATTGCAGCATGCTGAAGCCAGTGAAAGCTGAACGTGGAGCTTCAAACCCAGCAGTTCGACGGCACACAAACCAGACACTTCAGTTTGATTTACTCGCCCGGCACGAGCTTAGTTAAAGGACCAGATTTGGCACTTAATTGCAGCTTGGGTGACAAATGCAAAGCTATTAAACCAAGTGATGCCACCCATAACTCACAATGTGGGTGCAATGACTTTGGAGTTCCTTAATGCATATGCTCATGTGGTCAAACACATCATACAGTGTATTTCATACTATGTTTTGGCAGGAGCTATTTCTGTCACTGAGTGCAAACCAAGTATATAGTAAATACCTCAGAGACCACAACTACATATGTATTCCTTTACAGCATTAACAAAGTGTAAGGTGTACTGTTTGTCTTAGGTGGTCCTCACAAATGGAGGTGATGTGATAGGGAATTTGCTTATTGAGCAGGAGGAACTAACAGGTCACAAGCCATCACTTAAGAAAAGTGTGAGGACTGAGAAGCTTTTAAAATCGGATTTGTGCAGCATTCGTTCTAAACTGCATCCCAACAAAAAAAAAAAACACTATGTTGAATTGAAGTTAATCACTTCATGCATCTGTGCAGAGAGATTTCTTGCCCCCTCATCTCTCCAGACTTTCGGGAAATCGATTCTGGACAACCCGGCCTGACCCTGACTTTCTCCACTCCAGCTATAAAACAAGGCTGCTGCATCCCCTATATGTAACATGCAGTCAAGATTAAGCCTCTCTGAATAAGATCTATTTGTTAATCTTCTTAGGGAATTACTGGGTCGATACGGACCCGAAATGAGTTGCTAAAGGAGGATGCAGAATCTAAGGACAAAAGAACCTGACAGAAGAAGAAGAAGTGGAGTACAGTACTTGAGCTATACATTATTTATGGATGGGATTTTTGGCTGCATGTTCCTCTGCAGTGAATATGAACGGACATGAATATGGATGAACCAGAACCAGGCTGCACTGAGTCACATTTCTGTCTCAAACCCTTATGAAGCAAATTTGGGGTATTTTATTTGAAGCACATGCAATCCAGCAATACAAAAGATGATATAGAAAAGCTATAATATGTTAAATAAGCAACTCCAAAGTAGGATTTTATGCCTTAATGTAGAGCACATTGATATGGCCTCAAATCAATTTCACGATATATTGAGCAGTTCACCTCAATAGCGATAAATGGACGATATCTACTCCACAAGCTGCTCACCCCCTCCCACATTAACTTTGTCTACTTCAGCCGTCACTCCAGCCGCTACAACTTTGAACCGTCCTCCATCTCCTCACCTGTCTTTCTCTCTTTGTTACAGACTGGATGGGGTGGAGTCAAGTCTCTAATATGGGACAGCATCTTAAAAGGGATATGAGACTATAGCCTACCTACACACATCCAAAACAAACCTTAATTATCCATTTCTTTTAAACCGAATATATTGATATGGTCAAAATGACGTCAGTTATTGTTGTAAATTTTCGGTTTATCGCCAAGCCCTACCATTATATCTTTAGTATACAGGGGGTTCAGTCTGTTAAGGCAGCGGGCCAGTTAAGCACAGAATCAGTCCTTGTTCACAAGCCATTTGTTGGTCGTTTTGGCGCTGTGGGCAGGTGCCAAGTCTTGTTAGAGAGGGAAATCAGCACCCCCTCTGAAATCTTCCAGGATCTTGACAGTCCTCCAAAGGCTGTAACTGTCCCTGTTGCTCGTACATCTTTTCCCCTTCCAGTCAACTTTCTATTTATACGCTTTCATATCATCCTGTGAACAGCCAACCTTTTCAGCTGTAACCCCTCTGCGGCGGCTCGCCCTTCTCGAAGGAGGGTATCAACAATCACCTTCTGGACAACTGTCAAAGCAGTAGTCCTTATCGTGATAGTGGTTGCATGCAGAGAACTGGACCAAAGGGTGCGTGCTATTTGTACTATCAAATTCCAAATAACGAAATCATGAATATATATCAGAGTTAAAAAAAAAATACTGAAACCTATACTCTAATTTGTCGTGATGCATCTATAAATTGTATTTTCTTCTGCAACCATCCTTTCCTGTTTTATGTTTGGGATGACTCAGAGTCACAGTGCATGGCTCTTGTCCTCTGCATGAATTTTACATGGCTTTTTTATAAGATAAAATATATCCGAAAGCATCAGGGTTTCTTGCTGAGATATTATTTTTGGTCTGTGACCAGCCCAGTCTGGTTATCCACGGCTCTGCCCAGCCGTCTGCATGTAATACCAGTTGGGCTGTACTGTAGGGAAGCAGCTTATAGCAGAAATATGACATGCGTTGAACCTTTTCTTGTTCAATGGTGATGAAATCTCTTTCAAAATCTTACCACTTACCACACAGAAGTTTGCAACATAAATGTCTCATTTCCTGCATACACACTGTCCTCATTAGCAATTATTAACGAAACCGAAACCAGATTTCACCTGATGATTGACAGCCAGACTGAAAGAGGAAGAGACAGATTTAAATTATCTTAACTGGGTCACAGCAACAAAGAAATCATGAGGGAGAACCTGTATTATTAACACATGCATATTTACACTGACTGACAATACTATAAACACTATACAACACTTTTAAAGTCAAGATAAAGACTCACTTCCTTGCACTTAATAGGCTATTCATTAAATATTGATATAAGCGGTGGTCAATGTGCTTGACCTGCTATTTGTTAACCAGCTTTAATGTCCACTGAGCAACAGACCAAGAAAAAGATCGATGCACACACTGGCTTATAAATTTGATTTATCCTCATGAAACAACAGAGGGGTGCTGATGCGATGCTGCTGGTCCACAGACCATCAAATAGATCACCTGTCCAAGCGGCAAACTATCCTATTAATTAATCTGCTTTTAACTACTCGATTAATGTGCAATTATTTTCAGCATTGATTATCTGTCTGAAATTATCACTAAGAAGAAAATCAAAAAGCTGATTCTCTGAATTTTGAATTTCAATACAAAACCAAAGAAAATCAAAGTCCATGTTTTGATCCCTCGCCTCTGCTCTCTCTGTCTGCCTCAGTCAAAATGACAACTTGTGTGTCATTATTAAGACGCTAAAAGGACCTTTCAAAACATCAGTACATGTGGCAAGTTCGTGGTGTAGCAGCTGTCACCGAGGGCAGACAGAGAGCAGGCAGGAGGAGGCTCGACTTCAGCTGCGAACAGATGAAATCCTGCCCTTTTCTGCAGGGTTGTGTTTCTGAGTTTGGCATGAAAGCGCTGAGGGAAGAAAATCCGACAACTCATCTCATCTTTCAGTTTTGCTGCTTTGTTCGCTTTTCTTCTGACTTTATCTCTCTGTCGATTGACCACCACTGCATCGCAGCTTCTGTCTGAAAATATGACTGCAGAGTTTTCCAAAAGCATCTGAAGTACTGACTGGATTTGATCAACATTTCTTATAAAGAATGAACATGCACTTGTAGGTTTGGGGGCTAGAACAAACTTATGAAAGTACTGCAATAAAACTGAAGACAGGTAATCAATTTTTTGCTCAGTAATGACACCTCTGCGCATGTATGTGTGAAAATGTGTGTGTTTTTATGGGTTTATACACAGATACAGGCGTTTATGTATTTATATGTGTATATGTGTGCATGTGATGGTAGATTTATGTGTGTATGTATACTGCATGTAGCATGTCAACGTTTCATACCTAGAAATTTACTCGGATGATGAGTACATGGCTGGGCTGCTGCCGTTACTTCAAGTTATTTTATGCCCCTTTTGTTGTAAACATTGCTGTTTGTTGATGTTTTTCTTCTTCTACTTCCATTTCTTCTTTGCTTGGCTGCATATTATCTAATTTGTGAATCAGTTTCTTGAAACAAGGGGTAGACAATAGAAGTTCGCTTCTTTCAGCCCCCTTTCAATCAAGAGTTACAGTATTGTTTTTTATGAGTTTTATTTTTGTTTTTAAATAAATGAACTAAAATTAAAACTATACTAAAACTGATTGAAAAGTCCGCTTAAATAGTAGAGAGGCCCTTGAGTGTGCAGTTTTTTCACTTGGAAATGTAAATGCTGGAGTCGACCCTCTTTCAGTGAAGCATCAGCAGAAGTCCTCAAATATATTGGCCATGCAGATACTGCTTAGTTGCATCCAAAGTGAGAATAAGGGAAATGGTGACAGTGTCTGACAGAGTGGATACTTGGTTCAGAGTGATGTGTCAGTGCTTTTTATACAGGCTGAGTCAGGTCAGTGGGACTGAAACATTACCATAAATTATTAATATCAGCTGGGGACATCCGTCGTCTGAATATAGCCCGCTGCAGATGGAGTTAGCTGTGCTGCAGCTTTAGTTACTGAGGTAATCCACCCTTATAAAGAGCAAGACTTTCAGGAACTTAAAAATAGGAAGGCAAACTCTCTGTTCTTCTTTTATTCCACCTGGATACACTACTCAGCAGGGATCACAGATAAGCCTCCAAAGAGACTGATTAATCCCATGACCTGGCTGGTCACATGATCACATATATGAAACAAATCTGTGGTTACATCCATTGTTGTGCAAGCTACACAACTGCTCCCAAATACGTCCAAACGCCGACCACACGAGGACGCGTCATCGTGAAGCGTTAAACAAAGAAACTCTCCAACCCAAACCAGTCGGGAGTACAAGCATATACACTTAATTTAACTAATAGCTCAAACAAAGACGTCACACCAGTACAAACACTCAAATCGTGTGTGTAGAGTGGAAGCCTGCTCCAGAAAGAAGCCAAAATGTCAACACTATATGTTTACCGCTCTGTTGCAGAAGCCAAACCCGAAAAAGAAGTGACACACGCCAGAGCTGGAAGAGAAGAGGCCCTGTCTTTCCCCTCTGGGTAACTTCTAAAGTAAAGCTGCATGACTGCGTGGTAAGAAAAGGCTTTGTTAATGTGATAACCTCGGTATGGGAGCTAAAAAAAACAGAGAAGCTGTTGACACTCTGAACTCTGACTCATTTAAGACGTATTACTTAGAGGGTACTCACTCAACATGACTACATGTTATCTACAGCTTATACAGCCGTGATCAAATTCGACAAGTTTGGACAGGCTGATTTGTCACACATTTTACCATTAAAGCAAGATCTGTGATTTCATATTGCGCTTGGCTTGGCTCTATCGCTATTCTGTTGTTATGATTAATTGTGCAGGATGACTTTCCAGAAGAGCACATGTGTCTTCAATCTGCACAATGACGCACTATTAAACACATGTTTCCAATTTATTAGTGGTGTTGCGTTAGTATAAAACAAAACGCCATAATAAAAGCGGGATTAAAGATGGATAAATCTTTACATTTTATGGGTGGTTGGGGAGCTTTTATGGAGCACTGGTGCCCGAGACTATCCCAGTTTATGATGATGTGTTAATATAGAAGTATTCATGATGTACGGACTTGTTTTTTGGCAGTGGGAGGGTTTCAGCTGGACAGTAAAGCCATTGGCAGACCGATTACTGACAGGAAAAAGGCTGCAACTGATTTTTAACTAAGGTTCTCAGACTTTTCCCTGATTCATCAAAACATTAAAATGATCCAGTCCAAAAGAGAATATCCCCGTCAAAACCTCGGGCTTTTCAAAGCCTCTGGTCTTGTTTAAAAGGGACCGTTTGGCTTTTTGTGCTTTGACAGAAGGAAATAGATGTGGATTAGGCAGGAAACTGGAATGACAGGTCGTCAGAACCAAACGCAGGCCTTTTGCTCCAGAAACTATGATGTCTGTGCCACAGACTTGAAGAAATCTCAATTATGTCACCCATTTGTTTCTGAAGCGGAGTTTCATGTTGGTTGAAAGCAGCCAGCCTCAAGTGGACACTCGAAGAACTGCAGTTTTTAGCACTTCTGCATTAAGGTCAGAGGTTGCTGCTTGGCGTGTGTTTTAATTTGACATCTCCATTGGTCTGCACAATATTATCTGTCCAATATCATCAGGTAAGAGCTTCAAAAGTTCATGATTGGCATATATGCAAAGTTTCGAATAAGGCGATGCACGAGTTATGCCCACACAATGACAGCTTACCTGAGTCAACTGCAAGCTTCAGTGTGTCTGCTGTATGGAAGCATTTTCAAATGTCTATTTTGAAGCACAGGTGACACGAGGAAGGGCAAAACAACACTCCTCAAATGTGACCAAATTTGATTGTGCGTCTCAGAAATGGCATCCTGAGGAGCACCAAGAATTTATGAAAAGGAAAAACTACTACTCCAACTTCCGTTGTTTGACAGAGCTATGAAATACAGAAGTGCTGCTGACTGCTGACTTATGACAGTCAAAGATATCATTAATCGTAAACATGTTATTTGGAAGTTGTATAAATAGGGCCGGTTCTTCAGCGGCTCAGCTGACATCTACCGCATCGTACCAGTTTCAGGCATTACAAACAGGATCCAACTGATTTATCGGCGAGCTGATCAAATTGGCCAATTTTAGCCCGTTTGAGATTAATCAGTAATCGGCCAAAACTCGCCAATATTTTCAGAAATAAGATTTGTTTTCTCTATGAAAATGTCCCGCCATTTGAAAAGTTCCCCGACTTATCCTGTAGATGGCGCAGCCACCTCATGACAATCTTCATCCACTACCTCACAGCACAGCAGAGTGACGGATCTGAAGCAGGCAGGGACAGGGACGCACGGAGGAGAGTGGTCCGCCTTATCGGTAAATAAACCAGCTTGTGAAATACACAATAAGTCAACAAGTTTCAGTTCAACACACTTCACGATGTTCCCCACCGTGCTGGTCTCGGTCACGCCGAGTTACCGGTGAAGCACCATGTAATATGCAAGCTAAAGTTAGAGTTAGCCATCTGCTATTAGCCTTGCTACACTGTTAGCCATGCCAGTAATGGTAGAATAAACAACAATACACATTATGATGAGACTGGACCGGAAATGTGTAACGTGAGCTAAGACGCGGAAGCACCGACCATTGGCAGTTGCGGCGGTGGGGGTGGGGGGTAGTTGAAAACGCTTTTCTGGTCCTGATCAGTCGGTCTTCCTGTCAGTGTGAAGAGGAGTAGCCTACAGTATATATTAGGCCTGGACGATATAGAAAAAAAGCATATCGATAAAAAATAAATCATATTGATCGATATCGATAATTATCGATATGATTATTATAATTATTTAACATATATTTTAATTGCAGCCCTGGATGTTTTTATGCTATTGCTTAATGATCTACTTTTAATAAAGAACACACAAGCACTGAATTCAAATTCAAACCTTTATTCAACCACCTTTTTTTTTTTTTACCACAACTGAAAGTTTTTTAAAAAAAGAACTAAAAAAAAAAGAAATCAACTTAAGTGGCCTGAGTGACATCAGTAAATACTGACAAACATAAAGACTAAAGTGACCAGAAAATCTGATAAATAAATATTTAAATAGTCTTTTGATGAAAATAAACAAAACAAACAAATATATAAATAAACAGAATAGCTTTAGGTGGGAATAGCATACTACCAGGTTTAACTGTGTGGGAAACTGCCCACAGCCTGGTGTCTGAACACTAAAATATTTCTCCCGGGGTCGGGAGATTTATTTTTTTTAATTATCATGTGATTGACTTAATACACAAACTAAGCAAGAGAAGCAGGACTTATCCACGCCGGTGTTGTGTCGTAGAATGCACCCCTGCCGAATGCACCCCCTGCTAGTAGCCATGATCCAAATACTCGCGTCTTTGTAAAATATGAGCTCATTTTCTTCCACTTTAAGAAGCTAATGAGTGGACGGGATACAGGGGTGCATTCTACGGTACAACACCGGAACGTATTTCCTCCGCACCCTTCTCACCTTTTCAACCCCTGACCCATTTTCATGCCTGAAGCGCTGTGTTTGAGAAATACTTGCGGCCGGGCACTTCATATCGCGGGTCGAGAGTGGCTAGAAGCTGGTCGAAGCCAGGCTTTTCAACGGTAGTTATTGGCAGTATGTCCCTTGCTATGAAGCATCTTACTGCATGGGTGATGTCCTTATGCCGCTCGAACGCTTTGTCGTATTTTGGCAAGAAACGAAGTCCAGTTTGGTCTGCTTCACATGCTTTGTGCTGGTGCTGGCAGCGGTTCCAGAGGATTCCTCCTCCGACGACGTGGAGCCGCGGCGCGGCCGACACAGCTCGTACTCCTGCGGCTGCGATCGGTTTAGATGGTAAAACAAGTTGGTTGTGTTACCAGACTTGGTTTTTACTAATTCTCTGCAAATTTTGCAAACGACCGCTGTTCGCTTTTTGTCAGACTTCTAAAAACCAAAACATTGCCATGCTGGTGAACTACTGAAACCTTTTTTCGGGACAATGTCCTCCGCTTCTCCTTGCTGTATCATTTTTTCTAATACACGTGCTGTCTGTTGTGGTTTGAGAGGGGCTGGGCTTGGTGCCGTAGCGTACCTGGGTCTGCGTTTGTGATTGGTTGGGAGGAAGTAATGACTGTAGTAAAAGCTACATGATAGGCTATGATGAAAAAGAAAGGGAAACTGTGTTTTTCTATCGAACTTTTTATCGACCCGTTTTTTTTCTATCGTACCACACGTCTATCGATCGATATATATTGTTATCGAATTATCGTCCAGCACTAGTATATATATATATATATATATATATATATATATATATATATATATATATATATATTTTATAACCTCATAAAAAAAATAAAAAATCTGATTAATCTGTAATCAGGCATTGGCCCCAAAAAATCCATATCGGTCGGGCCCTAATTACAAATGACAATAAACAAACTGCCAGTGTCATCGCTGGTGGTCTTGTTTCCAACCAACACAAATTTTAGTCTATTTAATGTAAAAAAAAAAAAGAAAATTTTAAAACTCCTCATAGGAGCTTTAAATGTCAGCAAACCTCTCATAAGCATCCCTGGTGTTAAAATTACTAACTCTGCCAGCACTCTATAATTAGGATATTAAATTTACGACCATTAGAGACCAAGAGAAAGTCCCTGACAGGGCATTTAACTTCAAACATGACAACTAGATTATCCTTTTTTTCAGTTTTTAAACCACCTTAGTGCTCAAATCATTTAGCCTTATAAGGAAATGAGTAAAGAAAACCATAAACAGAAAGTAAAACCAACACAGGCACCTGCTTTGAGAAAGAGAACGAGAGGGGGCTGGGCTGCTCACGCTATAAAACTCTCACAACTAGCCGAACGAAACAATGAAAAAACCCTACATTCAATCTTTTACTGCCGCTTTTTGTTCACTGCACCTATTAAATACATTTATCTGCAATAAAAACTGTGATAATAATGTGATAAGACTTTTATAGGTGGCTATTAAAGCTGAAATCTGAACTGGTTTCAGCTGAGACATGATATGAAGTACATTTGGCCGAGCTTTAGTGCTTTTCTGCCCCCTCTAAGTCATCATGGACATGCTGCAGTACATTAAAAGCAAAATACACATTGGCACACCAGCTGAGAACATTTCAACTGACTCATTTCCCAACAGAACAACTTATTCTCACAGGTTTGTTCTCTGTCGCAATACGTCACTGCAACTCTTTGACAGCGTCACGAGTGTTTAGACATTTAAAATGCATTCTTGAAGCTGCGTCACAACTTAACTATGCGCATGCTGCTCTAGGACATCTCTGTTTTGTCATTTCACAGAATTTCCAAGAACACTAAGGGAAGGAAAAGTGCCATTAAAGGGTCACACAATCTAACATACTGGAGGATTTCTGACCCTAAAATGAGCCATTAGACGGACAACTTAAAGTCCGAGTGAGCCAAGAACAATACGCTTTCTCACAGCGCTCAGTTCAGCAGACGTACTACACAAACACACCCTTTTGACCCTCTAATGTTTTCTCTTCAGCTGATATCCCATTGGCTCACAGTTCAGGATGATCACCATGACTGTGTCCTGTTTCAACAGGCATTACATCATCACGAGGAAGAACAGATAGAGTTTCATTTGACTTTTAAAGGAATCACCATCAAGGAAAACTAGTTTTAATCACAGAGCGAGATTCTGTTGGGCTTTTGAGAGGAGAAACTTCGGCAAACTGGGTCTTTATCCAGGGATTTTTCATTTCAGGAGGAATTATGGTGAAGCAAATATCACAATGGAGGCATTGTGGAAAGTGAATTAACCAGTTTTTAGGCCATGAAGATAAGAAAACACAGATCTGCAACTTTTCCTCCAAATTCTTTGCTTTCATTTTGTCTCCAAGTGGCACAATAACCTCTTATCCGAGTGTATCTGTAACAACACCACTTTGGCACCGGTGTGAGAATAGAGCAGTGCAGCTGAGAGCCTTTGTTTGACTGCACCTTATCTTCGAGATAAGGTCTGTTGTAAATGATCACACAGGAAAGTCCATGCATGACATGTTCACCAAACACAGGCTTTCAACACATCAATGCATACCACTGTGGCCAGACTGTTTCTGTGGATTATACAGTGGGTTATAGGGGAGAGCGGGCTTGCTTGCATAGCGTTGTTTGCCTTTGGTTGGGAGTGATCAAAGGAGGGCAGAGGGATGAAGCAAAAGTGTATAAGTCTGTGGAAATCAGGGTGTCAGCAACAGTTTAGTCTGAATCTACCTTTTGAACAGAGGAATAACATCTTATTAGTTAAAAGTGAGGCTTTTCCTCTATAGGACTTTTCCCACAGGCATTCCTGAAAATGTCCAGAAATTTTCAGGGCAGATGACCCCACATTTTCCCTCAAGTTAATGTGAACAAGATCTCAAAGATGACAGGCAAATCAGAGTCTGACGTCATGTTGGTAGCTTTTTAGCCTTTACATCAATGTTTTGCATGTCTCCCAGTTACAGTATAAACAAATGAGTGACAAAAACACACCAGCATGCAGGAAAATATACTGATATCATGTTGGATTACAAGCATCCCAGCTGTGGAATTTTCCTGACTTTTACCTGCTGCATTCTCACACCTGTTCAGCCTGATTTCTTGCAGGAATGTTACATGGAGACTGGCAGGGAAAAGTCCTGGTAAAGTCAGGTGTCTGCACTCACAGTTTATCCAGGTAATCTGAGTGAAACATCCTGAGATGGTGGTGAGAAGTGTCCATGCTGCTCTGCAGTACTCTGACGAGATGCTAGTCAGCAAAGTGAATTCTATGGTAGTCCTATTGATTCTTCTATTAACGATAAGCTGTCAAGGATGAGCATTCTTAAGATCCACAATTGCAGAGGTAATTGGAACAGGAGTCTTTGGCTCCTTGTCCTTTTTTCCTCTGTACTTCTGAAGTATTGCAAATAACCAATTTACCATCTATTCCTGACAATTTACAGTACTTCCATATGGCCAAAAAGTTGAAACTCATTCTTGGTGAGCTCAGGCTTTCATTGCTTAAGCTAAGTCATGGCTTGAGTTTTTATATCTGCCAATATTACACATGAACTTTTAAGCTGTTTTACCTATGTTGTGCCATTTTGCATCCCTAAGGGGGGAGAGATATATTGTCTGGCCGAGGTGCACCAATACCATAAGTGCTGGAAATGCAGGAAACATGATGGACCAATCATAAAGCTTGACGTAAATGTTTTCGTAATGCGTATTTACATTTTTCAGGAGTTGGCTTCTGCATCAGCACAGAGCAACGTGAACATACAGCATACACTAGATAGGAATGCATGATATGAAGGCATGTAGTTATCTGTCTGGGGTCCGTTTCTAATGGTTTGCTACCATACAGCCAACATGTGTAAACTGTGCACAGAATTAATACATCCTCTCATTGGTCGATAATGATATATGCAGAAATTTCCAAGCTGTCCATATCAATATCATGCTGATAATATTGTGCAGTCCTACAGCTAGGGTGTAGAGTCGCTGCAGAAATACAAATCAGGCTCAAACAAGACACTTCAACACAACAGGCTAGTGTGACAATTACTAGATACAGTTTTCATTCTTAGATGCAACATCACAGATCAATACAATGATTTACTGACCCGAAAATCAATATCATCTGCTCAAAGTGGACCAATCAATAGATGCATTTGTCTTAATTCTGGAGATCTTATTAGATTTAGTTTATGTGACTGAAGACGCCAGGAGGTAAAATTAAGAAAGGTGAAATAAGTACCTCTGATTTGGCTTGTACCAAATGAAATTCATCAAATATCAAGAATATTAAAACAAATACTGTAAATACTGTAATTATCTTATTGTTATCAAAGTCTCTGCTGCCTATTTTGTCATTTTTAGGCAGTGTAATATGCTCAGATCATTCTCAGATGCATTAATTTACGAGATCATATTGGTTTAGTTCACATGACTGAAGACTCCAGGAAGTAAAATCAAGACATCACAATGAAGCTGTCCCACTGATTTGGCTTGTATGTAATGAAATTTATCAAATATAAAGAATATTAACATAAATACTGTAAATACTGTAATTATCTTATTAGCACAAAGTCTCTGCTGCCTATTTTGTCATTTATAAGCAGTGTAATATATGCATAGATAATTCTCAGATGCAAAAATGTGTCATGGTTTTGGTTAGTAGGCCAAAAGCGGTGTGTTTTGGGGATGGGAAGATTTACACTGCGTGCATAATGTCAGGCTGTCACCGGTGTGTTAAAACCACAAAGCTCCTACTGATGTAATTCAGATAGTAATGAAAAACAGCCACAACCTGATGTTGTTTTGCACCTGAAAATGATCGACACTGCGGTTTTCTGAGCTTTCTCTTGGCTGCATATCTTGACAACATTTCCCATAAAGCAGTCCACAAAAATACAGACACCAACAACAAGGATGGACCTGCTGGGAAATCCGAAAATCAAACCTGTGAGATTAGCTCCAACATCTACGTCTAATCTTAACGGGATTAAATTACACTGGAGTTAAGTGGAGGGATAGTAATCTGATTAGTGGAGTGGTGAGAAAATGAAAACGCCGATATGTTGAGGGTACAGAGCATTAATCCTTCGAGGAGGCTGAAGGTGCTCTGCAACAAAAGAGGTGTCTGCTGCTGCTGATGCTGTTGCACTGCAGCTGTTTACATTATAATGTGCCTGACAGGGAAATATGAAGGAGTTATTTGCAGTGTCTTTTGAATGCACTGGAGCATGCTTTTATCAGACACTTGGGTGGCTCTGAATAGCTTTGGACAGCTGTTGATGTGAAACATACTGAGGGCAGGCAGCTGCTTCGGTCAGTTACCGTCTAAAACACCGATTTAATTACACATTTTGATATATCTATGTCCACATATGTATGACTGTAGACTTACAGTGTTCAAATGAGACTATACGATTATATTTTTAGCTTTTAAAGAGGCTGAATTTGTGTATAACTCAAGTCAGAATGGGACCCCTAACGATGCTGCGCCGAGGCTAGCAGCTATGCTAGCATGTTGTATGGGGCCCCACATACAAAACAGAAGCAGCAACTTGCGCAAACAAAAGACACCTACCTTTGTCAATGTTGAGTCAGAGTCTGCCTTTTAGACGTCCAGGTTACTGTCAGGGTGTTATCCAAAAATGACCACAAGGAGAGGGCATTAGCCAGCCTCGCAGATTCGCGTGAGGGTAGTTCAATGGGTTTTCGCTTGTGTTAGCATTAGCAGCGAGCTAACAGTTAACGTCTCCGTAGAGCGTCCTCAACTTGTTTAACGATTTTCTCCCCAGCTGTTTTCACACACTAAAAGTCCTCAACGTCCAGATGTTAACTCAAACAAAGTAAATCAACACGAAGACAGGTGAAAAATAATCCTTAATTTGTAAGATTTTCTAACACAGAGCATTAAAAAAATCCAAAATGTCCACGACATTCAGCAAGGAAATACAAAAGGCAAAAATGCGCCGTACGACCTCCGGCAGCGCGACAGCTTTTCTTCTAAAGTGTGCCGCACCCAGGTGTTTTCAGTCATAATCTCCCGAGCAGCTTTTCACACAGACGACCGGAGCTACATGGAGGCTGTTTGAGAACAACACGAAGCGGTGGGTTTCTTCTCTGCGACCTCTGCTTGAGTGTATGTGTGAGTGAGTGTGTGTGTCTACATGAAGAAATGGGCTGTCCACCAGAAGTCGCTTTTCCAGCTCAAGTCGTGATGCGTTCAGGGTCTCATTCAGACACTCTCATTTAATACCTGCATCTTTCCCCCAAATACACTTGAGAACATTTTTCTCTCTAAAAAGGGCCAATATAGAAATCAGATTAATTTGCTAAACGCTTTATTTACATTACTGCCAGTTTATAATTCATTGGCTTGTTTATATTTCTAATTATATCAACAAATGCACATGGGGGTCATTGCAGATACTAAACAAATCACACAGATTATGTAGTGCACTTTTGCCATTGCACTGTTTTTCATGTGAACTATTTACCTATTTTGCAACATTAAAGCTCCTGTGAGGACTTTTTTGGCGTTCATGCAATAGACTGAAATGCGTATTGATGTGAAGCAAACAAAACCATCACTGACAAGATTTACATTTAAACTAAGTTGTGCGAGGGGGTAGGTGTAAGCCATAGACTGTATATACAATGGATGCCGTCTGCCTCCTTGCTGGGTGAAGCCACTCCGAGAACAGCACCCTCTGGTGATGGGCTGCAGTATAGTTCATAAATCCCGCCTCCTCCAGCAATCCCTATAGAGCTGTGGACAAACTTTAGAAATTCATTACACAGAACATACATTTTTCCCCCCTACTTGTGATGTTGACATGTAGTTATTGTGAGACTGGTTTGTGCTCAAGTCCTCTTTTTTTTCTGTACAGCTCCATTGTTAAAAGTTATTAGGGGGTTTATGTTTTCTATGATCGACACCTGATACAGCCTATGGGCATACAAGGATTGCGTAGCTCACCCGGAGGATACGCTGTTTGAGCCGAGCGTCATCACAGTGACTCTCGGGAACTCTGCCGCCGAATGCGCAAATTGCTACTGCACAAGTGGTGGAGTGCGTACAACGTTACTGTGCAATGTTGGTTTCAGGAAAATCCATATACTGGCGGAAAGCGGAACCAAGTTATCCATAGTATATACAGACTATGGTGTCAGCTAAGAAGCTAATAAGACAGCTGTTTTGGCATTTTCCAAAAATGATAAATTTATTCTGAAAATCATAGTTAGCATTGAAACAGTTACCGCTGAAACATGCTTTGTCCAGAGGGGGCGCTAAATGGACCACAAATGAAAGTATCTGACAGGAGCTTTAATTATATCACGTCATCGAGATGCATATTCAATATGCAACTTGGTGCAGTTTCTCTGACTGTGCATCACCATCCATCTGTATGTAAATAGATTAGATAGATATATTTATTTACATTTCATATTATTCTATTATAACTTTACAACAACTGTCATATTCTCCAACCCTTGTCGAGAGCTGGTCCACTGAAGGACCCATAAAGTATCTGCATATCTTAATCATATTAATAAGACAATTAATGACACCACATTAAATGTACAGTCTTTAATTTTATTAAAACAAAAGGAAACAGTCTCATTTATGAAAACTGCTTTTCTGCATCCTAGTCTTTACATACACAAGTACTTGTGATCCAGTGGTGCCCCCTAGTGTACACATACTTTCATTACTTGCAAGTCTAAAACATATGCAAACCCTTCCTCCAACAATATGGTAATTAGGACATTTTTCTAATCCCATTCTTGAGAGGAGAGGTATGAAGATATTTCATCTTAATAATAGCCTAATGCCTGTTAAGCAGGGAATTTATACGGATATATCAGAGGAGCATATGGCGAGGTTTTGTAAGACATCCTGCTCTGACAGGTGCAGTAAACGCCACATATTACACAATTGTTTCAGTCCCTTTGACTGTCAAGTCACTTTACTGCCATATATATATATATATATGCATCTAATTTAAATCTTTTGTCATAAAAAGGGGAAACTTGTGTAATTTCTACCCTAAAAATCACACAATTACAGCTTGCCAATATCCTTAACAAATACATGAAAACAAACACGTTACTTACAACTGTTCTCACACTTCAAGACCCTTATTATCATTTATATTTTCATATTTTACACATGAATAATACACATTTACATTATTATTCATACATGTGTTGTCCACACTGTAAAAAATCAAAATGTTTAATACTTAAAAGACCCACTGTACATTTTATTACAAGGAGTATCCAAGATTTAACGTACTATTTAACAAAACAAACAGGTAAAATTCATCACCAGGAACACAAAATCACATGAAGAAAATTAGAGCATCAACATATGACATCAGGAAAAAAACATAAAGTCTTTATTATATGTCAGTTTTTGTTTCCTGAGACTTCATAAGTCCTTTGCATTGAAAGAAGGCGTCCTGACATGGAGTTCGACCCAGGAAGGTTTTCAGCATGTCCATCCCGTCCACAGAGCCGCCTGCTTCTAGAATCACCCTCCTGTACTCTTTTCCAACCTGTTACAAAAAGCAGACATTTAACTTTTGAGACATTTCACCAGATAAATAGAAACGATATATGATATGTTTACAGTAAATTTACACTCACCTTGGGATTCATGATGCCCTCTTTTTTAAAACGACTAAAGTACATGTCCATAGAGTAGACTTCACTCCACAGATAGCTGTAGTACTGACCGTCATATCCTCCGGCCAAGTGGCTGAAACTGGCCGTCATGTTTGTACCTGCAGAGGACAAATTAAAACATTCATTAGAGGCATGTGTGCATAAAAAGTGATTTAATATAACCTTAAATATGAGCCATGAATTCCTGTCTGAATTATGTGATTTTGAGCGCAAAGTTTTCATGAGTTATCTGCATGTCCAGAAGGATTGACTAAGTATTCCATTATGCTTCCCATATTGTGTCTAAGCAACCCTAAAAAACTGGTTGTGCATGTTTATATACCAGAAACACCACCGTCCTTATTTTAACTCCATACCTGGTGTAGCAGGAACACCCAGGATATCTTTGCAGTGCTTTGCGAACACTTCAGCCGTGTCTGCGTGAGAGCTGGTGTGCAGTGTCTGGTCCACCTTACTGAGGACAACCTGACGTAGGTTCATCATTCCTGAGGATGATAAACACACCATCAGCTCATTCACAGAGAGTCTTGACTTCTCTGGATAAATGCTGAATTTAAGAAAATTTAAGTTTCTGACCGGTGTTAGCCACTCTGGATGCGATCAGCTTGTCCAGCAGATTGTCAGGAATCTGTGTGCCGTCTTTGTAATGCCCGGACATCCTTCTCAGCGGCTCCTTCTCCCAAACCCAGTTCTCCAGCATCTGTGAAGGCACCTCCACAAAGTCTGTCTCCACCAGGGTCCCGCTAAATTCTGAGAAAGTGGTCTGGAAACAAACACATCAGAGGTTCAAGCTTAAAATAGAATCAACAGAATCCAAATGTAATGAAACTGCTGATCACAGTGGTTTACCTTGGAGCAGAGCTCGTGCATCACGTGACCAAACTCATGGAAGAAAGTCTCCACTTCGTGGTGCTGCAGCAGAGACGGCCAGCCTTTCCTAGGCTTGGTAAAATTAGCCACCATAGCTGCCACTGGAAGTCGGCGTTTTCCATCAGGTCCTCTGCAGCCTGGCTGCAGCCCGAAACACGCTGCATGGCCAAACTTTCCGACCCTGGTGGAAAATAAGGTCAGACGTGTGACACAAATAAAACCACAAAGGATCGGGGGCTGTGGTCCTTCTTATAGTTAATAATTCGCTTGTTTTTCGTTATCTGTAAAGAAGGATAAGCTTGTTGGAGCAAATAAATGACCCAATAAAGTTAATTAAGCAGAAACTTGACTGACAGAAAATCAAGTTGCACCTTTTTTACAATATAATAAAGCAATAAAGCTAATAACCTTTATTAGAGGGGAAATTCAGTTTTATAGCAACAATAGTGATAAAACAGAAAGAACAGGTTATAAAAGTTTAGAGACAGATCATAAACTTCAGACTGTTAGTAAGTGAAGAGACTATAAATAGACCTGACACACATTCATAACCAAATTAAGAGTCAAATAGATAACAAGACTGGAGCATGTTTGCTTTTTCGTGGTCTTATCCAACTTCTTCATCCAACCTGCTGTTCCTAAGTTCAGACTCAAGGTTTGAGACAGGTCTGCACAATAAATCCTGAATTTATCAATGTAGTTTGAGTATTTGCAAAAATCTTAATTTATTTTGACAGATATGAGTTTTTCTGGGTTCCTCTTGGTTTATGTTCTCTGTTTGCTTTTTTTTTAGATTCATTTTTGCTGTTTTTGATGGAAAAGCTAAAAAGGGACAGGAAATGTGGGTAAACAGAGAGTGGGGAAGAGATGCAGCAAAGGATCTTGACTGGTAGTGGGATCATCGATCACTATAATGGGACTCCAAACACTGTATATGAGGCCAATTAAACCACTCGACCGAAGGTCATAGTCATTTAAAAAAAAAAAAAAAAAAAACAGTTTAATTTATTTTGGTAACTGGTGAGTTGCAGTTGCATGAGTTGTGGTTGAACCTACGTAAGACTTAAGTACATTTTCCTAAGGTTATAAATTGTTTCTTGCTACTGTACCGATATCATATCATTATTGTATTGTATCATTATATCATGAGCTGGACCTTACAAATGCATATGGGTCCATACCCCACAAGCTGGTCAAAGAAGCTCTACACCGGCACCATGTCCCAGCCAAGTTCAGAGACCTCATATTGGACTATTACAGCAGGTTCAGTCTGAGAGTCTCAGCAGGGTCCACAACATCGGACTGGCATAAGCTGGAGAAAGGGATCATAACAGGATGTACTATTTCTGTGATCCTCTTCACTCTAGCCATGAATATGCTAGTGAAGTCTGCAGAGGTCCAGTGCAGAGGGCCCCAAACCAAGTCCGGTGTCAGGCAGCCACCCATCAGGGCCTTCATGGACGACCTGACTGTGACAACACCAAACGTCCCAGGGGGCAGGTGGATTTTGAAAGGCCTGGAGGAGCTAACCACCTGGGCCCGTATGACCTTCAAGCCCGCAAAATCCAGAGCTCTCGTGCTGAAGAAAGGAAAGGTCACCAACAAGTTTCACTTCACACTCGACAGCACCCAAATACCATCCATCACTGAAAAGCCGGTGAAGAGCCTGGGGAAAATGTTCAGCTGTAGCCTAAAAGACACAGCAGCCATCCACTCAACCAACCAAGAGCTGGAGGCATGGCTAGTCACAGTGGACAAATCTGGCTTACCGGGCAAATTCAAGGCCTGGGTGTACCAACATGGCATCCTCCCAAGGATTCTCTGGCCCCTCCTGGTGTATGAGATCCCAATCTCTACAATTGAGAGCTTCGAGAGGAGAGTCAGCAAGTTCCTAAGGAAGTGGCTGGGACTGCCTCGAAGCCTCAGCAGCATCGCACTATACGGGAAAAACAACATGCTGAAGCTACCGATCAGCAGCCTGAATGAAGAGTTCAAGGTGAGCCGTACTAGAGAGGTGCTGCAGTACAGAGAGTCAAGCGACCCAAAAGTCTCTCAAGCCGGGATCGAAGTCAGGACGGGGCGGAAGTGGAGGGCAGCAGAGGCCGTGGATGCTGCAGAGTCACGGCTGCGGCACAGGGTGTTGGTGGGGACGGCGGCCCAGGGGAGAGCAGGCCTAGGTAGCGGCGCAACACCTCGCTGCGACAAGGCTAAGGGGAAGGACAGGAGGGCACTGCTCCAAGGAGAGGTGCGAGCAGCAGTGGGGGAAGAGAGAACCAGCAGGATGGTTGGAATGCGGCAGCAGGGAGCCTGGATGCGTTGGGAGCAGGCGGCAGAGCGCAAAGTCACTTGGACTGAGCTTTGGAAAGCTGAGCCCCAGCGCATTAAATTCCTCATCCAGGCCGTCTACGACGTACTGCCGAGCCCGTCTAATTTATTCTGCTGGGGAAAGGTTGAGTCGCCTGCCTGTGCACTGTGTCAGAAGAGAGGGACCCTGGAGCACATCCTGAGCTGCTGTCCAAAAGGCCTGAGTGAGGGGCGCTACCGCTGACGCCACGACCAGGTTTTGAAGGCCATAGCAAACACCATCTGCAATGGAATTGCCCACTGCAAGCACCTGCGCCCAACAAGGAAGTCCATCTCCTTCATCAGAGCTAGGGAGAAACCACCAGCTGCTGTCAGGACCACCTCCTCTGGCCTGCTAGCAACGGCTCAAGACTGGGAGCTGAAAGTTGACCTCGGGGAACAACTGGTATTCCCAAAGAATGTGGCCACAACATCGCTGAGGCCAGACGTGGTACTGATCTCAACATCCTCCAAGCAGGTCGTGCTGCTGGAGCTCACAGTACCATGGGAAGACCGAATCGAGGAGGCCAACGAGAGGAAGAGGGCCAAATACCAGGGTCTGGTGGAGGAATGTAGGCTCAATGGGTGGCGGGCAAGATGTGAGCCCATCGAGGTGGGATGCAGAGGGTTCGCAGGCCAGTCCCTCTGCAGAGTCTATAGCATGCTGGGCATCACAGGACCTAGAAAGCAAAGGGCCATCAAGGAGGCCACGGAGGCAGCAGAGGTTGCCTCACGGTGGCTGTGGATCAGGAGAGGAGACCCGTGGGTAGGGTAGCATTAACTGGACACAAGCTGGGGATTGATCACCCCCGGCTGGGTCGCCTGGAGGAGAGTGTATGATGCTTGAAAGACCCGAAACACTCGATGATCCCAGGTAACATCACTGATGATGTGTCCAGGTTGCATCACTAGGTGATGTATGTCACAAGTCGTTTCTTATTGTAACTTATCTAATATATTTATAATGTTTCTTGGTTTCAGTTGAAATGGTTTACTTCTTTTCTATATCCAATGTGAATTAAACTTAAATCCTTTCTAACTGTTGTTTAAATAAAATAAGACATTTTAAGGCACTCCAAAAGGCTGAGAAATTGCAAATAGCATTTTTCCACACTATCTTGACTGAAATAATTCACATAAACAAACAAAAAAACTCATTCAGACTTTATTCTATCTTTGTTTAAAGTCATTTTTTGGCTGCAGAATAAAAATAAATCACTTCTCTGTAATTGAAGTAACAAATGTCTCACCTTGGATGCAGGTCCATGTAGAACTGTCCGACCTCCTCTCCAGTTTCAGCGTCCCGGGCTGAGTAAAGCTTCACATTTTCATGCCACACTTGAGCAAGCTCCACCTCGGTGAAAGTGAGACCCAGCAGCTCCTGGTAGATTCCAAACAGTCCCTCTGTCACCACATCCAGCGGGAAATATTCAATGAGTTTGTCCTTGTTCACCGCAAACTTGCACTGCTCCACCTGGTTCATGTAGTACGGTAAGTCCCAAGCGTTGATCTGTCCATCAAAGTGGAGGCCCTTCATCAGACATTCCCTCTTCTTCAAAGCCAGGATGTATTTCCTCTCTTTGATTCCAATCGGCTTCAGTTTTTCATAGAACGTATCTGCAAAATTAGGAGGAAAAGAGCAGTCATTTTATTTTAAGTGAACAAACTCTATCTTTGTTATCTCTAGAGCACTAATGTAGTTTCACACTGGTGTCACTGGGAAAGCTTTACAATGGTTAAAACCAAGAAAGTATTTTGAATCTATGGGAAACCATGTGTCCTCAACTGCCTTTATATTACATGAGGTTCCTCAGGGTTGAGTTCTGGGTCCTGCACTTTTTTCTTCACTCATGCTTCATTCAGGACGGTAGATGTTTTGTTTTGGTTGCACAACCCTGAATCCAAATCCTGGTGGGAGTGTGATTTGAAAACTATTTAATCTCTATTTCTAATTAAAAATAGTGCAAAGACTAAATATCTAATGTAGAAACTGAAATTTTTGAAATTGTTTTGCTGATTTTAAATTTGGTGCCTGCAACAACTTTTTTTTAAAGTTCAGACAAGGACAACCAAACACTAAAAAGTTACATATAGCAGGTTGAAGCATGACTGGGGATCAAAATGACATTACAGAGAGGTTAAGTTTCTCAGATGTAAAGACAGGAGGAGATTCACCGTCCTGTGAGAGACAGTGTGAGCGTATAAAGTTTAAAATGTTGACATTCATTTTGGATATCATGGATGGAAAAGTACTTTAAGGAGTTTTTAGGTCAATAATTAAAATAAGAAGAAAAAGTTTACATTAGGTTGGTTATCTGAGGTGATAAGACAGGGAGACTTCAATCAAGCCCCCTCCACTCCGTGATGTGCGACCACATGTCTCCATGAGCTATAAATTACCGTTCGTTACTCAACATACATGTGGCATGTGGCGCAACATACACCGCAGGCGTGTGGTGTCACCTTTCTCCCTCTCCTCTGATTCCGTATCTTCTTCCACATCTACCTGTCATGTGAACCCATAAATTTAAATAATGCCGAGCCATAATCAGATGGCGTGATATATGTCACAGTGTGTTTTTCGCATGTGCATGTGAGGTGAAATGTCACGGAGGGGTCATACCTAAAAAGTCAGACACATTGCTGGCATTCTTGGCCATGTTGATCTCTAGCACGTAGTTTGCATGATTGCTGTAACCCAGTAAGTCTGCCACCTTCGCTCTCAGTTGTATCAGCTGTTCCAGGATCGCCGTGTTTACCTGGGCAAGAGAAGTAGACAAAACACTTCACAGAATAACTAAAATTCTTCTTCTTATTGTTTAGATGTATGAGTACAAAATGTAGGAAAACAGCTCATGCGTATGAAAAAAAGTAATATAAGTTGCGTGTAAAGAAAAATATTTAGATATTGACAAATTTAGACGAATCAGACAGAATTAACATGAATGGGATTTTACATATTTTTGACTTTTTCGTGTCTTTCAGGCAAACTTACATAACTGTTTATTGAAATGTACACCACAAGTGTTCACTGACTGTGAAGCCTAAAGATTTAGAGCTCCCCCTACTGACTTGCTGTAGTACAGGTCATAAATCCCACCTCCTCCATATTAACAGAAGAAGCATGGGTTAAATTGTTAAATTAAACTAGACATCGTGAGTTTTTCTCAAATATGATTTCCATCGTAGTGTTCACGTCCAAGTATTCATTTTTCACTTAGATTATTCCAAATACAGACAGTGGGTTTGGTAAAAACCTTTATTTAAAGCTCCTGTGGGGAACTTTTGGTTTATGTCAATTTTGGTGCCCCCTGTGGACAGAGCAGTATTTGCTTATCTTCTTCTCTACATGCTTGCAAAGTGTCTTCAGACAAGAAAATCTCCTCCTGCTGACTCCATTGTGAATATTTTACATACAAATTGTAAAAACAGAGCTGTTTCTTCAGCTGCTCGACTGACACCTACCCCCTCACGCTGGCTTAAAGCATTAAAAATAATAACATAAAAGTTACCAATCTTGTCACTTGTGGTCTTGATTTTATTTTACAAATTCCCTGTTTTCCAGGTTTTTATGACTGAACAAACCCGGTGTAAATCATTAAATATGATTTGTATCATTTGTATTATTTTTCAACAACTATATTTTCCTACAATTGCTTTGTATTTCTGATTCTTTTACCTGTTGATTTCACATTTGTTTGAAGGGACTATCTGCCAATTAAGTGGCTTTTGGACAAATCTTTATTCAATGACTAAATAAGTATGCACAGAAATAAAAAAAGGGGGTATAAATTGAAATATTAAAGCTTTTATTTGCTTTTTTGTCTTTATATTTCTACAATTATTGATCTTATCTTTTTTGTTCTTTTTTTTTTTTACCGCATGTTTCACAACTTTAATACAGTAGCAGGAAAAATGGTTTGGTTTACAGTAGCAGTAATTTAATACAAGCAGGTGCAGCTTTACGCTTTATGGATTTGTGGGTAACCTGATTCTTTACGGGGGTGGATAAAATCCAAAGAGAGGTTTTTACAACTACAAAAAGAGGACAGAGAAAGCCCCTTGAAATAACTCAAAAATCAAGTTAAGATTCAATGAGAAGGTTAAAAAAGAACTGCTATAGAACTGTCTTACTGCCCTTCAGGTGTAAATGCATGAGCTGCAGTGACATGATTTATTGTGGTCAGGTGTGTGTAGGACCTACAGCTTTATGATCAGACTTCACTTACCTCTTTGCACCTGCTGTGAAAAGCCGATTCCATCTTCCTCCTGGTCTCGGGATTGTGACACCTCTTCATGAGTGGGAAATAATGTGGATACTCCAGTGTCACTATATAGCGCCCATCTGCTGTTTTTTCCAGGCCGTTCAGATAGCTGTCAGCCAGACCACCTGAGCAGAAAAGGCCAACAAGCTAATTAAAAAGTCCAAACATGTTTGTAACACCAGGCTGAGTTTCATGCTCAAAGGCTCACCCAGTTCCTGCTCAGAGAAGACGAGGTATGTGTTGTCTTCATTCAGGTTCTTGTTGAACTCAATGGAAAGTTCGGTTATAAGCTTGGAGGTTCTTTTAACCTCCTAAGTAGAGAAAAATCAAAGACATAAATAAGAAATGTTATAACAAACAGATTTTTATAGCTATGACATAATAAAAGCCCAAATAAGACCTCAAAATTATTTCCATAAAAGCTCCTATTAGGAATTTTTTTATGTTTTATGCCCACTTCTCTGGACCTGAGCACATGGACAATCATGGACAATTGTCTCTACTCTAAAGAGAAGAAGTCCAAAACTTCTACTTTTTTTGATCTTGTAGATTTCAAAATCTTACAATTATGTTGTAAAGTGAGGAACAATCTGCTCCTGGGTTAAATTCAGAGGCTGTTCTTTGGGAGAATGGAGGGTTATAACTTAAGAGGGAAATTATACATGTTATATTGGGGAGACCGGGGCTTGTTGTCACACTTTTTACACTTTTATATATTTCTTGAAATCAATACATTATATATAAACAAAAGGTGTACCAGATGAAAGACCAAAGCCTCAGGTATTTGGTATTCATGTCATTTTCATATCTTGTGTCAGTGCAGAGTTATAAGCCATCAAATAGAGAGTGTGAACATGTGACATGTTGCCCCACCATCGGGTAAGTTGTCTCACTACACGGGGTAAGATGTCACAGTGGATTTTGCAGCTAACAACACAAGGACAAAATGATTGTTCTCATTTTTTTACATGAAAGTGAACATCAAAGTCAAGCACAGAAAATGTTTATCATTGAGCTAGAAAAAGTCATTGAACATAGCCATTAAACGAACGTTAACATAAAATATTATGCAACATGCTCTGGAGTTTGGACAGCTGACTGACTGTATTTCGGCTGGGGTGAATGTTTTGCAGTACCGTGCAAAGGTATGGTAGTTAACATTAAAGTCCTTTATTGTAGTCCAGATTGATTTATCAGCTAGGGTCACCTGTCTGACTGCCCTCAACATCCCGTCAGTTACTGCTCTGCCATGTTCAGTTTTTCTTTTGTAATTCCTGACCATGTCCCCTCTGGAAGAACTTTATTTTGAAATATATTAAGTTTTTTTTTTCCCCTTTGGGTTGTGCAAAATGGTTAATTGGCGCTCATCTAAGCTTACAATGTGCTCTTCTCTTCTTAGACAGGACACAACCCCTGACCATGTAAAAGAAGAAAACTAGTATTCTACTTTTTAGTTGCGCCCTCTGGTGGCAAAGATGATTGCAATGTGACAACTTACCCATGTGACAACAAGCCCCTGTCTCCCCTACTATATATTGCTGCTCCTTTCTCCTAACAGCTGTCATTTTCATTTCCTAATAAAGACATCGATCAAAGAGAGACCACCTGGCCTGTAGTTAGTGCACGGTTCAAAGCCAGCATCCGTGATGGTATGTGGATGCACAAGTGCTTGTGGCATGTCTAGCTTGCATATCTGGGATGGCACCATTAATGCTAAACAATGTTTACAAGCTTTGCAGTAACATACGCTGCAAGTCTAGACAATGCATGTGATACAACAGCACGGCTCTGCAGTAGAGGAGTCCTGGTGCAAAACTAGTCTGGCTGCAACCCTGAATTAAAAACTAATGAGAACATTTTGGTGCATTATGCAATAAAAGTGCATCAAAAGAGACTGCTAATCAGCTGAACACCCATATCAGGCTAGAATGGCGTGTTATCTTTGCTCACTTTTTGACTAAATAATGCAGGCTTTAAATGACTTGCAAACAACTAAATTCTCTTTTTATCAACATTACTGGTATTTCTGCAGCACTGATTGTAGAATGACAGTGTTTGTAATCTGTTTGCAGTTGTTTTATGATTGATTCATTGCTTGTAGATCAGATTTTGCATTACCTCTTGGATGTCTTGAGACAGATGCAATCCTTTCTGCTTCCCCAGAGTAACAAGCCTGTTTAAGAATCTCTTCTCTTCAGGTAAAAGGTCATCTTGGAGCTTATTCTGTCATAAAATAATCACAAAAGACAAACAAACAATTTCATACACGCAGAAGTGTGGCTATTACATAATGTTGTTTCCCTATTTTTACTAGCTGGCAACTGATATGGGTCAGTGAGTGAGTTCAGGGTGGAATAACATCTGGCATTGGCTGGCTTTAGTTAGCTCAGATTCGGTTTCTCTCCAAAGCTAAATAAGAAGCAGCAGAGGGGTCATATGAGGGTAAAATATCTTTGATCTTAACATAAGACCCTTCAGTTATGCACATCAATCACGGGCCCTCATTTGCCTCTGAGAGATAATCCAGCTAATGTTATTAATGTGTCACATACTTACAAGTTATATTTAATTAGCCTCACTTCCACTCTGTTAATGGGAAAGATGTCTTTAACACCTCATAACAAACTTAGTGGACTAGAGTTCAATCAAGGACAGTTTTTAGATCAACTTTCACGTCTTCATTGAGGTGACGGATGTGTGAGCATCAGAGCGTACCTGCAGAGCGGTAATTCTCTTGAACACATCTTCCCTCATGCTGATCTCCACGTCAAACTGAGACAGCTTCTTGTCTGCTTCCGTGCTCGCTGTCCGGACCTCTTTGGACGGATTAACAAACTGGGGGAAATCGAGGAAGTGGCGTGATGCTGAGGGAACAGAATGAATAGTGTTAGATATGTTGAGGAAATCATCAAGTTTAAAAACACTCTCAAGAAACCCCAATCAAAAGCGAAATCTTTCAATATTCCCACTCTGTACTTGTTGATTTGACCTCTGAACCTTATAATGTTCAGAAATCAGCTTAAACTACAGATTTTTATTTCTAAAAGAGCAAGTGATCTCCCAAAACTGCTTATAATAATGTATATTTAAAGCAAATTTAAAAGTGAATTAAATATCATGTTTCTAAGGGCCTGTTTCCACTAGAAACTAATCACGATGTACATTTAAGGCAAATTTAAGTGAATGGATTACATATTTTTAAGGGCCTGTCTCCTCTAAGAGCATTTTTTAACCTTTTCTAATATTTAAATGAAACCCCTTCTTATCAGCATTTTCACACTCTGCATCCTCAGTGTAAAACACCCTCTGTACCAGCTGTCTTTTTTGGTCATTGTGTGCTGATCACTTCTATCTTCCCGCCCAATCAAAATGAAGAAGGGTTCAAACTTTGGATATTAACTTCCTGAGCAAAAAGTTGAAGGCTAAACTCATTTTTTAATATGAAAGTGCGCAAAAGTTGCAGTCAGTGGAAACAAGCCTTAAATGACTGAAATGCTGTTTTCATGTAAATTACATATTTTTAGAGATTTACATCAACACTTTCAGTGTTTTAGATGGTGCTCAAACCATGGGATGGTGGTGAAGAGTAAGGAAGTTTTTAGTGTCGTTTTGGTGTCTAAACTTAAAGACACAGTGTGTAGGTTTTAGTAGCATTTAGCAGGAGATCTGTGGTGGAAATTGAGTGATCATAAGCATATTAAAAAAGTGTAAAATCGATGTAAATCAATATAAAAGTAGTTTGGTTTATGTTACTGAGCCATTTATATCTACATAGGAGCAAGGTTCCTTTCATGGACGCCACCATCTTGATACACCATGTTTAGACAGTGGCAGAAAACATGCAAACAAGCCATATAAGCAATTCTCTATTCAGTAAGTGGCTGCTTGAAGTGTAATGGCGAGAAACCAAATAAGAAAAAGACAGTTGTCTTGTTTAAAAAGGACTTGTTCTGATAGATGTGTATTTTGGTAAAAACTTGACAAATTAATGATAACATAAATTTGGTATTATGAAGCTTTTTGTCCTCAAAGGGGCCTCCATAGACAAGGCCAAAAGGAGGGGTGAGCAAGGGGGCATTTACATTTAGATCTGACTGCACTTTAACGGGAAAAGGTTTTTAAGCATTAAAAATTATTCGTCCTGTGCTTGAACCCGTAGTGGGAGAAGTTTTGTAATGCCCTTTTAACTCAGCTGACTTCCTTAGATGTTTGTTTACAACTTGATATGGCAGAGGACCATTTGATGACCCTGTTCCTAGACCACAGGGTGTCCCTGCCTGGCTCTGCTGTTGTGCGTCCTTGTTGGAGGGTCGTAGATTAGATTAACTAAACCCGAGGCCAGTGGACTGGTTTTAGACCTCCTGGTTCCTTTAAGTTCATGTCTGTCCCTGGCATGGTGAGAGCATTTCCCTAAGATGACAGGTTTCTTCTATTTAGCTGATGCAGACTTACATGCATACTCCAGTTTGGCATTGGCCAATGCATTCAGGGTGTTCTCAACGGTAACATTTTCTATCTTCAGGGCTCCGATGTCATCATAGACCTTCTTGACTCTGTTAATCAAGCTGTCAACGGCTGTCCTGATCTCAGCCGGAGTGAGGTCCCATCTCAGCGAGTTTCTCTTATTTCCAGCCTGAGAGCAGTCTCTGGCAGATATCACACAGTTGTTCTGGATAGTCATCCTCAAGGCAGGGTGAGAGACGCTGGAAAGAAACAAGAAAGTCAAACCGGGGCGAAGGTTTTAGAAGGACAAGTGCAAATAAGGATTGAAACAAATCAGAAGGTGATGAAATGAGTCTACTTTTTGGAATTTAGAGGAAAAAGTCCAAATTTTAGTAGTGACGCTAAAAGGTGCTGAGAAAACATTTCCAGCAGAAACAGTCAGTTTTTTTTTAAATGCTGCTTCAAATAGTAGAAAAGGATAATTTTGCATCAGGTTAGTGATGTTCAGATTTTCAACCAGCAAACTAGTCTCACTTTAATTTGTATAATCTTTAACATTTCTGAAAAAACTAAAATAAAAATTCACCATTTTTTCGAACCTGACTCATGGGCACTGCTTCCACATGACAGTAGACTAACTGCATTTCACATTAAAACCACAGGACAGGGACTAGTAACAGGTGGCTCTAATACAAGCGATAAATTCTCATAAGCAGCATTTGAGACGTGCTTCGCATACTTTCCGTGCTCGGCTGCGACCTTTTCCACGTCCACTCAGAGTCCAGTTTCAAAGCTGGGTATGGAGCGGAAGCTTTTCAAAATAAGTGCATACAGTAAAAGTGTGGGATAATTGATATCAAGTTGATAAACCAGGACCAACACTAAACAGCTCTGAAACAACAGCTACCAATTACACGCATTTTAATGTTTAACAGCTGAATGTGGGAAGAAAATATAGAGCAATTAACCCTACAAATTAAAACGTACAGTAGTGGTTAATGTGTCACAAGTGTTAGAAAAACAGAGTTAAACATGGCAGCTACCAAGCACAGTCAAAACAAAGCATACCTGCACACAGTTCGGCAGATTACAGCCCTTAGAGCACACATGCCAGCAGTTTTCATGCGTTTCAATCCGAGCTGAAAACACTCTCTTCTGCTCTTACTGTAGCTCAGTCCAAGCAGCAGCAGAAATAACCTCAGATGAAGGCTCCCTCTCCTCTCTCACATGTAGAAAACGTTTCTCCTCCTTATTTCCGCCGTTAACCCAGAGGCCAGTGATGGGAATTCCGACTCTGTTAAATGAGTCGGATCTTTTGGCTGAATCATGCAATGAAATCCGGCTCATCTTTCAAACGACTCCTCATTTCAAATATTCTGTGAACTTAAACCTTTTAAAACCTATGTTTAGTTTGTGTGAACATAAATACTGTCCATGAAATCATTGTATTACATTAATACTGAGTTGATAATGCATTATTAATGACACAAAAGTCACCTCAATTGCATCCATGTTGCAGAATGTAGCACTGCTCGACATAAAAACATTGTTTACTGACATTACATCATTAAAAAAGTACACAAACACCTAAAGATGGAGTATAAGCAAGATTTTTAACTCTAATGATTTTCACATAGATTTACTTTATATGTGGGATTAAAAATGAAGATATCAAACATTTGGCTGAAATGATAAGCATTATGAAATTTTATAACACCTGGTAAAATTTAAAGCCCCAGTTATTATTTTAATCATTATAAATGGACCATTGACTAAAACAATTGTAATTTATGTAATAAGTGTTCACAACACTATTTAGAGACATTAATTAAGACATTAATTCAATTTAACTTGAATGGTGTAATATAGAAACAAAGAAAATTGTCCACTCTGCTCAAAATTTAATCATGATTTCTCTCTGCCATCATGTAAATCTCTAACTTCAGACTTCTATTAATGTTAGCAAAATGATATTGATCTGAATAAAGGTCAATAACAACATTTAAATTATATCACCCTTTTATAATGCCTCGCATCAGTTAACATACTGCGCTAAGAACTTTGTAGCCTTTTAACGCCTGACACCACAAATTATGGCCAGAAAATTTGAAAATATTTGGAGCTGAAATGTTTATTTTACTTACTACTGAAAAAAAGTCATTAAAATTTAACAAATATATTTGTTTATCTCGTTTGATACATTGTCTGACTGTATACAGGTGTTTTTTGAGTAATTTGTTGATCATATTGATTTGATAGAAGTATACAAATATGATACAACAGGCATTAAAAGGTTAAAAGTCAGATGTAATAGCCTAGTTTCCTCTGCTTATCTTAAGAACAAGTTCATTAAAAGGGATTGTAGTTTATTTGGTTGTGAGATAGGCATTAGTGTTCAGAGATTAAAAAGAGAGAAGAAGAAGAAAATATGGAAACTGGTTGGCCCCATTTACTAAAAAGAGTCGAGTCTTTTATCAGATTCGTTCACGAACGACACATCGGCAGCGCAGGCGCAGAGGATCAAGATGCGAGGTATCAATCTGACAGAAATCCTCATGACGCGGTAGCAGGCGGCAGACAGCTGGATAAGAGCTCAGGTAGGTGGGCGGGGGAGGATGGGGGACACCGAATAGCACCCTTTGAAACTATGTTATTAATAAATCAGCCTCGGGGTGTTTGGGGTGATGCGAGCTTGACCTATCTTTCATCTCTTCGCGCTGTTTTTTTACTGCTTCGTTTTGATTGTTTTAACCAGCATCACCACTAGCTGCACAGTGCGCGAGCCTTGTTGTCGGGACGGTCAGTACAGACGTGTTTTTAGAAATCGCAGCAACTACCACTGTCATTCGTGATATGTCCTTTAGTGCATTGCTTTGTATATAAAATCCAACCTGTGTAGTGATTATAAATACCTCTCGTGCACCATTATGGTATTACATCACAGCTTCTGCATCACTGCATGTGTCAACACACACACGCACACACACTGGGAGGAGGAGTGGCTGTGTGCCAGCCAGACCATAAGGAACATAACAGCGACTGGCTCCGGCACGTGATGGAAATATGAGGCAGTGTTTGCACCTGTAAATCATCGTGCCCATAGGGTTTACATTACAGTAAATACGGTAACCCTCTTTGCACCCTGCTGCACGTATAGGCTCGCTTTATAACTGCAAACTGCAACTGCAAGCAGTGTTTTTGTTGTTGTGAAGAAGAATGATGTTTGCTTTCATTATCCTCTGAGTTGTCTTGGAAACAGGAACCCGATGCCCCTTCAGTATCTTTAATTTTAACAGCTGCTGATTTAATAAACGATCATATTAATGGATTAACCTGTGTGAGGCCCCCAGCTGGGAAACAAATAGCTGCTTTCAGATTGTGTACTGCGTTTACAAATGGCCTTTATTCGTCTGAACACGTGTGACAAAATTGTGAATACAATAGACTGAATCACCATAATGCTTTGTCTTACTGGAGATCTGTGAGGATTTGTGATCATGGACTGTATTATGTAAGAGGCCCACAGTCTAAATTGACAGAGATTTGACAAAACGTAATAAACCATCTGTCTGTTATTTCAAAATGATAAAAAGAAATGCTTCAATAATGATAAATAATACTTAAATGCATTATTAATGGCACAAAACTCACCTCAATTGCATCCATGTTGTGCAATGTAACATTAGTCAACATGAAAACACTGTTTACCGACATTAGATCTTTTAAAAAGTCCACGCACACCTAAAGAGGGAGTATTAGTGAGATTTTTAGCTGTTTAAATTGTTATAAATATTAAAAAGTTATGATTTGTTACCTTTGATGTTTATCCAGTCATGAATATTTAAACTCTAGCACAGTGTTCAGATGATTTAGTGAAAGGCGTATAATGAGTCCTCTTGCGGTCTTGAAATAAATGACTGGTCGTTATGAGTGTTAGTGATGAAAGAGAGCTGGAAAAATAATCATGTATTGACTCTTTATTCACAGTGTCCCTATTGCAGGATACTGATTTATAGGCCAGTGGCACCAGAGTAGAAGAAATTTGGTTACATAGACCAGACCCGTGCATGTGACCAGCCTCTCTGCTTCTATTCTCACCGAAAAAAACACAACAGTTTGTATCAAACTGCAAGTCAGATGCAAATGTTTCCATGTTGCTGCATGGCCCTGTGTTGAAATTTGATAATAATTGTTTGTCATTTGTAGAAAGAACCTGTATGGCCATGTCATATCTGAGGAGTAAAGCAGATGGGGGGACAAAGTATTAATATAGCAATAGACTGATGTGATAAGACGTCTAACCCTGCCAATATGACTCACAACTTAATGACGACTTGTGGTGACACTAATGTCATTAATCCTGCAATAATCCTGCAATAATCCTGCAATAATCCGATATGGCGATCTATCATGTATCATAGTATATTGTAGCGTATTGTGTATTCTCATATTGTATAGTATCATACTGCATCTGGTTATATCATATAGTATTGTATAGTACCATAGTATCCTATCAAAACATTAAAACATGAAATACATGCGATATTATACCATACTGTTGTATTTCACATCATATAATTCCATGTTGTATCTTCTTGTAATCTATTGCATCATATTGTATTGTATCATTGCATATCATACTGTATTGTATAGTACTGTATTATATATATCATACTGTATTGATCATATTATGGCATAGGAAAGTATATGTCATGGTAGCAAATCAATTAGTATGGTCATGTAATGTAGCATAGGCTAACATAATTTAGCGTAGCATATCATATGATATTGTATTCTAATGTATTATATTGTATCTTTATTAATTGTGCCATTGATCATAGTATAGTGTGTTGAATCTCATCGTATTGTATCTTATTGTGTCTTTTGCTACCATATTAAGTTATACTGCAGTTTATCATGACATATCTTAAAGTATCGTATCATAACATCTTCGAATTAATTGCTAATATGAAGTCAAATCTATAATGGAAAATTAAAATCAACTGTTTGTCCAGTGAGGTTGGCAGATGTGACATCATAGAGCAGGAGAAAGTTAGTACAACAAATATATATAAGGTTTTCAAGATGTACTATATGAAAATAAAATACTGTGTAAATAAGACAAACATAAAGGAAAGACAAATGCTTAATTAGCTCAACGGTTGAAAAAAATTGTATAAATCACAATATATTGTATCACAATACTCACTGCATTGCAAAATGTTAAAAATCGCAATAATTTTGTATCATGGCCCAAGTATCGTGATAATATTGTATCATGGGCCACTAGTGATTCCCGCCCCTAATTGTAACATAGCATAACATAACGTTACATAATGTAACATAAAGTAATACAGAGTAACACAATGAGCCACAATGCATCATATTGCATTGTACTGTATAACACTGTTATTCCCACTGCTATCAGAAAGTGCTGGTCTCTCTTGACCAATGAGGACAGGGCACATAGATCTGTGTTGAAACCTTCACCAAAAGTAAACATTTTAATGGATTCAGACTTAAAATAACAGATATTAGTGATTTTTCAGGGATCTATAAGCAGATTTTGTTGACTGTTGTATTTTGCTGTGATTTGTAGAAATTGCCATTTGATCCTCATTTTGAAACAGCTCGATACGAACATTTCTATCACTTCTTTGCAGCTCCAGCTTATTTAGCGGCAGAAAACTCCACATGTGCATTATGAATCAAAGGCTGATTGAGTGTTAACACTCAGAAAACCCACTATGTGTCATGTGTTTGTCATGTATTTGTTATGCACATGTTTGCAGTATATTCACTGGTATGTGGGCTCCTCTCTCTCTCTCTCTCTCTCTCTCTCTCTCTCTCTCTCTCTCTCTCCCCCTGTGTGTCCAGCAGTTTCGAGGTAAAAATGGCAGTGGAGAAGCGCCTGGCATTTTCAATTGTGCAGTTCCTACGAGATCAAACACATTGTGGTGCTTTGAATTCTGATGAGCAGGAGAGCCTCGAAGGTAGGCCAACACCCTGAGCACTTACACATCGGAAAGCTCCTTTTAAAAATATCGGAAACTCTTGTTTTATCCTGTGCAAGTCGGAATAAAATTAAAAGCTTTTGGTGTACTTTGTGAAGAGGAGTAGGTTTAGTCGGCTAAAGATATCAGGGTTTTGTGCGCAGCGTGTGCAGTGGGTGGTTTTATTGAATGAGAGGGATGTGACAGAACAGTAAAAAAATTCTCACTCTGGATTTGCAGCCAAGCTCTGACTCACCACACGAAGGATGAAGACCAATTGTTCAGATGTGATATTAAAACCTCATTTTAATACGTGCCATAAATTTGTACTGTCTCTGCAGTGGCCATTCAGTGTTTGGAGACGACCTTTAAGATCAGCTCCAGTGACTGCCATCTTGCTGTGCCACAACCTCTGACAGAGATATTCCTCAATTCCCTGCTAAAGGTGAGAGATTCATGAGGCCGGTTCTTGAACGCAGCAATTTCCAAACCACAAAACCTCAGAGTTATGACAAGAGAGACGCAGCACGGCCAGATAAAACCATATATGGCCATTCTGGGAAGCATGGCTGATTCTGTTTGCCCAATCAAATTTGATGAATCATATCATGACCTCTGCCTCACCTGAACATCAGCAGGTGACGAAGAGAGACCTCAGTGTGTTAGCGTGTGACAGCGTGAAGCCAAACAAGTTAAGACACCATTCAGAGACATCACATCCTGCACACACTCACCGAGAAGCCTGATGATTTCTCCAGAGAGAAACGGCCCAACTGTTGTACCAAAGAGCAGCTTTACAAAAGCTGCATCTGTGCCATCAAATGATCCACTCGCCTTGAATAAAGCACTGACAGAGCTGCTCTGCAGGGAAGGATGCGCACTGAAGCTGAGGAATTAATTCATCTAATAAAGGCTGCCCCTCTCTAAAGTATTAACATTCATTTTAATCAAAAAATGATGGAGCAGATCAGTGATAAGATACAAGACAACTGTTTCACTCTGTTAGCAAAGGACGTGTTCTAAAGTGTAATTACTTCAGGGATGTATGTTTATGTCTCCATTTACTTTAAGGGTTTTACCTGCAAAAAGATTTTTAATAACACTACTTAAAAAAAAGTGAATACAGTTCCTTATACCATGTAAGTTAACAGGATGAGGGTGTTGGTGGGCAGGGCTTAGCTGATGGCCAAAAGACGATGCGGACACCTTAACCCAGGGCTTGACACTAACTTTTTTCACAAGGAGCACATGTGCTCTGAAGTTGAAAAAGTTAGGAGCACACAAAGAACCTTAGGGGCACAATAAAAATTGATCAAATAATGTTTGTCTTATTGGTCGACATAAGTACTATTATTTGAAGTCAATTTTAGGTCAATTGGTCACATGACATGGCCATTGAAGAAAATATTCAAAATTTGCCTTTAAATTTAACACAAAAATTGTTAGAGGACTAATTAGGGAATTAAAGAGGTGTGTCTTACTGTCCGACCTTAGAACTATTATTTGAAATCAATTTTAGGTCAATTGGTCACATGACATGGAAGCTATTGAAAGAAAACAGCCTTTTCTAAGAACATCAACCAGTAATTTATTGATGGTCCCTTATTCAACACCTGACGTTGACAGCGAGGGTGCTGAGTAGATTCAACTGCGCTGCTGTTGTTATTCCCGGTTATGGAGAGTGAGAAGACACCGTTAGATCTGCAGTGAATGTCGTTGAATATCCAACCTAAAACTAACTTCACCGCAGTATTTACAGGAAAAAACATTTGTTGCCTCGGTTAATTGTTTTTTATGCGAACATGTGCCCCTAAATACATTTTACAATTGGCACACATCTATTTTTAGTCACAAAAGCGAGTGAAACGGTTGCACTGTCGAGCCCTGCCTTAATCAGCATTAATCAGAGAGCTGTTCTGGCTTACTCTTTACTAGTGCATTTTCACTATGCTTGCATGGCCCTTGCCTCTTCCTGCTCCTCTCCTTGCTCTCCTCTCTTCACATGTGGCTGCATGACTCTTTGCACTGCTGCAGCACTGGTCCACTATGGGCTTAAGTAGCTTCTACATCATCCTCATGCTCCTAAGCGTCATTGCACATCGATCTGCGCTAGTCACAAAGTGGAAATATGAGTTGCTTTGTCTTACTGGAGATCTGTGAGGATTTGTGATCATGGACTGTATTATGTAAGAGACCCACAGTCTACATTGACAGAGATTTGACAAAACCTAATAAACCATCCGTCTGTTATTTCAAAAAGATTTTAAAAAATGCTTCAACTTAGTCATACATATTGATAAATAATATTTATATGCATTATTAATGCCACAAAACTCTCCTCAATTGCATCCATGTTGCACAATGTAGCATTAGTCAACATAAAAACACTGTTTACTGACATTAGATCATTTAAAAAGTACACACTATTGAAATTGAAATCAAATCAATCACCCAGCTCTGATATACCTTGCTATGATTTATAGAATAATGGAGTTTAGTGTAGCCTCTAGCATATGTAATACCCTGAAACCTAAAGAGTTGCTCAGTGTATTTCCCCACTTTATAAGTTAATTCATATTCTAAATATGTGACAGGCTATTAAGTTGCTACATGATATAAAAAAGCAGGAGATTGGCATTAGATATCGGCTGTAAAAAAAATGATATGGTCGACTGTGTAACCAGGTTGGCTAGTTGTAATTTAGTTATGTTGGATAAGCTTTAAAGCTCCAGTAAGGAAGTTTTAGTCTGTGTTGATTTTGGCGCCCCCTGTGGACAAAACTGTAACTTCTGTCTTTTTTGCTGTCCTGTGCATGTACGACTAGTTTAAGAGCAAAACCTCATCCAACTTTTAAAAACTTTTACAACCTCTTTGAAAGAAATGTAAAAACTAAAGGCAGTTTCTGCAAAACGTTATAAATCACTTCCACACCTAGCCGCCAGCGACGACTCCAGACTTTAAAAACTGCCTCATAAAAATAATCAATTTTTATGCTGATGGTTTTGTTTGCTTTTGTGGGTTGTAAAAAGGAATCAATATTCATTTCAGTCCATCTCATAACCAGCCAAAAACTCCTCACAGGAGCTGAAATAATGCATTATACGTGTGGTCAAGGTCAGTTTTCATTGCATCTCAAACCCTCTTCATCTCAGCCTCAGATTTCTGTCATGAGTGACTTTTTGCCCCTGCAGAATCAGTTTCAGTATCCATCTGAAAAATCTGATAATGCTGCGGCACTGTTGTATTAGATTAATAGTGTTTGTAGCTAGTTGAATGCATGCTACATTATCCACAGGCAACGCTGTAAACCTTTCACACAGCAGACATTTTGATTATGGCTCCACTCCAGTGATGGTTGCCAGGGCATGCAGCCTCCCTGGCAGGCCTGTGCAGAGTAAATCCTTTTTTAATGACATTAGCTACACCTGCTCTTTTCACTTCACCATCACAGCACTATTGTGAGCGCTACACAGCCACAGTTTATTGAAACTGAAGCTCACTTGGAAGTAAATCATGTGACTGTTTTATTTCCATTTTCTCAGAATGACAATCTGACCATACCAGAGAGCTCTCCGTCTCCGGAGGACATAGAGCGAGCGGAGCAGCTTAAGAACGAAGGTAACGTCATCTGTCATATTAAAACAAAGTTTTGTTTGGCTCTCCTTGATGATATGCTGCAGGATTTACCAGCCAGTAAAAATGCCTTTTCACATTAAATTATGAACATTATGTGATCCCAAAAACAGAAAAGCCCAGAGGAGCGTTAAGGAGGAACATCCTGGAGCTCTGCAGCTCTTTCCACCTTGAGGATGACTTATTAATAGCTCTATGTGCAGCCCTTGGCAAAAGTGCTGTATTGATCTCAGAGGGTTTTAAAGAAGAAAATGAGTGCCTGGTATAAAATGAAAGTACAAAACTGTCACATTAATCTTTTTCTATACATATTTATTATAAAAGCTTCAAATTGAAGATGAAACATTATCTTCTTAAGCTTTCCATGCCAACAAAGTCATCCTTCTCTCTAGCCTTGAGTCTAACCTGCAGTAAAATCAGATAAATCACAATTTACATCAATTATTAGAGTTAGACACCACTGAAACTTTTTTCTTCTCAAAAGATTTTCTTATGATGATGAAAACTTAAACTACTCCTGTAAAAGCTTCGGCTTTATTCTGTATATGTCTTTTTAAGGGAACAACCACATGAAGGAGGAGAACTACAGATGCGCAGTGGAGTGCTACACAAAGGCCATCGATCTGGACCTGAGAAACGCTGTTTACTACTGCAACAGGTACGTCCTACAACACACACTCTGTATCTTTAAATATCACTACTTCTGTCATGGTTTTTATGCAACAGACAGCAAGCAAGGAGAGATGATCAGAAATAGATGTGGTTAGATATTCATGCAGGTGACGTGAAGGCCAAAGAAGCATTCAGTGAGGAGGCTTATCACATGGCACCTTCATCCCAAAACTTATGCTCTATTGAGAATTCTATTGATACCATACCATGTCCCCAGTCAGCCGCTGCAACCTAGGTATAGATATACAGTCAGTAGAAGCCGATACATGACTAGGGTTATCTAATTGGGCTCACCAGTCAGCTCCCACATCCCAAAGCCACCCCTCTTTCCTGCTGTCTCTCACCTTCCACCAAATCACACATCAAAAAGCAGAAAAAACACAGACACCAAACCTTTGTCGATTATTCTGTTGTTTTTGGCAAAAAAACACATCTTGCTGCGATGGTTAACTCCCCAGATCCCTGCATTCGACATGTGGATATCATAGATTTCTGCTCTTATTCCTCTTGAGAAATTGACTCATGATCTTCATCAGAAATCAGACAGGTTTTGGAGAATCTGAGAACCTTTGCACCCCTCTACATAAGCTATAATTCATCATCTGCCCCTGGAGGATGAGGACTGTCTGCTCTTTCATTTTTTTGTATGTGCCCTTTTTTACCTGTCTCCTGCCATCTCTTTATTCACTTAGTTTTTTTAATCTTATGTATATGTAGAAATATAAAATGCATTGCTCATTGTTAGTTTGGGGTGGGATGTCTTTTGGGTTGGTTTTGTGCTCTATTATCTGTTTTGTTCGTTTAATTTTATAACGTTTATAAAAGTGAAAAACCAATAAAAAGAGTATTAAAAAAGCAGAAAAAAGGAGAGATAGCAAAGAAAATAGGTGAAGAAGCCCTGGAAAGAGGACAGAATAATTGGTCCCATTAGAGCAGTGTGCCTTGTTTTAAGAGGTATAAAAAGTGCACCTTCTACACTAAATTTTACGGTAATTGTCCGAAAGCATTATATGGATGAAAACAACCGCTTGTGATGAAGAGTCTGGGTGTGAACCTTTGCAGGGCTGCAGCTCACAGTAAACTGGGAAACTACACAGAAGCAACTGGGGACTGCGAGAGAGCCATTGGGATCGATCCAACCTACAGCAAAGCGTACGGGAGGATGGGGTGAGTGAGCCTTAAAGGGATATTCTTGCGTAAAATTAAGTGAGTGTCAAACACACCATAACACCAAGTTAGAGACCCCCTCAAGAGATGGATGTTGCCGACCACTTGCTTCTCTAGTTATATTAACTTTAGTAACAACCACAGATAGCAATACAGAGAGCCACACGCTCAACCTATAGCCACAAATAATGCTCAGAACAGCACCTAACTTCATCAACAGTACATATAGGGTCCCAGCCATAGTACTAGCCACTAAACATCTTTTTAACTTTGCCTGATTTGCCTGATACTGGCTGCCAACCAGGATGTAAACACAACTCACCGTCTCTCTTCCAGCAGCCACTTGTTTGTACGGATACCTCCGGGCAAGTCCATGCAGCTCAAGGAAGAACATTCATGATCATTTCTTTATCATTTCCTTGAAGTAATAATCATCATATTAATCATTTTGCACTGCAGACGCCCAGAGGTCTCCGTACAAACAAGCGGCTGCTGGAGGAGAGAGAGTGAGTTGTGTTTAGTCTCTTTGCTAAAGAAATTAGGCAAAGCTAAAAAGATGTTTGGTGGCTAGTGCTATGGCTAGGACCTTATATGTACTGTTGGTGAAGTTAGGTGCTGTCTGAGCATTATTTGTGGCTATAGAGTGGCGTTTTGGTTGAGTGCGTGGCTCTCTGTATTGCTATCTGTGGTCGTTACGAAAGTTGGTGTAACTAGAGAAGCAAGTGGTCGTCAACATTCATCTCTCGGCGGGGTGTCTAACTCGGGGTCACGGTGTGTTTGACCCTAGCCTAATTTTACGCCGGAATATCCCTTTAAGTGTTATGCTTTTTGTACCTTACTGACATTTGCATGCAAAAATAGAGACATATACTTGTAAATATGGCTAACAAGGACATGCATGTGAAAAACTGGAGCCTTAAGACAACATAAAGGAGGAAAAAACAGTCCTTCTCTGTCCTTGTTTGCATTTATGTTTGATGATCTGCTCTGCTGTATTTCAAAAGATCTCTGGCTCTTTAATGTCTTTAGGCTGGCTTTGACCGCCATGAACAAGTATCCAGAGGCAATTACCTACTTCAAAAAGGCGTTGGTGTTAGACCCCGAGAACGACACCTACAAATCCAACCTGAAGATCGCAGAGCAGAAGCAGAAAGAAGCATCCAGCCCAGTGAGTAAAAACAAGCTTTTATGTGAAGTAGCATACACAAAAGCTCTTTAAACCCCCATGTATAACTTAGCAGTGGTTTCTCTTACTTAAAAGTGTGTGTTTTTGTGCTACAGATAGCTGCAGGACTGGGATTTGACATGGCCAGTTTAATCAACAACCCGGCCTTCATTAGCATGGTAATTTACACTCACTGTACACAACAAGCCTGGCTGCTGCTCAGTAAACTCTCCATTTGTCCTGCAGACAGGTGTCTTATGTTTGTTTTGTCTTGGGCAAGGTTAGGGCAGATATTTTCCCTAATTAGTCCTGTGAGTGACAGCGAGGTCGTTAATCAGCCGAGCTATTGTGGAGCGGAGAGGACTCGTCTCAGCCCGGAGAGAGCAGACTTGTTAGACGATGACACACGGGAACGTCTGCCAGGACAGGAATGCTGCTACAAGCACGCCAGTTTTATTACACCAACAACGACAAAATACTTCTTAATCAGACAGCCGTGTGTGAACTCAGGCTTGTGTAACGCTGCCAAAGTAGAGAAGTAAACAGTCCTTTCTGAAAAATGTCTCCTCTTTAAGTCAGTAAAGGATCTAAAATAGTGCGGTGGGATCAGGAGGAGATCCAACAGGGTGGTAAAAAAATTAGCCCCCATTGAGAGTTGATTTGCTACCACAGGTGCCACACCAAAATAAGAACGCTTTATATGCTGCAGCATGCTTTCTTTGCATTTCACTGTGGCCCATTTCCCCAAGTCAGCACTTTAAAGCTTCAGTGAGGAGTTTCAGCTGGTTATAAAACAGACTGAAAGCAAACAAGAACAACAGCTTCTTGGATATGATTTTTTAAGCCTGTAATTGCTGTGAGGGGGGCGGTGTCAGATTAGATGATTGACAGCACGTTAAAAAAACGCCATTTCACTTTTACCCACAGCAGATATTTACAAAACCTGCTGAACAACCAAAGCAGGAGCTGATTTTAACAAAGAAACAAGAGTTATTGCCTTGTCCACAGGGAGGCGCCAAGCCAGCTCCTATACAAATCACTTACATTAGCTCTAAATCATATCTACTCATTAAAAATGTATTGACATTGACATTTATTTACATAATTTATTGAATTTCCTTTGGGGTATTAATAAAGTTCTTCTTATCTTAAATCACTAAAATTTGGGTCACGCAGCCAAAATAGTCAGGATCTGCCTCTTAATGGAAACCCATTTACGGCCTCTGTAAAAACTTTCACCTCAAGACAAAAAACCATACCAACTAAACAAAGTCAGCATGAGCCCAGAGGAGGATTTCTAAAAGTTTTATGTGCACAAAGAAAGAGTTAATCACTAATTTCATACTTGGGATGTTTAATGTTGGTTATGCAAATTAGGGAGAGGTTTATCCCTTCTTAATTTGCATACATTGCATACATTATCCTGCCTGATACTGGCTGCCAACCAGAGGTAGAGACAAGTTGACTTAAAGTATTTATTTAAAGATGATTTTCAGATTTTTAAATGATTTATTTAAGCAGCTGAAAATAAAAAGTCCCTTTAGTTCAGATACTTCCATTACAAAAGTAATCTTCTCAGCTAATTTGAAGGTCAAATTAACAATAAATCAAACATTTTCATTTAGGGCATAGTCTTAGGATGAGCAGAAAATATTAGCCTAACTCCAACCATTTCAAACCACGTAGCAGTTTGTGATTACTTTGTGTGTTTTCTTCAATTTAGTTGATGTCACTTGTACTCAGCTCCAATTGTTAGTGTTTTTTTAGTGTAGTTTAGTTTTTGGGTATTTTTGGACTTTATCCTGTTAGAGAGTCTTGACCAATCAGAATCAAGTATCTAACACAGCCAGGTGATGAGTAGGACAGCTGGATCATAATAAACTAAACTTGCTAAACTTGTTTTTTTCCGTTTACAGGCTGCCAGTGTGATGCAGAACCAACAAGTCCAACAGCTGTGAGTGTCAACAAGGAGTCATTGTATATGAGGTTGTTTGTTTTGAAGCTCACTCTGACTCACTGTGTCACTGTGTGCTCAGTATGTCAGGAATGATGTCAAACGCCGTCGGGGGTCCGGCAGCAGGAGTGGGAGGACTGTCAGACATCTCAAGTCTGATTGAAGCGTAAGTGCGCTCCACTCAAGTTTAGAAGAATACTGTTCGTTAATTTGTCACTAATTAACAAGAGTTTTATGCTGTTGGAGAAAAACATGCTCTGTATCCGAAATAGTTGTTTTATTTTTTACAGTTTCTATTTATTTAAGTAAGATTTACCACCACAGTTTTCACATCAACATAGCAGCAGAAACAGAGAAAATAAGAGAGGACCCAATGCCGAACCTTGAGGTACACCACAAGTAAGAGCAGAAGCTTCTATTTGTTAGGTAAAACTGGAACCCCCTGACACAGTTTGCTGATTTTGAGTCAAGCAACTTCACAGAAATCTGATTTTAATAAAGGGACCCTTTATAAAGCACATACTCAACCCTTTGCCCGACAAGTCTAAAATTGAAATCTCTTTACATACATTTTTAGTGAATGCTTTTAATGATCTGATTTTAACCTAATTGATGATTGCATTAAGGGGAACAAGTCTGAGGTGATCCCAGTCTTACCTGAAAGATAGAAGCTCCTCCATCCATATGGAGGATTATTTCTCTGGGATGGCCACTCTTGCTTGTGGTGTTCCTCAAGGGTCAATTTTAGGCCCGATCTTATTTCCTCTTTATGCTGCCACTATGGTTTACTTTCCACAAATATTTCTGCAACTTAAGAAGAGAAATAAGATGAAGTGTACAGACACAAAAATGACATGTATGCTATGAAGTGGAGTTTATGGGTTCATGACATATTAAAACTTTTATAGAGTAAGATCCACAAACTAAGAAAAATCTGTCTTTCACTATTTGGGTGTGATTTAGATTTTTTTTCTGATTTTTTAAATGCCACATATTGAGAGAAAGTTATTCAAAAACAAGTCAGAGAACTGTAAAATTTGGTGAACCCTCAAACATCAGATTTCCCTCCACATAATTATATTTTTATATTTAAATGTTGATTAAAAATTAAAAAATAGTTTTCCTATCTCGTGGTCAAACACCTCGTGCCAAAAACCTCGTTGTTTACAGAGAAGTTTTGCTCTGTCCTGTGTCTGTCAGCGGACAGCAGTTCGCCCAGCAGATCCAGCAGCAGAACCCGGAGCTGATTGAGCAGTTAAGGAACCACATCCGGAGCCGCTCGTTCAGCGGCAGCGCAGAGGAGCACTCATGATCTTCTTAGGTATCCCTTACATTTGTAAACTGAGCCCTATGAGTCTCATTTGCGTATAAGTTTGAGTCACTAACCTGCTTTATTTTATTTCAGCGTCACTTTTATTATTTTCAAGAAAGGGCAACCATACGGCGCGATTACAATCTCTACACCCATTTCTTAAAGTCAAATCCCCGGCGTAGCTGGACTGAAGAGACAAGGATGGGGTTGAAGGCACTTTACTGTGATTAAAGGCCCCTGCAGAGGTGGAGGGACGAAGGGCCTGGAGACTGGACCATGAAACAAAGCAACCCCACACATCTAGGGCATAAACATATCGCAAACACCCGCTCATACTGAAAGCCAAGAATGCATCCAGCTGACAGAGAGAGTCAGAGCTTTCCCATCCTGCAGAGATCGTGTTTATTTAAATGTGCTAAACATACTTGCGTCATACTCTGAGGAAAGGATCGGTCTGAGCAATTATGATGAGTTCTAGAGAGTTCTGGGAGGAATGTACTTTCACAGCATCGCAGGGAACATTTCTGCTTTTTCTCATTGAATTCCCATAAGACATCAGGTTTACCTTGTTTATACTGTATCTGTTATTTTTGTAGACAGAACACACTCGTCTCGTGTGTGGGTGAAAAAACATGTAGGACTCACTTCACTGCTTTTAAACGAGAACTACTTCAGTTTTAATTAAATCTACGGTCTATTGTATAGCAGTGTTTGCAGCCTGCATTATGTTGTTATTGCACTTTAGTATAAAGAAAAAAGATAAGGTCCCCCTTTAAGCCTATTTATTGTTCATAAACTGTTAAAGTATTCAGATTGTTCTTTTTGCATGCTCTTAAATCTGATATTTGAGATCAGATGCTTTATGGAGATAATAGGTATGCTAGGGCAGCATAATGTTTTGTCTAAAACGTCTGAATAAACGTCCTAAAACTGAGAAATCACCCAGAGTCAGTTTTCTGTTTCTGCCACTGTGTCATTGTATTCTTGTGGTAAATACATGCTTAAAGGTGGGGTAGGCAGGATCTGAGGAAGTGCCAGTTTTTGGGAGGAATCTTGAACGTAAACACTACCCCCCTACCAGTTTGCCCCTCAGCTCCTTCTTTAACGGATATCTGCCTACCTCACCTTTAACCCGGCAGCTATGAATTCTCTCATCTCAGCTGAGTTTTAAGGAAGAAAGATGTAAAATTGGACAAATGTATCAGCACTATCAAATGAAAAATGATATCAGAGTGTTTATTAACATTTATGCACATTTACAGAGTTCTGTTTTCAAACAAAGTGATTTATATTATTCACAATTCATTTTAAAATACAGTTAAATCGCACACAGGTTGCAAAAAGAGAGTGAAATGTCAGCGTTAATGGCAGAATCTCACTGTTGGTCCGTTTATATCCAAAATAAAATAATGTAGATAAAACTTCTAACACTCATTGCTTGTAAACGGGCAGACCACGCACACTTGTGCGATGTCGTCGTACTCGTATGTCCTCTTCAGGAATGTGTCTGTGAGTCTCAGTCCGGAAATACTCTAAAAAAAGACAAGAAAATAAGATGAGAGAAAGAGGGAAGAGAGGTTTTATCAGGCGGCAGTTTTCCTAATAGTGTGGCTCGTACCTGCAGACCCTGGACTGATGAGAGGAGTATGAGGGGCAGAGAGAGGAAGGCTCCAGGGCTCAGTTTCCCCAGCTGTCTCCCTGATACGCCACACCAGTGGATCGACCTGGTGTTACACATCTCCAGCACCAGATCCATGGTTCTCTCACTACCACGAAAAAATGAAGAATGAGTTCATGATCGAGTCATATGTTGACACAGAAGAGGAAAAAGATGTGGGACTGACCTGCAGTTGGTGATTTTACAGATTATTTCAAAAGGCTCTTCGAGGTTGACGGTGTCAGGGATCATCTCCAAGGACAGCCTGATGTCCCCGTATCCTGGAGCCTGGAGGGAACACAAGAATTGAACCAAAACTGACATAGAGCTGTGTTTCCACTTAAAATACCAGGAACTTTTAGTCCTGGAAGCTTCTTTGCTGTTATTTGAGGTATTTATGCAGCGTGAAGCTTTGCCGGTCCTTTAATTCTGCTGTAAACCTCCATAATTTCCAATCACATGTAAAAAAAAAATTCCTTTCAACCCAGCTTTAACAACCCTGAACTGAAAGCATCTTCTACCATTCTCTGCAGCTGGCTGGTCTGTAGCCTCCCTCTCTCTCCGAGGTTTGTCTTCCATACGATGTCCAGCTTCCCAATCACCGTCACTCCTTTGATGACGCCGGCTTTCTCAGCGTACTCCGGCTTCGGCTTCAGACAGTACAGGTACTGCCGTGTGTCCATGGGCTGCAGGTAGGACATCTTCCCAAATGTGGACTCTCTGGAAGAAGAAAGCACCACCGTCTTTTCACATCATTCCTTTTAACACGAAAAAGCCTCTACAGGATGACGAACCAAAGTGCTGTTACCCTTGATCTCCATACGCGACTGTGTTAAGCTCCGTCACGTTGTACATCATAGACGGCTCCAGAGAAACCTTCTCCATGAACATGGGTGAAGTTGTGATGTTCTGGATCTGAGCTTCCAGGAACACCTCATCTGTCTGCAGCCAAAACACCAATTCTCAAACCAGCACATTTGCGCACAGTTGGCTAGAGGAGCATTTTCTCCAAGGCGAACTGAGCAACACATCAGCTTTATTATATTAGGTGGTGTTAGGCTTGGTGAAAAACCTAAAAACAGGTTCACATTTTTTACAAGTCTGCTTTATTTAAAAGGAAGCGGGTAACCGGATTTTAATACACGAAATACAGCCTGACTATATTCAACTCATGGGTTAAACTTTGACGTAAACACAAGTTTAAGTTGAGCTGCTTTATTTTAAAAAACCCTTTCAAGGTATCAGGAACCTTTTACCAAAAGTGCATCAAATTAGAGACTTTTAAAGACTGTTTAAACGTGGATGTAGTCTCAGTGACATCCTTGATTGGTTTTTGAAGCTGTATTGGAAATGCTGACCCAATCTAACTTTCGTTAAGTCATCCAAACTCATAACCTAAGATCTTCAAACTCTTGAGCTTTAAAAGAAAAGCTGACACCGCTGCAGAAATAAGTAATTCAGACCAAAAACAGTTTTTTGTTCCAGTCTGTAAACAGTTTTATTTTTGCTGTAAAGATTGGCTCTTTTGAATAGGTGTGTATGTGGCTTCCAAAGACTTTTGCAGCCTCTAGTGGATGTTTAAGGAACTGCAGACTCAAACAATAAGTCATGTATTTTGCTGTAATGTTGTAAATATTATTTAATTATTTAACATTTTGTATTTATTTATTTATTTATTTATTATTATTATTATTATTATTATTATTATTATTATTATTATTATTATTATTAAAAATAAAATTATTATAATTGTTATTATTTTTTTATTATAATTATAACTATTATTTTATTTATTTACTTTTTATATTTTCTTTTATATATCATTATAATTATTATTATTATTACATCACTATTATTACTATTATTTTTAGGGATGTAGGTAAGAGTTTGCCTATGGTGTCTGTTCTGGGAGGGTGGTGGGTTTGGGTGGAATTTCAAGTTATGAAAAAATGTTCATAAATTGGAAAAAAAAAAAAAAAAGGTCATCTTTAAAAGTTTTCTCTGTTTGGACCTGCAAGAAAACAGGTTGAAGAAATTGAGTATCATGACTTTTTTTGAGGGTCAAAATGAAGCAACAGTCACAAACAGCTGTAACTTTTTAACTCTACAAGCTGAATGTGAATGTTTTTAGACAGACTTGAAAAATGTGAATTTGTCCTTTAAAGCTGCTCCTTAGGTGATGTGAGAGTCATGTAGTGAGTTACTAAACTCTATAAACTCTGTGAAAGTTGCTCAGTGAACCTCGGAGGACATTGTTAGTGAAAGTGCTGACCAGCAGAGTGTACAGTAGAGGTTGCACTTCAGTTTTTTTCAACAGCTGACAAGTCATATTAAGTGGTCCAAGAAGCATCAGCGAGTAAAGCACATTATAAAGTATTTATCTATGCAAACACGTCATCTGAATCAGAGCCAATTAGAGGGAATCTCATTACTGAGCTGATCTTGTTTCCCTTGCATATAAAAATCAGTTTTTTAATCTGTTAACAGTAGATTTAGATTTATGATGTTGAGTAATTATCTTTCTATATTGGAAACTAGCTGATGCTTTGGCAAAGAAACACTCCGTGCAACCTCCGCTATACAGTGAGACATGATGAGAGAGAAGCAGAGATTAGTTCATGCCTGCAATTCATCGCATAAGAACGGACTGGGAACCATTCGGAGGAGTGTTTGTATCATCCGTGTTAAAGCTAAATCACAGAGTTCAGCGTCTCTGCTCCATGCAAAGCCATTCCAGAAGATACCTGAAACCTCAAACACCTCACACAATCAAATATATGTATCCTTTAAATAATCATGACCCAGTCGTAGGTGATCACAATAGAAGTATAATTTCGTATAATCACTGAAAATAACAACTTAATGGGGAATTTCAATAGCGCTCTGTTTTAATGAATGGTACAAGAGGACTTCTTCAGAAACTGCTCCGGTAGATCCCTTTAGCTGACAGCCAATCCTTTAAAGCAAATACCCCTCATCAACGTAAACTTAGGTCTGTGCGATATGGCCTCAAATCAATATCATGATATATTGTGCAGTTCACCTCCATAACGATAAATGGACGATAACTAATCCACAAACTGCTCAATCTCTCCCACATTAACTTCATCTACTTCAGCCGCTACAACTTTTGAACCGTCCTCCATCTCCTCGCCTGTCTTTCCCTCTTTGTTATGGACTGGATGGGGTGGAGTCACGTCTCTGATGTAGGACAGCGTCTTAAAGGGACATGAGACCATAGCCTACTTACACACATCCGAAACCAACTTTTATTTATTTACTTACTTGACACTGAATATATTGACACGCCAGTTATTGTCATAAATTTCAGTATCTGTAAATTTTCGGTTTATCATCCAGCCCTAAGTAAAGCTATGAAAAGAGCTGACATAGTTACTCAAAGTGTTCTGACACATTTTAGAAATGATCCAAACCGACAAACTTCTCGGCTGGAGAAGAACCAGCACATGTAGAAAGACGAGGCAGCAAGAAGACATGCGACCCATTGGATCTGCGAGACAAACTTCAGGTTTTTGGCAGTTGGATCTGGTGGGTAACTGAGTTTAAAGGTCTATTCCAGGTGGGATTGTCTCTTCGATGCGGATAAACACTTATTCAAGCACGTCCAAACTATTCCAAAAGGGCTGTGTGACCGAAGGTTTTCTCTACAACCAAGCAGCAGCACACCAGACTTGATTCATTTCATCAGCTGATCTCCATCTTCAGACAGCTGATAGGTCAGACTGCAGCTTTTGATTGGTTGGAAGAAAACCTGCAGCCACACGGCCCTTTGTGGAATAGTTTACACATGCCTGACTTACATTATCACGCGGCTTTCCTACTTTTAACAAGTCTGTTAAAAACTTGCTCACAACTCCAAACCTGTGATTTAAACTGGGACACCTGTTTAAATCAGTCCATGTAGAGGAGTTTAACTGCCTGTTGGCCCTGGGACTAAGCTGCATCTGGACCGTATCACCATTCCTCTATAGCTACATGACCCCCTTACATAATAAGTCAAGTCTCTAATGGTGCTAGTAATCTACTGGAGCAGCTCTGATGGTTTTCCATATAGAGAAGTTTAAAAAGAACACCAGATCACCCTTTAGATTTGTCTGAGTCATCAAACTGTTCATTTTCAACCATTTCATACGTGAATTTGAAAAGTTTTCGAGGCAAAGCCGTTAACTTCAAGACAATTATAGCAATGATTTTATAAACTCATATTTCCCGTGATGATAATCTGATGGAGGATCAGTTTAACCAAAATTTCGACACTGCAAACTTAAAACTCCAAAAAGTCAAAGAAGCCCTGTGAAGGATGAGTTTGCGAGAGAGCATGAGCCTCCAAAGAAAGGGCAAACAAAAGACAATGGAAAGTTCATGCCGGGGTCTAAGTTGTTAGCGTGACGGTGAATGCATCACTGCTTTATCTGTGACTATATCTAGAGGGTGTTCGTTAAGCACATCACTTTCCATTCTTCTACTTTGCACCTTTCTGTTGGACCCAGAAAGACAAAACAAAACAAAACAAAAAAAGTCTGCTGCACCAAAAAAGGATTAAGAGAAGCTAATGTTCAGCGATGAGAACAGAAGGAACAATTACCACAGAACTGAGGTCACTCTAATGGAGAAAATAAAATACAAGACATTGTAAAACAAATGAAGTTACATGCTTGAGGAGATGACAATGAATCCTTGCATAATGCTAATATAAAAAGCTACCGGAGTGAAAAATGAGGGCGAGGAAAAGCTTGTTGCATCTATGAGGAAAACACTTCACCTCCAGAACAAGAAAAAGCCTGCAGGATATTTTCCTGTTTTACACCTGGGTACTAATCCAGCTTTTAATTGGATCTAAATCACTAAAATGTGCAAAAAACTTTGTTCCAGATAAACTCTTTAACCAGAAGTTGCAATACAGAGTATAAGTGCTGCAACGTAATCTTTAACTGTTCAAAGTACGTCCACTAAAGTCCTGATTCTAGTAAACTATAAGCTCAGTTTTTATTAAAGCAATACAAGAAACATTAAGACACAAGATTGCTGTGAGAAAAAGTTTGTTTAGATGCTTTTTTTAATGGTTCAGAAGACATTTAAATTATCAGTTTGTTTGGACCATATCAAAATGAATTGACCGTGTGCTCCTGAGACTTTTTTTTTTACAACTTGATACAAAATGATCTGCAGGTTGTTTGAAAGTATTACAGATTGTATTGAGTCAAAAAGAGTTTTTATATTGCTGCATAGAGTGTTAGCTGTTTCAAAATATCACATTTCAGAGCTGTAATCACAGTACAGTTAAGGCTCATTTATGCTCAAAAGTTACATACGGATATGGATACGGACGGAGCTCTACGTCAGTGCTTCGCGTTCTTTTCCTCTGCATTTCTACACGTATCCTCGAAGTTTACAGATACAAGCCAGACGGAGCAGTACCACCGCAAACCGTGGGGGCAGTGTTGCTGCTGTCACTACCCAAAATGCACTGTATCACAGGTCTGAAAATGATGATTGCCATTGCTTTCTCTCATCGCTACAACTAGAGAAAAAAATTCTCTGTCTTCCAACGGCGAGGCATTTAGTGGCCTGACCAACCACCGCATCCTCCAACGCTGCCTCTCTTTCTGTCTCCTATGCAAAATACACATTATCACTAACTCCTCCACATCTGCCACGTTTTCTTTTTGTTTGTTGTCGTCAGAAACTTTTGACCCCGGCCTGCCGCCTGCTGGATGTAATGGATAACATCCATGCCAACGTAAAGGACGCAAAGAAGTCAGTGGGCAGCGAGCGATTTTTTTCGTAGGATGGTAGGGGAAGGTCCCGCCTCCTTCCCCTCTGATTGGCTGTGAAACGTCATCACACACTCAGGTCGAGAGTGGGCTTTCGACTCTGTACATCGAACAGAACATTACAGAACATTATCGCAATTCTGAATCCTAACCCTAACCCTAACCCAACAGACGATGACGTGTCACACTATAAGGAATAACCAATCGGAGCCCAGCACTTCTAGCCAATCAGAGGCGAAGGAGGGCGGAACCTTCACCTACCATCCTACAAAAAAAAAATCCTGAGGGCAGGAACGGAACCATCGTTTGAAACGGACACATACATTTTCATGGCGAGTATTAATGAGCTTTTAATGAGCACAGCTGTAAACACGACTGGATTTGATCTTTATTTCTCTTCAACACGTCCAAACATGTTTTTTTTAACGTCTATAGCAAAAAGAGCTAAAATACAAAAGTTTATACACATGAAAACAACAAATTCAAAACAAATATTGTTCAAGCTACTCAGTTTTATAATTATCCATCCACAAATGCATTTAAGTTCATGAATAGTATGAGACGTTTGTCGTCAAAGATTCAAGTGCGACTTTTATTCTCGATTTTAAGGGGCTTATTTTTGTCAAAGGAGACTTTTAGAGTATACGTAGACTTTTCCTGGTTTTAAAAGATGGAACTTTCCTTTAAACTAAATTCAAAATCAAAAAAAGACTCCCAGTGGTTATTACAGACACTTTTTTAATCTTGTAGACTGAAGACATGTCTAAGAATCCCTTAACTTGTTTGCACCTTTTAGTCATTCAGACCTCAAAGAAAAGTGAAACTGGCGCCCAGGTTCGAGAGTCAGAATCCCTCTAAGGTGTTGACATTTCTAGAGGTGCAAGGGTTTTTCTTTGAGACCTGTCTCATCTAACTGCCCCCCTATCAGCATCTTGAAATGTTCCTATGAATGACACATGATATGAAGCATGTTATAAATGCTACAGTAAGAACTTGCATGTCATACAATACAGTTCTTCTATTTGCAGAATGATGCTGCAGGAAATATGAGTGCACAGAGTGCGTATGTTGACAGCAGCACTTGATCATGGTGCCGGTGTTAGACAGCGCCGGACTTACCTCTGCATTGTAGAACTTTGTCTTCACGTCCAGCGGCTTCAAAACCTGGTTCAAAATAGATTGAAAACTGAAGGCTGAAGTTTTCTCACACTGCGGCTCCATTACAGCAGAAGTAATATTTCCATGCAAAAATGTCTAAATCAGTCCGGAAATCTTCGCCTATGAAGAGGATTAAACGGGTCTTGCTAAGGGGAAGGGAATAGGATTACAGGCGGTTCACAAACTCAGGACCAGAGGCCGCAAGGCGCAAACTCCGCAGCTAGGATGGTAATTGCTTTTGCTCTGTTGAGGACCTGTGACATTTCTCAGGTCTCTTCCAAGCTTTCGCGTCGCCTTACCGCCGTCGTCTAATGAGAGAAGTCAAATATAACTCACCTGGAATTTGAAGAACTTGCGGAAATAGAGCTTTTCCCCGTATTGAGTGGTGTAACTGACTGCACAGACTAAGCTGCAAAACGGAGAGAGAGGACAAGAGAGAGAGACAGATCGGTCACATGATTTGGTCGCAGGGCTGAGCCATTTAGGGGTTTTAAAAACCAGGTAGTGTACACCTCATGCTCTGTTGTCTAGGTCCAAACTGGGATGCAGGTTTTAAGAAAAGGTTTCATGCATTAAGGGTGTGCATGATCAAGATACTGTCCCCTTTGAGGCTGTGAGGAGAGTCGGTTTTTGATTCTTATGAAATACGGTTAATTTTGCAGAGAACTTGTGAAGTATTACAGTAGTTTGCACTTAAATTCAGGGTGAGGAATTCACGTTACTATAAAAAACAAACTATAAATAACCACTGACAGCAACACAGAATATGAACAGAGCGGTGAGGAAATAATCTATCAGGGTTTCCAGGAGCAGAAAGGGAATAATTCCTGTAATATTGAACTGTGAAGGGCCGTCAGGATATCAGATTTTCACCTGGCAATAAAAAAAATAGTTAAAGTTGTTCCTATTTTTATGGAAAACTTGAAACTAAAAGAGTCAAATTAAAGAAAAGCAAGATAACAGTGAAACACTTAACTACTTAAATCAATGAACTTTGATGTCTCTCAAAGTAAAAATGTATTAACATAATCAGCTTTGTGTTACTAAAGCTTGCTTGGAGAAGACATAACCTCCTAAAACAACTTTTTTCATGCTTTTATTTTCTCAATTGTTTCTGTCCTGCTGACAGGTTGCTTTATTTCCTATGCTTTTATTTTGAAGAGTACTACTCCTGATCAAATAGAAGTCACAAAACTGAATGAAAACAGTTAAAAGGAAAGTGAGAAAGTCAAAATGGTAACAAAAAGATGCAGGAGCTCTGATGGTGTTTTAGGATTCATGATTAATCTTGAATATCAGTTTCAAAAGTAACAATTTTTTTTCTTTGACAAGAAGTGTGGCAAACAGCGAAACGGACCACTACTGTAAACTCAGAGTATGACTGAATCCTCATTTATTTAAATCAACATTTCACCTTTTATGAAGAGAGTTATTGTCTTTAACGCTGCATAGATCTAAACAGATCTGAGGTGGATCGGCATCATTGTGGTGGACGCATCCTGCTCAGGCTCTAAAGAGTGAAGAGACTCTAACTGGAATAAACTGGTTTGATTTTCTGTTTAACCACATGTTAAAAATCTGCATTTGCATTCCAATCAGCAGTCGAGGACGCTCCTCATTCGGCCCTTTTGAATGTGACTAGAAACTGAAGTACTGAACCTTTGAATCTTCTCAAAGTGGTGAACTAAATTAAAGAAATCTTTGAGTCCTGCACGTCTGACCATCTCCAAGTATGACGGTACATTTTGCGGGAAAAATACTCACATGTGTGTTCCTATTTCTTTGACTTCGTGGTGAATAACGTCATCGATGCAGCATTCGGGTTTGAGTTCTCCTACAGCCGAGTTTGACGCCGAGAGGTTGAGTCTCTGTGAGCTGGTCTGTAGATCCGCCTGTGCAGAGTCAAACCATGAAAAGGTCAGTTTACACCAAAAACCAGGAAAACAGAGTGTCATAGGAAGAGTCTGACATCCAGAGCACTTTTTGAGGCTGATTTTTTTTTTAATTTAGTGATTATTTTGATTTCATGAATAAAAACAGACTTGTTATAAGTAGATTTCTGCACAAATATGGAAAGTTGCACCAAAAACAGCTGCTTCCTCACACTCAAATATATATAAAAGTACATTTTTCACAGTTCAACACTCTTAATTAATTGCTGTGTGTGACTGTGTGCTTTGAGCTCACTCTGCTGGACAAACTACAGGATGACAGATTTTCACAAAAAGTGTCTTATCTCCCACTTTTGTTTCATGTATTCCTTTAAGAAGATCTAGCTGTAACAAATATCTAACGTCTGATCATGTCTGTGAGCGGGTGTATCAGTTTTCTTTGTATTTACCTTGACTAGAATGTCCTTCACCACTTGATTGCTGTCGTTGTGCACGCTGATGTAACTGGAGAAGGTCTCACCCAGGAAAATGTTTCTAAGAAAAGTTCAGTTACATTTTCAAACAAACACTCTCCTTACAGGCCCGTTAATCTGACATGTTATTGAGCGTTAATTACCCAAAGTTCTGTGGTAACGTGAGCATCTCCCCCAGCATTAGAGTCTCCGCTTCCTTAATGGTGGACGGGTCCTCTCTCATGAGCTGATCGAACAAATCCCCTTTAAAAAATCACAGGAGGGCATACGTGTTATTTATACGTTTCAGGTTTCACTCGGAGCTGCAGCACATGTCATGTGAACACACATAAAGCAGCTGCAGCAAAACGAACATAAACAACAACGGAGGGAGGAGAGAGATGCGTGTTCTCAAGATGGAAATACAGCCACTATTTTAAAGACTGTCTTTATTTTATATTTTATGAAGAAAATAGTTCATGTTTTGTCAGTCAAGAAAGACCATCACTCCATGATGCACCACGGAGCGCCACAGGAAATCTGTCCTGCTGGTGGTCATCAGACATTTTAACTCCTCCCTCAGAGACTCTGACAACCTCAGTCAGTAGTCTTTACCTGGACTCTGCTCATTGTTTTACATGCATACAATGTCACTTTTTGTGTTGTTTATAGTGTAAATACTTGTATATGATCTCTATATTTTTACTTATTTTATCTATTTATCTCTATATTTTTACTCATTTTTTTAATCTTCTATTTTATTTATTATTCATCTCCTCTTTTACTGTATTTGCAGTGGAGAACTGTAATTATTTCTGATTCTTATTTTTTTAATAAACATGATTTTTTTTTTACATTCCTGTTAAAATTACTCTTTCGATAAAGTCAGTGTTGAAAGAAATGGTTGTCATTTATATGTTGAGGCTGCTGAATGTAACTTGAAAAGTAACTTGTAATCTGAGTTAGTTACTTTTAAAATCAAGTCATCAGTAAAGTTACTAAGTTACTTTTTAAAAGGAGTAATCCCTAATCAGTCATCAAATGACTTTTTTAAAAGTAACTGTGGCAACACTGGACATAACACACCAGTGAACACAATGTCTGTCTGTGCAGGGAGACATAAACACCTTTAATGATGATTTCAGTCATCTGTGTGAAAAGAGATGCAAAGTTATTTACTGTAAATCATATGTTTTGAAACTTTATAAATATCAGTTAATCTGCTTGTCTTTGTCCATTTTGGAAAGCAAAAGCTTTTATAATAGTCTCTGAGTATTTGAGTCCTGCTGGGAGGATCAGAGGGAAACCTGAGGCCTTTGAAGATCCGGTTTCAAAGCTCAAACTCTGACCCAAAAAGGATTTCAATGGGATCAAATTTCTGTCCTTTTGTTCACTAACAGGTCGCCCACATCTTTATCCAGATTACCAATAATATGACTCATAGCACTGCTCTGTGTGCTCCTCAGATATCTCCTCCTGTTATTCAGTATAACTGTAAGAATATCAAGTAGCAGTTTGTTCAGATAGTAGAGGAAGAACACGAGAGCAGAAATACAAACGCTCTTCAGATTCAACCGATTCATCATCTTTGTGCACTTTCTCGTTTACCGCCATCGCTCGCTGCTCCTCTTTTATAAATAGCGAAGCTCCCCGAAAAGTGTCAGTGTGATTTATGGATTATAGGGATTCAGTTACCCGCACAGTCTACACATTTTCTGTTCTGTGTTGCACTGGAAGGGAAACAAACACAGACTCGCAGCAGGGCAGCCGACTAAATGTAGGAGCAGCATCTGAGATGGATGATAGAAAATCCAGATGTGTGGAGGATGAGAGATAATTCTGAATCCAGACTGAGCTAAACATGAAGAACGCTGATTTTTATATTTCTTCTTTTATGGTTTTTACAGTAAATTTCATATTGCGTGATATTTTTTGTGTTAATTTTTCTGTTATGTGTTCGTAAACAAGTTAGGAGATTTACAAGTGGCGCTACAGGCTACATCCTCAATACTTCAGTATAAAATCTACATACAACTCCTTCTTCCTCTGTTAAATTTTAACAAGTTTTAATAGTATCACAAGACACTTCCCTTTGCGTCTTCAAATAAGTGTTTAAATATTAACTCAGAAGCAGAAGCCATGCTTTCTAAAATGTGGAACTAAGACGCCTCATAACTGCAAGCTTGCTGTCAGAGTTCATGCTGCTTCTTTTTTTGGAAAGTTCTTGAGAAAATAAAGTTTCACAAACTTCTTAAAACTCTGCATTTCTAATGCAGCCTCATTTGGTAATGCCTATTTCAATGACATGCTGTAAAAATGGTGCTTCGGACACTGATTTTGTATACTTGTGTTTTTTTCTTTTGTAATATTAAACACGATAAGGGGCCCAGTCATGTGACATTATTGGCAAACAGCGGCTCAGTCGAAGGAAAAGTTGAACTCTCCAGGAGTTTGGATCCTCTCCATGTGTCTGCCTTGGTTTCTCACAAGTACTCTGGTTTCCTTCCACTGTCTCAACACATGCCTCTTACATAATCTCACAATCCATCAGAAAATGACTTTTCACCAGCTGTAGGAAAAACTTACAGACCTACTGTCACAGCTCCCTGGGTGTCCCAGAAATTGATATTTATACAGTGACATATTTGACAGAATCAGACTCCCCTGACAAGATCAGACTGTCAAGTTTGGGCTAAAACTGAAATTACAATTCCCACTGCAATATGAACTCAGTATCAAGTTTATACATGATAGTAATAAATCTCCAAAGGATGAGATTAAATTCAGACTCCATTCATGAGACTCACCTGGCAGATCTCTGTCTTCACATGTCACAGGCAGGTTTGTGAAGAGGGTTGGTTTTGTTAAGCGCATCACTGCAAAGAGAAGAGATCATGGACAGAGACGTTACATACAAGCTTAGAAATGATTACAAAAACATGTGGAATTTGGATCTGTAATAAATGCAAAAACAAAAACAGATTGTTTGATTTGCAGATCATTAAAATCTCATTATGAAAAGAGAAAAATTAATTATTGAATGTTGACACTGAGAAATTTGATTGACCCGTGAAAAAATAACATTTTTAATTTGTTGGGAAAGTAGAGAGAATGATTCACAACTTCAATACCATCTGAGGTGTATGAAGAAGGAAGAAAGGTCTATAAAAGGTCAAAACTCCAGCGACACTTTTTTATAAAAGAAAATCTTTTTTTTTTTTAAATTTAACCTTCATTTAAGCAGGTAGGAACCCATTGAGACCGAGATCTCATTTACAAGGGTGACCTTGCCAAGAGGTCGGCAGAACACATCACAATAATAAATAATAATAATGATAATAAAAAAGAAGAAAAGGACCTCCAGAAACATAATTAAAAACACAGGCACTGTTTCATGGTCTCCCAAAGTCTGTCATGTAAGATTGAACGAAATGCTTCCAGCGAAATAAATTCCGACAATTTCAGGTCAGTCTGGAGAGAATTCTATGCTGAAGTGGCAGCAAAACTCAACATTTTTTTGCCCAGTTCAGTTCTGATTCGCAGAACAATCAAATGGACAGTGTTTACTTTACTGAATAAGAAAAAGTTGCTCTGTTACTACCAGTGTTGCTAGAATTTTGATTTTATTGACGTCAACAACAAAACACTTTAAAGTAGTCTCGTGCTAAAAAAAAAAAAAAAACACACCTGACGGAACATTTCTCAAATAATTAAGTGATTTGAAACTATTAACATTAGTAGTAACTGGTTTAAAATGGACACTCCAAAAGGCAGAGAACACGAAAATATGTTTAGCACTTCATAAGAAATAGTTCAACAGTTTCAGAGTGAATTCAAGGATTTCATCAACCTCAGTGTATAATATCACTGAAAGAGTCTGTGCTGAGGGGACAAGGACGCAAACCCAAGAGTGGATAGCTGTGATTTTTGAGCCCTCAAGTGGCACTACATCAAAAACAGACATGGCTCTGGAGTGGAAATCACCACATGGGCTCTGAATCACCTCCAAAACTATTTTCTGTGAGAAGAATTTTTAAAACGGTGCCTACAAAACAACATTCTGTCATTTTTGACCTTAGAGTTGATGTGAGGTTTTTATGTGCTAATGACCCATTCATACAGTGGCCAAGAACCACCACTGCTGCAAATAGAAAAAAGAATGCAAAAAGAAAAAAAAAAAGTCACAACGTAAGTTACCAATGCAAAAAAAAAGAAACCGAAGCCCGCAGCAAATAAAAAAGAAACAGTGCAGATAAAAAAGCCACAATGGAAGTTAACGATGCAAAAAAAAAAAAAAAAAAGTTACTTACTACAAAAATAAAAAGGTGCAATCAAAAAGTCTTCTGTGCCTAGATCGTAAATCACTGGTGCATCATCATTATTGCTCCCCGGCAGCTCACTTCCGTTGTGGCTTTTTCTATTTTCATCCTTTTATTTTCGCAGTCAGTAACTTTTGTTATTTTTTATCACCATTGTTTTTGCGTCATTAGCTTCCCTTGTGTTTTTTTTTCTTTTTTATCTGCAACGTGTCTTTTTTTATTCGCAGCGAGCTTCAGTTTCTTTTCTTTTTTTTTTTCCCCGTCGGTAACTTCCGTTGTTGTTTCTTTTTTTTTTTTTGCATTCTATTTTGTTTCCAGCAGTGGCGGTTCTTGGCCACCGTACAATCAGACATATTTTAATAAGGACACATGATCGTAGCAACATGAACCTAGAAAGCGAAGTAGCTGCACAACACACAATCTAAAAGTCTGTACATGCGCACAGATACACAGTAATAAAAATATTATTTACAGTCTTTAAAAGCTAGTATATTTTCAGCATTAATAACGCTGTTCTTCAGAGGTAAATAAGAGTAAACTCTTATTATGATCAACTTTAGTGACAGGCTCTTTCTGCTGAGCTGTATTATCACTATTGTCTTGTTATTTAAAACCGCAGCTTTGACATTTAAAGTTATCTTAAAGTTCACACCTGTCATTGAATGTCTAATTTTCACATAAACATGATAAAGGTTTGGTTCTGTGTTAGCAATATTAGCAACAACAACAACAACTGACAGCAGCTTCTGCAAATTTAACCCTTCTGTTCTTAAATGTGACAACAACGTCCGCTGTCATCGCCACGGGGGACATTAAATACCTTTCAATGCGAGTAGGTGCTCCTGTTTCGCCTGATTCACCTCCATTTTAACGTTGATTTTAGTGTTTCGGTCAGCTAATATGTTAGCTGATTTTTTTAAAGGCAAGCGAGCAGGTCAACTTCGACCTCGGCGTGATTCTTCTTCGTGTTTCTATTAAAGGACGCTCCCATCTGATATTTGAAACACCGCCCCACATAGGCCGGGAATGGCTACTACAACAACAAAGCCGTACCACTCCTTATTTTTCACCTTACCTTTTTTTCCCCTTCTTTTTTAATCACTTTAATTTCTCACAATAAATCATTCTTTCTCTTGAGGGGGAGAAATAATTTTACTTTTTTTTTTGCACAAAAAAAAAAGTTTTACCTTTACCTTGATTGTTTTTTGTCAACATTGGTTATATAAAACAAAATAATACATAAATAACAATTACATAAATTTTAAAAAGTAAACACACACACAAAAAATGAAATTTTAAGCAGTACATTTACACAGGCAACTTAATGCGCTTTACACAGATAAAAGAAACATCTCAAAAGATGTTTCATTGCTTATCAACATTGCTTATAAAAAATAAAAATAAATAAAAATAAAATAATACATTTTTACATAAATTTTAAAAAGTGTAAATAGTAAAAACAAAGACATTTTAAGCAGCACATTTATACACAGGCAACTTAATGTGTTTTAAACACATAAAAGAAACATCTAAAAGAGGTTTCGTTGCTGATCAACATTGCTTATATAAAATAAAAATAATAAATAAAAATATATTAATCACATAAATTTAAAAAAATAAACAAAAAAACAGACATTTCAAGCAGTACATTTATACACAAGCAACTTAATGTTCAACTTAAATAACTTAAACAACTTAAATAAAAGAAAAATCTAAGGGCAGATAAAAAGGAAATATTTATGAGAATGAAGGCTTAAAATGTTAAAATATGGATTAAAAACGGAATACATTGAATCAATGCTGGAAATATGTTACATTAAAAGAAACATTAAAGCAGTTAAGAGAGTTAAGAATTGATAGAGAATTATTTATTTTTAATTTGATCATAGCTCTACAGTATACTGACATGTAGAAAACTATCTTGAAGTCTTTATTCCATTCGCACTCCATCAAATTCTACATGGCACTCTCTGCTGTGTTGTTACTGCACCACACTGACCTCCAATGGTCAAAGCCTGTAATAACATTTCCCACAGAAACCTTGCACTATATCCGAAACAGATATAACATTACGGCCCCCTGCCAAGCAAAGTGTTGCCCCCTCCTCTGGTCAGGACTAAAACAGCTCTGACCTGATAGAACACGGACCCCACTAGACCTCTGCTGTGGTATCTGGTGGCAAGACAGATCCATGGCAGTAAGACCTGCAAAGTCATCTTTTTCCACAGTTCTGATACTTCTGAGCCCGTTGTTCACTCTGACATCCTGACTGGTCTGCAGCTGCTCAGCTCAAACAGAGTGAGCTGACACTTTTCTTACTGGAGCTAACATTAATTTTTCAGCAAGTGGAGTCCTAGTGGCCCTTTTGTTAGATCACCCCTGGCCAACCCCTGCTCTTTATGCACATTAATGAGTCTTGGCTGTTCATGAGCATGGCACCGGATCACTGGTTTCCTTTCTTTATACCACTTTTGGTTGGTAATGACTGCTACAGACCAGGAATATCTCCACAGGAGCTGCAACCTTGGATAAACTCTGACCAGGCTGTCTCACCATCATAGTTTGGCGCTCGTTAAAGCAGGGGTGTGTCCAGAGTGGTAGCAAAGGGTGCCACTGCCCCGCCCCCCAACTCTAAAACCCATTGTTATGATTTTTTTTTTTTGTCTTGTCAGAGGCAGGAATTAGAATAGTTTTGGTTGTCTTTGTATTAATTGAGTAAGCTCATTGGTAAACATGCATCTTCTTAGAACTTTAAGACTCAAGCTGATGAATTTATGTTTTCCCTCTCTTCTGTAGTTCCCTTCAAAGTTCCCATGAGGGTTTTTTTATGTTAATGAAATGGACTGAAATTCACATTAATACCCTTAATTGATATATAAAAGCAAACGAGACCATCAGTGACAAGACTGATGCCCTTATTTTATGAAATCCACTTAAATCACAATAAATGACACATTTAGGTGTCAAAGACTGGCAGGATGATTTTTTTAAATCAAAGGTTACTACATAAGTCAAAAGATAAGCCCGCTTTGTCCACTAGGGGAGCCAAAATCAGCACAGACCAAACGTTCCTCATAGGAGCTTTAATTTAAAGAATTTTTATACACAGAAATAACAGATGAATGATACTTTAATGATAGTAATTACAGCAGAAAGCGGAGATAGAAAGGGCATATGCTATTAATTTCAATGTGAGCAGATTTCCTGGCCACCCCAGTCAAAAATTCTGGGTACACCTCTGTGTCAAAGTCACTCATGGTCTTTTTTATTTTCCTGCTTTTGAAAAAATAACTTGAAAGGAAAAAAAGTTCACTTGCTTCCTAATATAGCCACTCAGTGAAAGGAGAAACTTTAAGAAATTATCAAAGGTTTTCACCTGTCAGTGATTAAAATGACATGGCTGATCAGTGCAGTTTATCAGTGTACAAACAAATCAGTGTGAACAATATCTATTTACAGCCAATAGAAATTCATACCAATGCAACCCATCACATAAAACAAAGTCTGAAATATCTCACTGTCAGAAAACAGTAAACATACTCTGATTTTTAACCCTGCCATTGCTGCATTTAACACTGAGGGTTTTTTTTTTTTAATGAAGCCTTGAACCTCGTCCAAAAATAATTCAATCTTGATCCAGAACGCTCAGCAGGAGGTAATTTAACATTTCAGAGCTGCCAGAAAGATCCGAGTGTGTCCCTTTGAATTTCTGGGTGGCTTTTATAATTTAATTACTGTTTAGTTTATGCTCACATCATGTCATGCTTATGACCCAGTTTGAGAAATCTGCTAAACAAGATTATGGAGTGGAGGATAAAGATAATGAAGGAGAAGATTTGATAAAAGTACACAATTGATTTCTTTACAAATTTGTTTTGGGTTAAAACTCAATTTTGACTTTTAAATCTTTAAACAAATTAACAAGGTGTATTTCACCTTAGAAATACTGTATATTCATTATCAATGTGCTTAATTATATACTGAACATTGATTTTCTGTCATTTACGCTGTAAAAAGTCGTTTCTACAAACAGCAAGTCATTGTAAACAAATAAAAAGAGACTTTTAAAAACTTCTGTCTGCAGTAAATATCTATACTGTGTATGAGATTTTTATTCAATCATTTCATCCTGCTTTAATCAATGGAAGTATGAAAGAAGCAAAAATATCAGTGGTACCACCTTGTCCACAGGGGGCGCCAAATGCTACACAGTCAAAAAAAATCGTCACACAAGCGTTAAAAGAAGAAAACATTATAGAAATAAAAAAAGTCTGTCTGGCTTTAAACTACACACTACAAGAGTTCTAATACTGATGGTATTTTTAAAAATACTTAAACTATATGATAAAACATGTTAAACACCAACAAAGAAAAAATACTTTTTGTTATATCTGATAAACACGGACGTCTCCTTGCAGTATGTTTGACGTTCTCATGGGCTGTTTTCATGAGGCAGAAGCTGCAAATAAATCAAAATCTAAGTTAGTACTTTATCATTACTGACTGGTCACAGTGGCTTAGCTAACATGCTAGCCACTAGCTTAAAGGAATTAACAATATAAAATTTCAGTTGGCATGATCCCTGTCATGTTGTCAACACTCACATGAACGCTCTCTGTCTCTATTTCTGGTCGCTTCCACTTCTTTTTGGACAGGATGCCAAACACCACCAACCCAAAGACCAGGATGAGGACGCCCAGAGAGTTAGCAAACTTTGCCTCTGCAGGCAGGGAGCTGTAAGGCTCACTACTGTTCCCATTTCTGCAGGAATCAAGTCACAAGTCTTTCACTGTCCAACAGTTTACAGTTCAAAAGTTCTTGCATGAGTCAAACTGTAGAAATAAGCAGGATACTGTTCATTGTTGAATTTCTGGGCACTTACAGAGTGAAGAACAGCTTCTCGTTGATTCCACTGATGCAGGAGGCCACACTGAGGATCAAGATTGCTTTTCCCATCCAGATGTGGACCGGTTTCAGAGCACCAGGGAACCACAGCGGAGAGCAAGGGAACAAGAAGCCCCACAGACCCAGAGTCCACTACCAGCAGCAAGAAAACAGACAAGCAGGTGTTTCAGCAGGTCAAGTGTTCATAGGTTTGATTATGGTGCACCACAAATATCTGTTTTCTTTACCTGGAGTGAAAACACTATGACTGTGCAGATGCCCACCCAGCTGTGCAGGGAGTACAGGTCAGGGATGTGGGACTGTCTGTGGAAGTCAAACACTGCACACAGGCCGAGGATGGACAGAATCAGAGCCAGCAGCATCAGAGCGGCGTGCACCAGCTTCCAGGTGAGCTTCTTCTGCTGCCAGGTAAACGGCACACGGTAAACAACAGCCGCTGCAGACACACAGGTGAAAAATAAATGTTAAAAACTGTGGATTTGTCCGGAGGAGATCTCCGCAAACATAGACCAGTTACCTACCATATCCATAGAGAACCAGTAGTCCGGACACCATGAGCACAGGATGCCAGTTAAACTGCAGAGCTGAACCGTCCCAGGAGAAACCTCCTCTCCAGCATGAGCTCCAGACGCTCACAAACAGCAGGCAGAGCAGACCCGAACACAGACACAGAGCGTAGGAGACGTAGAACAACACAGACGACCTCATGACTGTCTGTGAGGCCGAGCGAGAAGAAACATAAAGTACAGTGTCAGGAGTGGAGCACGGCGAATTTGAGTGAAGGGAAAGCAGAAAAAACTGAGCATTTCTGAGGCTAACAACAAGCAATCATTTCATCTGTTATATGCGCACATCTTTACTTTCCATCAGAATATTTACACAATCTACACTAGGGCTGGGACAATACGCTTTTCTCCCGATTGAATTCTTCTACGATTTTTTGGATGCCAATTCGATTTAAATTGCTACGATATTGTCAATTTTCTTGATATTTAGTCTGGATTTTTAACACCAGTGAAACAGTTGATTATGATAGTCTCCTGACTATTCCAGGAACCATATTTCCCCCAAAAATAAATATCACACATAATCAGATTTATTCTTAAATTTGAAAACAAAAAATCGATTTTTGAACATAAAAATTGCGATACTTATGTGAATCGATTTTTTTCTCCAACCCCTAATCTACACCCGATCTTAAACATTTATCAAACAGATCTAAATGCAAATATATATTACGGAAAACTAAGTTACAGTATGCATAAAAATAAAAGCTAGCAGTTGGAAGGAGTTTGGTGACCTGAAAGTACCTCAGTACAATCACAGCGTTTATGATATTTGTCTGCAGTAAAAGCACACAGAAGGATTATACGGATGTTTTTTGCTATATTTCAGGGCTCTCCACACACAAAAAGAAAAGTCTTTAAAAAGTTCCTCCTTAAAGACTCAATAAAGTGCTCAAATATGATTTATACTCACAAGATGAGAGCTTTTGTCCCTCCAGTGAATCGGTCCTCTTCACTCACGAACTCCAAACTTCCTCTCACTTTGTCCTTTTGTTTTCAGGAAGAGTCGTTCACACAGTCGCTCTGTCTGCTTTTACGGCAGGAATAAATCATCCCACATGCTGAAAGAGTCTGTGTATTCCTTCTTTATCTTCATCGGAGTCTCGTATCAGTCACAGCTTTTTTGACATTATAAAATCAAAATATCTCAAGGCTTTTGTAAGAGCTTAGTGTTTGTGCTTGGTCATGTTGGTTCAGCAGATCAGGACTGAAGCATATGATCAGATTCATGAAATGAGTATGAACCAGATCGATGCGTGATTGTAACAGAGGAAGTTCAGACGATTATTTAATCGCAGGCTCCGGGAAGATTTTATCTGACAGTGACAAATATCAGAAGTGGCCTCGCTGTAGGCCGGTTCATCTGAGGTGTTTGCCTCAAGTTTAGCTGCCTGCACCAGTGTGGCTGCATTAATCACATTAAACTCATAAAAGTTGCTGTTATTAGCACCATTGTCAAAGTGGCTTTTTTATGGTGCAGGAGTCTGCTTTGACTTTGAATTGTGCCTCTAGGGTGTGGCTGCTTCAAAGTTTGGTTTGGCATGTTATGCAATTAATTGTTTTCATCACCAAAAGTTGAAAAAGGCACCTGAGTAGTACTGTTTTAGTTCTTTAATAACCTTCTGCTGACCCTAGCTGTTGTGATTGAGGAGGAGGAGGGGAAGGAGAGAGTTAAATCTCTCCTACCCCTAAGTTTTGTTGTTCTTTTTAAATCACTGCATCAGGATTTCTTTTCATGTAGGTTTTTATTCAGATCAGGAAACGTATGAGTGGTATAGAGCTGTCAGAGATTCACAAGTGGGTTCTTGATTCATCAGCTGAAGGGTAAGAGGGGAAGCAGAGAGGGCTGCAAAGGGAGTGGGAGATTTCCAAAGTCAAAAAGAGCAACGCAGTTTACTTTTATCAAATAAATGTCCTTCAGAATAAAAGTGAGTCTTTAATAAGTTATATAAAAACAGATAAAACTTTTTTACACACTGTCATGAATTGATTCCAAGCTCCAGGGTCTAAAACTTTGTTATGTTTAGTTCTAAATATTTTAAAGTTTGGCATTTTAATGCAGGACCTGAAGGAGGTCGACTTGCTTTAAGAGCCAGTCCCAAGTGGCTGTTTGTGGAACTGCAACTTTAGCCACCACTGCGTTTACCTCTAGCCGCTTCTATCATTCATATAATGGCTGTGTCTCAATTCAGAGACTGCTTACGGCTGAGCGAGCTCAAGAGTGCACTGCTGTTACATGGACTTGAGTACCCTGTGTGAGATGGTCCGGTTTTTGTAAATTGGGACGGTCTACCCTTCGGATGACTTCCTGGTTGAGTCACCAAATGTCCCCGCCCTCAGGCTCGCATCACGACTGACTTGAAGAAAAGCCACGGAGACCACATTTGAAGCACGCTCAGAATCACGAGCCAAATTGGACACCGTTAGCACCGCATGATGACGTCATGCACACTTGAAATGCGCCCTTAAATGGTGCAGTCTCTGAATTGAGACACAGCCAATTTCTCAAGAACAATGGATCCTACAGTTCCCATAATGCAACACAACAACATTATGAGCCTGTCAAACACTATTGGGTACAATATAAATGCAAATGCATGACCGTGTTGGTAAATGCAAAGCAGGATGAGCTTCATTGACACACAATAAAAGTTTGTTCATATTAGAAGTGTTGAATGTGGTTATCATAGATGTTTATTTGGATTTGCACTCATCAGAAACATGATGCATCTTTGACTGCACAGGGTTTTCATCTACACATCATACAGCAGCACAGTGACTGGAGCACTCAGCGCCATGTTGAGTATAATCTTCTTGGCACAAACTTTCTCATCGTCTTCATCCTCCACAAACACAGACAGGAAGTTCTGAGCACCCAGGGGTATGTCCTGGGTCTGCGATGCCAGCACGCGGATACAGGCCTCGTCTTTCTTAAACGGGAACTTTTTGTCAGCAGGAGACGCGGACAAACTTTTTTCTTCGTCGGCTCCAGACTCGGAGGTGATGAAGGCGTCCATCGCAAGAGCTTTCTCTCTGATGTACACACGGATGTTTCTTTTGCTGTAGTTGCTCATCTGGCAGGTGGTGTTGGTGTTTCCCATCGTGTTACAGCAGGTTTGAGTCAGGTGGGCTGAGATCGGAAAAAGGAAATCAAAGTTTATATTTCTCTGAGCTGGAAATAAAATGAGATGCATCCCAGACAAACTCGCCTTCAACTTTCAATACTATTTTATCTACCAGAAAGGCATCAATCAATCAATTAATCAATCTTTATTTATAAAGTGCCAATTCACAACAAGTGCTATCTAACAAGAGCCACGATGAACCAAGACTGACTCCCATCTTGTAAGACCAGACTTACTCTAATCCCATATTCAACCACATGCACTTTGCATTATTTGGCAAGTTACAGCGCAGAGCAAGAACTTCTTTAACAGGCAGAAACCTCAAGCAGAACCAGACTAAAGTTAGACAGTCACCTGCTAAGACTAAACTTAAGGAGACGAGATTGAATAAAAGAAAGAATTCATTCTTACCTGCTGCTCCAGTGTCGGTGAGGTGAAATGATGACTATCTTGTCCTGACCTCTACACGGTGTGAGTGTGTGGACAAAGTCAGATTATATGCAAAAACTTTAAACAGAGTTCGACCTGCTGATATCTTACACATGTGAGTTCAGCTCCTCCTTTAGCCGACCTGCAACACAGCTTTGCACTTTGAAACATTACCAAAAAATAAAAAAATAATATTCATCAATCATTAAAAATTTTTTTGAATCAGTCGCAAAAATCATCACTGCAGCCTCTCAGTTTCTAACCTCATTATCTATGCAGAGATCTGAGAGGGTGGGGCGCTTTGATAATAAGGCACTACCCTGATTGGCTGCCTGAATGTTGTCAAGGAGACAAGGATGCAGAGGCGGAAAAACACTGAAACAAAGATGGTGAGTACTCCAGAAGAACCAGGACCAGAACCGAGCCAAGATTTTTTAGTAAAACACTTTAAATTTCATCACAAAGTGGCGACACTCCATGCGTTTACATGCACAGCTTAATTGGACTAAGCTTAATTGGTTTTTTTTTTCACTGAATCAGACTTCTCTCCTTGTCCATGTTTACATGCAGCTGAGAAAATTGAATTATTGATGTGAACATGTCCTCCTCCCCAAAACTAGGGGGCGATATGGGTCTTTTCAGTGGCGCTGTTTCCGACCCCATACAACCATCAACAATGACAGCAGGTCCGTGCCAGACGTCAGAAGTAGGGCTGCAACGATTAGTCGACGTAATGGATTACGTCGATCGATTGTTCGATCATACTCCGACTTTGCCGGTTACATTGTAGAGAAAAACGAATTCCAATCGCGTTATCTGGATGTCTTAATTGGACTTCTCCGACTATAATCGGAGTTCTCAAACTCCGATTATAGTCGGACTAAGGTGTTTACATCCACTTCAGTTGTCCGATCTTAATTGGAGTAAGGCAATAATTTGGTTTTCTCAAGTGTCATGTAAACATAATGCTTGGCTGTTGTTTCTGAGTGTTAAACTGATGTCAGAGACCCATATATGAGAGCCAGTGCCCAGTTTTGTACTGCCCCTCATTGGTGGAGCTGTCCCACGTGAAGCGATCAGCACAAAACAACAAATTACCATAAAGTGTAGGACGCAAACTGTTCCTAGAAAATAAAAATCATCTTCTGATTTCTCTCCTCCTGTGCTGAGACAGAATGAAGACATCTGAGTCAGTTTTTTCTTGGCATGTCTGGCTTTAACCTTTGACCCTTAGGAGCTGTGTTTTCCCTGAAGGTGGACTACTGAAACAAAAGAGAGGCTCTTACTTTCACATTATCAAGGTTGCTTGGCAGGGGGAAGACTGGGGTGTACGGACAAAGCATGTAAACTAATACAGAGGAACCTTGACTGAGACTTCATAGATTCTGAGCTCTATTTGAGAAAACACATAGTTCCAGCTTTAAGACAGTAAAATGATTCATAACAGTTGGTGAAAACTCTCATAAACAACAAGATTAAAGCCTCCCTATCAAACTCTCTACAGTAACACTGTTAAAAAGTTCTCTTTGTCAGATCGAACCAAGCCTTTATTTGCTGTCTTTTGCATATTCAAAGCACCATGAGAAAAATGCTGTAAAGATAAGAGAGCGGTGCTGTCGGTTTTGTGCCACTCTTTCTCAGCAGCACAATTAGGCCGTGGTTGTTACTGCTGCTGTCCCTGCTCGTCTCTGACCTGAGCCCCCTCAGAGACGGGGACAGGGTCATGGAAAACTGGAGTTTCTGCAGAAAAGCGCTCCACAATGAACAGACGAGTCCCAGAGGACCAGAGATACTTCAGATCCAAACTGGACTCTGCTGCATGTGCGTCCGGAGAAACAGTGTGCACAAATTGAAGACCTCCCCCTTTAACCGGACAGTCTGTAATGATCATGGCGGCAGTTTGTCTGACCGAGAATTCATGGGAACGAGAACCAGGGATCAAACTCCAGCACTGGTATGATTAATTTAAAACTTTTAAGGCATGAACTCAATACTTTTAAACATTATTCCTGGATAAAATTACCATTTTCTTGTGTTAAATGTATGACTGACAAGTTAATAACCTTGATTTCACGAGTTTAGTGTTTGTAAAGCTAGACCTGCAAAGTTTCAAAAAGCTGCAGCCATCTAGGTTTTCTGTCAAGAACTAAAAACGGACCATAAAAAGTTAAAAATGTCACTTTTTGTCCTAAAAGACAAAAGTTCAACTAGGTATGATTTGAATGTTGTATGGCAGAAAATCCTGAAATGTTCACCTAGGGCTAGGCGATAAACCGAAAATTTACCGATACCGAAATTTACAACAATAACAGATGTCATTTTGTCCATATTGGTTTATTCGGTGTCAAAAAAATAAATAAAAAGTTGGTTTTGGATGTGTGTAGGTAGGCTCTCAAGTCCCTTTAAGACGCTGGTCTATGTCAGAGATGTGATTCCACCCCATCCAGACCGTAACAAAGAGGGAAAGACAGGTGAGGAGATGGCGGCTGAAGTGGAAGCTTAAGTAGACGAAGTTAATGTGGGAGGGGGTGAGCAGCTTGTGAAGTAGTTATCGTACATTTATCTTCATCCAGGTGAACTGCTTAATATATCGTGATATTGATTTGAGCCATATCGCCCAGCCCTATCTTTGCCACACACTCAAGAAAACTGAATTATTGCCTTACTCCGATTGAGACCGGACAACTGAAGTGCATGTAAACACCTTAGTCTGACAATAATTTGAGTTTGACAGCTCTGATTGGAGTTGGTGAACTCCGATTTAGACACCCAGATAATGCGATTGGAATTCGGTTTTCTCTACCATGCAACCAGCGTAGTTGGAGTATGATAGGCCAATGCATGAACGCGTGCGCTACGCCCCCGGAACAAAAACACCAGAGAAGAGGAGTAGCGTGCATATCATCTGCAGAAAAAGTAGCGCGAACATCATGTTCAACAAAAACAACGCTGTATGATGCTCAATCTTCTTGCTCGAAAATGCCCAGCAGCAGTTGTAGCCATGTCTGACATCTGGCACGGATCTGCTGTTGTTGTTGGGTCAACTGGAAACAGCACCGCTAAAAAGACCCGTATCGCCCCCTAGTTTTGGGCAGGAGGACACGCTCACATCAATAATTCGATTTTCTCTGCTGCATGTTTATGCGGACAAGGAGAGAAGTCTGATTTGACGAAAAAAACAAATTATGAGTGTAGTTCGATTAAGCTGTGCATGTAAACGCACTGAATGAAAAACCTACAATGACTGTTACCGTGGAGATTCAGCGCAGATATATAAACCAGGTTAAAGACAAGCGCATTCATTTGAGTGACTTCGAGCCTGCCTGATGTGATCTCAAGGAAATCATCTGATAGTTTGGTGGAAATTTGATGGGTAGTCTGAGCTGTTTGGCCGACCGGATGACTTCTCGCTCCCTGCAGCGACGCCAGGAGCAGGGCTAATAACTTTCACATGAATGGAGCGTCATGCTTTCAATGGTTGTTGTCAAATTATGACTCATGAACTTTTCTGGAGGCAGTTTAAAAACTTCCTCTATCTTTCTCTCCAGGTTGTTTGTCTCGTGTGCGCAAAGGGGGAAAGTAAAACAGCAATGAAAGAGCGGCACGTTATGGATGAGGCCGGTCATATTCCAATGAGGATGATAAAGGATCTCACATATTCAGGGTCTGCATGGTTTCTGCATCATCACTCAGCTGCCTGGGGCTGCAATTTTAAGGCCCTCTTGCTGGAGAAACCCAAGAATTGGGACCCTGCCATGAGTGTTTGGCTGCAGAAAATGCTGACAAAGAGATACAGCGCTGCAGAAACTTGGGTTATTTCCTGCTGCTTTAAGGGGAGTGAAGTGCAAGGAGCGGCGTCCATCAAGAGAAGTCCAAAAAATCCGAGTGTTAAAGGACAAATAAGACAAGAAGAGAGTGAAAAGCGGCCGATGGGGTTTAAAGCTTTTACAGAGCGTGATGGACAGCTGAATTCAAAAGGTTTCGCCAATCGATATGACACTTTTAAAGCTGCTTCTCTGCACCCTTCAGAAGAAAAAACTCTTTTCCAGACAGAGAGAAATGTGGCCGGAGTTATAAAGAAAAACGACCATTTGAGCTTCTTGGTTCAGAGGACTGTTCAGAGGCAACAATCTTTAAAAGCGTCCAGAGTATATGATGATGAGGATGGATTTTATGTTCGCAGGAAACTCTCGCTGATACCGAGGGAGAAGCCAGAATCCATAAATAAACCACAGTATAAACTAAGGGCCACTCCTGATGATAATAAAGAGGATCTGAGCAGGAGGATAATCACAAAACAAGTCGAGCTGCAGCACCCAGAGGGAGAAAGTGCAACCGAGCGATCACATAAAAATATTGAAAATGGAGAGCGGGAAAGATTAACATACCGGCTACAAGCAGGATTTACACATAAAACAGATAATAATGATGACAAAGAAATGCTTAGTGAGGTGGGAGATGATATTTTAATCATGTTTTTCCTTCCAGACGCCGAGAGTGAGACACAAACGCAGGGAAAACTTATTTTAGATGCAGACATTAAGCGGAAAACAGTAAATATACCCATAAAAGAGCTGGATGACCCTCCACCTGTACCTGAAGTTATGGAGGAAAACTTTATTACTGAGGCGCATAACTCCAGATGTAAATGCCTGAAAGAAATCCTGACTTTATTAGAAATTTATGCAGCAAGAGAAGACATAAAACCAACAAAAGTTACTACAAAGTCTGCGAAAACTGAGAAACAGGTCAAAGCAACAACAGAGAAAGTAGAGCTGACCGAGACAAACAATGCGGCGAGTGAAAATACGAGCATAAATCCGACAAAACAAGATGCATCATCAGAGGAATCAGTCATCCCCTCACCTCCCTCAATCAAAACCATCGAGCTAGAGCCTGCAGAAACAGAGCACACGGTGCAGACGAGTACGGTAAACAAGGAGATAAAAGAGGCAACATCAAGCCCAAAAAGCTTCAATCAAAGCGGCACAGGAAGAGGAGACAGACCGCCGAGGACGACCACAACAAGTCCAAGATATAGAGGTAATAATAATGCACAAAAAACTACAACTAAGGAGTCATTCTCAGGCCTCAGGATGAGGGAGGACTTCACCATCAAACTTTGCAGAAGCAGAAAGAAGGAAGGAGGTGTAACGAGGAGGCCGGAAAGACCAAAGGAGAGCGTGTTTACATCTGCAAGACCAGCAAAAACAGCAAAAACAGCTGAGACAGGAGCTGCAGAAACAACCCTGCAAGTAAGTGAAGAAACAGAGACAGGGGCTGTTTTGGAATTGGCCTACTGCATACTCCTGCCGAGCGCAGTATGCAGTACATACTGCAGTACATACTGCAGTACATACTGCATACTGCATACTAAGTACCGTGCTTGATAGTAGTATGCAGTATGACTGGAAGTCAGCCGTTAGTATGTAGTATGCTTGGCCCGGTTTAGCTGGTTTCCGGTATGGAAAAGTCCATCGTAACCTGGTAAATTGCAACAGCACTACAGTGTTGCCCATTCATGTATGCACTGAAAAAAACTTTATGTTTTAATTTGAATTTTTTCAGGATTTTTTAGCCCAATACCAGCCATCAAAACCTGTTTAGTTAACCCTAATCCTAACCCTAACCTTTACCTGACAGACGATGACGGTTCACAGCTATTAGGAATAACCAATTGGAGCCCAGCACTTCTAGCCAATCAGAGGTGAAGAAGAGCGTGACATTTCCCTACTATCCTATAAAAAAAATTTCGTCTGCCATCTGCCAGGGCGTTTTGCATTGTGGGTAACAGTAGGCAAAGCAGACTGGTCTGATGCATACTGTGAAATTTTCCTGAATCAGTACGTCATCCGGGTATTTTTACCGCTGACAGTGCGTACTGCGAATAGCCTTTCCACTTTTCAAACACTCGTGAAGACGCACCTGTTCACTTTAGCTTTTGGGGAAGTATAGCTACTTTTATTGGGTCTCTAATTTATTTGTCATGTTTATCCATATCGTTTTTTAAATGTTTTTATATGTTTTATGCTTTTATTGTTTTTATAGTTTTTTTATTGTTTCTGGCTGTTTTACTGCGAGGCACTTTGGTAGACCACTGACTGTTTTTAAACGCGCTATATAAATAAAACTGACACTGACATACTGCAAATTTTGCTTTTGTTCGCATACTGCATACTAAATTTTGTGCAAATCAGTACCATAGACTTTATAAAGAATGGACAGTGTCTGCTTCCTCGCTGGGTGAAGCCACTCCGAGAACAGCACCCTCTGGTGACGGACTGCAGTATAGGTCATAAATCCTGTCCCGCCAGCAAAGTTTACGAGGCTGTGGACAAACAGAAATTTATTACACGGAACATAATTTTTTTCCCTCCTGCTTGCAATGTTGACATGTAGTTACAGTAAGACTGGTTTGTGCTCAAGTCCTCTTTTTTTCTGTACAGCTCCATTTCTAAAAGTTATTAGGGGGTTCATGTTTTCTATGATTGACCCCTGATACAGCCTATGGGCGTACGAAGATTGTGTAGCTCACCCGGGGATACGCTGTTTGAGCCGAGCGTCATCACAGCGACTCTCTGCGACTCTCCCGCCAAATGCGTACAATGCTACTGCGCAATGTTGGTTTCAGGAAGTAGAGAAAAAACGCAGAATTCCTGAGAGCTTTTTGGCTTCAAATCCGTGTACTGGTGGAAGGCAGAACCAAGTTGTCCATAGTATACACAGTCTATGATCAGTACGTACTGTTAGTATAGCAGGGGAATTTAAAAACGGCTAAAGAGAGGGTTTACTGTCCTGGTTAAAGTCAGAGAGAAATGAAATTAAGAAGAGCACAGCATGGCGTCCACTCATATTATAGCATAGGAGTCTTAAAGGCATAGACAGTAGGATGTAAAAAACTGTAGTGCATGAGTGAAAATGGAAGTCTGGATGATAATTAGTCGGCTTAAAGTCATGGTGACCATATTTTTCTAACCTCCAAAAACAGGGACACTTTAATTCAACCGCAGACCCACATGTCTGAATGAGCTCATGGGTACAGTTGGATTTGTCATCAGTTCACCTCTCAGCACTCAGCAGATGAAAAATCACGTCTCCTGCTGTACCCACTGTTTTCATATGGCTCTGTGTCGCAGGATTTTCACTGCGGACACTTGCAGCTGTATGTTCGTTCGTTGCCAGGTACTTTTCAGAGGAGGCTGTGACTCTCCTGGAAAACGCTGACTCTCTTGTACGCCTGGCGGCCAGCCTAGACGATTCCGTTAGTATGAGAAGCTTAGCGAAGAGCATTTTTGTGTTAAAAATTAGTGTTTTAAATCTATAATAAGACAAAAATGGTTTTTACTAAAGTTTAGATGGACTAGGAGGCAGAACTTCATGCTTATTCAGAGAAATAATCCTCCTCTCCTCTGGCGCTTATACAGACTTTTATACATTTCTCAGCACACACTGATGAAACTTCTCCTCTACAGAAACATGACAACACGCCATCCTGCAGAGGATTAATACATCGCACTGAGGCCGGCTGGAAACACTGCATGAGGAGACATTCAGGAGCTGGGTTGAATATATTTCCCTCTGGGGGTCCCACCGGTGTATCTGAGGTTACAGGAGAGGAGCAGAAAGAAGCTACAACCATCACAGACCGCAGGGGCGCTGATGACAACGGCAATGATGAATACGACCACTTTTACTATTTTGACGGAGTGCTGAAGAGGGTTCGAAATAATTTTTACCCCCATTACGAGAGACAAAGACTGAGGAGGAGGAGGAGGAGGAGACATGATAACACATAGATGAATGTTTCACAGGGGAGAGAGGAGACACTCAGGGAAACCTCATCAGTCAGATCCCACTTCTGTCCTTGAGGAATAAACCCGGTCGGCAGACATGATCAGGAGCTGAGAGACTGACTTTTACACAAGGACCTGATCAGTAACATGAAAAACACTGACAGCATGGAGAGTCATGCATGAAATGCTAAATGTGAAAGATATATAAATGCACAAATGGTTTAATAAACGGGTTTAATATTCAGGTCAGATGTATCTGTATATTTTTGTGACTCATTCAAGACCATATTTGGTGGCAGTGAGTCAAACATACAGACTGAGAATGGAGTATTTTTGTTTTTATTTTTGTCTGTCTCATTAAATTTTCCTTAAACATAATCTCAACACTGAAAATAATAAATAATACTTTGACCTCTGACTGCAGTTTAAAACAGCTTTTGTAAGTTTGCTTCATGTATCATAAACTTGACTTTTTCTTATAAAATGAGTGTACTGTGTGTTTTATTTCAAAAAGGGGATATTAAGCAGGTGGAGAACAAAGTCAGTCAAATTAGATTGAAGTAAACCGGCCAATAATCTTGTATTAAAAAACATTGTACAGGTGCAGCTCAAAAATGTCCAAAGTCCTGAAAAAGTTCAGTTTTTCCCCCATAACTTCATTCAAAAAGTGACATTTTCACACATTCTAGATTCATCGACCTTCAGGAAAATTATATAAATTCATGCTCTCAGTACCTGGTTAGGGCTCCTCCTTTTGTGTGAAGTTCTGCATCAATGTGACGTAGCATGGAGGCCATCAATCTGTCGATCTTGCTGGGGTGTAAAGTCCTGATTGATCTTGTAGCTCCTTCAGTTCGTCTGTATCGATGGTTATCTGTTTCTCAAGTCAGGAGAGTTAGCTGATCTATCAAGCAAACCAGTTTCTGGTCACTTTGGCGCTGTGGGCAGGTACCAGGTCCTGCTTGACAAAGAAATCTGGATCTCCATGAAGCATGAAAGTCTCTGAAATCTCCCGGTGGACTTTAGGCTGACTCTGGACTTGTAAACACAGTTGACAATGACGATGTCTCTTAGCAGCAGGAACACACTTGTAGTCCAGTTCTTGGACTCATCTATGTGTAGAGGCTCTTGATGCTCAGACTCCAGCCTTAGTCCATTTTTAAGTTCTGGAATCTACTTTGTTTGATAGTTCTCCTCAGGCCCGATAAACCTCTGTTGTTCGGTATCACATCTGCTTCCTAACAGACTCCGTGAACAGCAAAATAATCCTTTTAGAGGGGGTCAATAATCGTCTTCTAGACAACTGTCAGGTTTGCAGTCTTCCTTGTGATTGTGCTCGAGTGAGCTAAACCAGAGTGAGAGGATAAAGGCTGCAGGTGTTGAGAGTTAATCGGCTGATCAGACCTGAAAAGACCTGACAAGGATCTGGACTTTTCGGCCTTGTCCACAAGGAGTCGGGTATTTGCTTAAACGAATATGTTTTTATACGTTTTCACCTGCCATCCAAACAAAACCGCAGGATAATGGCATTAATAACAATGCTTTTGGAAAACTCCGGTTTTGCTTTGGGTTTGGACACAGATATACATATACTGTATACACATATACTATGTGCCTTTGTTTATGTCAGACAGTGGACGGCACAGATAAATACAGAATATTATGGTAGCCAAGGACCACCACTGCTGCAAATAAATTTTAAAAAAAAAACGCAAAAAAGAAAAAAGTCACAATGGAAGTTGCCGATGCAAAAAAAGAAACCGAAGCCCGCTGCAAATAAAAATAGAGGCAGTGCAGATAAAAAAAAAAAAGCCACAATGGAAGTTAAAAAATTCAAAAAAGAAAAAAATGGTGATGGAAAAAAAAAAAGTTACTTACTGCGAAAATAAAAGGATGCAAATCAAAAAAGCCACAACAGAAGTGAGCTGCCAGGGACCAAACATATTGATACACCGGTGTTTTACGATCTAGGCACAGCAGATGATGGCAAAGGGACGAGCAATAAGTTAGTGGAAAGGTTATTGTTTAATTTCTCTTTGTGCGCTTTTTACTGTGCCGTTTGGTTAGGCCATGTAGCGCCTGAGTCGATATGAGGCTAAAACGATGCTTACAAGCAATTCTACTTCTTAGTTGGTGGTCCACATGACCAAACTAGATGGCTCTATGTTTCATGTTTCCTCTGATTGGATAAGATGGGTCTAACTTTTTGCAAATACCGCGGTCAATAGCACATTCATGTGGTTTTGTGTGGATGGGATTTTTATTGAAAACGTCTCTAGTGTACAAGGCCTGGTAAGTTAAAATGATTAGAGATAAACTGTAATCATAAAGTCTTGAAATATCTCTCTTACCATTTATCTTTTTGTGACACTCAAAGAAAACTCCTTCAGACAGCATGATCTGTACAAAACATTTATTTGAACTTAACATAAAAACAGCTTTGACATATTTGCATAATTTATATCTGAATTCCATGACAAGCAAACGATAACTACGGAGGGAAAATGACTTAACATTGAACAGAAAGTTTGTATAAGAGCGAAAACAGGGAGTTAATTGAAGGACTGGGGACTTTGCCATGAAATATGTAAAAGTGAAAAACAGAGAAAGTAAAAAAAAAAGAGTGAACAAAACATGCAGGAGAAAAAAAGTCCAACAGTTGAGAAAAGTTCAGTGAGGGTTGTGCAGCACCCCGAGAAATTGATGCAGGCTGTAGTTTCATTGTCTGTCAGTAGATGGCAGTGCCGGCACTGTTGCATCACTCTTCAGCATTAATATATAACTCTGTAACTCTTACCTTTATATACAGGAGACTGCAGGGAAATGGGCAACAACTCGCTTTAAAATGGCACAACCTGAATGTTTAACAACTCTGTGCTTCTGTTTCCACTCTGACTGTGTTAATAGAGCTGCATATATACACGACACTTTATAAGGCTTGTATAGACATTCATATGTACAGAGAGGGGGGAGATTACAGGAGGATTAATCTGAGCTTTTTTTTCTTCTTTTTAAATCCAGAAAAATTGTTTCCTTCATCTTGTCTGCGTCTAACTGAGACAAAACAATCTGTACCTGCTCCCTCAGGACGGTTCGGCCACAGAGCGGCGGGTGAATCCTCTTTTTTTTTTTTATGGATCGACATCACCTCAACTTCAATTTGAAGCGACAAAGTCTGCATTTAGCATCACACGTAACATGGACAGTGTGGAACAGAGCGCTCCACTATAGATAAGAGTTCATTCATTACAAGTTTCAACCACACCTTGAAAGTTTGGATGTCAGTCATGGCGCCCTGAGGTTTCACACACTTGTTTTCCTCATAGGGTTGTTTGTTCTTGTTGTTTTTTTTCTTTTTGGCAACGCTATAAATAATGAAAGTTAATTATTATTCATTATAATAAATATGACAATAAATAAAAATGACCTGCTAAAGTACTAACAGTTACTCCGACAGAAACAGCTTGTGTAATTCCTTCTATAACGTTGCTTGTTGAACTGTGACAGAGTGAAAACATCCTTCCCTCCCTCCCTCCTGTTATGACGTTTTTTTGAACACTACGCTCTACGAACATTATCAAATCATCACAAGAAAGTTAAGATGGCACAGACAAGGTCAAGTTTACGATTAGTAAGGTGAGACTTGACCAAAAAATTTCCTCTTGAAATTCAGGAAAAACGCTCATGAACTCTTCGAAACATACAAACGACAGCTAAAGCATGATTGTAGTTTTACATCCTACATGTGCCAGAGGTCAGTGCACCAGTATCAGCGACATCTTTAATGCCACTCCTACAAACCAGTGTATATTTGTGTCTCCAGGTTAGTGTTTGAAGATCTGGGAGGAAAACCAGACGGGCGAACACGACTGGAGACGTCGAAGCTTTCAGTATTTGGCTAAGTGTCGCTTCGTTAGCTTAAACTCATTAGCCCTTACTGCATTTTGACACCTTCATGATATTGTGCTCTTCTTTTTTTCTTTTTCTTTTGGAGACATTTTCATCATCGTCTTTGTTGTTCAATCAGACAAAAATAACAAAAACAAATGCTTCATTCTCGTTTCGGCAAGTAGTCGACATCCAAGGAGTGCCAATCAATCCGGTCTGACTTTCCCCTTTTTTGTGTTTTTCTTTTTAAACTACTGGCTTCTGAAAACATGGCTGCTGAGCCACAAAGAGGTAAGCCTGTTCGTCAGACACAACGTCCACCTTTAGTGTCTATGTGCTTTGAGTTTTCTCCGCTCCGCTCGCGCCTCCTCAGGGTGTGCCTTCGTGCTTGTAGAAGCCTTTCTGCAGGGCGGCGGAGGCGATGCTCTCAGCCGAGCGCCGCTGGTCCATACTGAGCAGAGCGTCCAGCAGGTCGTTGATGTCAGCTTTGAGTCCCCGCCTCTGCATCCAGTTCTTCAGCAGTTCGTACACTTTGTCCCCGGCGGCGCCGTTCTCCGCGATCCGGATGTGGTTGTCGCTGACCCCGATCGATCTGAAGAACTTGTTGTGGATCCGGACGTCCAGGTACTCGTCGAAGAGATCGAAGCTCTTCTTGAGGGACTTCTCTGACCCTGAGAAAACAAAGAGATGAAATTGTGAAACATGAGCTTAACGGCGGCTGCTGAATCTGCATGAAACATTGATTTTTACTTTTTCAATCCATCCTGCTCTCTTTAGTTTCACATTGAATGATCTGGTGTTGTTGGTCCCTGTCTGCCTGCTGCAGCAGACGTGGAAAGAATTGGTTTTGGACTTTTACACTAAAGAGCAGAGTTTATAGGGGAGTAAATATTGGTGTTTCTCGAGAGGTGGAAGAAAAAATCGACTCACATGAATTCACATTCACATCCTTCCAACCACCAGCTTTTATTTTTATGCATATTGCGACTTAGTTTTTCCGTAATATATATTTGCATTTAGATCTGTTTGGTAAAAGTTGAAGATCAGGTGTAGATTAGGGGTGGGAGAAAAAAACGATTTTTTGTTTTACAATTTTTCAATCGATTTTTATGTTCAAAATTGTTTTTTTTTTTTTTTTCAAAATTAGGAATAAATCTTAAAAACTGACTCACATGTGATGTGTATTTTTTGGGGAAATATGGTTCCTGGAATAGTCAGTAGACAATAATAATCAAAAACTGTTTCACTGGTGTTAAAAATGCAAACTAAATATAGAGAATAATATCGTATAATTGCAATTTAAATCGAATTGGCAAAAATCGTAGAAAATCGAATCAGGAGAAAAGCATATCGTCCCAGCCCTATGTTTCACTGCAATATAAAAAGTCTTCAGACTGAGTTTAAAATCAGTTCCAGGACTTTTTAAAAACTTTTGAAGATCAAAACTTGAGTACAGGATAATTCTTAGCTAGCCGGTGATCATACAAAAAGTATCGTTGCGCTTTCCATTCAGTATCAACAGCCACTGTAATAAATAAGTACTAAGCTTGTAATAATAAAAGATAACACTTGTCATGAAGCTAATCGTCAACACAGATTTAACCTGTTTTTCAGATTTACAAAAGGGAGTGAGTTATCAAAAGTTTATAAGATGTTACTTGACAAAAAGAACTCCCCAAAAGTGACCAGAGGGGTTTCTATGTGAAACATCAAACTTTGAATGTTTCTGTTACAGTAAATATAAATGTGTAAAAGTCTGTATGCTGCACTCGTGTCAATAGATCCATCTGTTGATCTGTGATGGGTCCAGAAAATCAACTTTTTGGGGTTTCTTTGCATTTCAATTTGCCACGTTTCCTTTTCTCTGTACTTCTAATGATAATTTTAGACAAGAGTCTTTTTTAATGTCCTTGTTAGGATCATTTTAAGTAAAACTTTGACCTGCTGACTCACAATTTAAAGGAAAACATTTCACATAAATACGTGAATAAGGCCTAGGATGAATACGTCAACACACTCAGAGGTGTGTACATCTATCTATCTTATCTGTCGGAACAACACGCCTTATCTCTGTAGAATCAAACTACAAACACACACATTTACATGCATGCGCACAACCTGCTGTTGTTTGTGTTGTTTTGTTTTCGTCCTCACTTGCTTGTGCCTAAACAGAACTTAAAAACCTGTTTTTGGCTCATCCAGACTTTTTTATGCAACATGTGTCACACAAATCCACCAAAAACGAGCATCAATATAGCAAACCAGATACCGGACATGTCCAAGTCAGATTTCATGTGGCCTTTTTTGCAGTGATAAAATAAATACTCGGTGACTGTTTCGGTATCAGAAGCGTTTCACTGCATCTTCCTTCGGGGGATGTTTTTATCAAACAGGAATTCCATTAGAAGATCAAACAAACGGGTTCAAATAGATTTTCTTAACTTTATCATGGGAAAAAAAAAACAGCAACTGCAAATTGGAAACCATGTTCCAGCCCTGCGCCCCCCTGAAGGCTTCTGGCCTGACTGTCATGAGATTATTAATCTATCAAGCGACTAATGTGAGATCTGGATGGATGCTGTTGATTTGATTTCCCCGTGGACTGACATGAACTGTGGTAAACGGTGCAGCTTTTCATGTCAGCTGCCTTTCAGCGCGAATCAAGCTGCATGAAAAATTCATGAAATTAGCGAACGAGTGTCTCGTAGATGGGGGAAATCTCCCACTCCCACTCCCACTGCAGGAATCTCACCTTGAAGTGGCAGCAATCGATGTCGCAGAGGATCATCCTGCAACATGAGAGAAATACAAACATGAGGGTGTTGAAATTTGATTAATTAAAGCACATATAGAAGGAGAGTTTGAAGTCTCTGAGCGGTTTTTCCCTCACCATGTCTGCAGGGGGCGGCCTGGCAGCAGTGGGGCTCTGGTGGGGGGTGTTTCCAGAGGAAGCAGCTGTGGGCAGGGCTGACAGGCTGGTTTGAGAGGAACTGGTGGTGTTGGGCAAACTGTCTCCAAGTCCTCGATCCTCGTCTTCCAGAGGAGGGGAGGCTTTGGTCATCCCGGGCTGGGTTTCTTGCAGCAGAGGCCGTGACTCTGGGCGGGGCTCCTCTCCCTCCAGGCCGGCGTTCTGATCGTTCTGCCTCTCCTCGGCTGTGGATCCGCTCTCGTCCTGACGCACAAAGAGAGGAGTGAGACGCAGCACAACAGATTCTCTGCAGCTGACTGCTAACAGCCGAGACGAATGGATTATAGAGAGTCTCTAACAGGCTGCACAACATCAACATAAAAAAAAAAAACAACGTAAAACTCACAATGGGAATCTTCACGATTTCACTGGGATCACAGCTACTCTTTAAACCTGCGAGCAAAATAACAACAACAACAACAACAATAACAACAGCATTAGAGGCACATCTTAAATAAGCAGAGGAGCATTGCAAATGTACAGTACACAACTCACATGGCGTCTCACATGACCGCCGCTTGATTAGGAACCACCACGCCACCACGCCCAGAACGAGGCAGGCTAAGATAAGCAAGGAGATCCATATAGGAAGAGCTGGAGGGGAAAACAAAAACAAAACAAGGAGTTAAGGGTCAAATACTCAAAGATTTTAACCAAAGAAAGCTTAGAGATGAATACAGCAAAGAAGTTACCGATGTCTTGAGAAGTTGGGGCTATCGTGGGGAGAGCTGGGGAGCTCTTGGTGGGGGACAGATTCAGCTTGCGGCACTCGGTGTTGGAGAACGGAGTGCACTTCCTCACCTCCTCCTCCCCTGCTTTACACCTGGGAGGAGAAAGAATTTTTAGTACAAGTGCATCGAAAGAAAAACAGCCGACAAACCGACTGTAGCCGTCAAAGAGCAGGAGTTTAGACTAGCTCAGGAAAGATGGAGGTGAAACTTACTTGGCGCAGCGTTTGCAGACCTCACAGGCCTGATCGGGGACACAGAAGGTTCCCGGTTTGCACTGGCACTTGGTGTCTGTAGTCTTAGTGCAGGTCGCAGTTTCAATCTGATCTGTGGAAGGGACATGAAGACAACAAGAGAATGATTCGCATGTGTCTGATATTTCAAGCCTGAAGCTGCATTTAAATGATAGACTTTTTAGCTAATTTGAAGATCAAAGTGATGATCTGTTTCATTTAATCCTCTTTTCCTCCTTCCCTGTAAAATCTGGCATGAGTTATGAGTCGAATAACCTTGGAGGAAATTTACTGTCCATGAGAAACAGTGATTGTTTCAATGGTTGCCAGAGTACAGCTCATTAGCTCGGACATCATCAAAGGTTGTTTTTGTACAGCGGCTCTTACTCCACCCTCTTAAATGAGGTCGGACATGAAGTCATTTCTTCCACAGGTGAGATTAACACCTGTCTGAATACAAAGTCCCTGATTACTCATCTCCTCGTGAAGACTCCGTCACCTTTATTGGGACAGCTTTATTACACTGATAAGATTTTGTCGGGATAAATTCTATTTTTAACTGTGTCATATGAAGTCATCAACTCAGATAAAGTTTATTGATCCCCACCAGCAAAAGACAAGATGTCGGTCTTTGTTTTCCTCTAGACCAGGTAGAAGCTTAAAGCTCCTATGAGGAGTTTTTTGACCATCAGTGGTGCGGGGGTAGGTGTCAGCTGAGCGGCTGAGTAACACATAAAAAGACAGTTTTCCATTTTCTCCAGGCCAAAAGAAGTCGCCAACATTTCTGTTTCAACTTTGTTTCCTCTTTGCATGGTAAAGTTAAGACCTGTGTTTGTGAATGTAAGGACAAACAAGTCTGCAAGTCTATGCGACCACTTTCACAACGGAATTTTCTAATACAGGGCCACCCGAGGATCTGGAAATCAGAGAAATTTATAATAATAATAATAAATGGGGCGATAAGATGTTAATAATAAATATAAAATATATAATAATACTAAAAAAGAATTAAAAAACATATAATAATAATAGTAATAATAAACAATTAAAAAAAAAATAATAAAAATAACAATGTAAAAAAATAAAGTAAAATAATTTTAAAAATAATAAGAAGAACAACAATAACTACAACAATAATAATAATAATAATGATTAAAATTAAAATCAATAATAAAAAAATAACAATCTCTGCTTCAGACATAAAAACAAGAAATTTAAAAGTTCATACAGATACTCTAGCTAAAAACTAATCTAGCTTAAAGTTGGTGATGAAATCCTATTTTTTGAGCAACTTAAAGGTTGTTAGTCTTAAATTGTTGAACTATTTGCTCTCACAGAGTGAATCTCTTCCCATCTTTCTGCCCTTTTTATACTAATCTGTTGTTAACTATTTCATCAGTTCCTCCTTGTGGCATTACATAACGTTTTCTGTGTTTTGATGTCTTTTCACTTTTTAAATACAAGGTTTAAATAAATGCAAATCATCCACATCTGTTTTTTGTCAACAAGTTACAGCAGCATGTGGCTGCTATAACTTAAATTAATTACTGATTTCTTTTAACTCTTCTGCTTTAAGCGTTGTGGTAACTCTCACATGAAGACCACTGAGTTTTGCACTTCACTTCGAAACTGCTACTGCTATTTAAGACGATTTGTTTGACTTTCCTGTAAATGAAAATCTAATTTTTTAAAGCTAATTTTTAATGTAAAGGCTGTTTTTTTCCTCCCTTGTATCTCTGAAGATAAAGACTCTCATAAAATCTGATTAATTGCACTGTTATCAAAGACTCCACAGCCCAGCAGCGCACTGTCCTCTGTGGAGGCTGCACACATGTATCTGAGAGTAACAAATAAAGTAATTAATTGTGATAACATCACATAAAAAATCCTTAAGATGTTCATGGGTTGGAGTTCAACACAATGATCCCTTTACAAGTTAAAAAGGCTTGAGAGAAAAATATGTATGAAGAGTTAAATTACAGCCGCAGTGAAACAAAGCAGACTTTGTTCAAATCAGAACATGCTGATGACACTGAGCGAGTACAAATGTTCCCTTTTTCCTCTTTTTACTTAATCAAATCAAGATTGAAATCATCTTTTGTCGTCCGCTGTTCCTTAAGAGACATTTTACACGCTGTTGACGACTCTGCGCTCCCCCCATACCGTGTCCTGTTGGGCCCATTGTGCTCCAAAGCAGCTTGAGAGTGGAGCCGTAGCTCAGTAAGCAAACACATGATGGTTTTCAGTGTTGTTACATAATTGTACAAAGTGTAATTGGAGTGTAACATGATCAGAGGATGGCAACACAGTTTTAAATAGGAGGTGAGTCAGGGTAAACCCTAAACCCCTATTAAGAAAACATTCACAAGTGTGAGAGTGGAGACAAGTCAACACTCAGCCATCAGGCAAGCAGCCGGCACGCTGTTATTTCTTCATTATGTTATTCTTCGTTAAATTGGCAGGTGCTGGGTGTAAATCTGCACACTGGGGAGGGGAGGGCGGGGCATCCGAGGCACAAAATTATAGGGAAGAGTCTGTTTAGCCTGATCTGAGCCTGAGAAGCTTTTTTCTGTGCATTTCCTATCTAATCCTAAACCTGTTTTCATACTGTCATTACTCGAAAACAGAGTGAGGAGGCCAGAGATCAGTTCAGTTTGACGGTTCGACTTCTGGTAGCAGCAGATATCAGCCAATCAAGGATGCTTGTTGCACTCCAATATAGGTCTTAAGTTACGAAAGAGGATGAGAGTCATTTAAGGCATAAACAGACCCTGAGAAGAAAATCAGGGCAAGTTTGCGAGAAAAAAACTGAGAAAAGTGCAAATTTTTGCAAAAAAGTTCATAATTTTTGGGGAGAAAAAGCTGCTGTTTTGTAAGATCAGGACACATACAAATTTGTAGGAGTTGTTCTTTAGATGCACATATACATGTATATATTATATGGACTTATAACTGTGTTTTTTTGAGCTTCGATGTTGGAGTTCCTTGCACTCTGTTTTTGCTTGTCCTTTCATGGATTTTTACGCCAAAAATGAACCAAGGGTGATTTAAAAAGGTCTTGTTTTATAGTATGTCCTGCTGCAGCTGTGATTTCTTAGTTTGTAGCACAGTCTGCACTGCTGCACATGCACAAATCACAGCTGTAGACCCACACCAGAGTCTGACAACAATATACAACTCTGTTTCATATCATTTCATCGAACAGCTTTTGCTTATATACCAAGTTTGGGGCAGCATTCACATAAAAATAAACTTCTTTAGTCAGATTCAAAAATTTACTTCACCAGCTGCACTAAAATATTCATGAAATCAGTCTGTAAATCCCCATTATGCTGTGCCATTGTGCCAGATTTGCTTTTATACTCTGAGTTTAACAATATTTGGATTATTGCTTCCCTGTTTTCAGATGCAAGCTGGTGTTAATGGAGCAAAATCAAGCCTTTTAGGATCATAATCAACAGAGCAACCACATCTTACTTAGAAAGCCGATAAGCTCAGATAACTTTCCTGTTAAGAGAAAGCTATTTTAAGCAGTTATGGATGAGTTTAGATCGTAAAGTTCATAAAATTATCAAAACTTGAGCCAGAGGCTCATCAGGTGCTCGGTGACCTTGTGGTTCCACTTACAGTATCAGGCTCTGCAGCACGAGGAGCGTCTAATGGAGACGGTGAGGTGCTTTTTTTGAAAATCATCACTCTGACATGCAGATTTTTCTGTGTTTGAGGGATCAGAACATGGGCTGCAGTCATTTAATATTTCAGTAATCGAGTATTCTTACCCAATATTCCAACGATTACTGAAGTAATCAGACCCAAATGGCAGACCCGCCATAAAGGCCAGACTCAGAGGACGATCGTGGAACAAGTGTGTGCGTTAGCAGATTGCAAAGCTTGTAAGAAAGCTAATTATGATACTAAACTTTTATCATGTCCCCAAAAGACATTAGTGTTTAAGAGCTGAATAGCTTCTATGTTACCTGCTTCTGCTACTACACCAGCAATTTTAGGCTACAAGCTAGCGTGAACAGGAGTGCGCAGAGCAGCGCTGTCTCCGCCAACGACTCAGAGGCGAAGTGCTAATGATCTAGTGGAGCTCTGCAGAAGAAACATCCCTCCCATCGCACATTTTTTCCGCTCTGCAAAACTGCACCTACCCCTTCTGCTATCGCGGTGACCTTTAAAATAATCTGTGCAAAACTGCGATGAAAAATTGCTCAATCGTTATTTGCAATCAAGGTACTCGAGGAATCGTTTCAACCCTAATCAGAACGGGAATGCGGTGATTTCCACTACAGAGTCATCTCTCTCAATGTAGTTTTTCAGGCTTGTTCTTATGTGCAGAGATTCTCTTCTTCTCTTTCTTCTCTTTACCGGCAGAGCTTAAAATGGGAGTTTATTATGTTCCCTCTCTTGTTGATTATTAGTACTGTTTATAACTGAGTATGAATGCTGTATCACACTTGTTCCTGTAATGATAAAATCTAATAAAAAGGCGCGATATTTATTAAAATGTGCTGTAAGTTTGCATGTGAAGCCTTTTCATTAGCTCAGGTGAAAACTCATCAGCCAAAAGTGTTGCCAAAAGACTCTCAGCTTGTTCCGGGCGTTCATTATGTGCTTATAAATAAGTCAAAACCAGAGTACAAAAACACTCTCTCCGTTCTACCTTTAACCTGCTACCAAAAAAGCACAAAACACATCCCATGTAACTGAAGTCTCTTTTCTGTGGCTCCAGCCTTTCATTGGACACAAAGACAGCCCAGTGTGGGAGACAATGAGACACAGCCACACCCAGTTCAGCCAGGTAGGACAGACACACAAGCAAATCTCAGGAGACAGCTAACACGCTCACATTCAGCCCCCCGAAACAAAACAACAAAGACACACCCTGCTGCTCCGTGTAACATCATAAGATCACATTTTCATGAGTGGATCTGAAAGGACGGGGGGCGCAGACAAAGAGGGATTAACTTTCCCAAACAATCAATCTTAGACAGACTGGATTACTGTAGACTTTACTCTGGGATTAAAGGCCAGTCTGCGGAGTTATTATTTTATTTCTCTTCTTTATTAGAGACCTTTTCAGCATTCAGGAGACAAAGCTGTTTACTGCTGTTCACTAAACCCACACCTGTTTTACTAAGATATTTTTATAAATGACTTTAAATGGTGCGATTTAAATAAAGTTAATCATCTTAACCATCCATTTCTCAGTCACAGGGGACTGGAGCAGCTCCAGACATTAGGTACTAGACACTGATAGACAGTGATCAATCAGTTGGCCGATTAAACGGACCGATTAATGGGACTTTGAAGTAACTGGCGTCAGCTGATTGCCCAGGATCATGAGGCTGATTAAGAAAATAAACAAATCAAGTCTGCAGACGCTCCAAAGTGAGCCTGCTGCTGTGCAGAGCCTTTACCGTAACTCTGAGGCACCCTGCTGTAAATGTTAGCGATTGTCCTTTCTTAATGATGACACAGAGGTACTAATTAACCTGCAGAGCCTGTTCATGGACTGTGGGTGGAGTGTCTTGTACTTTGAGGTGACAGGAGAGCATGCAAACTCTATTCAGAAAGAACCGTCTTGCTGCGAGGGGACACTGAACGGATGTGCAACCAATTAAGTTACCGGGAACTTTGTAAAGTCTTGAAATTATTGCTCTCAACGTGCAAAATCAAGACCCAGGTTGAGCAAAAGAAACTTGAATTATTTAATGTTTTACTGATTATTCCTTTAGTTACCTAAGCGGCAGTGTGTGCAGGGCAGACAGCGGTTCATCCCGTTGGAGTGCTCCGTGTACGTCTGTCCGTGCTCACAGGCATGACATGTCCCCTGTTCCTGGTCTCTCTCACATCCTTTGTACACAAAGGTTCCTGTAAATAAAATTAGAAAAACAATCAAACAAGTTCAGTTATAAATATAAACACAGAATACTGCCAACTAAAGTCCTGCAAGTCTTTATTAATGTGACGTGCTTCCTGTTGATGTAGGATGTTTGGACAGGACATACCAAAGCAGGAGATAACAACGCTGATTTGCTTTCAACCGTGAAACAAGACGACGTCAGCCGCGAGAGGACGAGGACATTTTAAAACCATCTCCTTAAAGTGAGCATGATCGACCATTTTTCATGAGATTTCTAGGGAAGATAAAATCCACGTTTCATGGAGACTTGAGGAAACGGAGGAACCACCGTGAAGTTAACTGAGCTCGAATGTCATGCTGAGGATTTTTTATAGGCGTTTCACACGTGAATAAAACCACTTGATTCTCATGTGTCGTCAGGGTTTTAGGAAAAAAGGGCCGAGACATTTTTCATGATCTTGCTGAGCACTCTAACCAAAGCATTTTTTAATGTGCTGGAAACTGGTGGCTGTGACTTTTATTGTGCATACTGCAAAAACAGAGTGTCAGACTTGTTGCATAAATTCTCATACAGACTAAAAGGAAGCAACAAGCTAACATTTTATACAATTAAGTGGTCACTGTGGCTTTTTGGACTGTGGCAGCAACAAACCAGCTGGCAAGAGCACAAGAAAACAAACTCACTGGAGTGGGAAACAGATTTTTTTTACTAGCACGTGTCGTTAACAGGGAATAAATCCACTAAATGTCCATCTCCTGTAAACTTCTGTATCTGTCTGCAAGTTTTCACCGTTCCTGGAAATCATGCAGAAGTTTTCAGTCTGCACTTTTAAAAATTAAAGCATACGCTCAAACATGCTGTGAATTATTTTAGTAAATGTGGCACACGCACACACCAAACCAATAATGATCAAATAAAACATTTCTTAGAATTGAGAACAGCTAATGAAATCATTTAATCAGCCGGCAGCAGAATGGAGTAATTACATTTCAGCTAAATATGTCCCGAGCTAAAAATAACCACAACTTTACAGCCGCCCTCACTCCGAATCAATTACAAACACTGCTACCTTTAATTTCTCGGGTTTTTCCGCCACATTGGACTCTTCTCTGTTCACTCCTAAGACTTCATGCTTTTACTTTCCAGCCAGACAGACTCATTTGGGAAACAGTTCAGGGTTCTGGGTTTGACATTTGACTCAAGTTTTTCACACAGAAAATGCCATTTTAAATGTTGGCTCAGAGGAAATAGGTCAATGCTTCAGGGCAGCGGCTCTCAAAGTGAAGTTCTCCTAGAGGCTCTTAGGAGAACCACAGGGGGGATATTCTTAACTGTGTAACTGTGTGAGGAACTTTTTGTTTGTGAGGATTTTGGCGCCCCCTGTGGACAAAGTAGTACCTCTATATCTGTAACTGGAGGTGGGAGATATGGACTCAAATCTACATGATGGAATTTTCTGCCCTTTTTTTGTACACCAGAATTTTGGCACCTCTTCGGCCCCCTCATTTGAATCTGCTGCGTTCAGGTACCCTCAGAATTCAGAAATCCGAGCTGGAAATGACATTACACCCGAGTTACCAGGGCTTCAGTTACCAAGACGGAAAAAAAGCAAAATCGGAGGCGGAAACAAAATGGCTACATCTATGATCGTGCTTGCCTTGTCCGAATATAAGCAAAGACAAGGCAAGCGCTAAAATAACTTTTGTAGATGTAGCCATTTTTTCCAACTTGGTAACTGAAATGCTGGTAACTCTGGTGTGACGTCATTCCCAACTCGGACTTCTGACTTCCAAGTAACTCGAACGCAGCATAACTCTGGCACTGTTACCATGGTAGCAAAATATCTTTGTGCAGTTTTGTTGTTATTTGTCTCTCTCCATCTCCCTCTATCCCCTCCATAAACCCAACACAGTCCAGGCAGATGGCTGTCTGGTTCTGCTCAGGGTTTCTACCTGTTGGCTACTCCTCCTGTCTTATCCTATATTTACAGTAGGTCTTTGTTAAGTGCCTTGAGATAATTGGAACCGTATAAATAAAGATTGATTGATTAACATGTGCTGCTTGACTGCTCAAGTTGTGTTAAGGTTAAACTACCAAAAACGTCACATTTCTTGACATGTCTGTTTCAGAGTAAAGTTAATTGAACACTAACAACAACTGTGGCGTTTATTGCATAAGATTAGTCAGAAATAAAATATGTAATTATAGAATTAATCGAGCTTTAGCAGAGCTGCAATTAGCAGCTATTGTCCGGAGTAATAGCTTTTACAGTTGACTTTTTGACCACGCCTCAACAGCTCACTTCTTTTACTCATTAAACTAGTTACCCTGATGTGTTTGTCTGTTTTTAGTCTTTCTACATTAAAATGCATCTTTTAGTACAATTCAGATTCAGCTGGATCCCATCAGCTTTTATAGACACTAAGAATTTAGAGGAAAAAAGTTTTAATGCTGATGGTCTTGTCTACTTTGCGGGTCAAACAGAGGGCATTCATATTGAGCTAAAAACTCCTCAAGTCCTGCCAAACGCTTAAATACTTCTTGTTTAAGGAACATTCAAAATAAATGTGATCTGGTTAAGATATATTTTGTAACCCATACCCTGAATTCCAGTGCAACCTATTGCTAAAATATACATTTTTCTTTCTTGGCGTCTAAATTTTGATGCTGAGTGACGAGGGGGAAGTCGAGACTGTTGATTTGTGGTTGAAATGGAGAAAGAAGTAAAACAGAAAGCAAAAGCGGATCTTACAAATCGCCGTGAGTATGAGGAATATAATATTTTAGTGCTTGTTGTAAATCTGTTTCTCTGCTGGAAATGTTGTTTGAAGACATGGAAGTTTGGAAGAGTTGAAAGAGTGTTATTCGAGATGTAAGACTGCAAATCTCTGCACAGAGCCAATGCCAACAAGAAGACGCCGTTTTATACATTGCACTGGTCAGGAGATATAAAATGAGGAGCAACGATTGAATAAGAATCAAGGGTCAAAGATCGAGAATTCAGGGTAGGGCTGGGCGATATGGCCTCAAATCAATATCATGATATATACAAAGATACAAATCCAAAAACAACTTTTATTTTTTTGACACTGGATATCTTGACATGGGCAAAATGACGCTGGTTATTGTTGTAAATTTTCGGTTTATCGCCAAGCCCTAGTTCAGGGTCATGTGATTGGCTATAATTGATGATAGTGTGTATTAAACTTCCTTACCAGCCTGACAATTGAGGCAGCAGAGCCCCTGATGGAGGTACTGCTCATTCTCCACGCACGTCCTGTGCCGCCGTAGGGTGATGTTTTTGTATTCATCGCCGGACCACTGAGCCGCTGGAGGCTCTGCTGCGTGACAAACCAGCCCGACGAGGAGCGCAGCCGCCACCAACACCTGAGTCATGAAGGTCTGTGTGAGAAAGACGGAGAAAGGAGATGGGTTAGAGCTATTTATGAGTCCACTGTACACAGAGCCACCCACTCGAAGTCGTCGCATGAAAAGAGACAGTAAAGAGGAGAGTCTATCTTCATAGGAAACCTTGTGTGAGCAATCTGCGACATAATTCGAACCATCTGATCCGAACATCTGCCGTGGGAGAGCAATTAAGAGCGCCATCCAGCCGAGTAGGACCACAGGAAAACAGCTCTGTGTGCAGGGTGCAGAGCTATACATGCGGCATGACTACATGCTGCAAACTTAATTACTGCATGATCCTGTTTTCATCTGGAGGAGTGAGTAGAAAAGGTTTGATAAAAGGTATCTTAGGGAACAACGGCCCCGTACCCGTATCAGATGTGATTCCAGAAATCTATTCATGTGCAGGATAATAACAGGCTTGTATAGGTGGGGTACCAGGAAGAATACAGCTGAACACTTTAGTGTGGCCCCCAGGCGCTGGTGTTTATTCACACGCTTTTCACCATGTCAATGTGAGAAGGCTCCATTCATTGGCAAACAACACACTTTAGTGCCTCTACTTCAAATGACCCACATTCTTAAACCCCGGCTCTTTGAATGCCCCGCCATGTGACACCGCCACGGAGCGCCTCAAACGCAACGCGACACCCTTATGGGTAAATGAGAGGCCTAGATTTTGTGGTTTTGTCTCCCCCCTCCACCTCTGCAAACCGGAGCGGAGGAGAAAAGGGAGCAGGTTAGGGTGGAGAGGGCCGGGGTTGGGAGAGAGTAAGAGGAGGAGGAGGGTCGATTCAAAGTGAGAAATTGAAGCCAGGGAGTTGAAGATGGGACGTTCAGCAAGGGAATAGGTCGTCCAAAAAAGACAGTGTGGGAGAATTAGAGGAATAAAGAGTGAAAGAGCACACAGACAGGGGTAGAGGAAAAAAAAGGGACAGGCTAGAGCTGACTCTTGACGCTAGACTTGGCTCTCTGGAGGGCCGCCATGCCTTGTTGTTCAAAAGAACTTTCCCCTCTCTCTCTCTCTCTCTCAGCCTTTTCCCTTCTTCCTCTGCCTCTGCTCGCGTCAGACTTTCCAAAGACGCCGAGAGGCAGACGTGGAAGGGCAGACGGCCGGCAGAGCAGTCACAATCACACCATTTAGATCTATCCAAACATTCTGGGGAGGGAGGGGAAGGCAGAGCAGAGAGAGAGAAGAGAGAGAGAGGGAAAAGGGAGAGGGGGGCTAACAGCTTGCATGACACAGGCTAAGTATTTAGACTTGAATACACTATGTGTATGACTGCAGGCAGAGTGGGGGGTGGAGGGGTTGCAGAGAAATGTGGAATTGGGAAAAGAGCAAGTGAAAGGCCGTGTGAAAAGGCGAAAGAGAGGAAAAATGTGCACAGAGAAACAGTGGAAAGCAAAGATGAGGAGAAAAAAGAGACAACTAGGAAAGAGTGACCTGCTGCGGCAGAGGTAACCAAACACCCTGTCGCATGAATCCCACATTATTTATTCAGGTGGAGGCACATTCAGAAAATCACTTTCAGCCAATCAAAAGTCTAAAAACTCAAGTGGAGATGATGCAGAAACGGCGTCGAGGTGACATCATTTCCGCTCTTTGTTCATTTCACAGTCTGTGAGCCAAAAACACTCCAGGTGCAGCCGCCCTCAAAAAGCTCACCTGCCCTGCTTTACAGTGGAAGACTGCTACTGTGCAAAGATACACACACACACCTCAGAGGGAGAAATAAGGCTGGTTTATGCATGAGAGATATTTCAACATGCAAGTTAAAAATGACAGAAAAATGTAAAAAGAAATCTAAAATGTTCATTTTACTGATGCTGCTAAAGAGTAAATGAGTCAAAAGGTCCAAAGGTGACTCACATTTGTCAGTCTTCCCCTTCAGGAGTAATTTCTGCAACTATTTACTGTGATGTAACTTTTTTTCCCATTTCTCTATAACATGTTTGCTCACACAGCAACCTGCATTTTTCTGCATTTGTAATTGGACGCCTTTAAAATGAGATGCTGCATGTTAAAGCTCCTGTGAGGAGACCAGAATTCATATTGATGCTTTTTTCTGACATCTTAAAGCAACAAACCTAGAAGTTTTTGAATTTGTGATTTTTTAATACCTGAAATTAGTCCAAAGGGGGGTAGGTGTCAGCTGAGCAACAAAGAAAAAGTCCTGTTTCTGCATTGAATATTTATAATAAATGATAAATTTGACCATCAGGACACAACTCAAGTATATAAAGGACAAAATAAGCAAACCCTGGTTTGTCCACAGGAGGCGCCAAAATGGAAATAAACCAAAAATTCCTCACAGGAGCTTTAAATTAGTTTGATTTGATTCAGTTGGATCCACAGCTTGACTCTTAATGCTGATTTTAGACTGGGTAACATCAGCCTTAAATCACTACTTTTCACTGTGTGTGCTGTCATGCAGCAGCTGATTAGCACAAAATCAGGAGAGCAGAAAAGAGAAGATAAAGAGGACTGAGGGAGTTCTTTTGCAGGCCGCCTCTCGTTACGGAAAATCTAATTTCTGAAGTTGGCGATGGCGTGATCATGTGGTGAATTTGGGCTCAGAGTTTTTGGAGAGAGGCTTAAAGACTCTGAATGGCCTGGTAATGAAAATGCACCAAAGCTACACAGCAAACACCACTGTGATGATCATTTAAAAAGGGCTGTTACTGAAAGGTTTTTATCAATAGTTAGTAAGACTCAAAGTTGATGTACATGTGGCGTAGCTGACTGTGAACTTTACATTAGCAGGTATCATCATGACCTGAATGTATCCGGATAGTTAAAAAACTATTTAATCAAACTAAATGTTAATTTTAAGCAAAAACAACCCAGACGTGACTTGAAAGATCCAAGTTGACTGGAAATGTTTAAATGTCACAGTCAAACATTGAAATTCAAAATCATAGAGACAGATTTAAAAGTTTGGTACAGAGCTACACTGTGGTAAAACAGATAAAAGTAGGAAACCCTTTCTTTTAAACCCTCGTAAATCAAATGACTAATAATTTCAGCTTCATAAAACAGGAAAAGCAAAGAAGGACAAACAGCACACTGCGTCTGAGAAAAGCTGGACGGGTTGTTTTCACAGAGACATACGAGCGTCTAATGGCTTCTCCATGTGCTCCTGTGGGAATCTTTTATTTTGTAATAAACACAGTCCAGTTCGTCTGAGGGAATCCCACTTTGCGGTATTTTAAACACAGGCTGCTGACAGACGGGGAAAACAAACAACGCCACTGACATGTGTCTGCCACACTGGTGTCCTACAGGCCGCTGAACTACACCAGCATAAATGTTCAGGAGACAGCCACAATGCGGCTTAGTTTTACCTCTATAACCAAGTGAGGAGGAAAAACTGGAGTGACCGTAACCTCAGTGTAGAAAGCCCTCCAAACCCACAATCCCTGGAAACTCTCCAATTGGTTTAGTCCACTTCACATCCTTTCCTATCCTCTGTGCAACCAGGGGGGCTCAGGGGGAGATTATTCAGTAAAACAGCGTCCTATTGTCATGCTTTCAGTATGTATGTATGCCGAGGTTAGGATGCTAAGTTAAACTAATAAAAAAATACAATAAAATAATGAGGGAGCTACTGTTTATTCGAGAACAGTAGCCCCCCTCCACTTCCTCTTAAAACGCCGGTTTCTTCCAAATTGCCTTGGCACAAACTCCGCACATGCCATGTACACTGAGCGCACATTTATGACTAAACGACAGGACATCCTTTCAGTTGACCTGGGTTATCAATGGGCCATTTAGAGGGCTGTGATCACTCCTTCAGCCTGAGGGGGATACAGTGAACTCTATTATAAAACACATGGGCAGAAACGGAAATCAGAAAACGCAACGCACGCACACACACACACACAGCAGGCGGATAAACCTCAGGAGGTTCTTCATTTCATACCGGACAGATGATTTCAATCATGGCACGCTGATAAGTGACGACATGATGCACCTCGTTATACTCCTGTTTTACCGTATCATACTTTTCTGATTAGCTGGTCGTCTTCTTTAATCAAATGTGACGGCTGTGATGGGTGTAATTTTGTGGGTCTACGCTCTCAGCGTCGTTTAAAAAGAAAGCAGAGCTCATGAAGTTTTAACTTGATATATTTTTCCAGGTGGGAAACATGACCAATTTGTGGTGTTTTATAGTGAAATTTTGTCCTATTCTTGCCTGATAGAGTATTCGGGGCGACTCCTTTGTCACAATTTTTAGATGCAATGACAAATTGCGTGTGGGAAATCAGGTGGGAAATCAAAAGATTGTCTCTTTCTCTAATTTGTGGTGTTTTAAAAGTGAGATTTTGTCCTATTCTAGCCTGATAAAGGACTCAGGAGTTGTCACATTTTTGGATGAAATTACAAACTGCACAGGAAATGGTTTTTGGAGGTGATTTTTAAGCCCATGCAGGGACTTCCACTACAGAGTAATGTCTGTTTTTTACTGCAGAGCTCCAGAAGTCTAAACTTTTTTTATTTTTCAGGTGGGAAATTTAAAGATTGTCTCTTTCTCTAATTTAAGGTGTTTTAAATGTGAGATTTTGTCCTATTCTTGCCTTATAAAGGATTCTGGGGGTCTCCTTTGTCACAATTTTTGGATGCTATGGTTTTTGAAGGTGATTTTAAGCCCATGCGGTGACTTCCACTACAGAGTCATGTCTGTTTTTAGTGCAGTTTCCCTTTAGGGGTGCAAAGAAAATCATTCAGTATCAGTTATTGGCTTTGGCCTCTTTTTTCTGTAGTTTCCTCCATAATATTTGATAATACTGATTATCTGAAAGTAAGTAGGATAGCATATTTTTATAATATTATGCAACATTTCATTATTAAAATGCAGAAATGGATACACCTTTCCTTGTTTGTTTACTTGAATTTTCAATTTTAATGCTAACTAATTACTTAAAGCAATCGTCTCAATCTACAATCAACTCTTTTGGTAGTTGTGTTATATTTTATGCCCGCGAAGCCATCCAAATTTTGAGTTTCATCTGTCTTCTCGGATTAAACATGATCAGCAGCTTCTGGAAAGTCTGACTAACAACCCTCCACATATGTCCCCATTTTTATTCTCACGGTGTCTCATAGACATTGGGGCAACTGGAGGAAGAAAGCAGTGAACATGTCGTACTACAGCTGCTGGTTTCAGTGCATCATAAATGACATAAATCTGAAAAGTTACATCACTTTAAATGTCAACGACGTGTGTTTCTCCCACAGATCTTACAACCACTCAATCTCTCTCGTTTGTCACTGCCTCCCACAACCACATGTGGGTTACAGCTGTCAATGTTACAGCCACAGCGCACTGTATGTTAGAGTTTAAACACCGCACTTCGCACATCCCGACTGATCCTGTCTCTTTTTCTTGGACATAAACAAAACACTAGCTGTCGCAAAGTTTGCCAAAACTGCCTTATGTAACTTTAACTGTCTCCTTGTGCTGTCTAAATGAATAAACTGTTTCTTGTTACAACGATATTTTCTTCATTATTTTTGGATTACAAAGCTTTAGAGTTTCATTTTCTCTGAACTTTACTCTAAAACCTCTAAAGTAGACAGTTTGCAATGATATCTGACAAAGAAATGCAGCTTAAAAGGCTGAAACTGGGGACCGTAGATCAGTCCAGGTCAATAAAAAGACCTTAAATCTGGATTAGCATTAAAAAATATGGCAAACAGTACTAGCTTAGGATTTCCTTTCTGGACTCATGGTAGATCTGACAGCCTGTAACAGAAATAAATGCAGCAATCCAACAAGGTTACTGCACTCTTTTAAAAGTCAGTTTTAAGACTTTTTTAAAGAGCTTTATAAAACCCACACATACTAACTATTACTGCTTTTTGACCTTGCATTTTAATCATAATCATTGTTTGCTGCTTCAGGGAACATCTGGTTCCCTGTAACTTTTTATGTATCTCGAAGCAAAGTTAACTTGAACTTGCATTTTTCTTCCTCTGTCCTCTATTTTGTGAATCTATGCTACCGTAAAAGCCGCTGTTAACAGTCCTTCAACCAAACAACTCACTGTTAAACTGACCACACAGCATGGATCTGACAGAGTTTCAGGCATGTCTAATCATCTAAAGACATCTTCAGATGATTATCATAGACAGCTGAAGCTCCGACAAGGAAAAACCTGGTTTTGTTTTAGAGATTTTATTACGTGAACCCTTAAAAAAGCAAGTTTTTAGAATTTTTGAGACATTTCAAAGAGCCTGTACGGTGGCCCTGGGCAAAATTTTTCATGAAACACAAGAAACTTTTTCACAAAACATAAATGAACACATTCAACATGATGCAAAGTGTTTTATGGAAGAAACGTTTTCCTAAATGAAAAAACATTTTCTGAACATTCAAAAATATTTATGTAATAAATAAAAATTCTGCATTCTAAAAATTATGTAGGTGTTCTATTTAATTTTCTTGGGCTTCATGAAGTTTCATGAAACTTTTTTGCCCTTAGAGAAATAGTTCCATGTATAATTAATACATTTGTTCAATGCTTTTTCTTTTTTTACATTTCATAAATTGTTTTTGTGTTTCATTCAATATTTTTTGATTTTCTGAAAAAAAATTTTTGGCACATATCAAACACATTTTACAAAAAGTAGATGAAATGCAAAAAAAATAAAAAAAAATAGGGAAAATATTTCACAAATTGAAAAAAATGTAACCTTGTGAAATAGCTTTGTGTGTCACTAAAACTTCATTTTATGATTTTCAAGTTTCCAGTTATTATGATTTCCATCTAATGAAACATTTCTGTGCTTTGTGAAACATCGGTGGCATTTAGTGAAAAGTCTTTTTGTTGTCTTGAATGTTGACCTTCAGGGCCACCGTACCTATTGTAACTCTGACTAAAGCTTTACCACATCACTTTAATTATGAAATTTCACGATGACTACTTGAAAACAGCTGAAGTAATCCTCCCACACATTACCAGTTGATCTGCCCTTTGTTAAATTGACTAATAGTGTCCGCCCTCTCCTTGACTGCACGGTTACCTAACCATAACTGCTCTATTGTCTCGTCTAATTGTGTGACAGCAAAAGACCAAAACACAGGAACACTGTCCTGGAGCGGATGTCTCTTATAATATCATTACTCTATCAGTCAAACTCATTTCCAGTACCAGTAGGAATCAGCTTTTAAACCCACTTCTAATTGAACCGACAAACCTTGGTTTATCATCATTGAAGATGAGTTAACTTTGACCCAAATGAAACTAATCTAATATGACATACAGTCCGCTGTTTCCAGCCCTGTTTGGGTTATCTTCCTGAAACTGTTGTGTATTGTACGATTGAAATTCCTCAAGGCTGACCTTGACAGGACAGTAAATGTTCTCTGGCTCGCAGATAAAGCTTCCCTGGAGTTGGAGGGTGATCATGCATAACTTTCCGTGAGTGATAAATTACACTGACATTCTGAGTTAGATGATGAAGACAAGTACAACCCAGCTCATGTCGAGAGAGGAGATCCTGACAGTCTGAATAAATCAGCCGCGCTGGGAGACATTCATCTTTATAAAGCAGAGCGATACAAAGTGAAGAGAATGGCTCCTGTGTCATTCTGAAGCTCTTTGACAGGAAAGTGTGAAAACCACATTGTTGCGCCGCAAAAACTTGCAGACACGCAGTGAAGAAGACACACATACAATAGAGTACACAAGCGCATTTACACTGTATGTGTGGGAGCGTGTGAAAAGCAGCTGCCCCCTCCTCTCAGGGAGCACAGGAAGCTCGAGACAATACAGAGGCTTCATGCAGGGTTCAGCTCCAAACTGTTCCCTCCAACAGCAGCGTGCCTCCGAGCAGGCCCAGCACCCGATCAGACCCACAACATATCCGCTAGGCTGGATATTTATAACTCAGGGAAGCTGCAGCTCCCCGACACCAATTCTTGAGTTTCCTCAGGAGGTGTGCTTCACTGATAAGATGAACGCGGCTGTGTGTCACAAGCAGGTTAGGTGACATTCACCTTCGCCGCATTGTGGAAAAAAAAAACAAAAGCAGAAAAAGGCGATGATGAAAGTTTACATGACTTTCCTGACAGTCAGCTGTCAACCACAAGCTGCAGGGTGATGTTGACGCAGACGAGGGTTGTGATATTTGAAACTGATGTGCGAATTACTGCAGAATAGAAAAAGAGTAAGTTTTGGGAACCTGTCAGGAAACAGGTAGTTGGGTTCTGCTTTTTGGTTTCTAACACAAACCTTTTATACTCAAACTTGGGGCTTTACATCATTAAAAATGAGCATTGTGTCATTTATTATCCGTTTGTACACACACAAGCTCCCATGCATGCTTTAAATCACGGTGTAATCATCTTGCAATTTAATTTAGTAGTGTTTTTTTTTTTTTCCCAAAGTGACATTTATCTAAAAGTAAGTAGGATCCAGACAGGAGGAAACACATGTTAAGTGTCACTAACTGCTCTGAGTTCAGTCAGACACACAGGTGCTGACAGGCAGAGCTGGAGGCGATACACAGAGTCTGCAGAAGCGCTTAAAACTTTTACCCATCATCCTGGTTTCTAAATCAGACAACAGTTACATTACATTCAATGAAATTCATCCAACACAGGATCAGAGTTTGCACACAAACGGGTTTGTGGGATGTGGCTAACACTAGAAGAGCTAGCACCACCTGTCTTTAGCTCTTACCTGCAGATTAACATTTCAGTATTTCTCCTACCTTCCCCTACTCCGACACTGCTGAATTACGTGCGCCGCTACTGGAATTTCACAGAATCATTGATATCAGTGCGCCGCTAATGATTTCTACTCGCACTGTGTGAGCACAACAACACACAATGTTATTTTAGACTTGTTTTGAATCATCAACGAATGCACCGAATCCTGTCGGACTCTCTTTCAACAACGTAAAAGGTAACGGTCAAGCTTATACACAGTCTATATAGAGAGTAGCATGGGTAACGTAATGTAACGTCACGTGAACGTAACAGCGTAGCTCCTTGAGCGGCAAGAGAGTGGGGGTAACAGTTAACTCCTTATTTTCACATAAAGTGTTGGTTGAGTAAATCTCAATATATTTACCGACTTATTGCCATCTGTGATTGTGTACATCCCTTACAGCTAGCTACATTACAGCTTAGATACAACATACAACCCCCCATTTTGGCTTATATTAATTTAAAAACATCTTATATGCTAATTTCTAACATTATCAATGAAGTGTGGAGGCGTACAGAGTCAAAATAGTCTGAAAACTTGACTTTTAAGGTCCTGTGAGGAGTTATAAAAAGTTTTTGAAACAAACTAAAGTTCATATTAATGTCTTTCTATGATATATAAAAGCAAATAAGACTATCTCCAGTTTCTGATTCAAGTACACAAGACATAAACATTCATTATAGTCGTCAGAGTTGAAATTACTGTCTGATGAAGCTAAAGAAAAATAGTGTGTGTTTACTTTTACCATTTCTGTCATTTCAACATCAAACTTTGTTTTATTTTACTATTTAGAAACTTTCCCATCCATCTGACGGCCCCGCCGCAGTGTGAACCACATGAAAGAGCTCTTGGTGTTTCGATGACTTAAAAAGAAAGGGCAGCTGAAAGTTTGCCGGGTTTCAAGGTCGTAAGCAGGTGCAGCAGTGTGACACGCGTTTTCCAGTTTGTTTGTGTGGCGGAGGGTTGAGGTGGTCTCCGTGGTTTTCTAAAGGGTAGGCTGCTGCCGAGTGAGTCACACAGCCTGTTATTAAAGGGATAAGCAGGGACTTTGAATTCAAACGTCAATCCTCAAATTGAATTTAGAGATTCGTGTGCTTTTAACTTAGCCATTTCAAATTCTGATTAGGCTCTCCCAAACAGCAGCGACTCACAAGACATCCAGGAGGGAAAAGGCCAAGAAGGGATGACTAATAGATTAAAGTATGTGCAGGAATCCATCACCTCGCTCTGCAGACAATCACATTAGCTCCATTAAAGCCTGTCTTTGTGTAAAAGGAAAAAAAGTCCTTGAAGCTCAGCCCGGTTTATAGCCTTCTCTATAAACACATCACAGCAAAAATGTAGAATATGTGGACGTTAGCAGGTCAACAAGCTGTAAAATGACCATCAATACGTGGAATTTATGTTGGATTTATGTCTTTGTAAACAGAAGTCCATTCTGCGGACAAAGGTTGCGTTTGTTCGGAGACTCAAAACTTTTGTTATAATCTGCCCATTCATCCAGGAAAGCAGGAAGTTAGCGGCTGGAGCACTGATGCAAACCTTATGCTGCTCCGGGGCTCGTGTTGTGACACAAATCTGAGGCCCTGACTAAGGTCTGGAGTTCCTTTACAGACTATCATCTCATCAACTAGCAATAGATTTACCATCCATACTTTATTCAAATAGAGACTTTTGAGTAAGGGTGGAAACTACATTTATTCATACTACTATAATAGAGTAGCTTTTCTGTTCGCAATTTACTTTTTCAGTATTGCAAACACAAGTTTTCCTTCGACTGTGTGACAACCAGCTGATCACATGACCTCCAAACATCAAATCTGGCCAAATTCGAGTCATAATGCCTCATTAGTCTTAATTTGACCAACACTGACCTGACAAGCCCTAATATAAATCTTATTTTAAGATATTTTAAGCCAAAATTGTGTTTACAAGTTCCTCGAAACGAGCGTCAAACCTAGTTTTGAGAAACTTGTCAAGTAAATTTTGCTTGCCTGATTTTGGGGCCTTGTTTACTCGTCACGCTCAATTAAGCCTTTGTAGTAACGAGCCTGTAGTCACAGATGGCTTTAACTTTGTAAAAATATTCAATAACTTAACCCAGTGGTTCTCAATCCAGTCCTCGAGCCCCCCCTGTCCTGCATGTTTTGGATGTTTCCCTGCTCCAACACACCTGATTCAAATGATCAGCTCGTTATCAAGCTGTGTAATGGCCTCATAACGAGCTGATCATTTGAATCAGGTGTGTTGGAGCAGGGAAACATCCAAAACATGCAGGACAGGGGGGACTCGAGGACTGGATTGAGAACCACTGACTTAACCCATTTAATTCCTGCTCAAATGATTATTTTACGAAAACAGGCACCTGACAAATTCAGTTTTTCACTCAGAATGCTCAACGACCAAATCTTGTATTAACTTAAAGGATTGACTCTTCTGCAGCACGACTTACTTCAGCCGTGATGTTATGATTATAGAGCGGACTGACAGTTGTTTTCATAACCGTGTAATCTGTTGATAAAATTTGCCACATTTTTCTCTAAGTACGTTTGAAATTTGGATCAATTCATAAAATTGCTTAAATTCTTGGATCAGCTTTCAGGAACTTAATTCAATAGCCATGTAGATGAGGACGATGTAGAAGCTGCAGCTTGAATTAACCGATTATTTAAACAGCTGATCACTGGGATCGATAGAAGCGTTTCCAATGAGAGCTGCGACTCACAATCCGTTTTATTGAATTTCAGTTTAATCAATCATTCAGATACTAGTTACGAAACATTTAGCAATTTTCCATAGCCTTGGGCGATGTCTGTAAATAGACCTTTTATACATCCAACTGTCAGAAACTCATAGAAGCAAGAAGCAGAGAGTGGTTGGTTTTTCAAAACAATCAACCTATTATTAAAAAAAACGCCAAGAGAAGCGACATAGCGTGAGCAGTACTTCCCCTCTACGTCATATTACACCCAGCACACCTCTGAAAAGTCTCTTTATCATTAAAAAGCAGATCCTCCAGGAAACATGAGTCTTAAAACAGGTAGAATAAACACAGGAAAGAGAAGAAAAGAAGAGGAAGCTGAAAAAAAAAGCGTTCTCCCCTTTGGCTAATAAGAGTCCATCCCTCGTGCTGAGAGCGTAAAGGACAGTTAACTTTTACTCATGTGATCTGACCCATCAGATGACTTGTGTACACATGAGAGAGTTGCGTGCAAGAGAGAGAGAGAGAGAGAAACAGAGAGAGAGAGAGAGAGAGAGACAGAGAGACAGAGAGAGAGAGAACTGAACCTCAATGTAGTTCACATTCCTTCAAATCTGAGCATGGCGTGAAATTTAGTTGCTATTTGGATCTCAAAAACACATTAAAACGAAGCGGGGTGAGGTTAATATGTTTACCTAGAGAAGTTTGACACGCGGTAAATCATCCCCACTTATCTAAAAACCCTCGTCCAGTCAAGTGTGAGCACTGACACAGCTCTGTTGGTATGTATGACGTGAGTTTGCTGCACCTTAACAGGTGGCACTCCCTGAGTGAGTCAGCGTGTCTTTTATACTTCACTTGAATAGCAATGACAACAGCAGCAGAGTCTTCTAGAAACAGAAAAGATGTTGTAAATACAGTCTGAGAGGTTTTTGTCTTTTTTGTGTGTTACTTAATCCTGATCTCTATTACAGTGTGTTAAAATAATTAGAAAGTTATGACCAGAATCGAATAAATCAATACATAATAAGTTGACCATCACTCATTTTAAAGCCTGTATCCTGTTTTAATTTGAGGGAGTAATTTTTGTTTCCTCTGGGACTGGGAGCTGAGCTGCCACTGCTATTGGCTCTGCTGTTTTCCAAGGAGATAAGCTGTTTACATTCCTTCAGAGTTTCATCGCAGTGTCATGTTTTCTCCTCTAAACAAACAGCCCTCCTTATAAAAACCTGCTCAAGACCAAATAGAGAAGTCTCACAGTTGGGGCTGCCAGCTGAGCTGTCACCTTAAATTTTCTTTGAGGTTTCCAACCAGAGCTTTCTTTAAACAGTCTCTTTTAGCTGGTCAATTTCACTGTTAACATCCCAGAATTAAAGCTATATAGGACAACTCTCAGATGTTAGCTCTAAATCACAAAAATTCAAAAATATGAGAACTTTATTTTTCCCCCAAAGGAAATTCATTTGTCTGGAATCTCGTGTCATCTCATGTCTTCTAACAAACTGAGTAAATCCAGTCAGGTGAGAGGAGAGGGTGACATGGTTGAAGTCTCCTGATGTTATTACAAGTGCCTCAGGTTAACGAGTCTGTATCCTAGCAACAGTATCATGAAGAATATCACATGGAACTTCAGCCGCTACCTTGGGTGGGATGTATACATACGCGCAAATATACATATGCCTGATAACTAGCAATAAAAAGGAAGCACTGAGAGGGAGAGAGAGACCTTGTTAACATAATTATTTACCAGTGTTTTTAGATATTTTAGGCTATAGAGCAGTTGAAGTCAAGTCCCATGACAATATCCCTGAAAGGACATTTGTTTTCATCACTGTTTCGATGTTTATTTCCATCTGTAGAGCCAGAAATAGTAGCAGAGTCCTTCTTGTCCATCCTGTACCTCTAATTCGTTAAATATCAGTGAAGTTTTTGTTTGTGTGTAGGTAGGCTAACAAAGAGGGAAAAACAGGTGAGGAGATGGCAGACGGTTCAAAAGTTGTAGTGGCTGGAGTGGCGGCTGAAGTGGACAAAGTTAATGTGGGAGGAGGTGAGCAGCTTGTGGAGTAGTTATCACCCATTTATCTTTATCAAGGTGAAGTGCTCAAGATATCGTGATATTGATTTGAGGCCATACCCCCCAGCCCTATTTGAAACCATCCAAAAGTTAACGTATACTAGCCAATGTAAACCCTGTAATGTTCTGTTCTGCTTGTGTACTCACGTAAGTAAAGTTTCTCCCAAATTCGGCATTGTCTGATCAATCAATATACCAAAATGCTGACTTTAACAATTGTATGTTAATAAACTCATGACTTCCTGTTGTGCTGCCTTCATCGTCCAGGAGCTCTGGACTCCTTCAGAAAAGGTAATTCATCAGGATCAAAGAAAAGAACAAAACCGCACTAAAAATGTGCCCTCTAGACTAAACACTTGACAGCAAACTGTGACAGGCAAACATTAAAAGGTCCAACAACCACCTGGTATCTCACAGTGGGCCAGTTGCACCACGTTGCATCATTCAGTGTCCATGTAACCTCTCTCAGCCACAGGCTCGGTTATAACAGTTCACATGGTCACCATGCAGAGCAGCAGTAAGCAGCAGTTGCAGTATTAAGTAGAAACTCTAGAGCAGCCAATTTGTTGACCACTTCTTGGTCCCCAGTGGCACAGTTTGGCCTCCACTTGTCCCAGATGTCAGTCCTGCCCTTGTCTGTGTTGTCCACAGAGACAGAGAGGGATATTTCCTGTGTGAACCAACACCCAGACGCAAAGTAGAAAAAAATAATCACAGATAAAAATCTAGTGTACATTTGCATAGGCATGACAATTCTCAGAAGTAAATTGATGCCACTAATATCAGCATATCTGTGTACTCTAGACAGGAAGTTTACTGGACAGCCAGGCACGTACACTCCGGCAATTTGAAGGGGTGTGGAGGGGGGTAGGGAGGTGGGGGGGATTAGAGAAGGGGGAGAATGGGGGTGGAAGGATGGGGAGGGGGGTTGAAGTTTCCTCACAGTCCCATAGCAACAGGGCCTGCTGGCGAGGGAGGCCTCCAGAATGCACTGTAGTTTACAGAAGAGATAAACATTGACTTTGCCACCCGGAGAAGTAAATCTGATTTCAGTAATGGCGCACTGCATGACTTAGAGCACAGATCAGACAACGCTGAAAACAAACACCAAAGCCCCGGGCGCACCAGCAGATGTTACATCTACTTTGGCTGCAAAATGAAGAGCGAGAACAGTAGGTATCGGTGATAAAATCGAAGCAGTATTGAGGTTTAATGGCTATCATTGTTGCTTCTCTAGACCACAAAGGAGGCCAATCCTTTATTTGCTCTGTCATCATGAACCCTGATTCACTTTCAGCTACTTTTCTTGTACCTTCACCACCAGTCAATAACGTTTAACGCCACTGGAAAGTCATATAATCTATTTGAAATCACAGTCAATCCAAATAAGACATGCTGCGATTTGAGCGTCTGTAAACTCTGGGGATATTACACTCAAACTTGGCGAGGTTACGGGGGGATAAGCCATCCTCATAATTATAGATTCGAGAACAAATTTGGTGTTTCAGCTGACTATTTGGCCCAGGAGCTTTATAGATATTAGCATTTGACAACAAACATATAAAAGGCCCAGTGCACTGAGTAGTTCTTGATTATATGTTGATCAAAACACGATCTGCCAAGCATGAAGAACGTGTCCTTTTTTTAAGTTATGAACCTTTCTTCTCGCTGAGACCCTCATCTTTGATTTTATGCGTACATTTTTACTGTTTCACGCCAAATTTCCACAGTCTTTGATGGCGTTGTAAGCGCTCTTTTGGTGTCCCACATTAAATTCAATCACATACTTTCCATTAATCCAAAAGAAGGCCTTTCATAAATTGGTTACACTTAAAGGCTTTACAGCGAGTATACATACAGCATTTATGGTGTCAGGCTTTGGTGCCGCACTGCTGGAAAAAACAACAGGCTGAGGAATGAAAAGACGTCTCTGTGAAGGTCTGAGAGTGGAATAAAACTTGACTGGAAAATGCTGCTGCTGCGAGACTTTGCGGCTTTAATTGACTAACTTGCAAAATCAAGTTTTGGCTTTTTTGGGGGCAAAACAGATTAGCGCTTTGGACATGTCGCTAAACTCATGTCTCACTCTAACACTATTTAAGTTGAACACTGAGACGGTCTTTAAAACGGCTGCTTTGTTGAACCCATCTTACCCTGATTTTCCCAGAAGTGCGTATATTTCATCTCGACAAAACACATAATAATTCTGAGTAATTCTAATGCAAATGGCCATAACAGTCACAATGACCTAATGCATTATGGACAGTAAATCATTTGACTTTAGTCTTTTTCCCTGCTCTTGCAGCTGTTGTTGCCCGGCAACAGTGTTTCTTAATTGTTATTTTTATGCAACCACAAAGCTGGAACTCTGCTTTTGTGTGGAGACAACACAAAGACCCCCGAAATAACCCAACCCTCGGTTCAAGTTAGCTCGTTTAAAATAGGAGGACTTCTATTCTAATTCTACTTATGAATAAGGTCATTTTTGAGATGATCTAGCGTCGCAGAAATCACTTAATACCACTTACTTGTGGTGGTCAGAAATACTTCCCATACATGGTGTTTTCCACCACTTAGATCCAAAAATGATATAACTGGTTATTTTATTCTCACAAAATTGGAATATTAGAAAACTGATACGAGGCCGATACTAACAAACTATATGGAGGATTGATATGGATTGACTTTGGATGATTAACTCCACCATAAATCTTTGTTTAAATGCCTTTTACAACTTGTTTAACTCCACATACATGAGTTAACAGTTACAGTACAACCAGTCAGATCGTGTTGTAGGTCCTTAAGTGAGACAAAGTGATGCAAGAAAAAACCGGCACACCAGGAGCTGAGCCAAAGGGACAATTTCATCAGCCAGCTATACAGAAAATTAGCAAAATGCTGAATATTAACCCTGATACTCATCTGCCTTATTAAATATTGTGTTTTGATGCTTTAAAGCCATTCAAATATATACTATAACAACACTCTCTCTTATGTAATATTGCTTCAAAAGTGTATGAGCAACCAACATGGCCAATAGGGGTGAGACAAATCTTAAATATGGCGATATATCACTCTCCTGACTTATGCAATACTGTATGACTGGCACTAGGTATTGATATCTTAATTTTGACAAATACTATCCTCTGGATAAGAGGCGTCAACTTGTCTCACCCTGCCACACAGTCTCTTTGTATTGGAGATAATGACATTGAGTACATGCACAGTTAAATTAGGCAACAATTATAGCGTAATAAGACTACTCTCCATGTCAGAGTATTCAAACACAGGGCGTGGATCCTCCCAGTGTTTGAATAGAGGTGTATAAGTATGTACGCCTCTATTATGCTAAGAGCTGAAATGCTCCTTTTCAGCTTTTGTTAGTCGTAGAGTTCCCGACTGGTGACCTGTTATGTCACATACTAAAACAATTAACAAACTAGTTAGAAAGAGGTGAACTGGTTTCTTGTCACAGAGTGAAAACAAGGACATGTTGTTATGGTGATCATCTCTCACAGACTCTTAGCCTCACTTATGGTACACTTAAGATGCTAACTGTTGAGCTAATGGTGGTTTCTGTGGGTAGGTGACAGCACCTGCTTTCTCGAATGCCGTTGAGCTTCAAGGTCAAAGTCTGGGGTGCGAATTAGGGAGCGTACGCAGAATGGTTAGGCCAGTTTGAGGCTGTTTGGGGTGTGCAAGCCAGTTAACTTCAATCCACAACTGCATTATCAGGGCTCGACAGTGTGACCATTTCACTCACATTTGCCACTAAAAATAGATGTGTGCAAATTGTAAAATGTATTTAGGGGCACATGTGTGATTAAAAAAAGTTAGCAGAGGCAACAAATTATTTTTCATGTTAATACCATGGTGAAGTTAGTTTTAGTTTGGCTATTAGACGGACATTCACTGCGGATCTACCGCTGTCTTCTCACTCTCCATAACCGGGAATAACAACAGCAGCGTGGTTAAATCTACTCAGCACTCTCGCTGTCAACGTCGGGTGTTAAATAAGGGACCATTAATAAATTACCGGTTGATGTTCTCAGAAAAGGCTGTTTTCCTGCAATAGCTTCCATGTCATGTGACCAATTGACCTAAAATTGATTTCAAATAATAGTATTTATGTCGACCAATGAGACAAACATTATTTGATCAATTGTCATTGTGCCCCTCAAGTTCTTTGTGTGCTCCAAACTTTTTCAACTTAGGAGCACATGTGCTCCTTGCAAAAAAGTTAGCCTCAAGCCCTGTAACTGTTGAGCTAATGGTGGTTTCTGTGGGTAGGTGACAGCACCTGCTTTCTTGAATGCCGTTGAGCTTCCAGGTCAAAGTCTAGGGTGCAAATCGGGGAGCATATGCAGAATGATTCGGTCAGTTTGAGGTGTATATGCAAGTTAAAATCAAACCACAACTGTATTATCCATGGTCAGAAATCAAGAGGACACCTCACAGAGATGAGAAATCTAGTTTACAAGAGCGTCCTGAACAAGATTGGCAGCAGTAGCAACACTCAGTAATCACAGAGCCACTGTATCTGATATTGATGAGTCAATTCTAAACCTGTTGTTAGTTACTCTGGCAGTCCAGCTCCTGCCAGAGGAGAAATCTGGTAGTTTGTGTGTTAAATCCAGCCTTGAGTTTAAGTGCACTCCATAGCGGGCCATAACTACTCTGCACTTATTAATAGAGCCTTTAGGGACAGGGCCAGCTCTCTACATCCGCTGTGACAGACCGTACAAGAGCCATCATATGCTGAATGTCTGAACAATATGACCACATGATGTCCAACACAGATGGTGAATGTAATGTTGAGGAGCAGGGGGAGAGGGGGTGGGGGGGATTCAGTGAATGATACAGCACATGTACAGCGAGATACCGAGCAGAAACACAAGTATTCAGACCTCAGAAATGAAGACTTTGAATAAACAGCAAATAAACACAGTGTTGCTTCCTGTGCGCGAGCTCTTCAGAGACAATGAGCGTGCTTGTTTCATCTTTTCCATCCACTTCACAGGCCGGGGCAGTGATTTCTGCTCACATGGTTCACTGCAAACCGTCCTTACAGGGGCAAGAAATGTCAGAGGGGAGGCTAGCACAGGTTTTTCTGTAACTTTAGAGCCTGTTTGAGACTCTCTGTCATTTATATTAACCGGACTGGAGGTTAACTCTCGTGCAGTAGCGTCGCGAGCGCCTTAAGGTGCAATATAAGAAAATATTCCCAGTTAAGAAAGTAGTAAAACACACTTCAGCGCTCATATGAACCTTAAACACAACAATAAACACTCAAACAAATGTGTTTAAAAAGTTTTTGGTTACTTACAGAAAGTTTCCTGACCACCGGACCGAAGTTCATCTTGGGAACTTCGATATGAGAGGAAATCCCTGGGATTTTGGACCTTTCCGTTACAAACCACCAGCTTTAAAGTGTTCAAAAATAAAAATCACTGTGAAGAAAATAGACAGCCACGCGAATCCGACTCGAAAACTTTCCGCCGTTGGGTTTCTTTCATGAGTTTACGCGTATATCACAGAGAAAAGTTCCACACTTTTCTGGGAGCGGAGACGATCTCGGTCTGAGCGGAGCTGTAGACGTTTTTTTTTCCTGCCTCAACGCTGCGTCTGACGTCAACGCCGCACCCACCAGCCAATCAGAGCGCTCGCCTTAGAATACCAGTCAAACAGCGTGTTTGCTACTCAGGGTGCAGAAATCAAGTTTTCAACCAAAACAAACTATTCCTACTGTACTTTATAGCAGAAACAATAATGATTTCAAGACAAATAGAGTTTAAATTGTCAAAAAAACGAGACAAGTTTGTCGTGAAATAAAGTTAGGTGTGTTTTTATCTAACTAACAAAGCTGAATACATAAATATCAATCAATATCACAGTATCAATCAATCAATTAGTCTTTATTAATATAGCATTTTTATACACAACCATGTAGCACAAAGTGCTTTACACAGAAAAAGGAAAAAAAAGAAACAAAGAATAACCAAATCTACCCCAGCCCAACCCCTCATTCCCACCCCATGATCTAAATGCATCAGAAACAGTATTAAAATGCATAAATTTAAAAAGGGCTTGATTTTGTGGAAACAGGAGAGTGCGCACTGAGGAAACATCATTTTAAAACTCAAGATAAGGAAACACTGGAGTTTCAGGTTAAAATCAAAAAACCAAGTAGCATAGAATGAAATTTAAGAAATAATAAATAAAATGAAATAAAAACAACAGTTAAAGATACTAAAATAAGAGCACCAACAAAGCTAAGTGTTTTAGCATTGTAAAGTCCTAAAACAACTTTATAAATGTGCTGCGAGAAATTAACTTGTGCACACAATTAGATTATCTCATGCACACAAATAATGATCCTAAATTATGAAAAGGTTTGGCACAGATTGAAGTGTTTTTTATGGATAAAAGTTGTCAAATGAGCATCACACTAATCATTAATAAGCTTTTTGTCCTTGTAGAACACTGTTGTTTCAACACCAAATATACTCAAATATCCTAATTTATAAAAACACTGTACATCCTGATGGTACAAAAGACTGTTATAGTAAATTAACAATCCATTTATCTAACAAAATTAACTCATTTTTGGAAGTGCAAGTAGATGTTAACCCTGGTGGACTTAAACATGTGAAAAATAACATTTCCAGTTTTTAAATATAATTATTTGTACATATTTTGGAAGATTCTTTTCATGTTATAATGTTCATAAATGTTAAGGTTCAAAATTGACAGGGGTATGTCTAGAAAGGTGGCCAGAGGTGGCTTGGTCTCTCCCTTAAATCTGATTGGCCGCCTAAAAAAATCTAAATCTGGCTATTTGACGTGGTCAGAGGCAGGACTGAAGTCAAAATCAACTAACATAGCTTGGTTTATCAGGTTGCAATGAGCTGTTTTAACCATTTAAGTATATCGCACATATTGAAATTATGGAAAAAAGAATTTTGCTGCTATTATTCGGATACAATAAAGAGGAATCAGTCCAATACTTGCATACTAACTGCTGCATGTTTACTGACAATACTGAATTGCTGAGCGTCAGTAACTTATCTTGTGACGGCTGCTGGGTATTGTTTCACTTGCTGTTAAGATGGGTTGAAAAACAACAAAGGAAAAAAGTCTGATAAACAAGGAAAAGAGAGAGAGAAAAGCATTATTTGCTTAAACAGAAACACAAAAATGAACTCCTCAAGTGTTCAGAAAACCTAATTTTTTAATAACATGCAGTGTGTCAATGCCATTTTGTCCAAAAAGAAATGCACATTTGAGTGTAAGTACAACACAAGCAAAGATCTAGACAGAAGGAAACAAAATGAGTATGCACGGTATCTTAGTGTCTTCATCGCAGGCTCACCGTCTAATCGCACTAAAGATCGCACTTTTGTATTCTATTTATAGTGTCAATTAAGAACAATAATGGCAGTGGTATCGTAGCATTCCTCTGAATAAGACAGGCTAAATTATTCTGGTGGCATGCAAGCATCAGACGTGGCCAATTTTTGGAATGCTATCTTGCAGGTGTGGAAAGAACCTGCAACCTTGTGCAAAAATATCAACACAATAATATCAGAAAAACCACCCTAATATTTTGGGGGCGTGGCCACTTTGATTGACAGGTTGAAACGCTGACTGCCTGATCAACAGAGCCAATCTAGCTGCATTGATGTGAAATTTTTGACAAAAAAAGTCAAAATCGATGCATCCATATGCCTTTCAGCATCATTTGCAACACTAGATGGCTCTCTGAGAAGTCTAAACACTGTTGTTTTTTTTACAGAGTGAAGTTCTTGTATCATTGTGTTTTTATTTTCCACTTGGCAGCAGATACAGCATGAGTGACAGCGGGAAAGAAAAACGGCCACGCCTGCCAGAAATGCAATCAACAAGTACAATTTAGACAGGTAGACAGCATACAGGAGTTTTCTTGCACTTTTTATGCTCTTTAAGACGTGTGCATGTGCATAAGTCAGTGCCCCCTATTCCTATCACCCTTCCCCTGGGTCACCACATTGAAAAAAAGCTTGGACACACCCCTGTACCCCTGCAAATTGAGATCACTGTATTTTCCCACAGACCATCGATCACATGTTCATGCATTTAATTCACATGTTTGCAGCAATTCCTGAAGCGTGAAATATGCAGACGTAGCATCTAAATAATGAACCAAGCACACTTACTTAAAACTGTATAATCTCATCCTTTGATCTACATTTACTCATCAGCAATTCAGTATAGCCATTAACCGGCACTTGCAATGGTTAACTAACTATTAATAACTAACTAATGTGTTTTAAGTTGAAGCACTAGTGAATGAGTGAGCTGAAAGTTTGACCTTTGGCACATATACACACTCCAGACCAGCGGATTCCAAAGTGGAGACACTTGACGGAGTTTCAAACAATGAGGAATAGACTACACTATCTCAGACGAACAGAGTGAGAAGTGGCACAACCTTACACGAGTTTTTACACTTTCAGAACCTCGCATGATACAAAGGAAGTCAACTACTTAATGAAAGCACAACATTATTCCACTTGCTGAAGATCAAATCACAAACATCCTCTCAAAATGTGGTTCCTGCAGACAAAATCTTATCTGGAGCCCGGGCTGGAGTCTGAGGCCTGTCTGTCTAGGGAGGAAAAAGAGGAAGATATTTGGGCGAACCTACAGGAGATCGTGTTTGGGTCATTTACAAACCCAAACAAACAAGCACACAAACAAACCAAGAGTCTAAATAAATCTCTGGCCTGCCTTTTTGGTCAGATGGTTTTGTGGTGGCAGACAGATTGAGCAATTCAAATTGATTGAGTAAATGCTGTCTGGCATATGTGTCACTTCTCGTTCACCATGAGTCTACAGAAAACAGTGTTGTGAAATTTTACAATGCTCTCTTTTATACCTCGTGGTATAAATGGGAGGATGAGGATACTATTTAGTATGTGTGTCTTTCTTAGGATGGCAAAAAGGAAGGGTCAACATCAGGCTGAAAAAAAAAAAAACTGTGATTTGAAAGACGCTTTGTTTCATAAGGTGGCTAAAAATACCAGGCTGAGAAAATCACTGACGCGACAGTTCTCACACCAACACGTTGTTTACTCACACTTCACTGCTGAATGCAACCAATGTGATCAGAAGTACAGCTGCAAAGAGGAGCAGAAAAAGTATCATAGGGTGCATAGGGAGTTGAAAAGCAGCGGTAGATGAGACTATTATTGGAGACAGGGATCTGAATTTACATCCAATGATTTCTGGAACAAACAACATTCCTGCAGTTGCACAGCAGATGCATCCCATCCCCTCCTGCCAAAGTTAAACACGCGTCCTAATTAATACTATCTAGGAAACCCTCTATCTGTATCTTCCACTCGGAGCACATCCTGCGCTCCTCCTCCTGAGGTCACCGACTACGTGCTGGAAAACAGGAAGTGTATGATGGAGTTGTTTGCAGGCTTATCCTGAGCGAGTTAGTATTTATGGCTGCCGGGGTTGATTAGTTCAGAAAGTTAACTTCATTAATGACAAATGCGGCAGAAAATATGCGATCTATCACTCTCAGTTCGGGGGAGAGTGCGTGACTTTATGAAGTTAGCTGCTTAATGCTGTGAAGCTCAAGACTCATTTGCATATCCTGTGTGGGAGTATGGTGTGATGGTCATTGTTTGTGTATACTGGTGTGTGTGCAGAACAGATGGTGGAGAGTCACAGAGTTTTTTTTTTTTTTTTCATAGAAGTGACCTGCGGAGGAAAAGTCAGAAAAAATAAGAGGAAGGGAAACCTTCCTGAGCGTCAGTAACTTATCTTGTGACGGCTGCTGGGTATTGTTTCACTTGCTGTTAAGATGGGTTGAAAAACAACAAAGGAAAAAAGTCTGATAAACAAGGAAAAGAGAGAGAGAAAAGCATTATTTGCTTAAACAAAAACACAAAATGAACTCCTCAAGTGTTCAGAAAATCCAATTTTTTAATAACATGCAGTGTGTCAATGCCATTTTGTCCAAAAAGAGATGCACATTTGAGAGTAAGTACAACACAAGCAAAGATCTAGACAGAAGGAAACAACATGAGTATACACACGGTATCTTAGTGTCTTCATCGCAGGCTCGCCGTCTATATTTGTCTTAATTGACGACAAAAATGCAACAGTCCTTCATGCCAAAACAGCAACACAGTAAGAACACACTGTTGTATTCTATTTATAGTGTCAATTAAGAACAATGATGGCAGTGGTATTGAAACATTCCACTTATGAAGGCAGGCTAAATTATTCTGGTGGCATGCAAGCATCAGACGTGGCCATTTTTTGGAATGCTATCTTGCGGGTGTGGAAAGAACCTGCAACCTTGTGCAAAAATATCAACACAATAATATCAGAAAAGCCACTCTAATATTTTGGGGGCGTGGGCACTTTGATTGACAGGTTGAAACGCTGACTGCCTGATCAACAGAGCCAATCTAGCTGCATTGATGTGAAATTTTGGATAAAAAAAGTCAAAATCGATGCATCCATATGCCTTTCAGCATCAATTGCGACACTAGTTGGCTCTCTGAGAAGTCTAAACACTGTTGTTTTTTTTGCAGAGTGAAGTTCTTGTATCATTGTGTTTTTATTTTCCACTTGGCAGCAGATACTTACAGCATGAGTGACAGTGGGTAAGAAAAACAGCCACGCCTGATGCCGGTGGTTCTGCAGCATGTCTCCAGTCACTAGACCAGTGTGCCAGTCCCCTCTGTGGTATGCTACTACATTTTTTTTTTGCCTCACTGAATGTCTGTGAATCATGAATAAAGAAATATATAAAAGCAGCACCCCATATCAGGTTCCTATGATGTAGAGTCTCATTTAAGGCTTCTTAACACAGTCAGTCAGTAGATAATGCTGTGATTGCAGTGTCCATTACAGCCACCCTACAGTCTGGATAAGCCGCAAACAACTTTCTCGTTTCACACATAACTTTCTGTGTCACTGCTGCCTTAGAGATGAGTGTAAAACAAAATAAACTGTCGTAGAAAGGGTAAATATCTTATGTCTTCTCTCAAAATCAGTCTCGGTGAGAGCTCTCAATAACAACAACAGCCAGAAGGTCATGTCCGCCCTGTTTACAGCTTAAGGTCAAAGGTCACAGTGTGAATGCACTGGGAAGAAGGGCTGTTGCCAGACACATAAGTTGATGATTGTTTATATCTCTGTTTCTGTGTGGGGGATTGGAGCATGAAGTGAGTCCAGTCTGCTCGCCTTACAGACACTGGAGTGAAGGGAAAACACACCAGCGTGTGTGTGACGGTTTAAAATACACATAAACTGATAAATGGACTCAAGTTAAAGTGGCCTTATTCAATAATTCTCTACCAACAGAGGATCAAGAGGACTTTTGTGTGAACAGGGTTTGCCTAGTGATGACTAACCCATTGAAAAATGTTACACAACTCGGCAGTTATAGTCATCCAAATGTGCATTTCAGCCTTCAGTTTAAGTATTTGGTTTTACTATCAAACTGCAGTGTGGTTGACAGAAGACATGAAATATCCTCAACTTTTCACTGTGCAGTGTTTGTCAGGGACGCTGAGAATCAATGAGGATCCAAACCAGAACTGAATTTTATTTATTAAGTACTATTAGTGTCCAAATGTTATCAGATGTTTTAGAAGTTTTCATACGCAACAAACACCATCAAAGCTGGGAGGTTGTTTCCATGTTTTTTTTTCATTATGATGGATCAAATTTTTCAAATCAGTCCTTCTGGTTTGTTGTGAGAAGCACTTATTAAAAATACACTTCCAAGCCTCGCTAGTGCTTCCTAATGTTTAAAAAACACATGATAAATTATGATAAATAAGATATGATGGAAAATAATACAATATGATGTGTAATGATACAAAATGATACCATACCAAATGAAATGATCTAAAGCAAAGGGATGAGTAATAACACAATATGTTCTAATCTGATTGGCTACGCTTTGTTGTGATATGATGTAGCAAATAAACACAGAACATAACACCATACCATCCCGCACCATGTTAGCAATACATAACAATATGATAAAATTTGATATGATAAAAATTGTGATATAATATAATACAATATGCTACAATACGATAAGTTAAAATACAACATGTAGGATATGATACTATATGATATGATACGTGTGATACGATATGAAATGATATGATAGAATACAATATGATTAGTGATGATATGATATCATTTGATATGACACAGTACAGTGCATTACAATGAGTAACAGAACAATATGATACAAAACAAAAAAATACAATAGACGGGTTTCTTGTGTACGAATAATACTAGGTGCACGCTCAACCAGGGGGCAAAAGCATGCTTCGGAGTGAACTGATATTATTGAAGATGCCGAATTGTTTGCCAGTTCTCCCTGACTCAATTGCAATAAAATGTCATTTCATTGAAAAATTGCTTTGTCTTTCATTGCATCAAAATCAGAAAACCACTTGCTGAAATGTCCATGAATTTTACTCAATTTACCAGGTTGTGATGTTGTTTTAGATGTTTCTAATATCAGGAGCAGGGTAGTAATGTTGGCTGATTGTTTGTTTTGCCGATTTGTGCAGTTTACAGCACAACAGCTCATTGTCATTTTCTTTCTCTGTTGACTCCGCTAAACAAGTAAGAAATGTCTCGCTTTCTGCCCCCTGGCTGCACGCATACCTGCGATGACGTTGCACAGAAACCCGTCTATATGATACTTAACAACATGAAATGATATGGTACAATATGATTAGCTACAATACAGTTCTGATACGATATAAGACGAGGCAATACGATAGGAATGATACGATGTGATACAATATGATATGGAACAACATGATATGATACAGTACAATATGATTAGCTACTATAAAGTTCTGATACATCACGATACGATACGAGACGAGACGATATGACACAACAGATATGATATGATGGATACAATATGATACAAAACCATTAGATACAATATGGTAAGAAAAGTTACGATACAATATGATAGAATAAGATACAATGTGATATGATATGATATGGTACAATACAATAGTAAATGACATGATGCAGTATGGCATGGTGCAAAACAATATGACACAAAACAAAGGAGGTCACATGACTTGAAAAAACACATGAAGCGCATAATGAAGTTTTTCTTGTTTTTGTATTTCTTTTTATGTTTTGTAAAATTTCAAATGACCATCAATAATTCTGGAGCTGGAAAGACTTATTTAAAATGGTTTATTTGTCTCCAGGCTATGAGCAATGACACTGTCCTTTTTTCTTGTTTTTGTATCACCCCAATGCCCTCAGGACTCATGCGCTCACACACCACATGTCAACAAAGTTCAGGCTCAGAGCGGACTCTCGGATCAGGCTTATGTAAATGAGAATGTTGGCATGCAGAGTAGCATTAATTCAGACTCAGGGACTGATAGCAATGCGATTACTGGTTTGGTCACTGAATAAAGCATTGGAAAAAAATCAAACTGTGACTCTTGATGCAAGCTTGAATTTGACGTACAGCGTTTGTAACCGCTCATATAATTACATTTTTTCTTCGAGAATTGGATTTGCCAAGCTTAAGAAAGAAGTCTTTCAATCGAATGAGAAAATTACGTTTCTAAGCAAAGAGTGAATATTGTAACTTAATAAAGGGACACAGTTCCATGAAATCCTTGAAATTAGTTGATTTTTTTTATAAAATTAAAAGTGAAGGACGGAAAACTTTGGAATAAAACCTACAATGACCTCTGAGGACCAACGGAAAATCAGAGTCATCTCATGTGAAGTGTCTAAATGGCAGAAGACAAATGGTGTGGGAGTTCCTGGCAGAGATCGCTGGAAATATTTTGTCAAGTGTCTTATTGTTAATAAGCTTAATCAGTTTGGGTGGATCCTTCAAGGCCCTGAAGGTGTTTGCTTGTGAGTCAGGAAAAAAAAGGGTTAAAAAAGTGCTGCTAAGGAGGAAAGAGCGAGCAGCGTCTTGACTGGTTTTGTCTGGTTTAAGTCGGGCTGTATATTAACAGAGCGGATTACGATTGACGGAGGAATGTCGTCTTTGTTGGGACCTTTTGTGGTGATGTCATCAGTACTTTCCCTGGCACCACCTGGGCAGGAGGCGCAGGAGGGGCCGGCCTGTTGAAGGCAGCGCTATAGCTGTCGTAATGTGGCCTGATTAGTCACCTGACTGTGTTTTTTCAAAGCCATCCTCGACAAAAGACAGGCTTCAGTCAGCAGTGCCATAAAGATTAGCTGCCGGGTGAACTGTGTAAACACACAGACGAGTGTGTGTGTGTATGTGTTTTCACAGGAATGTGTGTGGGTGTCGGTGCCTGTTTGCTCATGTATACACAGTGTGTGATTGAGGGGAGAAAATGGCATGAATAAATAAAAAGACAGATACAAGCGAGCGGAGATGATTCGAAGAAGAGACAGAGTGTTTGAAAGTGTGTGTGTGATGGATAGAAAGTGGTGGGAAAAGTGTGTGTTTGGAAAAAAGTCGGTGAGTGGGAATTAAAGACGGGCTCGTGGCAGAACCCACAGTGCTGATGTTAGCTGTCTGATCCACTGAGAAGCAGTTGGCAGCAGACTGTCTACCAGCCACAAATGTACAGTAATTTAAAGCATGCGACGTGACGCCGTTCCCTGGGAGCTGGGGCTGCAGTCACTCACTCACCCACCCACGCACACACACACACATGCAGAGAAGAAAACACACACACACACACACTGTAGAAGTCTGAATCCACTGAGTGCTCAATTCCACGTGATACAATTATTCACAGTTCCATAGCAAATTTTGGCTGACGCTAATCTCTGAGCTAAATGGCGTGGCGCCTGTTGCAAAAACCAGATCTTCTAAACAACTGAGAGGAATTCAGCCTTTTTTTTTTCAGTGTCACCAGCTCTGCTTTACTGCAATCAGAGTTCACCAGAAAAAAAAGTGTCATGAATTAGCTTACTGTACAGCTACAGTGGCCCTGAAGAGCAAAATAAAACAACAAATCACCAGCAAACACAACAACATGTAAAAAGAACACAAAGTAGTTATAGGAAAACACAATGACAAATCACAAAAGCACAAAAACAAGTTTAAAAGCAGAATAACAAAAAAGTGTAACCCAGCAAATCATCAAACACAACAGTGCAACAATGAAAAATAGGAAGAAAAAAAAAACAAGAAACAAGAAATCACAAAATACAAAACACCTACAAAGTACCACAATGAGTCAGAATAACTAAAAAAGATCGGAAAACACAAAAATGACAAATCACAACAAAAAACAATTCCCCATCACAAATACACAACGATAAATCCCAAAGACACAAAAGCAAATCACAAAAACAAAACTTGAATACACAAAAATTAAACTTAACAATCACAAGGTACTGCAAACAAACATAAACAATTACTGACAATACAATGAACAAAAAAAAAAATATATATATATATATAAGAAAACATCAACACACCACAAACACCAAAATACAAAACAATGACAAACCACAACAATACGAGAAATTCATAAACTAGACAGATTTACAAAACACAGCTACAAATCAGTGAAACACAAAGACACAAAAATGAAACCAATAAATCACAAAGTACAGCGAACAACCTAAAACAGTTACAGAGAGGACAATAAACAAGAAACAAAAAAAAACACAGAAAA